AAATAGGTATTATAATAAAATAATATTAAAAGTACTTAAAATATTTATAATAATTATAATAACCTTCTGGTTTTATAAAAGTGCTATTTTTATATTATAAGTAAAAAAGGCTATTAAGTTTATGGCTAAGTGCTTAGGTAAAGCATTATATTATTATAGGCTTAGTACCCCTTATATTAATATAGTAAAGGTAATATAGCGCGCTATAATTTATTTAAGTTTTTTTTAATATTAAAAATAGTGCTATAAAATACTAAAATTAGGGCAAGAACTTTTTTTTTATTATTTTTTAAAAGTATTACCACCTTTATAAGCTTTTATAATAAGGGGAAGTACCCTAGCTATAGGTAATAATTATATAGTTTATAAATAACCTACCTAACATACTTTTAGCAGGCCTTTAAAATCTAGATAATTACCTAGTTTACTTTAAAAAAGGTGTTGCTTATATTAATAATATTTTTCTTAACTTTTTTTAGTAAGATTTTTTTAACTAATAAAGGTGCTTATTCCCCTGCTAGTGCTTTAATACTAGGAAATTAAAGTTTAAATTATTATTTATATTAAAATATTTTAATATTACTTTTTAAAAAATATTAGCCTTTTCCCGCGTGTTTTTAATTACTTTATTATTTATTAATAATAAGGAAGCCTTAAGCCTAGGCTTTAGCTTATGCCATGTTATTATTTAATATAATTTTTAATTATTTTTAATATTATTAATTATCTTAATTTAATATATGTATTTAGTCTTATAAACTATAACTAAAAACTACTTTTTTTATTTTAGGGTAGGGTTTACTACCCAGGCATAATAATTTTTTATATATTTATTTAATTATTAAAAAGTACTATAGCTTCCTAAGTTAAGGCATTTACTTATAACCTGCATGGCCTTTATAATAGTATTACTAAGGGATTTAGTATATTAATTTAGTACTTTTACACCTTTAAGCTCCCTAGATTAAGGCAAGAATATTATTTTATTTTTAATAAGTTTAGCTAAATACTTTAATTTATAGTTTAATATACTATAATAATATTATTTTAGTATTTTTTCCCCGTGCCCTAATACTATAGTAACTAAAGTTTAGTAATTAAAGCTATTATATAACTTAGGTATTACTAGTATATAAGTAAAGGGGATATTTAAAAAGATTAGGTTTAAAATATAGCTAGTTTTATATATAACCACGCTTAGTTTATTAATATAATTAATATTATTATTACTAGCCTATTTAGTAATTTTATTATTATAATATAAGTTATTTACCCCGGGCTTAAAGGTATTATAAGTAATATTAAAATCCCTGCTAATTATATAGTTTAGGGTAGGGACTAGTATAATTAGGTAATTAATTATTTTATAAATAATTAGTTTTTAATATATATTTAGAATTTTAATACTATTTATTATAAGCTAAAGTATATTTTAGCTTTATATTAAATAATATTATTTAATATATAGCGCTCCCCCTTTATAAATATAGGTAAGTACTTTAGGGTATTTTTTAAGCTAGTTTTTATAATTATTCCAGGCATTTACTAGCGCGTAGTACTTATATATTAGGTAGTTTTAAATTTTTATACCTATGGCTATCTAGGGCTTTTAAATACAGGTAATATTATAGTTTTACTTATAAGCTAGTTATAAAATTATAGTATAACTAAGTATAAATTTACTTATATTTATTTAGTAAATAGTAAAATTTTATTATTATTAAATATTATTATAATAATAATTACTATAGTGCCTCCTTTAGTACTTTATTATTAAAGCTTAAAGGGGGTTTTAGTATTAACCTTTATTACCTAGGGTAAAAAAGGCGTGCCCATGTTAGCTAAAATAAGTTAAATTAATTTAGTAAAAAGCTACTAAAAATTTTAATTACTAGTAAAAGTATTAAATCATAAGGTATAATAATTAATAATTAGTATAAAGCCTTACTTATTTACCTTTAGTTTTTTTATAGTATACTTTTAAAAATTTTTTTAAAATAAGGGCTATTTAATTTTAATTTAAAGCTAGGTATTTATATTAACTTAAGCATGCATGTTTTAGTATTAATAAGTACTATAATAATATATATTATTTAGTTTTTTTTTTAAATAAGTATACTAAGGTTTTATTTTTATATTTAAGGGTTATTAAGTAATTATTATACCCTGCTAATTATAAACCTAAGTAATTTATATAGCATGCTAGGTTCTTATAATTTAGGTTAATAAAACCTAGGTAATTTATAATTATTATATTATATTATACATAATATATTATATAATTATAATATACCAGGTAATAATACTTTTAGTAACCAGGGTTATATTAAAAAACTAGCTAATATTTTTTAATAAGCTGGTAGCACTTGCTTTAATTAAATAGTATAAAGATTTTAGGCTACTTTAAAAAAAATACTACCTAGGTAGTATACTTAATGTTAAAATTAGGCCCATGCCTTAAAAAAGTAAGTTTAACTAGCTTTAATTTTATTTAGGCCATAACTTTATTTTAAATTGGCTTAATAATATTTATTTTATTATTATTATATATTAAAATAGTGCTAGGCACTTCTTGCACTATATAATTATATTATTTTTAAAAAATATATATATTAATAATGCCTAGGGTATAATAAATTATATTAACTACTTTATTAATTATTAAAAAATTCTTAATAAAAAAATTATTAGGGATAATAGCCTAGCCTATATAAGTAGTATTAATTTTAAAAATAGTTATAGTTATAATTAAGCCTAGTATATACTTAATAAAAGCTTATTAAATAATATATACCTTTAGGCATGCTATTAACTTATTATTAAAAAGGGTAATTAGCACCTTATAATTATTTTATATTATTAAGGCTATAATAAAGTTATTATATATTAATTAAGCTATTAAGGTGTTTAAAAGGGCCCCCTTGCCTAAGATAGTATTAATTAAGGTAAAAAAACTTATTTTAAAAAGGGTAGGTTAAGCCCCTAAATTTTTAGGGGTTAAATTTATTTTTTTTAAGTAATAAGCTTACTAAAGGTTATTATAGTAATAAGCTAATTATATATATATAAAAAAATATAATTAATATTATTAATATTAATATAGCCTTTTAAAAAAATAAAGTATATAAACTTATTATAAATATTATAAATAAAGGCTTTTTAATTTTAAGTTTTTTATTTAATTATAAAGCTATTAATAATAGCTATAAAGCCTATAAAAACTTTATACTTAATATATACTTAATACTTTTATTTATTAAGTTAATTATAAAAGGCCTTTATAACTAGGCTAAGCTAAAAAATTAGCATGTTATTATTTTTAATAATAAAAAAAAATAGGCTTGCTAGGGCCCTTTTTTCTTTTATTTTTTTATAATATAAAGGTTAAAAAAAAATAAGGGGTTTTATAACCATGTAAAGTTAGCTAAGTTAATACTTATAAGTTAGTTAAAAATACACGCCTTAATTTTAGCTATTACACCACGGGGAGTAGTAAAAGGGGAAAAAAAAGGTTAAAAATAAGATTAAAATAATAAAAATATATATTTATAATAGTTTTAAAGCATCTGGAGCCCTTATTTAAAGGTAACCCCTAGATCACTAAGAGTTGTAAAGGTGCCCCCAGTGTGTGGAGACGGTTAGGAAGGACGAGTTTCCGAGGCTGAGGGCCTAGGATCGGTAGGTTGCTTGTTAGCTGGGCTGTTCTCTTGTTGCTTTTGTTTTGTTTTTATCGAGGGGATGCACCAGCGAGAGGAAGATCAGACCGTCGTCTACCATAGGCCTCTTGATGATTCGGAAGCGCACGTAGTATCGCGTTGCGATGACGGTGGCGGCCAGGCCGGCGAAGACCCAGGCGATGGCCAACACGCTCGATCCGAGGCTGGAGATCATGGCTGGGTGTCTGCTGGATACCGTTAGTGAGTCAGCCAGGGCGAGGTGGGTTGCCGTTATAAGGAGGCGCCATCATCTTGAGAGACGGCGAAGTTCACGAGGATGCGATAAAAGCAGAGGTGACGCCGTGGCGATACGAGATACAAGAGACCAGAGTCTCACTGACCCGGGGTTCGGTTCAACACACCACTTGCCCTCATCAACTCGGAGGCTGAAACACCTCGCTAGGACAGGAGGCTGAGTCCACTGGACGCAGTGAGGGGCCTGGATGCAAGTGAGGGAGCTGGATGCCCCCTGGGAGGTCCCGAGGTCCTTCCCAAAACGGCCACCTAACAAGCACCACACTCCACACACAGGGCTCCATGAATGCCTTCGGGGCATTCCAAAACATTCTACGAGAATTCGACCTGTGCCCCTCCAGCTCGTCGCCCGCTATCATCTGCATCGGCCTCTGCAACGCATACCGGCAGATTTCGAGGCGTACGCCAATACCCGGAGTATCAGACTACAACATATGCACGTCTCTATCTATATATGAGCGTAAGCTAAGCACCCGGCCCCCAAGCAAAATATAGGTCAGTACTCCGTTACCATAGCTTGCAAATAATAAGGATGATCTTCGTTGTGGAGCCAGATTCTGCTATAGCAACATAACATGGCTTCTCTGCCTAGGACAAGCACATCAGCAACCGAACATGGAGAACCGAAGCGGCTCCCTGGCCCATACGCCTTTCTAACAGGCGAAGACGACGACCAGGATGTCAGCGGAAATAACAGGGATGCCACCGCAGCTGCTCGCTCCTTCAAACACGCAAACCACTGCGTCGAGTATATCTGCCAGAGTCTAGGTTGCGCGCCGGACCTCTCGCTCGTGACGTTCCGGGTAATCAACGAGACGGCGCAGCTTGGGGACAAGGCTAATGGAGGGGGTATGAGAGAATGGCTCAGGTTGTCTTGTTGATAACCTAGGGTTATGATACCTTTAAGGTTGGTCTAGGGAGCTCCAAGGGAAAAGCGTGGTAAGGATCGACAGGCTGTCGACCCTGAACAAATATAAGCCGTTCTAGTCTCTTGACTCCCATCTTCAATCAGCTTGATCGTGACGGTCATTAAACCCTCACTGCCTCAACAATCCCATCCCCGCCCTCATCCTTCGGCTCCCAGAACTCCACGACCTGCAGGCCCGCCCTCTGCAGGAGCTCCCGCCACTGCCGCCTCGTGCGCTCCATGCCGCTGTTAAACGCCATCATAGTCATATCCAGCTGCGCCTGGAACTGCGGCGCGCGGGCCTCCGCAACAATCATCTCGTGGATCAGGAGCCTCGAGTACCCTGGCGTCATGACGGCGACGACCTGCTCGAGGATGCGCAGGCAGAACGCATCGGACCAGTCGTGGAGGATGTGGTGGTAGAGATAGGCTCTTGCGCCTGTTTTCCTGTTAGCGAGAGAAGCCTGTTCATACCGGATGGAAGTGTGAGATGCGGTTACCTTTCACCGGCTGCTCCGTGAAAAAGTCATACGCGACCTTTTCGATCGCCCCCTTACTACCTAGATCATCCAGCTCCAGCGCATCCGTAACAGCCGCCAGATCCTGCAATACAAGCCGTCCCGCCCCAGGGAACTTCTCGTTGAACGCCACCAGATCATGCCCCTTCCCACCACCCACATCCACAATCAATGCGTTATCCTGCTTTGCCCCGTCCAGAATCCGGTTTTGCACGGGATACCAGTCAACCCAGTACCCGCGGGCCCCCATGGTATTACCCATGAAGAGATTAAAGTCCTGCATCAGGGCCGGGACCGACGCGATGTACTCGAACATGGTCATGTCCGTGTTGAAGGCGAGCTGCACAAGGCCGTTCTTCGGGTCAGTGGGTGAGGAGTATCCGTGCTGCGTGAAGAAGGCTGGGGCGCTCTGCATGGCGGGGACGATGAGCTGTGAGATCATGCGGTGGCCCGCAGCGATCTCGGGGGTTGCCATGGCGTGTGTGATGCGTGTGGCGGAGTAGCTGGGGATGGAGGCTTGGCCGGGGGTTGAAGATTCGTGGACGAAGTGCACGGAGCAGAGGAGGCGGAGGAGGCGAACTGGATTTGATCATGCTATTAGGATGTATTCCTGCTATAGTATGAATGGGGCGTACCGATTAGGAGCTCCTCTGCGCCAGAGAGGGTAGCTAGCTTGTCTGCTGTGACGGGACCATGCTGGACAATGAGCTCGAAGAGCTTCAGATCAACTGCGATTCGCGCAGTGACTGCAATCATGGGCTATCCATTGCAGATCAGTATACTACCAGACCGATGATCAAGCGGTGCTCGTACCGAGAATGCCATGTCCACCGCGACATTCTCCGGCTGGTCCAGCTGGGCCGTGAGTGCTTTGCTGAGCTGGAGACATTCTCTCCTTGCGTGGGGATCGTCGGTGTTGGAGAGTCTTGGAGCGAGATATTGGAGTTTGGCGATCAGACTGACAGGATCATCGGTGGTCGTCCCGTTGATTGGAGCCATGATGGTGATTTAATCGAAGACAGCAGTGGAAGCAGGCATAGGCAGTTATTTGAGCAAAAGCTCATTATCTCTCCCTGGCCCTCTCCCCCGCCGAGCTTCCACCGAGCTTCCCAGCTTTCGGGCCCTAGCGGTCTTGTCGGACCCTAGCGGTCTTGTCCCTCCAGGTGCAATGTAAGCCGCCTGGCCAGCCTTACGTCCTTGCTTACACCCTCCCTCTTGAGCCTTCAGAACAACAGAAGGCGTCAGCCGCCTCTCCCAGTACCAGTCCCAGCCCAGTCTTCAGGCTCCGAGTCCGTGCAACACAAACACTCCCAACTACAACCGTGACAAGCGTCTTGAGGTAGAAGTTCCTTTGATGGATGAGCTCGGTAGGGTTCTTCTTCGCCCATCATCTCAACCCATCTCATGGAACTGCCTAGCCTCAACGCCAGATACCAGCGCCTGGCTGCGGGCGCTCCGTCTGCGCCAGGCCGCACACCTCTGACCATCCCCAATGTTCTTCTGCTGGCGCTAGCCGTCATATCAGCAACCGCGGGCGCTTTGATCGGACGGCGAACGGCCGACTGTCCGTTATACTCGAACGGCAGGTTCTAGCTAGATCCGGCCAGATATACCTCACTCTGCTGCGCTTGCCTAACAATAGATGCAACAGCACTGGTCCCACTCAAGACACACAGGGAAGTCTTCGTATATAATCGGACGTTCAGCGATGATCCCCGCGTAGACGACAATGCCGTTGCTGCATGGGACTCGGTTGTTCCTGGTGAACTCCACCTTAGCAGTCTGGTCAACCCGCCAGTGCTAGTGCTGATTGCACTGATCTGGAAACTATGTGTGCTATACCTCTGGCACCGAAAAAGCCTCTTTGTATACCCTGTCAGTGGTCCACCAACTCCACTGCCTGGATGGGGCAACGAGCGCGTCTATCGCGACTATGCTGAGTCTGAAGACGTGGGCGGAGGCGCGGAGAGTGATTGGGAGTGGGGGTTTTCTTCTGAGCATGGCCACGATGGTCATGCCTAATATCGAAGGTCTAGAGTAGTTGACAGGTCTTATTCTTGGGCTGGTATCTGTGTGAATGGGGTTGCTTGCTCATAACTTGCCGTTCGAGCGCCAGCACCACTCTGTAGGTCATCGGTCGATAGGGTTACAGCCTCGTTGTCCCCAAGTAACAAATAAGGCCCCTCGTCGTTCAAAGTGCTCAATAAGGTGACAGCAGCGCGCACTATGGAGAGTCGGGGCTGGCAGAGTCGTCGAATCACCACTATACTTCACAGCGCCATGCGCAGCAGACGTAATATCACCCCTACTCTCCCAAGCAAAGCGCAAAGACTCAAAATTGTCTCGGCCAATCTTGCCAATTGCAAGGGCACACACTATAAAGTCGTCCATATGCTCAAGTCGAATGCAAGATCTGCAATAGGCTAGCCCTAATGCTTCCTCGCGTATCTGCTTGTTGACTGCGAGGAGGCCTAGATCGCTTCTAAAAGGGTACCAGAACCCGCTGGGGTCTCCTAGCCCTCTGGCAAGCTCGAGGCCATTGAGTTCGAAAGCTGTTGGGTACAGGCTTGCCGTTGGTATAGCGTACATGTAAATCCTGTCGCGGAGTTCCCTGGGAAGCCGAGATAGCGAGCCTAGAGTGCTTCGCTGCAGTGTAAAACCTCAAGGCTTGTCAGACTCGACTGGTAAAAAGAACGTTGAGACGTGCACCTTTGCGACGGATATCATTTCCGCAGCTTCACTCTCGCTCAAGAGCAGAGGCAAGCTGAACCCAAATTCAAGCTCAACGTCCGCGGAAAAGACGTACTGGCCTACAGATTTTCTGCATTGAACAGTCAATTTACAGCCGCCAGTCTCAATTCTTTTTTACGGCATCAGTGTACAGTATTACTAATGGAGGCGTAGAAGACGACTTTACTCACATAGGCAGCACCAGGCTCTGGAAGAAGCCCTTTCTTGATAGATTCCGAGTGCGTCTCGCAGTGAATCCGGAGGTTCTCTTCGAGCTCATATTTGGCCCTTTCATAATTATTCATTGGAACGGCCGTGATGTCCGAGTAGAGGCGTGGGGTATCATCACCGACGTCTTTAGCGAGGCCGACAATATTCCCGAGCAGGTCCTGCATCTGGGACAAAGAAACCGAGGGCCTTCGTTTAGCCATTTGAAAATGTGTAAGGAGGAATGGCAGCTTGAATACAGCTTCCTGACAAGCTCTGAAAAGAAACAAGGAGCATTCCCAGCGAACAAAGGGATGGGGCATCTACCTAGCGCCTCACATGATACGGTATGATATGACTTTTTTATCTTTCCTATCAACTCCATCGTATCCAAAAGAGAAATTTCCATACAGAGATTCATCGTTAACCATGGACATCAATCAGTCCACTGAAAACAAAGAGGGTGGCGAGACGGTGTTGTGCAGCCGCTCCAAGGACATGATGTGATGTGATGACGTCCTCCGACGTGGGTGGACCAGGACGCCTTGAATGGCACGGCGCCTTAGCCTTATCATAGCCAATTGCTCGGTTGGTATCGGTTTGATGGACACTCACTGAATTAAGGGTTGAAACATAGCCAGGGTTGGCAATAACCTGGACAGGGAACTGCAGGGCTGCTGACCGGACGATATTGCGGATGGAACTCCCATTCCAGATATATACCACCTGGGACACCGGGGAGAAAGAAGAATATACAACGAGCCGAATTAAACGATTGCAATCCCCGCGTCCCGAAACGCTGCATATTATTGTAATATAGCTATAGCTATATTGCTGCAGATAACCCAGACAATATAGGACATGAGGCATTAAGACAAGACAAACATAATCTATATCTATCGTTAGCAACCCAAATAGAAATCCGAACACCTCGCCATTGAACCAAAACGCCATCTATGAAGAAAGTGAGTGAGTGGAGTGTCATCATAACCAACCCGATACGCCAATCATCAAAGAGGAAAAAAGAAAGGAAAGAGGAGGTAGTCCTCCTAAGCCGAAGCCGCATCCAACCTCTCAAGCCACCCCATCAGCTCCGCCCTCATGCGAACATTGACCACACCCCCAATCCCATAAGCAGGGACGATCTTCCCCATGCGGGCAAAGCAACTCGCCACATAGTCCCTCCTAATCCTACCAGCACGCTCCCTCCATCCGAGCCCACCCGGCGGCTGACGATTATACAGATCCAATCCGAGCAGATGCATCGGCGTGCTAGCGAACTGCATCAGCGCCGGACAACTGAACTGCGCGATGGCGGACTTCATGGCGGGCGTGGCAGCAATGGAGTCCGGTATTGAGGGCGCGACGAGGGCGGGGATATTGAACGACGCAAAGATCGTGATGCTGTCGCGGAGGCAGAAGAGGGTGTAGGAGACCTTGGGGACTTTCGGTGCGCCGCCTGCTGTTGGAGAGGGATGGCAGGATGCGGGCGTCGTCGATGTGAACAGGCCATTTGATGGCGATTTGGCAGAGGGCGGTTGCGGTGGTTGTGCTTGTGGTTGTGCGTGCGATTGTTTCCCGAATATCCGCGCGAACCGCGCATCCTTGTATACGCATATCCCCATGTTCACTGCCGTCGTCGTAAGGAACTTCGCGGTGTCCGGGAACACGCTCGAGAACGGCTTATCCTTCAGTGTGGACGTGACGGTGTCAATCGTGTTCGCGGTGAGGTAGGTCGACGTGTAGAGGGTGTAAATGAGCAGAAACGGCGTTCCCAGGAAGAAGCCTGATGGTTTTCGTATGATATCTCGGAATGCAGATGTGATCGTGTTTTTGATTGGAACGCCCTTGGCCGCTTTTTCGATGATGGCGCTATACTCGCGTTCCATGTTAGCTGCTGTCTCTTCTGGTCTCAAGGAGCGAGTGAGCTAGTGACGTACCGATCTATCACGGTGATTATGGGACATGTCAAAGCACCGGCCGTTGCTGCACTGACGATATCGACGCCAAAGCGCGCGCCCAGACGGTTCGTGTTCCACGATTTCGACGGTGATGGGATGAGAGCTGCATCTTGAAGTGCTTGCGGCATTCTCCGAAATCCCCTTCTTGATAAAAACTGAATGCGACTGAAAGAGTGTTTACTGTAATAGCAACGCTAAAGAGCAGAAAAAGTACAGATGAACAAATGAGTCACTGGTCTAATTCATGATAAAAAGAATGTTGCGACAATAAATTGGGCAAGGTGAGGTATTATTTTGCCGTCGACTTGATTAGTTGATGATGACACCCGGGGGAGGGTCTGCTCTGGGGACAAGATTGGCCCGGGGCCGGGTGCTCCGATGCCGGCCGGCTTACATCCCGATCTCTCCATTTCAACTACCGAAATATACTCCAAAAGGTTTATACACAAACGCCATTCGCCACGATAATGAGTCATCCATATCCATATTCTTTCGTTAATCCGCTACGCCGACGTCTGCGGCGTGTTCGCCTCAATTCCGTCCAGAGTGACGTTAACCGCGCCAGCTTGCACCAGCTGTAGAATATTAGCATGATCCAGGCAATTGGTTATGCATAACTTACCGCTCGTTGCAAGTCATCAATGAGGTCGTCTACATCCTCAATACCAACACACAGCCGGATCAGATCCTCGGGCATCGCACGCTCCTTTCGCGTCTTCGCATCGATACTGGCGTGGCTCATGCGGCATGGCAAACTGATCAAGCTGTTCACGCAGCCAAAGCTAACACTGATAGCCCACAGCTTTGCGTTCGCGACAATGCGCTCACTGACGCCAACATCACCCGTCTCAAACGAGAGCACGGCTCCAGCTCCTCGGGACATGGAGTTGTGTAGCTCGTACTGAGGGTGCGATCGTAGCCCGGGGTATCGGACCTTGAAACCGTGGTTCTCCAAGAACTCTGCAATGCGCTGCGCGTTTGCCTGCTGCTGGTCCATGCGGACCTTGAGTGTCTTGACTCCGCGCATAAGCAGCCATGAGTCGAACGGCGACAGCCCGCATCCGGAGGCATTGATGGGGAAGTAGAGCCTCTCGCCGAGGGCAGGGTCGTTGACGGCGATGACACCGGCCATGACATCGTGGTGGCCGGATAAGTACTTTGTTCCGCTCTCATAAACGACATCGGCGCCCAGTTCGAGCGGGCTGAGCAGAAGCGGAGACATCATGGTGTTATCCACAATGACCAGGCAGTTAGGGTTCGCCTCGTGCGACGCCGTGGCGATCGTAGGGATATCGACAATCTTGATAAGGGGGTTCGTAGGGGTCTCCAGTAGTACCATGGCGGTCTTGTCGGTCAAGACTTCCTTCACCTTGTCGGGGTTTGTCGTGTCAACGTGGTGGACAATGATGCCACCGTTGGTGGAGAGGTATTTGAGGAGACGGTTGGTTCCGCCGTACAGGTCGTCACCGGTGACAACCTCATCGCCGGGTCGGAGAAGACGGGTGATGACATCGAGAGCCGCCATGCCGGAGGATACGACGAGGGCGCGCTGCGCCGACATGATCTTAGCTAGGTGTCGTTCGAGGTGTGTACGGGTCGGATTGCCGGATCGAGTGTAGTCATACTCGCCGCCTCCCTCGTGGGATGACTGCTTGAATGTTGCGCTCTAGAGACATCAAATTAACTTTCGGGACATTATCTCACAGCAAGGGGTATAGTGTACCTGATAGATCGGGACACTGCTGGCATTGTACTGGTCATTGCTTTCGGTGTAAACAAGCTCGGTAGCGATGTTGTAGCGTCTGCTGCCATGGGGACTCGACGGAGCGGGCGAAGGGGGCAAGTTGTGACCCTCAGCATCGACGTGAGGGAATGCTTTTTTCAACGCACCGGAGGAGGCCGACATCGCTGCGGGGAGAAAGGCGGAGTGGCGGGAGAGGAGAAAGCTGAGAAGACGAAGATACTAGGAGGGGGGAAGAATTGAGAAACGGTGGGCTTCTCGGTCAATTCCTGGAGAAGCACCGGCAATTAAGGAACAAAAATATGTACAAGATCAGGAGAGTGTAAATTGATATTTTGCCTCAAAGAGTCATCTCACCGATCTCGTTTCTCCATGGAGTTTGGGGTTTAGTCATACCCATCCTCATCCCCTGATTGGCTCCCCGGCAAGGGTGCGATGTCGTCATTTCACTAAACCCAATGTGGTTGAGCACGTGAGGCATGGAGAGTAGACGGGGTAATTATGTAGCTGGAGTTGCTTTTCTTTTATATACAGTCATAGGAATAGATTCCCTCAATCTGCCGTCAACTTTCATCATGAACATGGCCGAAATCACACCCTGAAAGGCAGCACAGAACCATAGACACTTGGTGGCCTCCACGACAAGAACAAGTCCGCTGGGTCGTCCCAAATGACGAACAACATCATTAACACCGTCCATTACATCCAGACTCCAGTAAGCAGGAACGCCTGTAAGGCCCAATAGAAGAGCCAGATACAATAACCATGCCATGTCCGCCTTTGCAAGCAAGCACTGAACCAGATCAAAACCCATGTTATACAACAAATCAGGTTAAACCGCCATTTCGCCGAAGCTACCGTTGATACCGAAGAATTGGAACCTGAAAAGAAATTGGTGAGTAAATACACTTTTTTAGAGAATGGGCGACAACGTACCAGTCTTCCACGTTCAGGGTCGTAGGTGCGGTCGGGCCACTGCGAGAGCTGCTGCTCCAATTGTCGTCTTGACTTGCGTGATCCATTCCCGTGCCAGCAACTGCAGGGTCGAGACCTGGCATTTGCCATGGCTGCTGAGGATCCATTCCGTACATATGTTGAGGTTGGCCCTGCAAGCCAATTGCAGGCATACTAGATAGGAGCTCAGGGCTCCCTTGCGTGCCAGGCAGAGAAGTTCGGGGTTGCATCTGCTGGTGCATCATAGACCGCTGATCCATATTATGAGCTTGGAGTTGTGACTGCATCTGCAACTGTGGATCTACCGCCGCATTTTGCGGAGAGGTAAGTTCGGGGAAAATTGCGGTGCCATCAGGGAATAGCTGGTCTGGCTGGAAGTTCTCCCATAGGGAAGGCGAAAGATTAGGCGAGGTGCGCGTAACGAGGAACAAATCAGGTGGTGTTGCAGGTAGCGAGAATTGGTTGTTGAAGGGAGTCGTTGGGCGCGTAGTTGCGCGTGAGTTCCCAGCCACAGGGAGATTATCTTTTGGAACAGTGGGCGATCCTTGGGGTAGGGGCAGGGTAGACTGTGGCAGCTCCCTAGAAGGGGTAGCTGCAGGTGTCTGGGGACGAGATCGCTCGTATGAAACTGGCGGCGTAGGGCCTCCGTTAGGCAGAGCAAACTCCATATCGTCGAACTTGCGCTTCGGGGGAGGATCTGGTCTTCTTGCAGACAAGTGCTGAGTTGATGGGTTAGAATCCGGCTTGGTCCGCTGGTGCCTCTTTCCTGCAGCTTTCTGAAGACGTTCTTCCAGTAACTTGTTGCCTAAGATGGATTCGAACAGGGTGTGCACCATCTTCGCCACGAGCCAAACTTTGGAAACATCTTTGAGCGCCTGCATGCAAATGTTGATCCTTTCCTGGCAAGTAGCGACTACTGTAGGCACTGATGACCGCATCTGGTAAACGTGCATGATCAGAGCCGAGAAAAGACTGTAAACACTGTTTGTCTATTAGCATCGAATAATAGGCAAGTGTAACATCCACGTACATGAATGCCGGTGTATATCGAATCTCGTGGTGAGTTTGCAGATTCTCGACAATCGAGGTGATTATTCCAGCAGCCTGGAAGGCGATGGTGCGTGATGGATATGCCATCTCCTCAACTCGGTAACTGCTGGGTACCGATGATGCCGGTGGCATGTGAGCTCGATGTAACAAGCAAAGCGTGGTGCTATATAGGTTAGTGGCGCGGTATGGATCTAGAGCGATATCACTTACTAATAGTTGGCGTGAAGAAGAGCTGCCCAAAAGTGATGCCGTTGTCTCTGCCAGCAGACCTCCTTCGGGCAGTTCTGAAGCCAGTCCGCAAGCGCCATATCCGAGTGGGTGAGATCCATAGCATTCATCCGCCTCGATTTGGAAGCCACCGAGTACTGCTGCGAAAGAACCAAGCCCATGATTTCGCAGAGCTTCACGTACTGCAGGAAAAATTGTACATGGACGGGATCCGGCGGGTACTCGGCAGCGATGTCGATCTCGTCTTCAACGAAATCCTCTTCTGTAAGCATCTCAACATCCGCGTCATCGGTGTTGATGCATATTGGCCGCCCCAGAGCAACAGCGACAGATCTATCTCGAGTGAAGAGAGTCCACCAGATCCGCTTCCACAAACGCTTGTCAGGCTTGCTGAGTTGCGAGGATTCCACGCTACCGCCATGTCAGTGCCCTGAGACGTCGTACTAGCAGATCAAGCTTACCTGCGATGCATGCCAGAGCCCTGCGCAACGATAATAGCCACCCTTGTCCAGTAGAACACGTTTTTGGTAACATCTGCCCCTATCAGCGAATAGGCCACTACATTCGAATTGATAGCACCCACCTTCCGGGCCCTCCCAGTACCAGCCTAGAAGCACCAAAGCCTGAACGATAGTGACCCTATCGTCTTCGTAATTCGCGTCATATAGAGCTTTTGCTCGTTTGTAGAATGTCATGGCAGCTGGGGTCGTCGAGCCATTGGCATCCATGAGCTGCGGGTTAGTACAGACCCTCGAACCGGCTAGAAGAATGGCTTGTAGGAGTAGTAGAGAGGGAGGATTTTTAGGATCTCGGTATTGGCGCATGAAACGGCTGCGGTTGACAATGGGAACGACTGGTGCAACCCATCTAAAGTAGGCATCCACCAACTCGTCACACAATGGCTTTGGTGGAAGTAAAAAGGCACCGCGTTGGTGGAGGATCTCCAACTCAAGGTTATCCAAGTCGGATATTCTCGCTCGCGATCCTCGGATGTTCGGAGGCAACGGATAATGTACAACGTCGGTCGTCCCATGGCGGTCCTGAACCAGCAACGAAAGATTCGATGACTCGCCCAAATATGCAACCCTTCCAGCTTCCTTTATCGGCGCGCGGGCAAATTTAGGCTTCATGAACTGGGCGTACGTTGAGTTTTGGGAGGCTTGCTGAGCAGCTTGGGCCTCTGTAAGCGTCGTCACAGGCATGCCGTCGGCTGCCATAGCGTTGTTGTTCTGATAACCAAAAGCATCTTTGCCAGGTATCGGTACGGACTCTTCGCGTTTCTCCTGGCTCTGTGATTTGTCGTCGGTATCATCATTCCTATCATCGAGAATAAAGTGGTCAGTCGCGGGCAGGTATAACGGGTGCACGATCGTCCACATACTCGCCGGCTTCTCTCGACTTCGCTTGGCTCTTCTTGCGCTTCGGCGTCGGGATCCTGCATTCGATCGAAAAGGCTACGCAGTTGGTGCACGGCACACCTAAGCTGGCAGCATCGCAACGAACCTGTTCATTGTTACAGACATGGTTAGCTAGTTTACTAAAGGGGCAGCCGGCAGCGGGCAGCTCCCGGTCGCAGCGGGAGGGTCAGAACTCACTTTTCGCGCATGACAGGTCTTTGCAAAACAGCGAACAAAACAGCGTCAGTCATTATTTTTAATGATGGAGTCAGGGTTGGGATGCGCAGCACTAGACCACGACACCCGCGAGCTGGAGCATCTCCAACTCGATGGGCCGAGGTGCCGAGGCTGCAAAAGCTTCGCGTCACCCTGCTAGAAACAAATTGACCTACCTCGCAAGCACGCGACGCACGTTGTCTGCATTAAAAAGCGTCAGATAAATATACCACCGCGACGTTCTCTTGAAGTTTCCCCGCCCGCAAAGTTTGTTTCGAGTCCAGGGGCTCGACTCGAGGGTCCGCGCTCAGTGTTTGCCCAACCCCGCGTCCCTGAAAACCTCAACACCGCCAGATACAAAAGAAAAAAGACCGAGACTCACCTCCTGAAACTCATCTGTCCGTTTGCTCCGGCTCGTACGGCGATTCCTGCAGTACCCGTTGAGCCCGCTGTGCTGGGAGTCGGGCTGGGTCTGGAAGCCGATGGGTCTATGAACTTGTCGCCTGCTGCTGTGCTCATGGCCGGAAAGCGTCCATTCAGAGGATATCGCGACGAGAGGGAGACGAATATTTATGGGAGGGACCTGGCTGGATTCCGGTTCGAGATGGATCGGGGATGGTACGTAGTAGGGTACTTGGTGGAGAAGCGAAAAGAAGCAAAGAGCGGCAGAGTTGCACAGTCGATTCTCGAACAGGCTGAGGTAGTAAAAGTGAAATAAGCAAAAGATGATCGATAAATCCAGGGAAAAGATGAAACCCCGACAAGGCAGAAGGGCTGTTACAGGATGAAAAGATGACAGTGGCCTACGGCGCAGGAGGAGTTAGGTACGGGGGTCGGCGGGACTGCCCTGGATCACTGGGCCCAGCTTCGACAGGACCACGTCCACGAGGCTCGATAACTGGAGAATGCACGAACCAGACGCCACCCAACCGTGGATGGGCTCCCAGTGGTCAAGAAGTAGACGGTTTGTTGTGAAAAGAACAGATTGACGCAGGTGATGGTGAGGGGACAGAGAAAATCCCGGAACGAACAAGGTTCTTCCCACTTGGCTAATTAGGCGGACGCCAAAGAACCTTGAATAAGGACACTGATATTAATCACAGTAAGAAGCACGTTAGAAAACTATATTAATAGGGGTGCGGCAATAATTAGACAGGCCCGACACTCAGGGTTTGTGTGGAGATACCGCTGCGGCCTTATAAATAGTTGGCGTTGATGTCTTACCCTCAGGGTGTTAATAATGTACCTAAGCAGATTCGTCCTAAGCAGATTCCTCCGCGGCGATTGTCACTTTAAGGCCAACACAGAGGATGCATGTATGCACGCCGTTATTTACCCCAGATTAACTGCATGGGCAGCGCCTCCCCTGGATTTCGTCTGACAACCATCATTCTCTGCATTATTTCCTTGCGCATTCTACCAGGAGCTCGACAAGATAAACCTCAAGCTTTTCTAATCTATGCTCAATAATTCCACTCCACAGTGGGCTGCCATAGTGCCAATTTTCCAGGCACTGCATAGTAAGCACGGAGGACTTACTACACTAGTATAGAGCCGCTGTCTAAAATATGTGAAGCACCAAATTTCGATATTCGAAACACTCAGACTAGGAACTGGGCGTGGCAGCGGTAAAATCATGAATCCTGCTCTAGTAGTCCGCTCACGGGAATGTTTATCAAACAGCCCGATGGGACAGGTCAACCTAAATCTACATCGACCGGAGTACACGATCTATCCCTCATGCCTCAAACAACGGCTGCGGATCTGCAACACATCGGGGTTAGATTGGAGCCGGAAGTTGAAACATGAGACCGGACCCTTGCCTTGCCTGGATATAGCCGCGAAAGTCAAGATAACTGCTGGGCCAGGGACCTTGGTGGAGCGGTGGCCACAATCCGCACAGATGCCATGCCATCAAGATCGGTATGAAACCAGAAGGCAAATCCCGGGATCCACGCAGATCCATGTCTGGATTGCGATGGTAATACCAGTGGTTCAGCGTGTCATGTCATCTTGTTAGCCCTTAAGTTCCGGTTGCCCAATGCTCGTCTTATTGCCCAGTGCAAGGTTCACCAGGAGACAAAGGGCGTCATCGACCTCATTCCGGATCACTGTAACTGGCAGTAGTGACAACCATGGTCTATGCTCGAGTTCTCTCCGCACTGGCCTGTGTCACTGCCACTGGCTACACGGAAATTCGCGGGTTCACGAGCACGCGCCCTGTCATACTCTGTGCAAGCCATAGTCCACTGTTAGCCAAGTTGGGTTAGGGACATATTGACTAGACAACCTGACAAGTGACAAGCTGATGGGCTGCGGCGGGATCCTTGGTTGCGGGATTGAAGCCGGGAGTCCCGTCATGACAGTTCAAAGTTGGGGTGTACGGAGTACCAGGACTACCAGCACCTTGTCAGCCACATCATACTGCCAGCTGGGCATGAGCTGGAAACCAATGAGATTCCCAAGCTCGCAATTCCTGCCATATTAAGCGCAGGTTCCCCGCAAATACACATCCGTACGCGGATGGCCTAGGAAGACGGCCGTTCCTGGATCCTTCCCCGGATGTAGACGGAGCAAACTGCATATATAGAGGCTTGTCCGCCAGCTGGGGACTCGCGACACAAACCGATCTCAGCCTAGGCGGGAAGTGACTCCGGGGACTGGCGAGGCTCCATCTGATTCTGGAGGGTTGGAAGGAGTGGTCTGGGCGGTGGAGCCTCAGTCAAACATCCATGTCGTCATTCGCTCGTGATACCTCGGCTATTTTGTGCTGCTGATCAGGACATGGTCAACACACTATAGGACCGAGTAAACAGTTGCTGTGAAATGAAGCACGGAAAAACCTCCATAGACAAATTGAAAGGTAAAAGGAGATCAAATATGTCTTATCTGACGAGATGGCAGGGAAGACCTTAGGAGCTTCCTTTCCCTTGTTACCTAGTGCAGCCCTAACCTACAATATAAAAGAGCCGTAGTGTGACGAGAAGTGAATTAAGCATTATAAACAGGATATCTATCTATGTGAGAATGTACATGGCATGGCATCAAGAGGCGATGAGAAACGCGTCCGACAAGCCATGGCCTCTTCATTGTTTATCCTCAACGTCGTCAAGGATACTCCTCTGAACTCCAGACGCGGTCCCGTTGGCAGTGTTGGCAACAGACGCCGTGATTGCGCTGGTGCCGGTTTCAAAGTCAACCCCACTGGTGAACACTTCACTGAGAAATTCAAGTACAGCAACAAATGTGCACAGGAAACTAGCAATGCAGAAGTGACTGATGGTGGTGCCGATGTCGAGCCAAGAGCCCTCGTCCCGAACCATGTAGAAGAAGTTCAGCGTCATGACATCGGAAATTGCCATGACCACCATGAATAGGGCACTCGGAGCTACCTCCAGGCGACGGTTAAGAATACCCAAGTTCGCGCTAATGATCGCGAATGGGATGAGCAGCTTGAGGACCAATAAGGCGCCCTGGCTGAAGGGACTGAACACCGGGATGAGTCGATTAACACTTTCCAGAGAGAATGAGGATATCGATGCGATATTCCCGGTGCTGAAGAATCCGGATTGCAAAAGGAAGAAGAAGAAAAGAGCTACACGAGCATCTGAAACACTGAGTACACGGAAGCGGTATGTTTCACCGTTTACAACTGCAGTGGCGTTTGTGCTTGCATCTTTAGGTGGTTCAGATGTCTCTTGTGCCCGCTTGGCGAGGGTCGCGGTGTAAACGTAAGTAGCGTGTTCCAACCGGACCCACGTAACCAGGGTCAGGCAAAACACAAAGTAGAACAGACCCTCGTATGATATGGTGAGGATTATGAAGGTCGGCGAGAACGTCAGGAAGATGATCATTAGACGGTGTAGGTAGTGGCTGTTGGGATATAGTCGGTGGGAAAACGGTAATAAAAGTGACGCAACTAATAAAGCATGTCAGTCGACGAGTCACAAAGCTGGAGCAAGCTAGATAAGAAGGGTTTCATACCGAGAACAACCCATCCGACTACCTGGTTTCCGAATGGAAGACCTTGCCTCGCTTGAAGCGAGGCCGCACTTGATCTTGTTACAATCAGCGCGAGCAAGACCATACCAAGCTACTATACGTCAGCAAATATGGAACAAGTTTGCGGCATTCTTCTAGGTGTTTGAACACCTAGATAGATGTTGTTTCCGTACCTGCATTCCCATGATGTTCCGCGAACCCTTTCGAGAGACAGCAGCGGCCTGGCAGTTAGACCCAAGGATGTCATCTTCAAATAGTAGATATAGCAGACCAGTGAGCAACATCAGAGCCCCGCCGTAGGTTCTGTAGCAATCAATGAGACAAGTAGAACCTCCGCAGACCGGCAATGCACTTACATTGTGTCGATATCTTCAACTTTGTTGGCAGGCAGTAGAGTAAAGGTGCTCATAAGAAGGCAGCCACCAGCCCATGTACCGCAAAGTGCTGCATGCTGTCGCAAGAACGAAAGGCCGTAAAAGATGGGCCAGAATGCTCCTAAAATGAACAAAACGGTGTAAACCTCTCTCTGGAAGTAAGAATGCACCTATGCACCCTGTGTCAGAGTTTGTTCTGTTCAAAGAGAAAGAGCAGCTTACCAGCGCTTCCAATACGCCCACAAAAATCAACAACTGGAATCCGAAAGAGAAATGATCTCCTACTGTACGAACGTGACCTAAAAGGATCGCCCGCCCAGCATGAAATGCCTTTCTCCGAGCGAAGACCTCTTCCCAGAAGAAAATCGGAAAAAATCCATAAAGGTAATACCTCCACGGCGAGCTTTGGTACAAAAAGACCGAGAACAAGGCCACGAGGATTGAAGAGAAGAAACTAGTACTAGCTGTCGTTCTGTTTGATTCTGAGGTGCCGTGCAGGACGTGGAGATCAATGACAGTCGTCAAAGCATATGCAATCCACCCCACATAGCCGAAAGTCACAATGGTCCTCAAGAAGAGCCAGTCATACGTCTGAAGATAGCGAAGCCCTTCCAGAGCTGTTACGAACAAAGCCGCGGACTTCTCGATCGCATCTTCGTAGGAACCGCCATCAATCAAATCCTTGATCATCGAGAGCTGCTGCTCCGGGGAATGCTCGCCGTCGTTTGCCAGTGGTTCAAACGCCTGATACCGAAGTAGGGCCGCCTTCTTGTGTTCTTCCTTGACGTGATACATTTCCAGGACCTCCTGCGTGTTGGCCAAGGCTGCTAAGGCCTTATCCTTTGGGGTACCATCAATGTACTCCAGAGGAAGCTGGCCAACAGAATTAGTAGGAAAGTCAAGCCCGACCAGGTAAGCCATGAGAGCAGCAACATCGGCCTGCGCAACATCATTCCTTTGAACCTGCTGCAAGTGCCAATCGGCCGAGACTCTATCCTCATGCCCTGAAGGAACGCCAGGCATGGGTTGCTTTGGCGCCGCAACTCCAGACCCCCAAGCGACCAGAGGTGTTCGCGTATTGTCGGGATGCCCATCTCCGTGACTGCCCCAATCGCTCATGCCATGATCCGCGGTGAACACGAATGCTGTCTTGTCGTCGCCGTAAAAGTTCTCCACGAGCTGTGTAATTTCCTTGACTCCTTGATCGACTAGTTTGATGTTGCGGAGGTATTCCTTCGAGTAAGGACGGAATCCGTGGCCCGTAGTATCTAGTCCAAGAAGATGTAGGAAGAAGACATTCTTATCCTGGCGTAACTTGGCATCCAGCTCCGGATCACTCTTGGCGGACGCAAAAAGGTCCTTCACCTTGTCAAATACCCATACATCGAGAGCCCTTGCGTCGCTCGAGAAGTCCTCCGCTTCCTCTCCGTATGTATCCGCATCGACCCTTCCAGGCACAGCGCCCTCCTTAAACATCAGAAGGATGTCAGGACTCCCCCAGCTCCACGTATGCCTGCTCCGGTTGAAGACGCTATCGAAATTCACGGGGTTCAACTTCCATCCTGTCGTAACAGCCGAGACATCCTCGTACAATCCGGCAATTAAAGCAACATGTCCAGGGCGCGATTCCGTTGGGACTCGAGTATGGGAGATTCCGAAGGTGCCGTGGGACAACACGCGTGATCGAATAAAAGGAGCAAGGTAAGTCAGTTCGTCGCTGTTCGAGTCTTCAGGAAGGTCCGGGTCGACTGATAATTCGAATGCCTTGTCCGCGCGCAATCCGTCTGCGACAAACAGGACGAGACGTTTGGCTGGAGCTTCGGCGCCGGGCTCCCGCTCCACGCGATAAGATTGCATTCCGCTGACGATTGGACTAACGAAATAAATGTCAAAGATTGAGTAGGCATATATCAGGTGAAAAATCACTGCGAGGGTAAGAAACCCCGTGCGGCCGAGACGCGCCATGACTCCTCTCTCCAGTATCCCCAAGAGGGAATGGGTAGGGGACTGAAGAGATCAACTCGCACAACGACAACTTCAGAAGCTCAATTGGCAAGAGAGAAGGAGAAGGGAAAGCGGGAGGGCATTGGCTCGGTCGTTGTTTGTCGACGGCTTGGGAACAGATGGCACTTTTCTTAACTTCCAAGGTCGATGAGCTTCGGGGAACTTGGGGGGTTGACTGACGCTGGGCCAATAAGACGCGCGGCACGGCATCCACCTGCGAGTGCGACGCTTACTCTAGAACAGCGGAACTATACAACCCATAATAATCGATGATTATACTGCCAACGCTAGTAAGAACCCTGGTGCTCAAAAGACCTAAGATGGTTACTTTTACACAAACACCGAAACTAGCAGCAGGCCAATTTGCCAAAACTGATATGCAAAAACGCCTATCCTCCAACTCCTGGCAATGCAAATCCTACTTTTGCAAATTGTCCAAGCCGGCTTGTCCAACCCTTTCCTGTAGTAAGACGTAGATGGAACACAATGAGTTAGCTACCTTGACTTTGCCGTCGCTTTGTAAGCGCGTCCATCACCCGCGTGTAGAACTTGGAAGCCTGCTGGCGGACAAAAGTAATGTCCACTGTAAGGTATTCTGGGAGAATATCCACCAGATCTCGGTCCCGGTTCTCATCCAAGAGAGGAACGTACTGGAACTCCGCCGTCTCGAAATCTGCCGGCGAGGTATGAGGGACAACGAGATGGAAGTGAAGAGCTATCTTGCAGTCAGCATAGAACATCACTGAAAAGAGCGAATAGTACTTACTCCCATTGACGCCGGTTTGAATGCAGTCATATAGATTGTCGTCTTCCCTCTTCTTCACGTCGCGAACTATAAGACCCGTGAGGTCACTGTAGAGATCCTCCTTGAGCTGCGCGAATTGTGCAGCTTGCGCGGCTTCAGCATTGGCGGCAGCAGTCGCTCGGTTGATGCCACCCTTGATAGCACTGCCAGGAGGCTTCAGGACAGCCTGTTCGAGTGAAGCAGCCGTGTTGCGCGCAGCAGCAAGCTTCGTTTGCAGCGCCTTGACTTCGGACTGGGCAGCGGCGAGTTGACTGGCCGACTGCTCGGCATCTTCCGCTAGCCTAGCTACTTCTGCGTCTCGTTCGCGCAGTTCTTTCTGAAGCGCGCGGCTCTTCTGGCCTAGGGCCCTCTGTGCCTCCAGCTCGGCTTTCAGGGAGTTGACGAGGTTACTCGACGCTGGGAAGAGTTTGGTCAGTTAAAGGGGCATCTCGAGCATCCACTTGGACATACCGTTTGCCATGGACTCGCATTGCTTCTTTAATTTTTCCATGTTAGCATTCGCCTCAACAATCCCTATTTCCTTCAAGGTACGATATCTGTTCTCGAGAGTATCATATTTCTTGGTGAGATCACCAAGCCTACGCCTCAACTCGGGCTCGGAGCCCCTCTCATCTCCACTTCCGGACTTTCTCTTCGCAGGAGAGCTCTGGAAGGGCCGTGAAGAGGATTGCCTCCGCTTTGCAGGGGATACAGACATGAACTCCGGCGCTTCCTCCTGAAGGATTGTCTCTTCAACGACTTCCTGAGCTGTAGGTTGAACTTCAGGTGTCTCCTCGCTCGCCGTTGTCGCCGACTTGCGGCGTTTTCGACCGGTGGGCTCGGCTGGCTTTTCAGGTTCCTCAATCACTTTCTGCTGTCGCGCACCAGTCGGAGTATACTGAAACTCGCCGTCGGTCTCTATATGTTTTTGCGCGGCAGTTTTCTTCTTGCCGCGTGCAGCGCCTCCTTTTGTCGCTCTCGTAGATCTCGCGGGCTGCGCAGTCTTTTCGGACACAGCGGCCTGTTCACCACCGTCTGTCTCCTGCGCGGCGTCCTCCTGTCCAGCGCGCGCAGGCTGGTCTTGGTCTTCCGGGTTGTCGAGCGCCATCTGCCCGGAATTCCTGCTTCCCTTCGGGCGCCCCCTTCTTGTCCCTCTCTTTGTTGTTGGTTCGGGCTCCTGCGTTGCTGGGATTTCATCTTCAGCAAGTGCCTTCATTTCTGCTGACTTCGATCGAGGCCTGCCCCTCGTCTTTTTCGTCGGACGCTCATCGTGGTTCTGCGCGCGATCGGCACCGGATCGCGACACATCTTCATCGTCAGTGCCTACTAAGCCAGAAAGCCTCGTAGTCGCTTTTCGTTTCGGCATTGGAGGCGGTTATATAAATTGAATAAAATTAAAGTGAATTTATATATGGAGGGCGTAGTCTTGCACACACGACAACACAACGCGACAAAAGGCGGAAGCGGAGCGCGCTCAAAACACCGGGGCATGTGACGCGCAAAGCCACACCTTCGGGCCGTGGGGATTGCGGAGCGCCACACCTGCTGTCGCCGACAACTTGGAATCCGGCCGACAACCACGCTTCCATTCCTCCATATCACATCGCGCTCCGGTTTTTGGAACTCATTGCTGCTGTATTTAGGAAGGCTAGTTGGACCAAAACTTACTTCTTTCATTCTGTTCCACCAGGGTTACCTCTTTCTATCTTGGTATTTCCCGGCCTAATCCGCCGTCGGGTGACAACTTGATTATGGCCTCAGCTCGCAGCACACGATGGCAGCAAATACAAGACCTGATCATGATAGCAGGGACAGTGAGTTTATTACAGTGTCTGATGGTTCCTATTGACGATTTTCACAGTCAGCCACTGCATATTTCCTGGTCCGCCATCTCCTATCCCGCCTTGATTTCGACCCGGACAAGCAGAAGAAGGAGGAACAACAACGGAAATCGGCCGCGATCTTACGAAGGCTGGATGGAGACAAAGATGAGGCTACAGACGGAGCTGGAGAAAAGTCACGGAAAGGCGACCTTGTTCTCAACCAGTACGAACAAGCAATTGCGATGGACGTCGTGGCCCCGGAGGACATTCCCGTATCATTTAAAGATATAGGTGGGCTCGAAACGATCATCGACGAGCTGAAAGAGTCCGTGATATTTCCCTTGACGATGCCCCATCTTTACGCTTCTACATCTTCCCTTCTCACAGCGCCTTCTGGCGTCTTGTTATACGGCCCTCCCGGTTGTGGAAAGACCATGCTTGCGAAAGCGCTTGCCCACGAAAGTGGCGCCTCCTTCATCAATCTCCATATATCTACGTTGACAGAGAAGTGGTATGGCGACTCCAATAAGCTTGTGAACGCGGTCTTCTCGTTAGCCAGGAAACTACAACCTTCAATCGTTTTCATCGATGAAATAGACGCAGTGCTCGGTACCAGACGGAGTGGCGAGCATGAAGCGAGTGGTATGGTCAAAGCAGAGTTCATGACACATTGGGACGGATTAACCTCGGCAAACTCTAACGGCGAGTCGCAGCGGGTGGTCGTGTTGGGGGCCACGAATCGGCTGCAGGACATTGACGAGGCTATTCTCCGTCGTATGCCTAAGAAGTTCGCCGTAGATCTGCCACCGGCCGAGCAGCGTCTTCGAATTTTGAGCCTCGTACTAAAAGACACCAAGATTGACCGCCAAAACTTCGACCTACACTATCTGGTCAAAGTGATGGCGGGCATGTCCGGTAGCGATATTAAGGAAGCTTGCCGTGACGCCGCAATGGCGCCAGTCCGAGAACTTATTCGGCAGAAGACAGCACAGGGCGCCCAGATCAAATCCGTTGATCCAGGCGAGGTTCGTGGCCTACGGACCGAAGATTTCTTCACCAGCGCTGGCGGACTCCAACAAACGGTCGTCACGCCTGCCACACAACGCCAACAACTAGAATTCGGCTCTGAAAAGGAGTGGAGCACAGAAGATGAAGCGACCTCCGAGGGTGGCAAGCGGCCTTCTAAGTTCACTGAGCCCTGTGACTGATAAGATGGATTGTACCATCGTCAGTCTATGTGTGCTAACTGTATATATCTGTAAGGTTGTTCGTCCCAGCTTGGTTACGACATTTCCACGATCAACGATTTTTGTGACCTCTCATAATACCCCAACGGCAGGATATCCTATTTTATCCTGTATATGAGTCCATCATTATTCTCTAAGGACCAGCACGTTAGACTTGTGTATAGAGGGACTAGTTTGCTGTGACGATTCCAATCCAATGCATAACATATAATTCGGTGTGATGCATAGCGAGGGCTCCGCAATCCCCAATCCTGTGCGATATATTCTCTATAGACTCGAGCCGTAGAAGTATTATTGCAGGCTTTATGATCCATATTGGACATGTCCAATACCCAGGTGAACCCTTTGACGAGGATCATCTAGCAGGCATATTAGATACGGAAGTAGAGTGTAGCTGACCTGGCCCCGGGACGCTGAGAATAAGGCTGGAGCGGGCCATTGACGTAGCTTACTGTATCGTACCGGTGAGAGGCCGAGCTCATTAATGCAATCAATGAGCTTAGATCAAAGAGTGAATGTAAAGTTCATCAACCAACATTTGAGCATCATCGTCCAATTTCTGGATTGGTGTTGTCGGAATCTCCAGCCCTACTCCGTACCTCGACAACTGTTGGTTTGAAACGCCGTGCCCCCACTAGGTAAACGAGTCGTCATCCCCAGGAGTAGCTACTCCTGCCGCATCCCGCAACCTCCACTACTCCGGACTGCTTGCTCAACACTTCGACGCCCTCGAGGCTTTCCTTTATCGACTTGAAAGACTCGTGTCGACTCCCCTCTGATTTACAGTTTCCCTAGACACCACGGCCCGACTTCCACACGCACCAGTGGAACCCAAGGCCGATAAGGACACGTCCGACACGGATGGGAGGATACAGACACCGGAATGCTCTAGTATAGGGGCGACCGATGGCAAACCGTGCCCCGGCAGTCTCCGACGCAACAATATACACTTTCCCGATTGCCAACGGCACTGCCTTTCTCTTGAACGCCTCTCTCCAACCTCTCTCCAGGGATGAGTTCTCGAAGCGGCTCCGCCGATACCTTCACTCAACGATCTGCTTCTACTCTCCGACCCCGCCGATTGATCTCGTTAGATGATTTTAGAGACGATAATGGGGGACACCCTTCGTCCTCCGGTCTCTCTACGAGACCATCCTCAGATTCACCGGCGCTTCGCTCCCGTGGCGCGACACCCTCCCCTCGACCGTCGCGGACCGTTTCTCCCATCCCCATGGGCCACCCTTCGCGAGCTACACAACCTCGCAGCGGCTCCCGGACCGGGAATTCATTAGGTGGGTCTACGCCCAATGGAAAATACCAGGATCCGTTTGCTGAGTCGTCGCGGGCTGCTGTAGACTTCTTAGATGCATCATGGTCATCATTGCAAGGTCTAGCGTCATCGCTTTTAGGTAGTGATACTGCGCCGCCGACATCGAACGGAGCTCCGCGATCCCATGCCCGGAAACCGTCAAGACCCGATTATTTCACAAAGCCGCGAGCGCCGTCAGCTCCCACATGGGGCCCCTCGGGGCCAACAACGCCAGAAATCGGCACCGGGACTCAAGAAGAAAGACAAGCGATGGTACAGGCGAAGAAGATGGAAGCTTTACTACTGGCCGACACAGATCCGAGCTGGAGTCTCAATTCACGGCATAAGCGGCGCGATTCTAATGACCGAGCAGATCAGTCAGGAATGGATACGGACCAAGATGAAGAGGCGCTGGTGTACGTACATCAAGTCCAACCGACTGACACTATCACTGGCGTCACGATACGGTATGGATGTCAGGCGGCGGTCTTCAGGAAGGCCAACGGGTTCTGGCCCAGCGATAGCGTACAGGGTCGGAAAACAGTCCTCCTGCCGGTCGACTGCTGTTCAGTCAAAGGGCGGCCTGTACAAGCCAGGGAGAACATTGATATTTTGCATGAAACCCCCAGTCGTCCGTCTATAGAAGACCCAACCGGGAGTTCAATCGTGCCTGCGCCCTCGCCTAGAACATCCACTTTCTCAGAACAAACAAGTACTGAGCCGGAATCTGAAAGTGACCAGATGTGGAAACACGAGTCCTGGGTGCAGATTGATGGATTTCCTGAACCTGTGGAGATTGGCCGTGTTCCTCGGCGCGCGCTGGGCTTCTTTCCCCGCAGTCGACGGAAATCACTTGGTTATAGTGACGGCGAGCCTGTCCGAGGCCGGCTACAAACACCAACCATATCCGTTGCTTCTTCGCCTATTGATTCACTTTCTCCACCTAATGATAATTCGAATGACCGACTCCACATGGGCTCGCCAGCGCCCCATGGTCCTGGCAGTAAGACGAGGGGTAAGCATAGACGCCGACCAAGCGGGCTTGAGCTTTCAGGGACTGGTGTTGGTACTCTTGACCGCAGTGTCAATCTACCCGGGCCAGCGATGGATGGTCTCAGCAAGTTCTTCGCCCAACACATGCCGAACTTGGCACCAAAACAAGCTCCGCCAAACTTTGACAGTCTCAGCGGAAATTCAACGACCGCCGCCTCTAGCAATTCCACCAGTCTTGATAGCATAGGCGGTGCCGTCGAAGGTTGGGTTAGGAAGATGACTGCTCGAGCAAGAAGCAGCATCAACGATCTACAACAGGGGACTTCAAGCCCTCAGGACCATGGCTTAATAAACCCAGAACCCGGACGACGTGGGTTCGGCGATCTTATAGAACTTGACGATGGAGTGGAATCGCGGGATTCGTCCGGTCTCCTGGCCGGACCAAGTTGGAAACCGAGCCTCAACCGATCTGGCTCCAGTTATACCAACGGAGCAAACCTGAGGGGGCGATTCCCTAGCGCCTCGCCTAGTACGAGCAGGACTCGCACTGGGGTTAAGGACGATTAGAGATGATTACGTCCCATCATACATCATGCACGACGCCTTAATACATCGTTTGATACCTTGCCACCCGAGATATAAACCCGTTTCACCCTTGACGCATAGCACGGCGTAGCAGGACCTGCTTTGGCTTCATGCTTTGATATCAGGATATGTGCTTTCTCTGTTTCATATTGTGTACCTAGATGATGGGGTCCACCTTGATGGCCTCAACTCTCTATCTATCGTCTAGCATGATCTGGTAGCCGCCGGACGTGCCCATTGCTGAAGGCGTGTACGCTAGCTAGAATAATTCGTCTTGTTATGGCGGTCAAGCTATTCTGTGCCTGAAGAAATCGTCTTGCTAGTCTGCAGACAAGCCTGGGCATGTTGATCCGGATAAATTGGTGTCCGCAAACAACCAGTCAATCCGCTTCTCATCCCCAACTTCTTCCACCTATGATCTTCTTTCCCCCGCAAGGAATCCCCAGTTTCTTCCTCCATTTTGCGGAGCTCCCCATCAAGATGGAATTATCTAGCAGCCATAATCCGACTTTCTTTCCACCATTCTCCACCGGAAACCAGTCATTACTCTACATAATTCAGCCAAAATGCGGCAGCGCTTATTCCATAAGTACGCCCAGGTCGCCGCCAATTCCTCCTTGGCTCCTCAAGAAGCGAATAGAGGGCTATAAACATTGAGCATGCGGTTCTGTCACTCAACACTCCCCTGGCTGGTCCTCCTGGCTACCGAGAGCCTACTACCTCTCCAGAGCTCTGCATACCCCTTGAACTCTAGCTCCAATCCGATCGTGACCCTTTCCAATGGCTCCAAGAGCAGTACAACCTTGATAGGCCGATCACTCCCCGAGTTTGATCAGGAGCTGTTCCTCGGAATCAAGTATGCAGACAAGCCGGTCAGATTCACACCCTCGTCTTTGAAAACAGCATACGCTTCTAATGATAGCGATTCGGGGCCTGTTCGCCATTCTTCTGCCTCTGCACGGGGCAATGTGCTCTACAATGCCTCGCAGTACGGCTATGACTGTCCTGGATATGGGTCTGACACGACGACGCTCCTGGCAGCCGGTTTGATTGAGTTGAATGAGGATTGTTTGAATTTGAATGTCATTCGGCCGAGGAGGGATGAAGATGACGATTTGCTGCCAGTTTTGGTGTGGATATTTGGTGGTGGATGGCAGCAGGGTGCTACGGCTGATCCGAGGTATGTTATGCTTTGAGTACACTGAACCGTGGCCGGATGGACCGATATGGGGTGTCTGCTAACACACTCGGCAGATACAACATGACGTATATAACCCGGCAAGCGGCACTGAGCGGTAAGCCTATACTAGGCGTCTCAATCAACTATCGTCTTGCTGCGTTTGGGTTTCTGGACTCGGAGGAGGTTAGGGTACGTCTTGTCCCGTGTCACCTTGAGATATCGACTACTCAGATACTCATTGTTGCCTAGGCCTCTGGAAATAACAATCTAGGGCTTCTCGACCAACGGGTTGCCATGCGTTGGATCAAGAACAATATCGAGGCTTTTGGAGGCGATCCTGATAGAATAACGATTTGGGGCGAGTCAGCGTAAGACAAACTATACTTCCAATCCTTAAGCATTGACCCTGACCGAGAGCAGGGGCGCATATAGCGTAGGCGCGCACCTCGTCGCCAATGATGGTGACAACGAGGGTCTATTCAGAGCAGGTACTTATCGTCCCCTGAATACGGACCCTTGAGCACATGTTGATCAAAAACAGCAATTATGGAATCCGGCAATGCAGTCGGGCCTCCATGGAACGGCACAGACTGGCATCAGCCGATGTACGACCGGATCGTGGATGCAGCAGGGTACTTCCCATTCCCGTCCATGCTTTATTTAAGTAGACCTGCTAATGTACACCACAACAGATGCTCAAGCTCATCAGACACACTGCAATGCCTCCGAGAGGTCCCTTTTGACACCCTCTACGCAGTTGCATTTGAAAATCTAGAATGGTTTGCCGCAGTCGACGGCACATTTATTAAAGAATATCCGCAAATTAGTACGGTGAAAGGACGTATCGCGAATGTCCCTATCCTCCTCGGGTCGAATACAGACGAGGGAGTCAGTTTCGGGACCACGGGTGTTGACACGGACGAGGAATGTGTTGCGCAACTTATTTGTAGGCACCCCCTCCCATCTCCCACTTCCTTGCCCTGTAATAAGGGAAAGACTGACAACGCTGACTAGCATCGAAACGATGGGTCCTAACAACCGAGCAAGCAAGTGAATTGATAACATACTACCCAGACGACCCGATCGGATCTCCTTATGGCTGGGGCAACGTCACATGGCCTGAAAAGGGGCTGATGTATAAGCGGTACTCGTCCATGGCTGGCGATATAACAATGGCCGCGCCGCGTCGTCTCCTGGCGGAAACCATGTCGAAATATGAGAAGTCCGTGTATTCGTACCGCTGGGACGTTGCGGCTCTGAACCAGTCTAGTAACATCGGGGTGAATCATTTTGCAGAGGTGCGTTTGAGATTCGAAACCTATAATCCCCTCATGCTTTGGGGATGGACCGGCAAGACGTACGCTTATGCTGATAAAATTCACTAGATCCCCTTCGTCTTCGCAAACCCTGTCCAGGATATCACGCCGCTTGGAGATGATCCTGCGCGCCTTGAACTTGCGAATTTAGCTGCGCGTATGTGGGCATCATTCGTGACGGACCTAGATCCGAACGGACATGGTTGTACGTCTGCATGTTTTTCTTGTCTTTGGGAGTTACTAACCCTAGCCAGTATCCGATATCCCACAGTGGCCTGAGTACTCGGCCTCGAGCGACCCTTCAAACTTCGTCTTCCGTCTTCCCAGAGACGACAGCTACGTTGAGAAGGATGATTACCGGGTTGAGGGGATTGCATATCTCAATACGATTCCGCGGTAAACGGGAGGATGATGGATGTACAGCTGGGACAGTTCGTTGGTCTGTACCTGATACCCGTTCTATGGCAGCGTCATTACTCTGATGCACCATACCGTGCGTTAGGGACTTTGGTCAAGGTAACAAAGCTTTAGCATACACCAATAGACCGTAAAAACAGGCCAGTCCTTATACTCCAACAGAGCGGAAGAGCAACATATCTGCGTTGCCCTAGACTACAATGCATATATTCCCATGTCCATATGCAACGCGCTCCTGAAGACATGGTACAATTTAATATAGCACATGAAAATAAAGAAAGCCCAACTAGAGCCCGCACCGTAATGCCGATATCAGCTGTAGGGCTCAGCTTTGGTAGTAGCCTTTATAATCTTCTTAAGTTCCACCTCACTGCGGCACATACTGTCAGCATGGACATTCGTCTACTGTCTCCAAATAGCCCTTTCTCAGAGAAACTGAACGTACAATACAAGCCCTGAATCCGGGGGTATCAGGCCTGGGAATCCGCTCTGGCCGTAGCCATAGTCGCTATGTCAGTGTCAGTACTCTATAGAGAAACTAGTTGGTAGAGGTAGAGGAGAGGAAAAGCTGGAACAATCAGCATTCCCATACCTGGATATCGTCAAGATCGCTTTCTCTCCTTCTGTCATCTGCTGCACACCTTCGTCCCAGCCTGTTGCTCAGATAGAGTACCATTTCAGTCACTTCCTCCCTCTCTAACCATGATCTCGGGGCGCGATGTACTCGGTTCCATACCTGGTATCACTTTGCCCACCCCAATCTCCGTCTTCAAGGGCCCGCGGCCTTGTGATGTATCGAATCTAGTGCATCGTAAGATCAGCTAGTCGAATGGAACGGTTAATGGGATAATCTGCGCACTGCGTCCCCATGTAGAACTCCTTCTCCCCACGTTCTTCGTCATATAAGCATCCCCTATAGTCGATGATCACGGTATCGCCGGTTCTTGGGTGATCGCGCCCGTTACCTGGCTGCAGGAGGGTTTTTGATACGCCTCGCGGCGGGTTCATCTCTTTGCCGTTGTGCTGTGCTGAGAGGTGTATATACGACAAGATAGAAGTGGAGACTAAGAGGGAGGATGGGGGCAGGAGAAAGTGATAAGGGAAGTCTGTTGAAATTAATGAATGGACAAATTCTTAGAAGTGCCGGATAATTTCGGTGAGACTAGGGCTCCGGCGATGGTCTTCAGCAGGGTTTGTTAAATTGCATTCGTCTACGGAGTATGCCGAGGGCACGTAGTATGGCGCGATGGAGCAGAACCCGGGAGATAGGAACCTACACGCCTATACTCATTTAGGGAGGTAGTAGGCGAGTCTGGTACCCATGCAGATTATGCGGGCGGCAGTTGGCTTGAGGCGAGTGGTGCTAACGGAAGGATGCGATGCCGTGATCCTGCGGTGTGGTGGGATGTGGATCGGCAGCTTCCACGTTGTATCTTCAAAGCCACGGACTCGGATCTACAGGTAAGTGAGTCTACTGACGGTTCTTTGTTGAATAGTGGGAATGAATGCAAGGCTGGCGCGTGAGATCATGACATTGGCTGGTCATATGTGGAAGGTGCAGCGTCTGCACGAGACCAGGGCCGTGCCCGCAAGCTAGGTAGATAAGGCCATCCGGTGCTTAGCTCGCCTGCCAGAAGGCCATCTTCTTCATCTCCTCCACGGAGATTGATCTGACGACCGTCCCGGGAAATCTGCTGTCCACTGGGTTTTGAGTTTCGGCTTCGCTGCCGAGATCGAGATAATGCAGCATCGAAATGTCCGTCTTCGTCTCAATGAATTCCAGCACCCGAGCGTAATTCAGCCCAACCTGATCCAGACCGTGGCTATCATCGGAGAGACAGAACCGGCCGCCACGAGCCAAGAACTCCTGTCCATTCGATTAGAACTCGAACCTATGTTACGTGCATGCGCTGTAGTACAACGCATGACGGTATCGAGCAGATGCCGAAGCAAAAACAAACTCACCTGGCAAATCTCAGCCTTGGGATAAGGCTCGCTCATGCCCTTCCGCAGGGCTGCAGAGTTCAGCTCCAGAATGCCCCCATACCCAGCCACGTAGTCCAGGTTCCGAAGGATCCTCTCCCAAACACCGCGCCACTGCTGAAAGCTCCGCTCGGGATCGTCGCTCTTCAGCCGGATGAGATCAAAGTGCCCGACTACTACAGGCTTCAATTGCTGTAGCATATCCAGCTGCTCATCAAAGAAGGCCTCGAAGAGCTTCTCGTCCGTCCCGCCCGCTAGATCCCGTGCCTTTTCGTACATCTCCCGGTCGTAGTCGATGGGGACGGTCTTGGTGTGGTGGATCGAGCCCATGAAGAACTCGAACGGGAGCGCACGCATTGAGGTTTCAACCAGGGCCCGTGACTCTGGCCGGATCCAGTCGCATTCGAAGCCAATTACAATGCGGATCTGGTCTGCATATTTCTCTCGCAGCCGGGTTGCTTCGCGGAAATAGTTCGCTTCGTTGGCGATCATCCATGATCCCGTCTGGCTGGCTTCGATCTGTAAAGTTCATTACACACTTGTTAGACTGGGATGTGCTTAGTACTTTCGTTGTCTTTCCTCCGTCTCTACGCAGTATATTGCTTTTTCCTTCTCACCTATCAACGCAGAACGGGGACAATACCTCTTCTGGATAGTAGTCAAGTTCCCCACGGGGCATGTGCTCAGTCAAGCAGAAGACTTGGAACTTCTTAGCGATGGCTAATTGGATGACTTCCTCGAGGGAGTCCTTTGCGTGGCCCGGGCAGAACTGCCCTGAGTGGCTGTGGTGGGAGAATGGCATGGCGGCCTTGAGCTTACTCGGTAAACTCCGTCTGTATCTGCGGTTAGCTCACATTCAGTTGAAAACGGCCATGTCATGAGGATTGCGCGAAAGAGCGGTATCAGCAAGCAAATGCCTGACCAAGACTTACTTACTGTGCAAGGGTGGAGTAGGATAGAGCCGCTTGCGATAAGGAAATGGACGTTGATGGGGTGAAGGAGCGGTGAGATGAGTGGTAGGCACACTACTGTGTGATGGTCATTGGTTTTTGTTGTATTTGTTGAAGGTTGGTCAAGATATGAAGAAAATAGAGTTGATGCTGTTGCGGCAAATTTGCCCCGCAGGTCCCAACTTGTATAAACAGTCCGAGAAACAGAGTCATAGCACACATATTTGACTAGTATAAAAGAGTCCTGAGCTTTCGATTGCTAAGACTGAAAGCTACTCAACCTCTTGCACAAAGCCAGCGTATCCTTATAACTTATCCACCAAATCCATCCTCTCGTCCACTTACTATCACCCGAGTACCGTACCACCAAAAATACTCCGGAAACGGATGGGCATGTTTGGGTGTACACTTCATTGGAGTGCCAATCGTCTTAGCAACATCGACCTAGCAGTCACACAAGGCCATGAGCTAGCATAAAGCACTGTCAGAATAGCGCTTCCAGGTCGAAATCAATTCCACGGCGCAATGGTCCCGCGTAGTCTGGGCCGAGTCCGACACCGATCAAGCCTTTGAATCGCATGTTCAGCCTGCGGAATCGTGTCAAGCCGCGTCGTATAGGTATAGTCAATTCCATTCCCTTCCCGATATGAGCATCTCAACCCGCCGCAAGCACAGTCGCAACCACATACTCCCCATCATGCGAGATCGATAACCGCCCAATCCGCCCCCTTCCTCCATCCTCACTATCATCAAAAAGAACAATGTCCGGTCTCCCCTCGGCAGCACCATCAGATACTCTCACAACGACATCCTTCCACCCCACAGCCTTCGCACCGCCCCTCGCGGCCTTCCTGCCCGCTTCCTTCGCCGCGAACCGCCCAGCAAGCCACCGCGCCATTTCGGATGTAACTGTAGCTTTGGCCTCTATATCCTTGTTTCGCTGCCGAGTGGGCGAGCCAACTGGTGGGAGAGAGAATCGGGTGCGGAAGTCGCGCTCTTCCTGCTCGGAGAGGATGCGGCGCGTGAAGCGGGTGAGGTAGCCTCCTGGGCGGTTGATCAGGCGGGTTATTCGCGGGAGATGGACGATGTCGGTGCCGATGTTAAGGGCGAGGGGGAAGGGGAGGGGTGTTAGTTTCATGGTGGGTTGCGGAGGTGGAGGTGGCTTCGGAGGATGAAGCTAAAGTTAAGTTTCGATTTATCCATTTCTCGGAGAACGCGAGTGGGTGACTAATCGCGCAATTACCTCTACTCTTGGTGGGAGGAGATTATTGATCTCTGTGCAAGTATAACCTCGATATATGGCGTGTGGGTGATCTATACTTCACTAAGTATACAAAATACGGATACTATATCACAGCGCTACGGAGTGTCTCAGCCTCCGCAACTACGCCGACCAGGTCATAATCGCATAAGTAGGAAAGGAATATAAGCCTCTCAGTGTATACCTCTATATGTACATATCAGCGTAGCTCATTGACTCGGTGAAGCCGAGCTAGCGACCACAAGACAATCCTCCAATGGCTCTGACCCCGGTCTCGACAAAAGGTGTCTGTCGGCTCATCTTGTGGAGAGCACCATATTCGGGCCTCGAACATCGAGATCAGACCATTCTCCGCTCAATTAAGAGTTCCGAGAGAAGCTAGTGGTCCTTCTTCTTTTCGCCCTCTCCGTTCACTTGTTTCAGGAAGTCCCTAGGCGCCAGTCAGCCAATTGCTTTGTATTCGGTATTGTTCCTATTCAAGTCTGATGCCGGCACATGGTTCAAATCAAAGCTTTGTTGCATAGAGAAAGTCGTATAGAGCGCAGAGACATACTGAATGAAAGTCTCCTCGTCCTTGGAGGAAGCCTGGATCGGGGGAGCAGCGGGCTTCTGAGCAGCACCACCGCCACGGGTAGCCAGGAAGACACCGCCGAAGAGGGAGCTGAGAATACCGAGAGAGAGCTGTACAAATCAACATGTTAGCACTGGCCGTTCTAATCAGGTAGCTTGAATTCTCCGAATCCTGATGTAGACAGCGACAGGAGCCGAGCCCGGTGAGCCGGAGCGCCAGGGACGTACGTGGTGGGAGCCGATCTGGCGGCCAGCAATGTTGTAGTAGACGACCATCTTGATGATTGAGGAGGGATTGGTTCGCGAATGAACGGAGTAGGGCGGGGATGAAGCGGTTCGAGGAGCTGGTTCTGCGGGAGTCCAAACGGCGATGAAGTTGCCGGGTGACGGACTTACCGCATACGGTTAGGTTACGGCTTAGATAAGCTAAATTGTTACTCAGGCCTGAGTCAGCAGCTTGATGTGAGCTACCTAAGCGCACGTGATGTCCCGATAGTTTCCGCCGTTAAATGACGTCGGGAGAGGAGCTGGCTCAATATCGCCGGAATGGTCGGCCATGGTTTGCTATACTCAGGGGAGCTTTGATCAATACCGAATTGCTGAGAAAAGAGGAGAATACGACGATCGGCTGCAGAAGGCTTCCATCGGCGCACCAGCCTCGAGGCATCATCTCCCGTCGGCACCAGAGGAACAGGCTATACGAACCTCGGTGGAAGTACTCTCTTCCCTGGGACTCGGGTGCTCCGTATGGTCAGACGCAATGACGGTTGTCTAGGCTCGTAACAGAGTAGTCATGCGTTCCTGTCATTGCTGGAATATTAATATTTCCCTCGCCCCTGCCTCACCTTCTCCGCATTCCGCTGCCCATAACAGCACCTCACCTTGACGTTACACTATCCTCAACCCCTCACACTCTCACAAACCATGTTCTGGGGAAGCAAGAAAGAGGAGCCTTCCGAGGCTCCAGAGCCTGCGAAACGGAAGAAGCTCTCGCCTCAGCTCCAGAAGATCGTGGATTCGGACGACGACTTCTACTCAGCCATATACAGCCCTTAGTACGTTTGTCGCGTGTCGTCATCCCCCCACAGCTTCTTGAATAGCTACCATTTCACAATCGCGGCCCAAATCCCAACTCCTACCACCAATCCTCTAGCATCCCCCAAAGTTGTCTTGTTTCAATAGCTGTCATTTCTTCTAATACTGCTATTCGACCGCGGCCCGAATCCCAACTGCCAATCCTCCAGCAATGACTAACAGCTCCGACAGCGACGTCGACTCTAACGATACCCCGTACCGTTATGCTGCTTACGCAACCCGCTTGCGGACGCTCTTACTAGCATCACATCGGTATATTGCTTACACGAGTGATCTGGGAGAGTCCTTTAGACCAGTCGCACATCCCTACCTCGTGCGCTCTGCATACGGAATCTCCTGGGCATACATTCTCGGCGATGTCGCGCACGAAGGCTACAAAGGGTACCTAAGGAACAGGCGCGTCCTAGCGCCGCCATGTGAAGCATACAAAGACTCGACAGACCTGACGCATCAGCAAATCATGATGGGGATGGCTACTGGGAATGTCGCCGGCTCATTAAGTCCCGCAAACTGGGGAGAAGGTGAAAAGCAGAGCGAGTCGGATACGCTGACCCCCTGGCCGCAAACGAATATCCCACTTATTGAGGACTACCGGGTGGTCATGGCCAAGCGCGCCATCTTCCAGGGTATAGCGAGTATGGGGCTTCCAGCGCTTACGATTCATAGTGTGGTCAAGTACTCTGGGCGCGCATTGAAAGGGGCCCAGACAACGTTTCTTAGAACTTACGTTCCTATTGGGGTATGTACATTGCTCACTGGACTGGACATGGTCCATGTTGCCCCCAATACATTGGTCACTGGACATGGTCCAGGCTACCCCCCTTCACATCGGTCACTAAAGATGGTTCAAACTACCCCCGACATATCACTCACTAGACATGGTCTAAATAAGCTAACCGGCGCCAGCTTGGTCTCTCCGTCGTGCCGTTCCTGCCTTATGTCTTTGACCATCCCGTTGACCAAGCTGTCGACTGGACTTTCCGGACTGGACTGCGTATATATGGTGGTGAAGATGCCATCAAGCCATTACCACGCCACTCAAAGGCTGCACAGGCACCAACGGAGCACGAAGAGGATTCTACATCGCTCAGTCATTTCCATATCAAAGCCCCGGAGGTGGGGGACGCGACAAGTGCGAAAGTCAGCTGGGATGAATACAAAGACGAACGGCAACGAGCGAAGGAGAGGAGGAAGCGCGAGCGCGAGGAGCGCGGAGAATCTTCTGGGATCCTGGCTATGCTGGGATTTGGGTCGGTTTCGAAGCAGAGCGAGGGCAAGGGTAAAACGGAGTGAGTATCTTACTATGGGCCCCAAGGATGGTAAAAGGGGTAATTACCCTATAAAGGGCTGTGATTCAATCACTCGACTCGACATTACATCCCCTCTATATTTTCAGCGGAGTACGGATTTCCTCGCTACAATCAGCTCCGACCTTAGAGTGACTTGCTATTATGAAATTATCCATGATATATACTGCCTATCGCAATTGCCAATTGAACAAAATAGTTCCACATCCAGAAAGAATACCTAAGCCTTGACATAATACAGTTTGTGACCCCGGCCGCAGACACCAACGGTATATATCTTATCGGAGTGGGGCAGGATGTATCTACTCCAACGTCTCCAACTCAACCTTCATTCTTAAATCCTCAAACTTTTCTCGCTTTATCTGCTTATTTCTCTGAAGAGCTACAACGACGAATTGACATCGCCCAAAATGTTCAACAAGAAAATCCACATCCGTACCAACAACGCCCCGGCGCCATCGCCCTACCTCTCCCAAGCCACTGTAGTTGGGAACATAGTCTTTTGCAGCGGTCAGCTGGGTATCGACCCTAACACCGGGAAGATGGTTGAGGGAACTGTCAAAGATCGGACTGTATACTGCCCTTTCCTCTAAATCTGAACCAACCATGGTTGGTTGTTGTAACTGCATAAGGAAAGACTGCTGACGCGACTCACGGCAGCGTCAAATCATCAAGAACATGTCTGCAGTCCTCGAAGCAAGCGGCTCGAGCCTCGCCGACGTCGCGAAGGTGAACATCTTTCTGGCCGATATGAAGGATTTCAAGGATATGAATGAGGTTTATATGGAGGGCTTTCCGGAGCCGAGGCCTGTATGTTCTGTCCTTGTTCTCTTGCTGCTTCTGCCCTGGGTTGGGCTTGAGGGGATTACTTTCATGTGAATAACAGCTAACTTCATTAGGCGCGCACATGTGTATGCGTTAAGACATTACCGCAGAACTCGGATGTGGAGGTCGAGTGTACGGCCGTTGTGACCGGCACGGTCAAGTCGAAGCTTTGATGTGCTTTGTGATCTGTGATCGACCTAGGGTGCGCAGAATAGGTACGTTGCGGAAAGGGCCTCAAAGCTGGGAGTTAGACCCCGGCCGAAAAACGATGTCCGAAGTGTCTGCGTTTATCCATGAATGACCGAGTCCTATGTCTTTAGACTTTTGGTAATTCATCGACAAAACTGAGTACCCCAATCTCCGCAAGCCCGTCCAACGGCTGTAAAAGGCCGGAAATCATCGGGTAGACACTTAATTACCCGTAATCCCATCTGTGTAACTTCTCTCGGGCGTGATGATGTATGTTCGCGGGGTTAGCTCTGCCAGCTCAAATGTATGCGTGTATCACTATTCTGTATATGTGTCTCGCATGACAGGCTGTTGGGCAGCGAGGCGTTCTGTCGGAATAGCGATGCAACCAATAAAGGGAAATTGCTTGTGGCAACCTGGACAGGAATGGAGAAAGGTGCAGCAGAAAAAGCAAGCAACGCAACTCAGTTACTCGATAGTCTGCCGGTCGGAGCCTTTCGCAATATCCGGAATGGACGCCTGCAGTCTGCATGGGCATGAGTAGTATTTTGTTTTTATTCTGCGATGCGACCTGAACCTTGGAACAATCCAGCCGGAGAGCAATGAAGCCTGGACAGCACAATAATTGGCTGTGAGCGAACGGCATTAGTTCAGGAACAGGCTTAGCGTCGGGTACAGACAACAATAGACTCAATAGTCAATTGACAAGTACTCCAGGTCCCAGGGGAAACAACGTGAATTCGGCAATCGACTCCGAGTCAATGAGTCGTGATTTGCTATACAAGAACGTTGATCGTGCTTTTGAAATTGCTGATCCGCATCTTACTAATACTGAGCATTGACGGCGATCAACACAGTCTGGACTCTGGGTCAGGAGTTTGGAACTCAGAACTCAGGGATTGAAGCTTCCTGGAGGCTGGAGATCACGCCAACGTTGGACGAACAATTCCCATTGCAACGGACCTAAGCTTGCAAGGCTCAGGAGAGCCAAGGGGTTCATGCCGGTCGGAATCACGGGAACGCACCACTCAAAGATGTGGCTAGCCACAATGACACCCCATAATCCCACTCGCACGTCCTTTTCGTACCGAGTAGAGATCGCCCTGGAGGAATGCAAAGACATCATGTTCGCAGTCTTGCCGGGAGAGGTTTGTTTCAGCCTTAGGGGAAGGAATGTGATTAGCATTCTCGACTGCTTCAGCCATACACGTGGTGATCCAGAAGATCACTTGGGCCATGGTCTTAGCTGGCTCTTTGGCTTCAGATCTCGCTTCCCAAACTTGGAGTGCAGGGAATAAAATAATGCGAAGGATCATGCCAGCAAGTATTTAGGGTGCGATAGCCGAATAATGGGTTCGTTCTTCGGCAGATAATTTAGCAAGTATTCGTGGTGAGACGTTGCTAGTGCACGGAAAAGGGGCATCGAGCCTTGGGGCCCAGGCTGCTTGCGCGAAGTTTCCAGCGATAGTGACAAATGTCGCATTTTGGTCTTTCATACGGAGTGTTCCTTTCACATTTGAAATCTGAGGCACTCAAAGGTAAATGTGGATTAAGACTGAGATCGAGAAGCTGGACTCTGATGACGGAGATCGAGAATGGAGACTCAACAAGGCTTCGGGGCACGCACTGACCCCACACAAATCCAGGAACCGCGTGCGCTAAAAAACACGCCGGTGGTCTCGGCCTCGCTAGATGGAGTTGGCTCATTGTGATGTGCGTCCTGCAATTATCCCGATCGACGCCACTGGCCGTTGGTTGCGGTGTTGCTGCAAGCCCGCAAGGTCCGTCATCGTTGAAGTCGACCAGCGCCCAGCCAGAGCAAGAGGGGTAATGTTGACTTCGCTGCCACCAACCTTGGTGATCCTCTTAGAACTGGATCGCTGGTAGACTGCGTAGGTGGCGCCGTGCTGGAATACAGGCAGAGATATTCTGCCAACTCGGTGCTGATGGAACCAGACCATAGCCTCCAAATCTCTCGGACGGGCGTCGATCCAAATCAGCAGCGAGAATTGGCTGGGGACAACTGCCACGGGGATTTTGATCAGTGCCTCGTGCTCGGCTCGTACTATTGGCTCTAGTCTGGTGTCATTTTCCTAGCGTCTCTCGTCTCGATTCCTTACAGTAGACGCTCGACTTTGCAGCAGAGTACGCAAGAGACGCGATCATGTTGCACATCCGCTCTCTTCTCCGACTCAGATCGAGGAACGGGCGATGGCTGAAAGGGCAGTAAACCAAAAGGGTTATTCTTAGAACCAGAACAAAGCCTGTCGTGTACAACTAAAAGAAGAGACCGGCGTGACGGCGGCGTCGTCCTTTGAAATGCGTAACCCACTCCGGTCTGGTCTGAGGCTAGTCCGTTCTGGTCGTTTATTCATTAATGCCACGGCCCACCGCTGGCCCCTCCTTGCCCTCGCTGTTGTCCCCTTTCTCACTTCTCAACTTCTCACCTCCAGACTGCTCTCTTCTTCTTATCCCGTCTCTCTTTCGTATTTCGCCTGATGCTTTGCCGACGTTGGTGCTGTCGTTGACGTCGCCAGACTTTGGTATTACTCTCTACGTCAATGAACCGTTGGGACTGACAATTCATCGCCTACTCTTCTCTCCTTGCATCCTCCCACGGTCGCGCCCTCTCCTTTGGAAAAGGTACTAGACAGCCGCTTTGCACACCACCGCCGCCATCTTATTTTGACATTTCTCTGGCTTAGATATCGTCGCTCGCTCCTTACAGGACTCACACTCGTTTACCAACATACTTATTGTCCAAATATAATTAAAGGGGTTTCTGTTGCCTGACAACTGCCCCTGCCGCTCTTTCAACTGCACTTGTTTATCGTTCGACATCGCTCCACCGCGTGTTTCGCTGCCAGCCTTGTTTCGCCGCCAGCCTTGCTATCCCTTGCGGAGAAAAAGAAGGAAGTGAACAAAGGTCGTCTTTTGAAGAAACATCGTCCGAGACAACCGCTGCCAGCCTCCAGTCGTCAACGACCGCGTCCAATATCCAGCGCTCGAACTAGTATTGCATCCTTGACTTCGGCGCGAATTTCCTGAGCCCTTGCTCAGTCCACTCTTTTATACAACGCCGGCGTCCCTACGTTTCCCCCGCTCCTCTGCGTTCACCTGTCATCATGGTTTCTCAGACAGCTCTTATTGCGGCTGCATTGTCGCTTGCCGGGCTGGAGTTGGTTGCTGGGCAGCAACCCAATGCTCGTTACGAGCACAAGCTACTTAAGCGCCAATTATTCGGCTCTTCCGAGCACTCGAACGGCCTGGGGTGGTTGGAGACGCTCTTAAACCCAGACTCTCAGACTGGGACTGCCGCTAGCGCCACCACATCCAAGGACACCGACGCTACTACCACTTCATCCGCGGCCTCTGAGCCCGACGTCGTTATCGTGCCTATCACCCTCTCCGTCGATGAGAATGGCAAGACGCATACGATCACCGGCACCGCTCACACTGGTGCTGCGACCGGTGCGGCTTCGACTACTACCAAGGAGTCGACTGTAGCGGAAGTTACCGCTGCCACCACGACGGACTCGCAGCCTGCCGCAACTAGCACCGCGTCATCAACTACAACAGAAGGAGATGGTCTTGGCGGTCTTGTGGGAGGTCTTCTGGGCGGTTCAAGCAGTACCGACAGCACCTCTAGCACAACCGAGACCGGTAGCTCCCACGCCACTGCTGATTCGACAACTTCGGGGACTGAGACAACTGATTCGACAACAGGAGGTTCCACGACAACTGATTCCACGACATCGGATTCCAAGACATCGGATTCTACCACATCCAACTCGTCGCCTTCCACAACCAGCACATCAGATGGTCTGCTTGGACTTGGTTTGGGCCTGAGCTTAGGCGATGACTCTACGTCTTCCAGCTCGACGTCCTCCGGCACCTCGCCCTCGGCAACAACCACTACCTCTTCAGGCGGCTTGCTCGATAGCCTTCTGGGTAGTGCTGATTCCACCACTTCTGATTCAACTTCTTCCTCTTCAACAGACACCACCGCCGCGTCTCCTTCGGCAACCAGCACTAGCTCCTCAGGTGGATTGCTTAGTGGCCTATTGGGTGGGGATGATTCTACTTCTTCGGATTCGACCTCTTCCACTTCGACTGACACCACCGCCACGTCACCGTCAGCGACCAGCACGTCGGGTGGCTTGCTTGGTGGTCTTTTAGGAGGTGATGATTCTACATCCTCAGATTCGACCTCTTCCACTTCGACTGACACCACCGCCACATCGCCGTCGGCAACCAGCACGTCGGGTGGCTTGCTTGGTGGTCTTTTAGGAGGTGATGACTCTACTACTTCGGATTCAGCTTCTTCCACTTCAACTGATACCACAGCTGCGTCCCCTTCGGCAACTAGCACATCAGGTGGTTTGCTTGGTGGTCTCCTGGGAGGTGACTCCACTTCGTCTACCTTGACTTCCACCGGCACGTCGCCCTCGGCAACCAGCACCAGCACGTCGGATGGTTTGCTTGATGGCTTGTTGGGAGATGACTCAACATCAACCACCTCCACTGCCACCTCCCCTTCGGCAACCAGCACCAGCACGTCGGGTGGTTTGCTCAATGGCCTATTGGGAGATGACTCTACCTCTTCCACCACTGCCACTTCCCCTTCGGCAACCAGCACTAGCTCGTCTGAAGGCTTACTTGGTGGTCTCTTGGGCGGCGATTCTACTTCTTCCAGTCTAACTTCCGCCGCGTCCCCTTCAGCAACTAGCACTAGCACGTCGGGTGGTCTGCTTGGCGGCCTGCTAGGAGATGACTCTACTTCTTCCACTTCCACTGCAACCACTCCCTCAGCGACCAGCACCAGCTCGTCTGAAGGCTTACTTGGTGGCCTCTTAGGCGACGATTCTACTTCTTCCAGTCTGACTTCCGCCGCGTCCCCTTCAGCGACGGCCACTTCAACCGGATTGCTTGATGGTATCTTGGGCACTGACTCCACCAGCAGCACTTCGACTGCAGTCATCCCATCGTCAACCAGCACGTCCGGTGGATTGCTCGGTGGTATTCTGGGTACCGATTCTACAGCTTCAAGTGTCAACACACCTGTTCCCTCGCCCACTAGCACGTCCGGCGGGTTGCTTAGTGGCCTCCTAGGCACCGACACCACCAGCAGCACTTCAACTGCTGTCATTCCGTCGTCAACCAGCACTGGTGGCTTGCTTGATGGTCTTTTGGGTACCGATTCTTCGATCTCGACCCCCTTGCCAACGCCTAGCAGCACATCGGGGGGCTTGATTGGAGAGCTTCTGCCCACCATCTCTGTCAGCGTTCCAGAGTCGACTCCTACAGCTCTAGGCTCCACCGATGCCGTGCCCAGTTCCACACCCACTCTGCTTCCCCCTGACCTGACAACTTCCATCATCCCTACCTCCGGTAGCACGGCGACTTCGGTGCCAGTCATTCCCCAGGTCCCTACTTCTGGTATCTCAGCTACGCCAACCCCATCGGCAGGTGAATCGACTACTACCAGCTCTTCAATCCCGCCTGTGCAGCCCAATCCTACCACCACTAGCACAGAAGAGTCCACGGCGTCCATAACCACGATCAAGACTATCACTACCACCACCGTGGAACCATCCGCTGAACCCACTGACTGGGTGCCGACCAGCATTATCGTCGAGCCCAGTGCCACTGAGACCGAGACGTCTACCGAAGAGACCACGACTGTTGCGCCTACTCAGCTGCCGGGATCCATTTCTCCGGCTGGAGGTGCTCCAAATGCCCCCGAAGGGTCTACCTTGATCCAGCTGGGGTTCACTCGAGAGCTCCGGTACTCGTTCGTCGCGACACACTCGTTGTCTTCCTCGCAGATCTTCTTGTACATCCCTCAGGGTCTCGTCTACGCGCTGGAGGAAGCCAGTAGCGACATTACCATGTTCGCTATCTCGCCCTATGACAACGAAGCTACCACAGGATACATTGCTACTGTCGCCCAAGCCTACATTCCTACAGAGAAGGTGGACATCCTTAGGAAGCTGCTTCACAACCCTATCTCCAGACTCTACGAACAGCCGAATGACTCTGTCAAGACCCTCATGTCCATGATTGATCCTTCCATTCCACTTCTCGTGGGCGACTATGATGAGTCATCATACGGCAGCAGCTCTGGTTCAAATGGCGGCAGCAACAGTAGTGATAATGGTGACGGCTCTAACGACTCCTACGACGACTCCACTGCTGGCGCCAGCAGCAGCGGCTCTACCAAAGCCAGCTCAGTCGGTATTGGCGTTGGTGTCGTGGCCGGTGCCGCCGCCTATGGTGCTGGAATGTTCTGGGTAGCCCGCCGCTACCGTAAGAAGCGTCAACTGCACCGCCGCACAAGCTCCACTGCCGACCAGATGAGCGAGCGTGGCGGGTCCATCTTCACTGGTGGTGGTCGCATGTCTCGTGGCAGCGGCAGCCAGCGTACCCAGATGATCAGTGCACCTGTTATGGCCGAAAACTCGCTGGGATGGAACTAGGCGCTAAAAGCGATATATAAAGGAAATAAGTAAAGATCGCATGATCTTGGGTCAAGGCAGACTGGGGCAATATAACCCAGGAAGGGTGGATGAGAGAAGCAAAGGTTTCCGCACCGCTTTCCCTTGTCCGTGGGATACATTTGTTGGTATATTTTTTGGCTTCTACCTGTATCAAATCTTCTCTACATTGACCGTGTCCTCTCACGTGTCCTTTTCTTCTTTTCACATATTTTTTCCTCAACTTATTCCCCATCTTGTTTCTGCTTTTGAAATACTTTTCTTGTGACAGCGCAGAGGCCTGGCCACCACAATCCTTCTCTCCTCACTTTCAATTCCTCTTTTTGGATGCTATTTCTCCTCGTGGCAGACAACTATACGCCCATCTACCTTGATCCAACTCTATCCTTTACCGTTTTGTTTGTACAGCTGTATAGTGAAGTGAATGTAGAGAAGCGATGAGCCATGCTTGGCACGAATTAGATGTTAATACTGTTTCTGAATTTATTAGATTTATATGACCTTGTCTAGTTCAACTTAAAGAGATCCAACTGTGTTTCCAGTGTGCTGTATGCCATAATATTACAGGCTAAAACCAGCAACATTACTCTCCTGTCAATATATACCAGGTGAACTTTTGCATCCTAAATTCCAACAGTGCTTTGATAGAGGGTGAGAATACCCTCTGTGTATTGACATTGACCTTAATCAGCTGTTCATGAGCTACAGATACTCCATGACTTGTTACTTGTGGTTAGATAGAGACTTGTTATAAGGAAAAGGTACCTCTCAACACTGATTGTTATCCCAGCTATTACCAATTGTCTATAACCTTCTTAAACACTCCGTTACGTGCTCAAGGCATCCAGATCTGCTGTGCCTGCTCACTGAAAGAAAAAATGATCATTTTTATTATTATTTCTACTTGTTGACTCAGTGACCATTCACTGATGCTATAATCTGCGCATTCGAAACCCCGTCATTGCAGTAACACCAGTTCATAAGAACCAACACCTGATTTTTCAATCTCAATGCATACCACCTCTCTCTTATTATATCTTCACAAACCTCCTACTGCTTGCTGTTCCCCTTGTTCATTGGGATAACAAGCAGGTCGTCCATGACCCCAAAGTCATCCAACATGGACCGATCCAGAAGCATCCTGACACCCCGATCTCTCTCTCCAGTCCCAGAAGAAGAAGGCAGAGATGAAGAGAATGTGAGAGACGTTAAAAGCCAAATCGAAGAACTCACAACCGAAGCCGAGACTGAGTCTGAGACTGACAACGACCTCCCACTCGAGATCTCTGTCCACGGCGTCAAGGCAAAGGTTTACCTCAATTGCGCCGATGTCGACATTGTTCCTACAAGGTACCTCGAGAAAGCCGACCGTTCGCGTACGTACCGTCACTGGCTCAAGCCCCTCAGTTTCTAGCAGACCTCATCAGAGAGGCAAGAACTGACTATCTCTTAGCCCTCCTAAAACGCACTCCCTGGATCTTTCGCGCCGTTGCGAACGGCCGATCTGTGAATATCAGCAAGTGGAGCAAAGTTGATATCCGGTATCGCGGGGTGTTCAAGACGCTGAAGAAGGCTCCAAGCTTTAATGGGCTGTTTGGGTCTTATACTACCAACGTCGCCACATTTTCAGCCACCGAAGATCATGAGGGTGAGAGCTTCACTGGCCAGATGAGCTCCGACTCTAGACCTTCGTCTGACTCTGGCTCCTTCTCATCTTTTTCTTCGTCAAAGCGCTCGTCTAGCTCAAAGGCCAACTTCGAGGACGCGCTTAAGGCGCAGGGACAGGCCGTGTATGCGCTCCTTGATGAGGTGTTGATGATGCTGAAGATAAAGCGTGAGGCGGAAAGTCATCGGGAGGTGTTTTTTCTCAAGTGTGTTCTTCAATCATGATAGTTTTCTCGTTCTATTGCACGATGGATGATGGGTTTGAGGCATCTTTGCTGACTGATATGGTCGAAGGCCACGATTGCTTACCTGCCAGCCAGAATACTGGACTGGATATAGGCAGAAGCACAGAGACGGCCCGTTTACCGCAGGCTCCGTATCGCTTGACTACGAGCCGGATCGGGGGACGCCACGAGCAGTGATGCCTGTTGCAACGGCAAGCTTCTTCTCCCCATCATCCACTGGCTAAGCTGACATATACACGGCCTGCAGACAAGCGACCCAACCCTCTCGCTCAAAAAAGCCCTAGAAGGCGAATTCAAGCTCCTTTTGGCCCAACTCCTGGTAAACGTGCACCGCCTCGGACCAAAAGGCGACAAAATCCCGGACCAAGAGGCGTTCCTGATAGCCTTGCACGGCTCAAAGCTCCACATCCTACGCGGCATCTTCCCCGGACAGAAGACCAGCAAGCTGTGGAGTGGCCGGCATAATCCAAATACGTCAGACATGGACCGGAGCACGCATAACCTCTTTAGCAATATTGGTGACAACAGCAGCAAGAACGGGATAGGCGGCAGCGAGAGCAGATTCTACAACAGAACGAACCTAGAGCGCTTCATGGAACAAGTGGAATGGAACCAGCTTGCACACCCCGAGAACGAAATACACCCGCGCTCGTTCCAGATCTTTGGAAGCCGCGAGTACGATCTGTGGCTGAAGTGGGAGTTTGCGGCCGCGGTCAAGATGCTTGCGGGGCTTATAATGTACCTCATGAGTGGACAGGCGCGATGCGGGGTGCTGCAGTATGAGTTTGAGCGGTATCCGTATGACGAGGGACTCGAGCCAGAGAGTGATGTTGGCGATGATGCGGACGTTACTCCAACGGAGAAGATTGCGATGGAGCAGCAGGAGGTTGAGGAGGAAGAGGAAAGGCTGAAGAGGAGTGAGAAGGAAAGACAGGAGGAAGAACAGGCGCGCTTGAGTGAGTTTGAGGCTATCAAGGGGTCTGTTAAGGATAAGATAGGCGGGCTTGCGGATGGGTTGAGGCAGCCGTGGTGGGATTGGGTGTGGGAGGATAAAGGTGCTGAAGCGCCGAAAGATGAAGATGAGATGATTGTTGGTGGGCCACATTGAAATACGAGGCCACAGCCATTGGAGCAAGTGTCGGTCGCGCATAGGATAGTATTCCAAGTGACCTTCTACAGAATCGCGGAGCATGTCTGTGTAACAGAAGGTATTCCAAGCGCTAGTCCATAGCATATTGAACATATTAGTCAAACGCTAAATCCAGAAGCAGTAATAGTACATCCTCTGTCATGTGGATAATCCATACCCTACACAGACTCAGTCCTTGTCATCGCTCCCTATGCCGCCGTTCGGATTCAAATTGAGTGAACGCGTCAATGCCCTGTCCATCCTCTCCTCCAGTCCTGAAGTACTCGCTGACAACACCCAGTGCGTAGCACGTACTTCCTGTGGCAAGCCCACCGATCAGCATTCGCCGGAGCACTGTTCTAACTTTGGACTCTGGGGAACTCCCGCGGAAGTGCTCGGTCGATGAGCTTTGACTTGACAAGTTCCCGGTATAAAAGTTGTTATGTATCGGCTGGGGCGCCACAGCCTCAGAGGAATGATCTTCGGTGAGGCTTGCCGGCCCATGGTTCGATCCAGGATTGCTGGCCGTCGGTCTCTTTGCCGGAGCCTTTCGGAACACAAGAATATCCCCTCCACCTGACACGATTTCATACCCGTCTGCATTCATCTGGTTCAGACATGGTAGGAACTTGGCGGGATTTGTCAGGCGGGTGAGGACCTCCGTTGGATGTAGAGGCTCATTCGGTGCCTGGAGCGAGGATATGGTTTCCGCCTCTGTGACTGCTGTGGAGGATGGATCATATGCAAATATACGATATGTTTCAGCAGCTGGAGTTGCGTTCATGACAAGTGAGGCTGCAGGCGCCGCTGAGTCCCCAGATAGGGCTTGCTCGGTAGAGTCTTTTGATGTCTTTGTGACAGTCGGCATGTCAGGTAAATCGGTCGAGTTCTCAGTCTGATCCTGAAAAGACGTGCCATGTTCATCGACAGAGCCCATAGGTAAATTAGAATTCCCATCGAAGTTCTTGGGCGTCTCAGCTTCTATCTCAGATTCGATACTTAGCCGTCTGGGCTCATAGGCAGCTCGAATATCGCGCGCGCTCAGTTGCTCAAGTCCTTCTTCTCTGTTCTCAGTCTCGATAGATGGCTGCGTCCTACCAAGGTTCCATAAAGGTCCTTCTTGATCGCGCCTAGACAGGAAGCCCACTCTATCAAGCCCGTCTCCAGATATGGAAGGCTCTGATTTTGAAGTTTGAACAGCAGATTGATTCCCAATGTCCAGAGTTTGACTAGAGCGAATGGTATCGCGAGGTAGAGCATCATCGCTATCATTTTCTGGTGGCATCGTGGGCTCATCCTGACCATGTGTCCTGGGCCCAGCACCGCTTTCTTCAGATATGTTTTGCGCTGCTTCGGGTATATCATCGTAGGTCTTCTGACTTGGAGATGACGCGTAAACCTGACCTTCATAGATAATGGAAGGCTCTGATGCATTACCAGGCCTCTTGAGGACTTCAGGATCTATCGAGCCTTCTTCAATGGTGGAATCAGACTTAGATAGACCGTCTGACCCCGTCTCAGCATTAGCTCGAGGCAAAGTGTCACTCTCAGAACTGGACGTGGGCCCAGGACCCTGTGAATCCCTCTGCGACTCCTTTCCTCCTTCATTGGACGTATGCTCAGAACCCTGTACGTCCCTCTGCGACTCCTCTCCGTCTTCATTCAAACTCGAAGACTTGGTTCGCACAGGGATCATACGACCAGTAATAGGGTCGTACTCGAACCCAATCCCCCTAACCCCCCCCGAGAACCGACTCTGTACTGCGCTGTTTCCAGTATGCGACTCTTCCAACTTGACGCTATCATCAGCGCTGGGCGAATCTTTCTGCTCTTTTCCGACCAAGTCCACAATTTTCGTGGTCTTCTCGGCCTTCTTGGACGCATCCGTATCCCCACCATTCCTAGCCCCGAATATCGACTGCCACAACGTCGTGAACCCGTTCTCCAACTTAGTCCCCCAATTCAGCCCAAATGGCTCAATCCTTCTCCCAAAGACAGCTGCGTAAGGATCCCTCTCGATCTCCCTCCGAATCCACTCCATTCGGCGCCTTGCGTCATCGTTCCAAGCATCAATTTCGTCAATCACCTGTTTGATTTTGCCCCTTATCTCCTTGCGCTGAGACTGAGAGTCGGGAAAGCTGGGCCTAAAGCTGCTCCAGCCCCAGCCCCAGCCGGGGCCCCGCCATGATTGGTAGTGGTAGTCCGGGTAGATCGTTCGCTGATCCCAATTCTGCGTGGGACGATGTGGTTTTCGCGATTGGGGATGGCTGTGGAGGATAAGACGGATATGTTTCCTATGAAGGTTGTGTTTGTTGTCGCGGTGATACGAGCAGCCCCATAAGCTGCGAGTCTGCAATGAAATGGCTTGAGGTGGAGCGGAGACCCTGGGTAGCCCGCGTATGCTTGTTCTCGTTTGGGCCATGGCCGTATCTTGTCAGAAAGTCCGGTCGCGCGTACTGGGACGGCGAAGGGGTGATAGGTCACATCGGAGGTCGGCCAGAAAATCGATGATATGGAATATGGATCATGGATGAGGCTCGTGAGTTGTATTGGAGCTGTGGTGGATGGAGTGCTGCTATCACTATCAGTGACGCTATCAGTAAATGCGGGGTCGCATGACGTGCCTGAGTCAGCTACTCTGTAACTCTGTACGACTGAACAAGCTCATGATTGAAAGTTAGGCATTATTCTATAGGTGTATTTATCAAGTTTATAGCCAGTAGCTTAGAGCTCTAAAAGCGAAACGGCCAAGTTGCTGGGTTCATCGGGCTTTGGGTCGAACGTGATAAAGTTGCTCCAGAACTTCAAGCCCTCGATGCCCTCTTCTCTACAGAAGATGCCCTTGTCCTCCGCCATTTCCAACTCTTCAGCTGCGACACCAACGCTCCACCCGAAGCGCTGGGCTGCCTCCTGCGCCGTTACGGGGCGGCCAAAGAGGCGCCAGTCCCAGGGTACAGGGTCTGATGGCGGAATTTGACGGAGATCGGCCATCCAGTCCTGAAGTTGTCGAAGGGTCTTTTCGTCGCTCCAGTCGTACCGTTGCACTACTAAGAGACCACTTTTGAACCGGCGGAGTCGAACGGGCAATTTGAGCTTCTCCCAGAGCTCGGCCGCCCGTTGAAAGTCCGAAGGACTTATTAGCTCAACGCCGTTTCGGGAGCGATTGAACACTGCCCAAAGGTCAATCAAGCTCATTATGCCACCTTCCTTCTGAAGGACACCCTTCCGATCATCGGTGAGATATTCTGCGAGGTTTCGCGATAGCTCGGACAGGTATAGGTTCCCTGCGCTGGATCCGAGCATATCTTTCGTAGTAACCATTCCCAGAGCGGCAGCACTTTCGGAGAGAACCGCGCTTGTTTCTGCGGCAGAATCACCGGTAGCCAGGCCTGACTCTCGTGCTAGCGTCTCAGCGAGCGCGACAATCTGTTTCGCAGAAGCCATGAGCGCCTCGAGGTCCTCGAAAGCATTTCCAATCACGAGTTCGTTGTTCTTGCGAGCCTCAAGCCCTCGCTGTTCCAAACCAGCAATCCCGACCCCAGGTGACCGAGCCTGCGTAATCACGGGAGCAGACAGACCAGTTGGATCTGGCGACGACGTCGGCGTTGACTGTGACGGTTGCTGCGGTGCCGGAGGCGCATTATAGAGCAACCATTTACGTTGGATTAGCGCCCCCTTGAGCCTCTCGAGAAAGATTTTATCGCCCCCGCTCCTGAAAGAAAGCTTGATATGATCAGTGATGGCGGAGTTCCGGATGTCCCCCTCCGCAAAGATCGGCGCTGGAGAATCCGCCCTGTCTTGACCGGCAGCCCGCAAAGAGCTCGCATTCACTAAAGAGGCACCGCATATTTCACAATCAAGAAGCGAAGGATGATTCAAGAATGTACACCGCGGGCACATCAATGAGCCCCCACCATTCGAAGCATTTGTCTCCCCATTCACTGCGAACTGAGGTCTCTGCTCAATTTGAGACACTGCCGGACTCGCCGAAGGACTCTCCCGACTCGTCGCCGCAGTTATAGAAGCTTTCAAAATCGTCGTAAACGGGGGCTTAATCCCACAAGCAAGGCATGGAGGTGTCGGCGTAGCATTAGTCGCCGTAGAAGGATCGAAGTTCGACGGGACCGGGTTGGAGAACGAGCATATCGGACACACCCAGGTCGCATTCAATGGTTTCGGTGGCGGTGGCGTATAACTCCGCGTTGGGGTCTGGAGGTGAGGTGATTGCGCTCCTCCTGTCAACTGCGGTCTCAGCGGAAGCGCCCGCGACGGACTCGCGGCCGAACTCCGCGGCCCGTCCGCGTGCTTCACTGGCTTGGGGTATATGGTGATCTTCGGCGAGGACTTCCAGAAACCGGCCTGGTCTATATGAGCATGAAGTTGTATCCCGATGCGAGAAGGCACATTACTTGATGGTCAGCCCTGTCGATATCTTTTAGGTCGATGCCGACAGAGTACTTGCGCGGTTCGTCGACGGCGACATAGCAGACTCGGTGTGACGTAAGGTACGCATGGCCGTTCTGATAATTGGCGATCTTGTATTTGCTGTCCATACAGGAGAATAGTCAGCCACGAAAGCCTGGGGTAGATCTTGATCAAATGAACCGAGTAGCAGTCGCAGCAGTTGTATCCCATTCAGTACTCACCCCTCGTATAACCCCACTGCATCTTGGACAAAGAGTAGAGTCTCATCGGGCAACAGCAACGGGCGGAGCGCGGTGGTTAGATCCAGAGACTTGAAAAACATCTAGGAGCCCGACCAGCATTTCTGCGAATTCTCACAAGGTTCCAAGAGAGGGGAGTTGTTGGTGCTGCCTTCGTTGGTCGCGATCAACGGGCTTGGCTGACATAATGTTGGAGATGGTTAGGTAGGCTAGATTAGGAATAGTCCACTAGGTCTAAAACACGTGTGATTCACCTGTCCAGATAACCAGCCTCTCTAATCTAAAACAACCGATACACCAGCTAGGGATCACAGCTTTGTACTCTCCTTCAGTACATTCGAAACCAGGCTCGCAGCTGCCAACGTCTCTTCATCCTTGAAGTGCCTTCCCACAAGCTGCAGCCCAATCGGAGCCCCAACATATCTTTCCGGTGCATATTTCTTCCATTCACGCTCATCCTCTGCGCTCCTCGGCTGGTAGGAGCTGTCGACCGTGTCCAGTTTTGGATCCACATACAGCCCACTGGGAAACACCGCGGCAGGTTGATCAAGGATGTTCCAGATGGCCGTATAGTTCCAGTAGTGCGATTCGCCCAAGACACTCGCAACACTGACGTGTGCAGGGCAGAGAATGAAGTCCACCCCGTGCGATTTCATGAGCGCATGGTAATCGTTTCGGTATTCGTCTCTTTGGGAGTTGAGCGCCCAATTTTCAGTGACGGTGAGTGGTGTTGAGCGGCTGTACTGGAAGGCCCACTCGGTGAGAGTCAGGGTTGGCTCGCCGGTCTCGCGAATCAGTTCACGGTTACGCTCTGCGGCGTCTGCGAAGTAGAGGGAGGACTTTGTTGGGTTAGCCTTGCCGCGCTTGTGTCCTGGGGTTTGCTTACAATGATGTTCCAACCGTGGTCATGGTTGTATGGTTCCCAATCTACCACGTTCACGCCGACAGCTCGGAGCCTCTCTTGTGCATGCTTCAGGGCCCGGATAATTGGAGGATGGGGTCGAACACAACTGGCACCGTTAGAATCTAAAGATCAAATCAATGCATAGAATAAACTAACCCGTCATCCCACATGATAGCAACTGTTATATCCTCCGTTGGACTGACTTGCTTCCAAGGCAGGGGCACCAGCGAGGTATCTTCGTCCCATGGTTCCTGGTCTAGGAGTGCACGCTGGAACAAATCTAGATCCTCGATACACTGGCTAGCAAGGGGGCCATTTACGCCGAGTATAGATTCTTGACCCGGTGCAGGCACTTTAGACCCCCTGCATGGGTTTCGGTGTATTGTTGGGCGAAAGCCGTATGCATTGCAAAATGCTGCCGGGCATCTGATCGAGCCGCCAATATCTGATCCGATGCCTAGCGGAGCGCACTTGAATCCCATAGATGCTCCCTCGCCGCCTGAGGAACCACCCGGGCTAAGGTTGCGGTTGTAGGGGTTTAGAGTCGTTCCGGTGAGGTTGTTACTGCAGCATAGGTGCTTGAGGAGTTAGCATTTGCTGAGATCCGGGCCATGGACGAGTCTTACCATGAGAGACTGAGGCTCGTTTGTCCGCACATGGAATACTGCGCCTGCTTCTTCCAGACATTCCACAATAAGGGCGTCTTCTGTTGCTATGTTGTCTACCCTTCAAGTACGTCAGCTATCAGGAACGTGGCGGGAAAGGGTAGTATTACCAGGTCACGTAGCCAGCATTCAAGTGCCTGCCTCTAAACCCTATATGTTCTTTGACACTGATCGGTACACCATGCTGGAATACTCAGTACTTGACGGATCACGGTCGATAGGGCCTCGAGCGTACCAACGGCCCAACCAGCTGTCCTGTCTCTTTGTAGTACTCATCTAGTTCTTTGGCTCGTGCAATTGCTTCCTCGGCCATGAACTCAGTAGCGAAGTTGAGCTAGCGGCAGTTAGCGATCAGACTTGAGTTTATCTGATTTCTCAACGTGCCAGCTGGTGCCCAATAACGGATCTCTTTAAAAAGGCCACAACCACTTCTTCCGCGCTGAACCGGCCCTCGCCCATAGCGGCTACCAGAGCTATCGCGGAGCACTCGGTTATGGCGAGTTCCTTCTCAGTGAGCATCCCACTTTTGCGCGGGAAACCCACCACATTCAACTGATCCAATGGAGGGAGTTGGTCGGCAGGGACTAGCCATTGCTTCGGGATAGACTCCTCGAGGATGTTGCGGGCTTTGCCCGCTTGCACTTTCCAGGTAGAAGACATGATGTTATCGTGGCATTGACAGACCAGGGTCGTGGCACATGAATAAGGAAATTTATATTGTTCTTCTCTTGCTGCGCGGTGTCACACCACTTGTAGCATGGTCGAAAGGTATGATATAACGAGGGGCAATATTGTGAAGCGGCTGTAGATATACCCCGCGTCTGGCGACTGATGTCAGTCGAGAGCTGCTGAGGGATTTACTTATCAGTTGGAGAGACGGAGAAAACCTGCTGTATACTCCGGAAGCATGTCTACATACTGTGCCTTTCTTTGGAAGCGGCCTTGTGCAACCTAACGGCCCATTTGCAAAGAATACTTGAAACCACTTGGACCTATGGCGGAATCTCAGTTCTAAAATATTTTATGGTGGCTGTGGTAGGTAAGGTACACAAATAGAAACGGGCATACTAGGAACGGGCAGACTCGGAATCATTCCGCAGAGGTTATACCTACCCCAGCACCTTTGGACGAGCCGCCCATGATGGGTTGAACCAAAGGTCATCGACAAGGCGGCAATTGGTAATCGAGGTTGAACGACTCGAGGGGAAGAGAATAATACGGAGTCAGGGGTCAATCACATGACGCCTCAACGATGAAGCCATCTTTGCCCCGCCTGAATCCTTCTCCATCAACTATCCACAACACGCCAATTCCTTGCAAAACGAGCTGCATTTGGACTGACATTCATCAATGTAATTCTCTGACATCTGGGTCAGGGCCGTTTCAGGCATGATAGAGACCGAATGTACTCCCCACGCGTGGAAGCACTCCTTGATTGTTCGCGACAGCTCTGAAAACTCCGATACCGACTGGTCTAACATGGCGACATGAACTGAAGCGAGAACTTTATGCTGGCTGAGGCGCCAGATATGCAGCTCATGGATAGCTAGGACGCCGGGGATCTGATAAAGCCTGAGAAAGAGGACATGCAGCACGCTTTGAGAAACTAACCTTCTCCAGGTCATGCTTCACATTAACAGGGTCAAGTCCTTTCGGTGCACTTTCGAGTAAGACAAGACCGGATTCTCGAACTACGACCATCAGCCGCGACCCGCGCAACTGAACATTTATTTACTTACTGAGTGGAAGGGCAGAGAGGCAGATCATGGCGGCGATGCCTAAGCTGGTAGCGGGATCAGCATAATACCTCGCCTCATATCGAGTCAGCCAAATGACCAGTGCCGCAGCCATGACCCCCAAATTGTTGGCAGCATCCCCGAGCACATGAAGAAGCACGCCGACCATGTTCAAGTCGTGCCCACCAAAGACGGGAGCTTCTTTGTGGTCCAGGTGCCTGTGGTCATGATGCTGGTCGATGGTCAGTGGAGCAGAGGATGCATTCATCGAGAGAACAGACCTTGGCTCTGCTTTCCGCTTCCCGTTGCTGTTCGAGATCAACTTGCCCCTGAGAATCTCCATTTAACTCCGAGGTGCACTGATGGTCGTGATGGTCGTGGTGATGCTCTGCAAAACGGTCAAGCTCATGCTTCTCAGATTTTGCAAGGCGGTTTACCGTGTAAAAAGCACGCACATATAATGTTCAGCCCCAAGCCGACGGACCCAATGATAAACATAAGCTTGGGATTTTCAACATCTAATGCATGTAAGCCAAGGATTTCATCAAGTACGACTAACGTACGGTGCAACGTGATGAAACGCTCAATTGATTGCAGGAAGATGCTAATTCCCAACGCAAATAGCAGACTTCCGTTGAAGAATGCACCTAGCACTTGCGATCGCTGCCATCCAAACGAGAGCTCCTTAGGTGAATGCTCGGCGTTCGAAGCCTGATATCAGTTTAGCATTCTTTCGCCAACCGACCATGTCTTATGGGATAACCGACCTTGAGAGCCACAAATGCAACAATAAATCCGACGAGATCGTTTAGCTGATCTCATTAGCCGTGGCCTCCATCGTTCGACGCCCACATACGTAGTGGAAGGCATCCGCCACCAAGGCCAGAGAGTGAGTGTAAAAACCAACTGTTGCATACTCAGCAAAGCGATAGGGACACATCACAGCCTGCAACATCGCTAATGCCTACCTGAAATCTCGGTCAAAAAAAAGGCTGCCGACAAGAAAATGGCCGCCCCCAGCCGTTGAGACCGTGATATTGAAGTCATTGCCCCGAAGCCACAAAGCTGACAATCACAAAAGAACAAATGATGCTGCGGTATCTGACGCCAATCTCGTCGGAAAAAGGGCCGTGTCTGCCGAGCTAAACGCCTTCTTTTCTATCCTGGGCTTCGATAAGCAAAGTAAGGGGAATATTCTGCCTTGGCAGTGCGACATGCAAGAATGTGGGGATACGGAGTAGCGATGAAGTATTACTCCGTGAAGAGTTGGCAAACCTGCATAGGTACCAAGTCAGATACTAAGGTATAACTAACAGTAACACGATTCTAGATGCATGCAAGTTGCACCTGAAAGTCGCAATACCTCATGTACCTCATGCATGCTGTACACCTTGCCCAGTTCGGTGTTTTTGCTTCCCGTCATGTGCCAATCAAGTCCGATAAACGACGCAGCACCAACTCATGATATTCCACAAGAAAACTGCAAACCTGACATGTCTGGCTATGTCCGGAAACTTAAGATACGTCCGTTCCATCAGCCGTGGCCGTTTCATTGCCCAGATGTTAGGGCTGGGGTTCGTCAGATGGATCCTGCTCTCCCCAGTTTGTCGGCCAGCCATGAAGACCCCGATTACGGCCATCGCGCAATCTCAATTGACTCGCCGATACTGTGTTCCGGAGTTCGAAGAGTAAACTTGCCAATATTAGCAGATATACTAACTTGCAAGCGACGAACTCCTACGAAGTGTCTGCTCCGTACCCAGCGTACCGCGCACTCCGTCACTGGTCAGATACTCCTGTATCACCCATACGGCTTGAAAAAAAGTGCGGATTTGTCACTTGAGCCCAGGAGAAGTCCCTATGTAAACTTGATCCTCTGCTCCTGAAACCAGATCCTCGCGACCATCGTTCCCCAGGCTCCTCAAGATCCCCAAAGCGTGATGCCGAGCTCCTCGCTCGTGATGAGACCGGCGATGGCCTAAATGTTGGCGCGGGCAGCCTTGCCGACGTGTCTGGTGATAACCTGGGAGGCGTTGGCAAGCTTGCCAATGGCGTCGTCGATACACTCCCAGTTGATATCAAGGTTGATGCGCCAGTTTGTCACAAATTGACAGGGAAGTTGAGATTAGGGTCAGCGTCGACTGTTCGAAGTCGATGAGACCAATGGGGGATGATTGTATCTGTATAGTGCTCGTGCTGTAAATGATAAACAGTCCAATGACAGGTGGTATGAAAGGTATATATAATATAAATCTATCAAAGTATATACAGACCAACCCAAATATACTATCTAAAAAAGCTCCAAGCCCCAAAAAGCAGGATAACGTGTGGTAAGCCAACTCACATGTTATCCTCGCTCCACCTACTCCTGGCCTTCAAATAAGCCTGCTGTTCACTCTTCTCCTTGCCATCAACATCAATACCACCCTTCCCGACAAGCCCCCGCTCAACCCACTCCTTACTCCCCATCTCCGACAACCGCGACAAAGCGCGCGCAAATGCAAAGCGCTCCTCGTCGCCGCTGAAGATGGACGACGTCTTGAGCGCCTTCATGCTTAGGCCTAGGTCGTCCATCATCATGCGCATCGCGTCGGAAAGGTCGGTGTGCTCGCCGTTGTCGTCGAGTGAGGTCTTGACTTCGGATTCGGAGATGAAGAGGTTCGTTAGTGGGGTGGCGGTTGTGAGGACGAGTTTTGCCTGCGGGTTCGTTAGTATAAGGCGGAACGGTAATTGAGAAGTGGTGTACGTACCCGACTCTCATAGACAGCATCAATAAACGTAATGAACCTCCTCGCCAGATCCCGTTGGTGCAGCGTCATCCCAGGGACATCTGTAACAATAAATGCTTCGTAATTCCGCACAAGCTCGAGGTAATCTGCGGCACCAGTCGCAGCCCCAATGAGTTGTTGGAAGCTGAACTTCGCGGCCTTTCCACTGGCAAGAGGGACATTGATCTTGCGGCCCCAGACTTCCTGCGTCGCGGGGCGGGGAGGGTCATTGATGGGGTCACCGAGGTAGTCGAACCATTTCTGAGCGTGCTGTTCGGCTTCCGGGCCAAGGGGGTGGTGGTAGACGCCGGACGGAGGACGAGGGATCTTGCGGTAGTCGGTCGGAGAGTTCAGGTTTATTACTGTCAGGACGGTTTTGAGGAGGGTGATGCAGGGGATAAAGGATTCGCGCTGGATGCCGTTGAGGTAGAGGTCGTCGGGGTGGCGGTTGGAGGTTGTGACGAGAACGACTCCATGCGACATGAGGAGTTCCAAAAGTCTGGCGAGTCAGTAACCATGTGCAATCACACATCGGCGCAGGCACATACCTTCGCAGGATCATGGCATCCGCAACATCCGTACACTGGAACTCATCGAAGCAAAGCACGCTCGACTTCTCCGCAATTTCCGCCGCAACGAGCGGCAGCGCATCAAAGTCGTTACCAAACTTCATCTTAATCACATGCATCCTTTTATGTACATCCTGCATGAAGTTATGAAAATGAATGCGCGACTTGGACGAGATATTAGGCGGCAACGTCTCATAAAATAGATCCATGAGCATCGTCTTCCCGCACCCAACATCGCCATACATATACAGACCCTTGGGCAGATCCTCGGGAATCTTGGTCTCCGGCTTCGCAGGCGCCTTACTGAACAGGGAGCCGAAGAACGACGATTTCTTTTGCGGCGCATCGAGAGACTCTATACTGGGACGCACGACAGCGGGAGCGTGATACGACTTGAGACGCTCGTATAGATCCTGGAGCTGCCCGATGATTTGTCTCTGGTACGGGTCATCCCGAAGCCGACCTTGCTCAACCCGCGCATTATACTCCGCTAGCGGACCGCCGTTCGCTCCAGCAGATGCCTCCACAGGACTCGCAGCCGTAGCCTCCGCAACGGTCGCGAGGCACCGCTGATGCGCCGGGTTCGGCTTCACCGCATTCCACCGACCATGACCACCGTATCTGCGCGAAACAGCCGGTGCCGTTCTCGCGTTATGGAAACTCCTCCTGCAACCCGCGACGAAGACTGGTCTTGATGTGCGTACAGCGGCGGGACGGAGAAGAGCGCGTTTGCTCAGCGTGCCAGCGAGATGGTCGGCGCAAAGCCTGGCGGAGGGGGCGCTCATTGGTATGTAAATCGAACGACTCGGGTTCGTGATTATAAATGCATGCAGCTTTCGTAGATAGGATGCGGATGAGCTGGAAGGCTCGTGGGGGGTCGGTATTGCACTCGCAACGGCTCGACAGTCTTTCTGGTTTCCACTTGCCCGGCCGGATTCCGTGAAAACGTGGGGGAAGAAATGACGAAACGCAGCAACAGGGCTGAGTCTAAGGCGAGGAGAAAAGGGGTATAAGACGAGTCTAGACGCAAAGCAACAAAGAGCGCCAATTACAGCAACGAGCAAGAGCAGTTAAAATGTGTCTGCTGAACTTGAGGCGAAAAGCGTTGCCGAGGGAGAAGACCAGTACGGTAGTCAGGTGACTCGGAAGTCGGCGGGGGCCCGGCATCCAGATTTGGCTCCGAACGGACTCGGACCATGGTTGACAGCCAGGGGCTGGAAGAGACAAACTCTAGTCGGAGGACATGGAATGAACTTAGGTCTGTATATATGCATGCTAAATTTTATGTACAGATGGCAACACAAACATGGAAAAGGGTATGAGAGCAGAAAAATCGAACAAGAAGCCAACAATGTACATATTCGCATCAACGTTTCATTCAGACGTCTCAATCTGACATTGATGTCATATCGTCAATCTCGTGAATTGAATCCGACAGACAAATGCACTCGTGAGGCTGGTGGCGAAAGCCAACCCAACAGACAAAATACCTGAACGCCACGACGTCGCATCCCAAAGACCCAAACAAAAGAAAGAGGAAAGGGTAGGCTGAAGTAGAGCTGGCACAAACAAAGGAGACTGCAGCGAGGGTGAGATATGAGGTCGGAAAAGGAGAAAGTGACAGAGAGAATCTAACATGACAGGTTTTATGCAAGTCCGACGTAGAGTGTGAGTTTGGGATTCCGTTGAACGGCGGCATCGAGATCGCTGTCGCTGATCAGGTCGACGTAGGTGCCGGATGGCTCGTCCTTGTATTGCACTATGATATCCTCACTGATCTTCAACCGGTCCATAAGCTTTTCTTTGAGCTGCTGGACATTGATATCGCCGGGTACACGGATCGCAATCAGGTCGTCTTGGAAGTTGACCTTGACCTTCAAGGCACCTCCGCTTGAGGATGAGACTTGCGTCATCGAACTTTGTTGTCGGATCATTGGCGGCTTTCCGTTCGGAATAGAGCTGGACGTTTGCGAGCGCTGATGAGAGTGGGAGAGCGAGTGAGAGTGTGAGTGGGAGCTTCGTTCCGAGGGTCCGTTCTGCGGTTGCGACGATTGCCTCGACGCGCTAGGAGAGAGCTCTTGGCCAGAAGAGTGATGCGAGCCGGCCGAGAACCGAGCATCCTCCCCAAAAGCACTCGGATCGATTTCAAAGTCACCTTGACGGGGTGCGAACAGCTGACGAACGAGAGCGCATCGCGTGATGTGCGGAGGCATAGCTAGGAGCTTTTTGATATATTCATCCAGATTATGCCGCCGGCCATCGGAGATGGCATCGGTGACGTGGGCGACAGGACCGGGCATAAATGGAAGGGTCCGGGGTTTGCCCTTAGCGCCTGCTTCCTCCTCAAATTGGGTCAATAGAGCGATCTGGAAATCGTAAAAGTCGTGGTAGTATCGAGATAACTCCCAGCAGCGGCCATCCTCCATTTTGACTTCAATAATGTACCAATATTTATCGTTGTCGAAACAGTAACGAGGAATCGACGCAGCAACGGGTGCAACAAGGGGTTGGTGACTCTGGGACTGGTGCTGATGGATGGACTGGGCGATAGACGCTTTGCTGGCGTTGCGAGTATGGTACGCCTGCACGGTGCGCGTTAGCCTTGCGGGTAACGAAACAAGAAGCATTGACTTACGCTGGGATGGCCGTTCTGGCTCATGTGGCTCATATGGTCCGCGCTCTGGCGCACTGACATCCTCTCCATACCCGAAGTGACGCCCTGCATGGAGCCACCGCCGGATGCCTCAATTTTGCCCAGACTGATACTGCTGTTTTTATATTCGGCAGTCATCTTCTTCCATTCCTCAACCTTTGGAACACCAGCGCGCCTGACGGCCTCAAGCGGATCAATAACCGCCTGCCCGCTCTGCATATCGCGAAGCTCAATAAACGACACGGGGATGAGGCCGGGCCCACCGAGGCGACCGATAGGTTTTGCGACGAACCACTCTGGATTCGACTGGGCGATGACAATGATAGCCTCGCCCGCTTTAGCGTCCAGCTCGTCTGGCCGTTCGGCCTGGAAGTCGTACTGAACGACGCCATAGACCATGGCGCCTCCGCCTGCTTTGCCCATCATGGAGACCCGGGGGAATGCGGGGTTGGGGTGCGATTGATAAGACTTCGAGGAGCCTGAGCCGAATTCAGAACCTGAAGAAGTAGCGCGATCAGCGAAGCCCGAGTCGTGCGGTTCTTTCTTCTTGCCCAGGTCGATGGATCCGCTGCTGTCCCGTTGGGTTTTGCTGATGACTTCGAAAAAGGTCACGGGAACCAGCCCCCTGGCGGTAGGGATAAGGGGATTGCACGCTTCGTACCAGTCCGAGTCGTCCTCCCTGCTGATAACGTGAAAGAAATCGCCCTTGCTGAAGGCCAATTCCTGGGTATCCCCTGGTGCGGGTTGGTAATCGTAGAGCGCCTTGATAACCTGTACGCGTCGGAGGCGGAATGGTCAACACGGGTCGAAGAAGAGGAGAGGAAAGTAAACAATGGAATCACCAAAAGCAGGTGAGTAGATAAAGAGAGACTCGCAACAAAGACTATATATAAAAAGTACAGAAAGAAAGAACGGCAAGGTAAAGCGCACGCACCTTCTTAGGAGGCAGAATGGCAACGGCGGACTTGGGCGTGATGGAGAGATGGTGGTGGTGGTGGGGTTTGGGATCTTTCTCCCCTTTCAGCGAGCGTCGGAGAGCCTAAAATTTGTGGTGTTAATATCGATCGCCTAATCATCGCTCAGAGTCAAGGCGGTGATGCTCTGCAATTTCCCAGATGTCGAATCCCGTCTATCGCAATCATCGCCGGAGTCTGAATGGCTTACCTTCATGGTGACGTCTTTGAATTATCTCGTAGGTACTTCGTACGTGGTCGAGTCTCGAGGAGAATCAGGAAATCGGACTCGACAGGTCACCGGCACTAACCGGCACCCATCCAATATAACACCGACGCAAGCCACCGAGTCGCAAAACTAAAGGAGCGAGCGCAGGTCGCGACAAAGAGAATGTAATCCTCAAGAGTCTGAACTCTGAAATGAAAGGAGCGACAAATAAATCGAAAGAGTGTCGGGGAGTTGAGTCACAAGGGGTGAGGACTGGGGTGGTGGAAGAGCTAGAGGGAACAAAAGAAGAGGACAGGACAGGAACAATCAATGGGAGCCCAGAGCGTCAAGTAATAATGCGGCCAGAACCCAGGGACTGCGTCGAGGTAACCAGAGCTGTTGTTTCTTTTTCCAAGCAAACCTGGCTCCGAGAATTGTGTGTTCCAGAGTATTTGCTGCCCTCGTGCGTTGAGTTACCACGGATGGCGATCAGAATGATTGTGGCCCGGAAGTTACCCCCGCCTCCGTTGGACTGCGCTGGCTGGAGTGGACCGTTCCCAAGACGCAGGATCAGATACTGAAAATGATATGATAGCGGTGGCTGAACCAGAGGATCCAAAGGGGTCGTGGGGTTGGAGTTGGACCTCAGTAGTATTTGCTAGCCTTCAGATTGGAATCACAGGTGGCGGTCCCAGTCGGCTGGGACAGGGCAGACCGACGTAGCCAGGCAATCAGGCAAGGAAGATGCGTCGAAGATGCAGGAGAACACTGCGACGGGCTCCAGCTCTTCTTTTTAACTAATTATCGTGTACGGTCGAGGGGCAGCAGCACAGTACTGCAGTAGTGAGGATGTTAGTTGTACTCAGTATGGGGTCGGGCTGGTGGAGGTGGGTTTGTGTGGCCAATAAAGACATCACGGCATGAAAGCAATAAAGAACTGCCCAAACTATTGAAAATGTCAATTAAATGTCATTTAACTCTTCCACATTTTTAAGACTCTATATTATAGACTACTGCTACTTAAAGCGCTAGCGAACGCATCTTCCTCCGGCTCTCCTTCCCCGCTGCATCCCATGCTTATCCACTGCGCCTCTGAGGTCGGTGTATCTGCCCATCCTCATGCATTTATGATGCTTGTTACTCACTGGCGGTTGGGCAGCATTTGATCGATCATCGATGTCGAGCCACCACCTTTCTAGCCGCCAACTGCTACACCGTAGTCTATCCCTGCAGGGTGCGAAGTACTGAGTACTCCGTAAGGTGTTTGCCACAGCCTAGTGCCCACAGTGAATTGTGCTAAAATTGTACCTTGCCACACCTTAAAATCAGGTGACTGGCTGGGCATGTCCTACCTACAATAATGATAACACTAACAGCCTTCCTCCATTATCCACAACTCAACGGCCATGACGTTGCTCAGTCAAGTCCTTTATGTCGCCTCTCAAACCAAACAAGGGAGCATCAACAAAGAACACCACATTATTAGCTAGCCACCATAACTCAAAGCACGCAAGCTCGCGCGAGATCGGCTTTGACAGTCTGACCATTTTCTGCCTAACCATGGTTCGTGCAAGCCTGGTCCTTCGATTCCATTCTTTCGCCCTTCCTTCCCCCGCCTCGGAGGCTGGATCTGGATCGAAAATTGGGTGAGGCACTGGCGATCAGCGGCTAAACCATACTCATAACTATAGAGGCTGGCTGGTGCTGCCCGGAGACATGTGAGAAAGTCAGAAGACAAACTTCCTTTTTCACCGGAGTAGATACATACAAAACGTCAAGATATAGATCAAATAAACGTGCTCTATCCGAAGCCGAGGTTTCAATGACTCGCTGGACCCGCTATGTTCGAGAACGTGGCTGCGGGTCTGTTTGTCCGCTCGAGATCCATCGATAACTCTGTCGTACGTAACAGCTACCACTCTGCTATCTACGTATACTCTACGTAGACTAGACTAGACGCGTAGGACATTTTCAAAAAATCCATATTGATACTAAAATTATCTGGTTTTGCCTATGTACCGAGTATGCGCATCTGCCAGATAATCCACCTAATCTAGAGACCATATGCCAAACTCCAAGCGCGCGAAAAATAAAGACACCAGTGCTTTTGCTATTGACGGGGTATATCGATCCGAAGTTGGGCGGTCGAGAACGGGATCATGCAAAATGAGAAAGAGAAAAAGGAAAAAGAAGAACGAGGTAAGAGTACTGAAAATAGTCGGGTGTGTGTAGGGTGACTGTGAGGGCGAGAGGTAATCCAGGTAGTGAAATGATGACGGACGTAGAATGAAATAGAACTTAGATCTGTCCCTTGATATCAATCACGCGATGGGCGTCGGCTTTCGCTGCCTCAAACTGTTGAGCCGCTTGTACTGTTGTAAGCAGTCTCACGGCTCCATCCTTCTCTGAGAGCTTGTCCTCCGAGCAATGATCAAGGATGAAGCGCGCACTCTGCTCATCAGACTCGAAGCCGAGCTCTTCTGTGATGAAGCGGATGTTTACGTCTGGCTTGTATCTGTGTGTCTGTTAGCAAAAGCTCAAGGTGAACGAGGGGAAAGACTCACGCTTTACAAATGGCTGAAAGGGCGGAAAGTCGCTCGCGATCCACAAACATATCCATCAGGTAAGCTCCCATGTTCGGGGTATCAAGATAGAGCTGGAAGAACCGGTGGTAGTTGCCAAGAGCCAGCGCAGACCGCACATCCAATGCGTGCTTGACGGCTTCACTTTGCTTGTCTGCTGGGGTTAGATCGGCCAGGGCATCGTTCATTGCCGTCCAGTTGCGCGTGTGGATGAAGTAGAGAATGCGATATGCCTTGAACTCGGTCGGGTGACCTTCCAGTTGCTGTGCGTAGAGAGCCCGCAGCTGCGTCTGACACTGATTATACTCACCAAGATCACCCTTCTCTAGCGCAATCCGGGCGTGGATCTCATAGACATTGACGGTAAATTCGTTCCTGATGTGCTGCACGGTCAAATCCTGGCGCAATGACTTGAACTGATCACAGATGTAGGTATAGTTGTTGTCATTTTTCCACTTCTTTTTCAGCAGATCCAGTGTTTTCATCAGGACAGGTAGAGGACGGACTGTATCCGGATTCGGCGCTGAAGTCAACCGGAAGTAACGCTTCTCCAGATCCTGGCACCTCCCAACAACGGGACCGGTTGGGACAGGAGATGGAGATGCACCGCGTGACGACGGCGAAGATCCGTATCCTCCTCGGGGATCCTCAAACCGTTTCTTCCGCCACTCCAGATTAGCATTGGACTTACTGTTCTTCATATCTATGCGTTGGCGCTTGTCTGTGGCTGAATAAGTGACTCGATCTTCAAAGACGTTTGACTTGTTAGTTTGCCTCCAGGGCGGACAGGCGTTCTCCGATTGGTACTCAGCCGACTTCCTCTTCCTCGACGCGTCGTCAGTTGAGATGCGCTTCGGCGATTGGGCAGCGAACGGAGATCCCCAGGTGGAAGCCTCGGGGTTGGCCAGTATCCTGAGCTTATCGTTCTGCACCATGACCTGGGGTAACGGGTACGATTCCCAGTTGATCTTATCAAGCGCATCGGTCTGGGCTGCTTCCGTTATGACCGACTTCAATTTCAACTCCATCTCTTGCCTAGAAACGCCGGAAATCTGGTTCTCAGGGGCGAAACAGCGCTGTACATACATGCGGACGGGTTCCGGGAACTCTACTCGCTTTCGGTTGGCGTCTGTTGTTGTTTTAGACTGAGCGGGGGTTGTGGAGGTCGAGGTCGATGCCGGGGTGGTAAGGCTACGGCGTGCTTGAACTGGTATGTATGCTGGAGTGGCTTTCGAGCTCATCAGCATCTCTGGCGTAGTTGACAAAATAAAGGGGATCTCACCATGACCAGGGTAAACAGCAGTAGTAGCGGTAGCCGAAGCGCTCGCACGCCACGGGGGAACGCCAGAGCTCATTTTGACTTTGAGTTTAGGGTAAACCCAGACGACAAGTGAGGTAAAGAAAAGAGGAAAAGAGGAGGAAACGCAACAAGAGAAGAAAGGGCCTCGAAGAGATGATCTGAAAGGGAGGAACGGATGTACTACGGTTGTCAGACTCGAAGGGATCAATAGTCACGGAGCTGACTTGTTCCAGTTGTGGAGAGGGGCCTAAGAAGAGATACAAGAAGAGGCAGAGAGAAATACAAATCTTGACCAAGAGAAGGCTAAACCCGGCAGGTTATATAGATCATGGATCCAGGATGAGAGTCAGGTTAGGATTCACTTCTGGAGGTGCTTTTTGGTGGCGGTGGGCAATTTCGACTGAGTGAATGAAGCGTGAATGTGGCACAAGTCACGTGCATTGCCCTGTACACCAAAGCATGCCAAKAGAGTTTCAAATGAACATTCACAAATTATTCATGGGTAAATTTTCAAGTCATATATGTACATGCCAACATCCATTATCATGTTTCATTCATATGCAGTCATATCAAAGCAGTATTTCCATCAAGCAAAAAAAGCAGTTGCATCGGGGATCGGGGAATCAGGGTAACATAATTGCGTCAAATGGGAAAACATAAAAAAAAGATCATTTCTTCCAAAACATGGCCTTTTGCATTCCTCTCGAGATAGCCCACTTTGTTTCGTGCAGCTTGTCCGTCATGTTCAGACCTTTGCTGCCATAAGACACCTTCGGCTTTCCAACGTTGCTGCCGCCGACTGAGCTCCCAGCAGCGCTGGCGTTGGCACTGGCAATATTGCCGGCTTGGAACTTGGCCTTGCCTTCGACGAGCTTCTGTATCAGGTACAGAATAGCGTAGGTCGTGGATCCAATGGCGCGAATGATGGCTAGCACTGCGACAGACCACAGGATGATAGCGAGGTAGACGTTGGTACCGCTCGAGCCGACACCGTACACTTCGGACACGGCCATAGCAAGAACCACGTTGGCAACCATCCAGACAGAAACCATGTACGTACGTACGGCGCGGTAGTAGTCTTCCTGCTGCTGACTCTCGGAGATTCCAGGATCAGGGACCTCAAGGCGGTCTCGGAGATTTCGGAGCGCAGCGTCGTAGCCACTGTCAATATCAAGCTGCTCAGACGGCATCTCAACTTCGACGATGGACCCATTGATAATTTTTGCCGCACCCAGGTCGGTATTGATCGTGTTATCACCTTTGGTACCCCAGGTGACATCGTGCGTGTTACAGAACGCGTAACATTGAAGGGTACAAATGTAACTGGGGAGCAGGGCAAAATACTGCGCAGACGACGTAAACATGTGCCAAGGGTCGAGATACATAAACGACGTGAAAAAGTATAGCCCGACTGTGGAGAGCAAGGAGACCACGATGTTCACGAAGAGCGTGTCGCTCATGGTGATTGGGACATCATGGCCCGTCTTGGCCATAAGCTCAAGCACAATCAAGTATAGTGTGCAGAATGCTGTATACGCCATGACTATACTGTACACAATCATGCTAGACAGGTATAGCTTCTTCGCACTGTAGACCGGTTAGCGCGCCGCAAAGAGCAATAAAACAATAGAAGAGTCTTACCCCTGTGGTCGATTGCCCATAGAGAAGATAAATTGAAGACACATAACCAGAATACAGGCATATCTTAGCACGATAAAGATGTACTTGCCCATATTGTGGCCAAATGGGTCAATTTTCTTATCGGTAAGCGAGCCGGCAATGAAGAAGAACGCCAGGTAGAAATTCGCCTATACTTGTCAGTTACGACTTCTGGCCTTGAATGGAAAATACTTACAAGACCAAAGTAAGTGAAGATTAGCTGAAGCAGTTGGTAAACGGATTCGATCTGAAGGAGAATCTTTCGCGGAAGCGAATGGTCGGTTTTCCACAGCTGTTTTCCGTTGACAATAGAATAGACGGCAGCAAAAAAAGCACCGTTCAGCCATCGTCGACGCTGGGAGATAAACTCAGGGATGGAATCTAGTCATATATTAGCAAACATCTTTCAAGATGCAAAAGGTACGTACCAGGAACATCCGTCTCTCCCACAGCACTCTTGACGAATCTCAGAACCCATCTCTCTTCCCTCTTAGCCACCAACTCCCAGCAGAGGATACGATCCTCGGCCAGATACATGTTGGCTGTGAACACGTCTGCATCTTTTCCATGCAACGTCTCTCCCTTAAAATATTGATTCAGGGGCCCATTACCCTCGGCATCATTCTGCAAAGCAAAGAATCTGTAGGCACTAAGCGCACCCGGCAACACAGTGATGTAGCCGAATACGGACTCCAGAGGCTTGTCGAGAATGTTGGACATCTTGTATTCGAAGTTTTGACTCGCAACAAGCGGATTCAGGAGACCGAGCATGTTCTTTCCCTTGCTTGCCTTGATTTCACCGGCTGCGCCAGCGACGTTGGAATCTTGGTCAAACGATTTCCACAAGTGGTACAACGCTGTAGGCTCTGGACGTGTACCGACGTCGAGCAGAATGCAAATGTTAGGCTGCAGAGCGCGGCCAAAGGCATTGAAGAACCAACGGTGCGAGTTCAGCTTTTTCTGGTTGTGCTCTTTCAGACAAAAGATAACCTGGCAAGGGACAATTCCCTTCTCAGCTCCCTTAAACTTAAGGTCGTCGTCGAGGGACACTTGAGTGGTGTATTCATAAACGTGGGCATTGACCTGCTTCTGGTTGACCACGTTCTTTGCAATACCTTCTTGGTAAACACCCAGAGCTGCCAGGGCGTTCAGCGTCCGCGGATGCACCTTCTTTCGCCCGTCTGAGATGATACAGACCACGATCTTTTTCCACCCATCTTTTCCCCAGGTGCGGGACTTTGACCGTGAACAGAAGTGGCTGATATTTCGCATGACACCGTGCATAGTCCGTGTAAAGTGAGATTCGTCCTCGTTGTACATGGTAATACAAATAAATAATTCCGTCTCGCGCACAGTTCTTCCTATCTGCTGGCGCAGTTTGTATCCTCGTTGCGTGAAGTCATCTGGGTCGCAGGTCACAGCAGTATACCGCATGTGTGTAAATTCTCGGTCATCTCGGCGCGGCAGAAAGCTGTGGAGGATCGTGGGTATTTTGCACTCCAAGATCAGTTCACCGTTGACCAGCTGCACCTCCTTCTTCGCCATCTGCGCGTTGCGGACTCCACGGCGGCTCTGTTTCTCTGGGGCGGGTCCATAGTGCAGGTTAGGGTCAACCATTGATTTCGTTTCGGTGCTTTCGTCGTCATATTCGTCCAAGTCAACCTTCTCCAGATCCCGTTCGTCCGCAATAAAGGTCGACTCACTCGCAAACGATTGAACGCTGCCGTGGGGTCCGTGGCGCGAGTTTATTGTCCTTCCATCGCCGCCAAATGGGTCGTCCTCTGCATCGCCAATATCGATCCTTGTGTCTTGAGCACCGGCCCCTGGTTTTGAAAATAACGGTGCTGGTGGTAGGGGCCTTCTTGGGCTCCCGCCGTATCTTGAGCTTGGGGTGCCAGGTCTGGGGCTGCCATTGAGGTCTGCGCGCTCATATTGTGACGCAGCTACAGACGGCGGTCTGACCCAGTCTGGCGCACGACTAGGAGACCACGGCCGTGTAGGTGATGCGGGGCGAGAAGCGGTGAAATGCATCTCTTCTGCGACGGATGCTGCAGGCGGAGGAATCGTAGGTGCGTATCGCATGCTTGGAGCGCCGCGTGATAGTGTTTCTTCGCCGTCATATTCGTAGGAATATCGCTCAGGGTATCTGCTTTCTGTACTAGCAAATCGCACACGCCGATTAGCACGTCTCCCATAGTAATATTGATCATAATAGTCTCTGCCATAATAGTCCATTTTGCAGGCACAACCTCGACAAGCTACAAGGCTTGCACTGCTCGATGTTTAAATAGAAATATATTGACAACGACAAATGACGGGGCTCGACCCACAGCCTCATTTGGCAGAACCTCCGGCATAGCAACCGGGACACAGACCAAATACCGGCCTGAAACATGACATTCCATGTGCAGGAAATGGATGGAGCAATCAATAACAGGAACACTCACTGGTTATCATCGCTGAATGGGTCTCCCTGCCTAACCGTCCCTAAATCAGTGCTCAAATCCGATTCCACCTGGGAGCTCGAGGGTAAGAGGCGCATTGTCGGTCCGGCATGGCGAACATCATTATCATCATACGAGTCTCCGTAGCCGCCATAGCTGTAAGCTGGAGGCTCCTCCTCCTGCCCGTACGGTAGACGAGGTTGACTCATGCTTGTTTCAGAAACGGTTCAACGGGACATGCCCAAAAAGTGAGGCGCTCGGAGCACTGGAGCTTCTCGAGAATCAGGATCTTGACTTGTGGATTCTTCTGAATATAGAAAGAATGATGTACTCACTGCGGAAAGAGCACCAGGTCTGGCAGAGATGATTGGTAAACAAAAGGCTTTCCGGGGTAGTTGTGAGGAATGTGATCCAGAAGTACCAAGGTTCTCCAGTATAGTCCTGGACGAAGTGCAATCGATGGCTTCCCGTGGGTATGGTAGAGGCGAGGCTCGTCTGTAAACAAAGACGACAGTCGACAACAGAGACACTCGACGGATAGGCGCAGGAAAGAGCTTGAAGGAGATGCTAAGTAAGTTATAGCGCACTCGTTTTAGGTGTTTTCTTTCCTTGCTGACGGCGCTTGGAGCGATCGGAAGCTCATCGCCATGGAGCTTGTCGCCCAGGGCAACCAGCGGCTTGGGCGGGGAACTTGCTTGCCGTTCCTTGCATGTTTGCTTTTTGATTTGATTCTCACCTGTCTGGCCACTCGTGTTTGTCTCTGTTTGCCCAATTCCGATCCCCGCTCGCGATTCATGTTCTTGGTGGGTTTCGATGTTCGTGAAGGAGAAGGGAGGAGCGGTGGTGGTTGCTGGCCGCCACCCTCATCACCATCACCACCCTCTCGCTTCCTCGACTTACGACAGGGCAGACTGATTATTCCATTGAGGGGAGTATACTGTCATATTCGAAAGGCTACGCTATTATTACCTTGAATCGAATCGGAACCATCACCACGCAACTCAGCAGACCCATGGATTTGCGGCGATCCTCCACAACAAACCAGGAATAGTACAAACAAAAAACGACGGCAACCTCCTAGCTCATCCTACGTCCATACCTCTGTTGTTTCCGCAAAACTCCTTACTAATCTTTTCCCCGCTTCTCGCCCTGGTCGAGCATAACGCCTCCATGTCTCATTCATTAGAACGGCTCAAGAAGCAGGCCCCGCGGAGTCATTAAGCAAGGGCGCACGTTCAGCATCGCCCGAGTCCGCCTCTCTGGGAGCCCGTAAGAACACATCACGACCGGAGTACTTGGCGGAGGTGATGTACAGAGAGTCGAGCAGGAAGACTCCAAAGATAACCCACGCGAAGATCCACTGGAGATGAAGGTCACTCTTGTGGCTGGTTTGGGCCACGGCCAGACCTGCAGTGAGACACAAGTCAGCATGCAACTCCGCAAACGCTAGTGACTATGACTTACCGAATGTCAGCAGACTAAGACTGTATCCCAGGAGATCGTCAGTCGCCAAGAAGATGTGGATAGAGCCGATCAAGAAGATAATCCAGAGGAAGATGTTCGCTGAGATGTGAGTAGCCGCATTATGAGCCGAGACGGCTGCGGCTCCTCCCCAGAAGAGCGCGATCAAGGACCACGCGTACGGGCCGGCGACAACAGCCACATGCGAGACCGGAGGCAGAGAACGGACGCGCCAAAACAGGAGATGCTGGTTGATGAATGAGGCGACCACAAAGATCTCTGCCGGCCAGAAGTGGCTTCTGGTCCAGAGGAGAAGCCAGGCGACAATGAAGAGATTGTTGAGGATAAAGTGTGATGCTGCGTTTGCTGCCAAAGCCACAACCGCATCGTCCTGGTTGAAGAGCTGGAACACGTAGAATATTTGAGAAAGGAGAAGGATGATCCTACATGTCATTGGTATGCTACCACAGCTCAAAGTGCTCGAGGAGGTACATACCAGTAAATCTCGACGACAGTTGCATTCACACTGAATGCAGTGAAACGTCGCTCCAGCTGCGACCAGATATTATGACCGTGAGAGACATCGTGCGGCTTGTGGACAGAATAGTAGATACCGATGACAACCACCAGAGCCCAGGAGAGAGGCACCAGGATCCGGTATGCTGTAAGCGGATACTGACCATGCGAGTCACGCCTAGCGAAGGGGTTATAGACTGGGGAAATGCAGTAGTCAGCAGCTGTAATACGTTGGGGATATAAAGCGTGGAGTCAGAGAGATGAAAACATACAAGGCATCGTGAAAACCTCGACGAATTCCTAAGGGAACCGATAGAAGATGCGAAGACCAAATGCGAGAAAGCATTTGCATCAGACTAGGCATGTACTTTTATATCCTGGCAGAGGTGCAGAGCAGTCTAGTGCATGAACTGTAAGATATGACGACAATGCCCAGCACCCCCGCAATTCGGCCCTCGACGAGTCGACGGAGTCTCCTGACACGAGCTGCTCAACGCCCACTGGTCCGCCACTGCCCTTCGACTGAAGCAGTCTAGCCGCAGTCTGGAATGATGGGATCCTGCCATTGCAGATGTGATCTCCTCCTCCACTGGTGCACTAAGCGCTGTCGATCCGTGGCACTGCCTACTTTGTCCCCATTAGGTAGTCCCTACGAGTTTTTGCCTGGGATATTCGGTGCCGCGGCCAGGAATACGAGACAGCTGGATTTGATGAAGAGGATTTGTTCTGATGGGGTGATGGGTAGATAAATAGATTAAGGAGATACATAGTGTGGCGGTGGACAGGGAAATCCGTCATCATGCAATCGGATACGATGAGTCGGTGACAAGTCTGATGATGCTCTCCTCCAAGGTTCGAGTTCGTACCTAGTCCTAGTGTAGTCGCCATCCCTGCCGATCGATCATCGCGCTACTCATCGATAGGACCCTTGGAGCTTGAAGAATCAGGAAACAATTACTCCGCAACTCCGTATGTATGTAGTTGAATGACGAAGAAAAAGCAACGAGGTCTCGAGAGAGGGGTAAGATAACGCCATGATTGGCTTTGGATGAGATCTGTTCTGCAGCCTGCTCTCGCCCTGTCGCTAGATTCTCCCACTGTATCTGTTTCACAGCGTTCGAGATCTAGCTTTCACGAGCTGGCTGTTTACAGGGGCAACCCATCCTCTGCCAGACACTCGTATTGCGACTGATTTTTGGGTCTCTGCTGCATTCACCTCATCTGTTTCACAGCCTCCACGAGCCGGCCGTGGATCGAGGTAGGCGCAATAATCATCCCTTCGCAACCCGAAAGTGTTCTTCCCAGAGTGAGGTCAACAGGCTTGCCTTCCAAGTCGCTCACCGTCAGCCCCAGCTCCTCTACAATCAACATACCGCCGACGTGATCCCAGACTTTAGAGCGATAAGACGACTTGCGTGGGATCTTGATAAGCACGTTGCATCCGCCAACAGCGATGGCGATGTACCGTAGCTGCGCAGACCAGAGATCCGTCCTGGGCGGCCACGGAGCGCCCAAATTCTGTGCAAGACGCGCATTCAGGTCATAGTCCGACGATGTAGCCGACTTACAGTCGACAAACTGAATATCCTTGGGCTCTGTGATCTGAGCTATCGGCTGAACCTTGGTCGCAGGCAATAGAGTTCCGCCGCCCATCGGCCTCGTCCACACACCTTCCCCAGCAACAGCGAAAACCATCACACCGCGCCCTGCTCGGTCTGCAAGGTCCTCATGAATGCACCCAGATTCGAGGTTGAGGTTCGGGCAGCCCGTAACCCCAATGATCTGCTTGCCGTCCTCCACAAGACCCAGACAGACAGCGTACTGCTGACCGCGCATAAAGGTTGCCGTACCGTCGACCGGGTCCAGAACCCAGGTCCGGCCTTTAGGCTTACAGCTTCCCTGCGCGCCTAAATCAATCAGGCTGAGCATTTCGTCTTTGGAGCGCGGTGCAGTGAGCAGTTTTTCGCTCTCCTCGTCTTCCAGACGGGTAGATGAGACCAGTTCCCAGGTGCGCTCGAGCAGCTCTGGTTCCGCACGCAGAGTCTTGGAGTCTTCCTCACCGACGATGTCATCGTCCGGGAAATGATGGTGAATCGCAGCAATGATCAGGCTCTGAGCACCGAAGTCGCTGATGGTGACAGGGGTGTCGTCTTGCTTGTCGAACGAACCCTTGTCGACGGCTTGGATAAGCTTCTTGGTTAGAATTGCGGCTCGCTGAACCGCCAGACACGCGATTTCCAGTTCGGTGTAGTCCATGTTTGAGTTTGCGTTGGCTCGGTCGGGGATTCAGTCTCGATCAAAGTTTGTAGAGCAGAAGTCGCGATTACGTAGAGACTCGCGCCAAGCTCCTGGATGTGGGTCTCGTCCGGTCGCTGTGATTGGCCCCAGGCTTTGATGAAGTCACTCGCCTAGCCCTAAGAGATCTATGCAGAGGAAGAGAAGAGAGATGCACCAGTGTACAGGATATTGTGGGTGTAACCTCTTCTGGAAGCTCTGACTCTAAAGGTTTACTTTAGCTACGAGAGCTGACCCTTGAGTGAGGCATTCCGCTGTCATAATAGGAACAAAACTGTGAATTGCACAACACCTAAGCCAACAACTTCATTATGGCTTTCAGTATCTAACAAACCAAACAAATTCCAAATTCCTCCCTCTACCATTCCCTTCCATCTATCTTACTTACTGTAATGATTCTTGATCTCTCACTTTGCAGCTAAGCCGAAGAAAACCAAAACGACTTTAACTAACACTCATCCCTCCATAACCACAAGCCACAACCTCAAACACAGGCAACCTGACAAATGTCCAACCCCATCCGCCTCTTCCAAGCCGCCTCTGACGTCCCCAAGCAATATGTGATCTTCTACACCCTCAAAGCACACGTCCTAGGCCTTCTCGACCAGATCCATCCCGAGAAAATCCGCATCTGGCTAACGCTCCCTTTTGCGTATGACGCCCTAGCACACAAGCACGGCGGCGCACCGAGCCCATTCCGGAACGAGTGGGACAGATGGTGCTACTGGCAGCTGGTTTGCTGGCCGGGCATGGTCGAGCGGGCGTGACTGAGATGCTTGTCTATATATTGCCGGGAATCTTATTATAGATAAGGGAGGCCCTGGCCTAGACACATTACGTATCTGCGTTTGAATTTAGAGCGCTTTTACGGGCATAGAGGCATGGTATACATTTTCATGCTACATGCTATGAATGCACATGTTTCAACTGTGACGAAAGTCAACATCCAAGTCTCCAGGGGACAATATTTCAAACTCAGCCATCAGTTCATATTGGACATCAGAACGTCTTTGGCGTCAGAAGTCGTCATGAAATAAGTGGCTAATACATCACGAGCACGAACAACTTGTTGTCTTTTTTTGGTCTCAGTTCACATATATCTCAGCTCGCTCTAGTAAGATATGTTCTACACATAGTGTTCAAGGCCAGAGGCTGTTGTTCCGTACATATGTACTCAGTGTGGTCCTTGTTTCGGTCCATGTCCAGTCCACCAAAGGGATCCTAATGGAATATAGGAGTAGAGACTATTTCGAAAGGAGGATCCGAGTGGAAATTTCAGTGCCTCTTCATGATCACAAATACTGCGCAGGATGAGCATGTACTACAACTAATGGAAACAGTAGTGGTATTTTGAGCTTTTCTGTCCTCTGTGGGTGCTATCAATACAAGGTATGGCTGACCGGCGCCATCTGAAGCACCAATAATCTTGGTCCGCAGTACTCAGGCAATTAGGTGAGAATATGGCTCGGCAGTGGTCATTCATGTTTATTATTAGCCACCTAGGGCTAGGTACAGTTATTCGGAGTCAGGCTTTTCCCCAGGCCGCCACCACCTGTCATATTTCATCAGAAAATTCTTGCTTTGGAACCTCGCCGGTCTTGCTAGCAATAGATTTAGGCGCCGTTTCAATACTTCCTCGGAGGCATTGCTGTGCATCCCCAATCGCTCAGCAAACCTTTTCAGGTGGGTGGAGCACATGATTGCTCTAGCCTTGCTCCTGCTTATAGTAGATTCTGTACTAGTTATCATGGCCACCTTCTATAGTAGCTTAGACTTTTCTTTGTTATCAAGTTTCCTGGTGGCTTCCAGAACCTCTAAGGGCAGATTCAAGGTGCCGCATCCGCACTTAATTCTTCCAGTTGGCGTTGACCCAGGTACCATTGTGGTGTACTGTGATGGGGTGGCTGCACCTTTTGGCAAGACCTTAGGGTACCGATCTTCCAAGGTGCTTGCGGTCTTCTGGCGGGCCTGAATGTGTGACGAGTCCTTACTTTGTTTGTGACTTGTGAGGTCCAATGGCAGCTGGTTCGCCTTGGGTTCAGAGATATCTAGCAAGACATTGGCGTTCTTGCCTTTCCGCGCGCTCGACTGTTGGCAGATTCTCGGGCGTATCTGATTGTTATTTGCTGATCGCGTGACTCGTGTAAGCTGCGTATTGCTTGCTGTCTGCAGGCCATTTGCTGTTGGAAATGCAACACTTCGCTTGCAGTGGTCTGCGTTGAGGTTCAGGGTGCTTAATAGGCTGTCCGCCCTTTTGCGTTTCTGGGTGATTGGTCGGGTTACAGCGAGTAGAGAGGATTGAGTAACCACTATAGGCGTCGGGTCCTGGTCTACTAACCCCGGGGCTCCTTTAAGCCGGCTCTTGATTGTCCCATGTAGATTGTTTCCCGTTGACGCAGCGTGAATTGGGGCCTCCCCTGAGTCGGCGTCTCTTCGGAAACTCTCTAAGGATGAAGAAGGATGACAACCCCTGATGACCACTGGGTCATCGTCCGCTGAATCAGTCTTTTCTGAACCCTGTGTCTTGCTTACTGCATGTAGATCCTCCCCACTTAATAAGTTGTTGGCTGCATCGCTGCGGCTTGCTTCGCCTTTCAAGGTATGCAGTAACTCTTTATTTCCTTCTCCAGTCGGGGAATCAAACAGTTCTTGGTCTTCCTGGGAGCCTTCGACGTCAAAGAACACCCCGCTTTCTTTGGATCTTATGGCGTTGATAACGGCATTATCCTCGTGGCTTGAGGTGTTTGGCAGGCCATTAACTTGTAACAATGCGGCCAAACTGCTTGTCGGTTTTGGAGTCAGCGACGGCGGGCTGTCCAGGCGAGGGCCTTGTTGCTGCGGTTGCTAAGATGATAGGTTGGCAGTATCAAGGGCGTCGGAATTCACGGATTTGGCTTGTAGCTCTAGAAAGCCGTATCGATTAATGGTGAGTCCCAAGGTATTAGCCTCACTTTCTGTCAGGAAAGGTGCGTCGCGTCGCTTTCTTGCTTCTCTTAGGTCCTTAGGTAAAATCTTCATCACCCGACTGTGGCCATGTCCTCTCCCCCATCGTAGTCTGTGAAATATTGCTTGGTTTAGCGCGTTGATTGCCTTAGCTGCGTTTTCGCCCGTCCAGTGTTTGTAAGTGTTCGCCCACGCCATTGTTTCTTTGGCGTTGGTTATCGTTGACACATATTTGAATAGCTCATAGGCTATTTCTGGCCCAGCTAGGCGTGTTACAACGGTTCGTGCGTGCTGAATACGGAGTGAGCGGTCACATTGTTGACCTTGGCCCATGGTGTCTGGTCGTTCGAGTTGGCGGGTTGCATTGAATGGCATCAGGGGGTTTGTGTTCGGAGAGATTACAGGAAACTTTATTGAACGTCAGAAGCGGCCGATACAATAAGGGGTGGAGGTAAAAACATCCATCCAAGTGATGCTGCAAGGTTCCAAAGTATATCAGTGTCAGCTGAGCAGTCTGTTCGCCAAGCCACACTCATCGACTCATCATCTGGACGTAAAGATCTCTTGCCCCGTGTAGTGAATTATGCTGCTGCTCATGTTCGGTGATGGAAATTGAGGTAGAAGAAAGGTTCAGAAGCCGGCTCAAACAACGGGCGAGAATACTATATTCAATTGAGGAGCAGTAGTATATACATGGACGCGTCCAACAGACACACTAGAGGACAAGAGCGGGCCGAAGCGACTTAGACCATGGCCGGAAGGACAATCTCCTCAATGGTCCACACCTTTCCGCCCTCGCTGGAGCTCAGTCCGGTGTAGGTAGCACCACCAGCGGAGGCAATGGTATCGCCAAAGGTAGTATCGGCCTCGGCCAGGGTGATCACAGTGTTGATGTACTTCTGGTCAGAGGAGGTGCCAGTGCAGTCCTCGTTACACTCGGTTCCAGTACCGTATCTGTGGTGGCCATTAACATCCGCGAACTCGGCCTTGTCCCAAAATCAAGCAAGGTGACTTACCCAGTCATGTAAGGGCCCGATGCATGCGAGTATGTAGAGAGCACCTCGCCCGTCTCCGCGTTAGTAACAGTTTGCAACCAGGTATCCTGGTCATCCTGCAGCGTGTACTCGATCTTAACCTGGTCGTCGCCCTTCACAACGCCGGCATCGCCATCCAGCTGTCCGAAGCTGCCAAAGACCGAGGCGCGCACGCACCATTCACCGGAGCTAGCACCGCACCACTCGTTGCTCTGCCAGCTCTCCAGGGTAGCCTGAATAAGGTCTCCCGTGCTGTTACTCATGCCAGGCCATAAGAAGAGAACACCGTTCTGAGTCTCAGGGGCAGGACCGGGAATGATGGTTGTCACGGCGTTGACGATGGTGGACTTGGAGGGGCCGAGAGAGACGCTGCCTCCCCAGGTGTCTTCGCGCTTGGAGACCTCGAGGGAGTCGTCGATGGGCGTGGCGATGCCCAGGGCTGGGAGGAGGAGGGTGGAGAGGAGTTTGAGGTTCATTTTGGTGGTGTTGTTGGTAGGTGAGAAGATGGGAATTTGCGATATGAAGATGATTGCTCGCAGAAGAGAGAACAGCTTATTTTTATAGAGCCATGCTCATCTATGCGAGAAGAGTGTCTCATGTTGATTTCGGAGAACCTGAAACAGCCAGCCCTATGGGGTCAGAGTCCGGCCGTTCTCCACCATGACAGGCGGGACGAAACATAACAAATTGACCATTACGGCATTACCCAATTGATGCTGATTTTCAGGGGCCAGTGCCTGCTCCGTCGCAGTCTGTCAGATGTTTAGTAGGCACGTTTTTAGCAGTTGGCACGAAGCGTGGTTCTGGACTCCAATCAGCACTGGCTGTCATCAAATGGCCTCACGTATGGATCCCCCGTCCGCTCCTCTTTGATTCTCCAACTCCGGGATGGAAAATTCCGAGTTATAGTCCGAAGACTGACATAAGCTTTATTTTTATCCCGGAAACAACCTTGGAACTCTTCAAGGTCAGGATGACAGGGGCGTTCTGCAGGAGGTCTTGCTTTCTCCATCGGCCTAGTTTCAAATAAGTTAATATTACTCTGTAGGTACTAAGGTGAAGAGTCATTCCAACGCTGCTTGCTATTCTTGTCGTTGGGATTCTTTAGCTTCAAGGCACTCGGAACTTACAGCATGTGAAGGGGTAGGCTCCGAACATCCCTAGCATTTATGATGGGGGTTTTATTGAATACTAGGTACAGCCAAGCGTTATTAACAATAGCATGAGCATTAGGTCATGAAGGGAATCTAGGTGCCAGAAGCATCAAACTCAAAGCGCAGAAAAAGCAAGCTCATAGGCAAACCCAAGGGTGAGCTTTGCATGCTCCAGCATGTGGTCAAAACTCAGATACTTGATCTTGTCGTCGGTGGTGTGAATGTGCTTGTTGGTGTTCTCCATCTTCGCTTCCGTCGCCATGGCCGATGGGTACCCGTACTTGCTCGCCGAGGTGTGATCTGAGCAGGCGTATCCGCACTTGGTATCTGTGAATGGGATGCCACAGTACTGGAAGAACGCTATTAGCGAAATAATCAGACACAGAGAACAAAATGCACTTACGGTAGTGATAGTGTTCTTGAGGAAGGTAGTGAGCGCGTTGTCGACATAGTCGGTCATCACTCCAATCGACTCCTGTTGACCAGCATCCCTCGTGCCCTGAACAAATCCAGTCATATCTTGCTGAAGCATAGCCTTGATTTCCGCCTGATCTTTCTTATACTTGGAGAAAATGGCTTGCGAACCGAGCATTCCACCCTCTTCGGCAGAGTACCAATGGAACTCGATCGTGTTTGGTGCCTGAGCGCGAGCAATGACGTCGGACTTTAGCAAGCCACGCAGCGCCTCAAGGATTGTGACGGTGCCGCTGCCATCGTCGTCAGCGCCCGGAGCGCCGAGAAAAGATGGAAGAAACAGGTTGATGCTGTCTTGGTGTGCACCCAGAACAACAGTCTTGTTCGACAATCCAGGTATACGGGCAATGATACTGAACTGGCCCCAAGAATGTTCGAATCGCTGAACCGTCGCGCCCCATTTATCGGCTCCTGAGTCGCGAATCACTTTCAATACCTGATCGAGTAGCCACTCCGCAGATTGGATGCCAGTCTTGGATTTGTAATATCTTGTGTGAAAGGATGTAAACTTCTCCAGATCCTTCTGCATGTTGCCCTTGTTCAAGGTCCCGATAAGCCCCTTGACCGTGTCTACATGGTCCATCTGCTGCGGGTAATTGAGGTAGATACCGGCATCTAGCGTGGGGTATAATCCGTAATTTCGATCCTCCGTGATATCGATGAAGTTCACACCGTCCTAAGCAGCAGTTAGAAGGGAAAGGAGTTGAGCGTGCCACGAGTCATACGAGCTTCAAGGCCCATTTCTCCTCTTCTGTGACCCATCTCGTCTGATACGGATTGATCTCTATCAGGAATTTCTCATGTGTGCGCTCCTCGGCCACTGGGCTCGGAAAATCCAAGACGTTCTGCTCCTCCTGAGGAATGGCGTAGGACCAGGCACCAGCGGCAGCGGTCGCGACGGCGAGAGCTGAGAGTTTCATAGTGGACAAGATAGGGCGGTCGCTCGGTAACAATAACAGTAATAATGAGTGCTAAGAATATGGCGATTGAGGATGAAGTCTTAGGTACGGTGCGGATGGAGAGGAGGGAGAGCGCATATGATGGGTGCGGAGGATGACTTGAGGATGACTGAGGGGAAGTCGCAGGCCGAGGAAGGAGGTCACCGTCACGGGCCGGACTTTAGACGGAGGTTCGCGCCGAAAGACAGTCAAGGAGAATAGAGGTAAAAATAATTATTTCCAATACGGAACGCGATCAGCCTCTATATACTTGATCAGATGTTCGACGAAAGCGCCTGCTGTTGCGTCAGAGCTGGGGCTTGGATTTATATGAACTGGGCAGCCCAATGGGGTTGCCTAGTTCTCCACCAGGCACAAGCTCCTGCCTTAGCACGCGACCCTGGCATCGACACAGCCTCACGCCAGTTTCTGTGCCTGTCAGCATGTTTTTCCTTATCAGGGGCTATTCTTTACTACATAGTGCTGCTTCAGAAAAAAGAGAAACCGGCCTATTTATAGGCAATCGAATAAGTACTGGCATACATAACCGAAGAAGCTGGAGTCCTGGATCCCCGCACGCAGATCTCCGGATTCCAGTCCAGATTCAAGTCAATCAACAACAAGCCCCACAAGCTGCCATGCAATCTAGATTTTGAAAACCAAATATATTCTTCACAACACTATCGGGAGTTTCTTCTTCCTCTAGGGTAGTTCCCGGGCATGTCCAGCTGGGAATGAACTCCTGCTCAACCTTAGTCCATTGAAAGATATAACACGAACTTAACCCTTGCAGGTTTGTTAAGCGCATACCTAGATACCTAGATCCAATGGATAGCTAAGCTTCCTGGCATTGCAATTGGATGGCCGATGCTCCCAATATAGAACATCGAGATTGGCGGGCGCCATATGAAACAAGCCAGATCCCTACAGAGCCCTCTGTGTAACATGATAGGCAACGCATGTCGGGCATGAGGGCAGCTTTGTCGCCGGGAGACAGCCAAAGAAGCGTTGCTCCAGTCTGCCAGACCATGCTCATCCAGCAGACGGCTTGCATTCTTATTATACAGTTCTTCACACCATTGACACCATGCTACTCAAGTCCTACCGGAAGTCTCTGAGTATACAGCAGGGTGAAACTTGTCGGCAAGTTTTCTGTGATCATTTTGCTGGATACAGAAAGACTAGATACTGGGGCCGTTTGAATGTTGCAACTACATATGCAGGAAAGTAAGCAATATTTACCACAGTGGTATACGGCCGGCCATGCAGGTGGTCAAAATATAAATGTTGGCAAGAGCCAAGAGCCTTATCACCGAAAAGACGCACAATACGGTGCTTTCAGAACTTGACATGCGACGATATGCGACAGTCATAGGTACAATGATCAAACAGACTGAGCTAATGTGTTGTCAGCAACGCAAATCTGACATCCACTTCATATATATACTTTTGGGTGGAATCTGGAGCCTGGGATATATTTCTAGATAAGATAAGATACCTACCGGGGAGCTGACTCAGCCTCCGCAATGCCATTATGCCAGAGGCTTCCAGTGCCATCCTTCAGCTGACTCTTTCTAATCATCTCGCCTCATCTCACTCTTTCTCACTTCTCAAATACAAGAGGCTCGGATAACCATCCACCTCTATCCTTTCGTTTCTCCCTTTCCCTCCTCGCCATACCGCTATCCACAACCATGTCCGCCATCTCCTTCGCCCAAGGCAAAGGCGCCCCCAAATCCGACTCCTACACCCCAGTCCCAGAATCCGACCTCGAATCCCTCGGCCGCCACTGCGAATTCGAATACTGCAACCAGCTCGACTTCCTCCCCTTCAAATGCCTCTCCTGCCACTCAACATTCTGCCTCGACCACCGCTCCGAGACGGCACACCGGTGCCCGCACGAAGGCGAGTGGGCTCGCCGCCGGAACAACTCCCCCGCAAGCGCCACCGGCCAAAGCACGCCGACGCAAAAGCCTACAATCTACAACTCCGACCAGTGCGCGCATGTCTCTTGCAAGACGCTTATCAACACGCTCAAGGACCCCGGCGTCAAGTGCCCCGAGTGCAGAAGGGAATACTGTCTCCAGCACCGGCTGAAGGAGCAGCATGATTGCGCCAAGATTGCCCCGCGATTAGGCGGCAGCGCGAACGCCCCGCCGAGCGATACGATCCGGTCGATGTTCGCGAAGGTCCGCACGTGGGGGAAGGATAAGAGCCAGGCTGCTGCCACTGCTGCCGCGGCGGCGAAACCGAAGCCGAAGGCTAATAGTCCTGCTGCGCGCATCGCGGCTACGAATGCTATGAAGAAGTCGGCGAAGGGTGACGCCAGTGTGCCGGCTGATAAGCGAGTGTACTTGCATGTTGTTGGGACGTCAGAGACGCAGGGGGCAGAACCACCGAATGCGGATTTCTGGTTTGACGGGCGATGGAAGGTGGGAAGGGTACTCGACGATGCGGCGAAGAGGTTAGGGGTTGAAAACAACAATAACCGAGTCGGAGAAGAAGCCCGGTTACGGATCTTCCATGTTGAGAGCGGGGATTTCCTGGAGTTTTCCGAGTCTCTTGGGGGTGGAAAGGTGAAGACGGGGGATACAATCGTCATGCTGAGGGGAGCCGGGGTAATGCTGGGGAAGTGATACTGATCTTTAGCCATCTCATTTTGATACCACGATATGTTCACATTGCATAGCATGATACACTCTAAATCGGCGTCTGGGAATCTATTTACATAACCTCACATCTAAACACTCATCTTCATCTTGATCGCCTTATGGGGCTGGTACCCGATAACCTCAAACTCATCCTCCTTCCACCCATCGATAACACCGCTCCCGCGGTCCTCCCTCTTGATCTTCAGCTCAGGAAACTCAGTAGGCTCACGCGTCAACTGCTCCTCCAGCGCCTCCACATGGTCAAGGTAAACATGCGCATCGCCCATCGTATGAATCAACTTGCCCGGGTTCAAACCCGTCGCATGCGCAATGATATGCGTGAGCAACGCATAAGAAGCAATATTGAACGGCACGCCCAGCCCCATATCACAGCTGCGCTGATACAACAGACAGCTCAGCTCGCCCTTCCCCTTGCCCTTCCCGTCCTCAATGCCCTCCGGATAGGAAACGTAGAACTGCGCAAACATATGGCACGGCGGCAGCGCCATCTTCTTCAGATCCGCCGGGTTCCACGCGCTCATGATAATCCGGCGGTCGAACGGCGTCTCCTTGATCTTCCTCACAACCTCCGCGAGCTGGTCCACGCCTTGCCCCGTGTAATCCGCATGCGCGTCGACATACTCGGCGCCGAAGTGGCGCCACTGGAACCCATAGACGGGTCCGAGGTCACCGACTTCGCGGTGTCCGAGCCCGACTTTGTCAAGGAACTCGCGCGATCCGTTCCCATCCCAGATTTTGATTCCTGCTTCGGAAAGAGGAATGCTGGATGTTGAGCCGGAGATGAACCAGAGGAGTTCGGCGAGGACGGCGCGCAGGAAGACGCGCTTTGTGGTGAGGAGGGGAAGGACGGGGATCTTTGCGGAGGGGTTTGAGGGGTCGGGCTTGGAGAGGCTGAAGCGCATGGGGTTCGGGGCGAAGATGGAGCGTGTTCCTGTGCCGGTGCGGTCGGGGCGGTGTTCGCCTTCGGCGAGGATTTGGCGGATTAGGTTGAGGTATTGGTGCTCTTCGTGGGAGGGGTTGTGGGCTGGAGTTTGGGGTGTGGTGGTGCCATTTTGAGGGGTGTCTAGTGAGACGGTCATTTTGTAGATTACTGTATCGAAATATCTTTGAGAACTGAGGAAGCGGATGAAGCGAAGAAGTATTCCGGGGATCGGTGACAGAACTTTGGATGAAGATCCAGTCGCGTTCGGCGCGCGTCACGTTATCACGTGATATACCCGATTTACTATATTCCGGCCAGACAGTTGGGCAAGACTATGGTACCTTGCTACGTGATAACCATGGGCTGTTTAGGGGTCTAGCGTCAATCTTCTAACACGTTGACACCTACTCCCTGCAAGGCGCCCACGACCCACGAAGGAATCTTGGGCTTTTCTCCGTATAGCGTCGTAAAGAAGCTTCGAAGGAAGGCCGGGAATTGGTCCTCCAAAATAGCCTGTCGTGCTCTTCCCATCAACTTAAGCAGGTAGTGTACGTTGTGGATGGTGAGGCTTGCCATGTTAGTCGCGTCTTGGAACAGATAAAGACCACTTACAGATGTGCCCCTGCCGTCTCTTTAGCAGCCAGGTGGTGGAGATATGCCCTTGTGATGCCTAAGCCGCCCTCTTCTCTTGGCTTGCATGTCATACAGTCACAGCCTTCTTCCACAGCCTTGAAATCATGGGCGAAAGAGGCGTGCCTCAGGTTCAGGTTGCCTGTGGAAACTAAGGCTGTACCGAAACGCTGTTGAAAGTTAACATTTGTCTTCAGCACGAAAGGGGCTACTGACAGCAGTTCTCGTTGGCCAAACGCAGTCGAACATGTCCGCGCCAAGGGCTACTCCTACAATCAGGTCCTCTTGATAGCCCTAAATGATAGTTAGCATAACCCGCAAGGCATCATTGCACAAAGACTTACCACGCCCATCACGTACCGCGGCTTATGCTCTGGAAGAAGTCCAGTACAAGTATCGACACTTTCTATGTCAGCGCCAATCTCAGAAGAGCGTCAGATAACATACACCTTGCAAAATTCCTCTTTGGCCTCCCCGCCAGACAGGCCTCCAATTGCAATTCCCGGTGTATCTCGGGCGACCATTTCTTCGCAACACTTCTTGCGCAGCTCCAGGTCTAGTCCACCCTGGATAATGCAAAACAGGTTTTGTGTCTCCGGGTTCTTGTGGGCCGCAATGCAGCGATCTAACCAGCGGACTGAGCGCTCCATTGCTTCGTGAATTCGGGTATGATCTGGTGAAGTTGTCGCAATCACATCGTCGAGCTGCATGATGATATCGGATCCAATGGAGTTTTGTAATGAAATTGAGTGTTCTGGCGTGAGCAGCATCGGTGTACCATCATGTGGGCTGAGGAACCGAACACCCTCCTCGGTAACCTCTGCAAGTTCGAGCAAAGAAACCATTTGAAACCTGTTAAATAGTCAGTTGTAGTTGCTTCAAAGAATGGTCTCGTACCCACCCTCCGCTATCTGTCAGAATATTCCGATCCCACCCCTGAAGCTTATGGGCCCCTCCCACTTTATCTAGGACTGCCTGCCCCGGTTTCAAGCCTAAGTGGTAGGTGTTATTTAGGCACAGCATGCAGCCTGTTTGCTTGAGCTGGTCATATGTAAGCCCTTTGAGGGAAGCCTGCGTCGCAACGGGCATGAATATCGGCAAAGACACACTTCCATGAGGAAGTTTTAGGGTGCTTGCGCGGGCTTTGGTGGTCTGGGGACGTGTTATTACTATAGTTCAACAATCGAAGAACCTTTGACTCACAGAACATTTGCGCTCTAAATCAAACGTGAGCGCTGAAGGCATAGCCTTCCGCGGCGGGGTTGTCGACATGGACCGGGAGAGCGGCGGCAAAGCTGCGTTCGTAACTCGATGAAGTGAGTGTATGATTTGCCTCGCCTGGGCGTATGACATCAAAGAGATTGTATGGCTTTAGTAGCAGTAGCTCAAGATTATTGACTTGTGTAAGAGACTCTGGTCTGGAATAAGTTGAGGTGTTTGCACAGTTTGCGATCTGCTATGAATCGGATATTACCGTACCGTATCTCAATACGGTACCGGTTATAATCAGACGGCCTCGACCACGGCCCGCCGCAAGCCTTCATCATACTACAACTCGTTTTGCTCGGATTGATTTCTGTCTCAGCACACGAAGCCATCGCGCTGGAAAGCCACAGCTAGGAAGAGATGTGACTCACGCAATTTTTAACCCCGAGGTTCGTGTGAGTAATACTAGAATCGGGCGTGTCGATCTGACCCCGGACAGGCTGACAACCCGGAATCGTCAAAACTCCGGGGTAGGTAACCGAGCGAAGCCTCGAAAGCTTCATTTATGCTCTCGGCGGTCGCCTGATGGGATTATCAAGCAGTCAGGTCGACTTTGAGATTACTATTCGAGCAGGGCCTCTTTACCATCAATCCATTCTACTTGCATGCGTTGTACAGCGTAACTACAGTCACAATCAATATCTCTCCAATCGAGCCCCGGTATAGAAGAAACGCATGGCCGTGATTTGAGCCCTCTGGGCGGCCCACCGCTGATCCCTATGCACGGCTTCCGGACCAAAGTTCAAGATTCAGTCGGAGGTTGACCGACATTCACAAACGCAAGGAGTCAAGGACACTGCACACAGGATTTTCTGTGGTCACGGGGCCATCCCTAACCCCGGCTTTACCCCCAGAACATGACCTAGCGACCTAGACTCGGACCATGTGGGGGTACTTAAGATCCCTTGTTGACACGCGCCCTTGTCTTTATAGCTAGCAGGGGCCCCAAAAATCGTTGATCGTCCTAAAACACTTCTTCAATTCGCGACCACCATGAGTGAAAAAGAGGTCGCCCCGGAGGGCGTCAATGCGACTGATGCCGAATTGGCTCTTGAAGTAGGCAGCTCAAGCTCTCAGATTATAGAGAGAGGCTGATTAGATTGTGCAGAACAGTGCCAACGATCGTGATCTCCGGGCTCGAGAGAAAGCATTGATCTGGAAGCAAGATCTTCATATCATACCACTCAGCGCTGCGATCTACCTTCTTTGCTATCTGGATCGGTCCAATATAGGTATGCCATATTGTAGCAGATCAGCCATGGACGGGGCTTATACGACGCAGGGAACGCCAGAATTATGAACTCAGAGACTGGCAACGATTTACTCACCGAGACTAATATGTCCTCATACGAGTATACGTATGTGCCCTTTCCTATCACCTTGTTCAGCGCTAACCCTATTAGTATTGCATTGATGGTCTTCCTAATCGCCTACGCCCTCTTCGAGGTACCCTCAAACTACTTTTTAAAGAAACTCAAACCCAGCGTGCGTCTACCCTATAATTCCATACCGCCAATCCTGACAGCATCCGCAGCGGTGGATCGCCTTCTTAATGCTATCATGGGGCGCGGTCACAATGGGCCTAGGAGGAGCTCACAACTACGCGCAAGTTACAGGTCTTCGCTTTCTTCTTGGAGGTACTGAACCTCCTAACCATTATCCCAAGTAGAACCGAAACGCGCTAACGCAAATCAGTCCTGGAAGCCGGCCTCTTCCCCGGACTTGTCTACTTCCTTACCTTCTGGTACCGCACCTCGGAGCGTTCGATTAGAGTTGCTCTGATTTTGGCGTCTGCGACGCTGGCGGGTGCCTTTGGTGGCGCTATAGCTTATGGCGTAGGACACATGAACCAAGCCCAAGGCCTGTCAGCGTGGCGCTGGCTGTTTATCATCGAGGGCGCGCCATCCTTGGCCTCCGCTGTTCTGGTCTGGTTTATTCTCCCGGACTACCCCGAGACTGCAAGCTGGCTTTCGGCGGAGGAGAAGGCTCTTGCGGCAGAGCGACTCGCAATCGAGGGGTCAAAGGGTGCTGCAAAGGCGATGACATGGGAGGATGCCAGAGAAGTTCTACTTGACTGGCGCTTATATGCCCACTACCTTGTTAGTCCAAACAAACCGTCCACGGTTCATGAACGTATGCTAACCTCAGAAAACAGGTTTACTTCGGGATATCTGCGCCATTCTCCAGCCTCTCTCTCTTCACCCCGGCAATTACCAGCGGTCTCGGGTATACCAGTCTCAAGGCACAACTCATGACAGTGCCTCCCTGGGCGGTCTCGTATGTGGTTACAGTCGCTGTTTCTTGGTCCGCCGACCACTTTAATAGGTATCCTCACGAATTCCCAGAATTATTACAGCACTGACCGTCCCAGTCGCGGCCTTCACTCCGCAATCTTCTCCTTCATCGGCGCAATGGGCTTCCTTGCCTCCGCTGTTCTACCGGCAGACGCATATCTCGTACGTTTCTCTCCTACGTTTATGCCCAGCCTCCAAACCCATTCTTCTCTATGGAGTGACTAACAAAGCACAGCACCGCTACGGCTGCCTAATCGTTGCAACAAGCGGCTCCTTCGCCTGCATTCCGCCACTACTCGGCTGGCTCTCATCCAACATACGGTCGACAGCCGGAACAGGCCTCGCCATCGCCCTAAACGTCTCCTTCGGCGCACCAGGGCAGATTGTCGGCGTGTGGATCTATAAATCAAATGAGGCGGAGAGGGGCTATCCGACGGGCCATTGGACGAATGCGGCGCTGCTGCTGCTGGTTACGGTGGGGTGTTTGGCGTTGCGGGCGTATTATGGGTGGAGGAACAAGAGGTTAAGGGCTGCTGGAAGGGGCACTGCGGAGAGGTTTGCTTATTGAGTGTTTGCAGTTTGGCTAGAAGAATATTTGTCAATTGGTCCATGGCCTAGCAGTGATAGCATTAGAGATTTTGGGTGTAGATGAAGTAGTAGGGCGGCGGTTTGTGCTCAAAACCAAAGATTTAAGGTGGTACAGTAGTAAAATTATCAACCGAACTCTTGATTGAATTGACGCCTAGTTCCAAGGTTCTTGCATCTAGTATCCCTATTTCGACGGGTCGCTCGCGCGTGTAAGTTAGGCCGTAAAGTGCTGGACTGTACAGAAACAGAAAGAGCCTCTTAATCCTAGCCTTCAAATTGTCACTGTCATCCAGGTCGAACTCAAGGCTACTAACGTCACAGCCAAAGCATGTCCCAACTGAGCCTAACCACCGCTCCAAAGGAGGATTCGAGGAAATCTGGAAGGCATTAAACTAGGCGAGACATTAGTATCGTAACCAGACTTAGTGCATAGGACAACTAACTTTCAAGCCCATCCATCTCCACAACCAACCCCTTCTCAGCTGCCCACTGAAACAATTCACCTATGTAGGGAAGCTTGTGGAGGACAATCTTTCCGAAGGAATTTTCGAGCCCATCCGCTTCCACGACCATCCCCTTCTCAGCTGCCCACTGAACAAACTCACATATGTAGGGAAGCTTGGGCTGGAGGATCTTTCCGAAGGAATCCCTGTGTTCTGTGGCATTTGTTTTCACGGTTCCAGCAGCAACACGCGAAGGTATCACACAGACCATGGTCTCAATCATGCGTGTTTGGGCAACAGTACAACGATTCTCATTATCGACAAACCCAAGGTCCCCGTGCCTGTCCGCGTCGGACACGGTAAAGTCGACGATAATGCACTTGGCCTCTCTACTCTGCATTGAGTCAATGATCTCAATGGCTGGGACAGCTGACTGGGGCAGGCAGTATCGCGCCTCGAAAAACAAGCGTCTGTATAGATCCMGTTGGGCCTTGTATGGAGTAAGGATCCGCATCTCCTTTCTGCTGTACCCGTTCGCCCTGTAGTTCTTGATGCACAGAGAGACTATGGCCTTGGCATGGGCATCGTTGTACTTAAACTTCGTCGTTTCCTCTTGCCGGCAGGAGGAGCGCTTGATGCTGAGGACAAAGTAACCGGGGTCGAAATCTTTCTGGACGTGAGGAAATTCCCTCTAGATCATGTTTGCTCATGCAGGATTGACGACAATCTGACTTGTTGAGTGGTGGGAGCTCATTAAGTTCCCGTAGACACGCCTGTTCAAGTACTCAACAAAAACAGGACGGAACCGACGCTGCTTGGTCAATTTTTGCACTGGATGATACGCCTTGATGTCTCCATCTGGGAAGTCTCCATCTGGGGACTAAACTCATTGAACCCAGGCTCCTCTGCTGTTAACACCGTCGGTCTGAGCTGCTCTAGGTCCCCAGCAAGAATAAGGGCGATGATTTTCGGAGACCAGTCGCACTTTACTAGGGGAATTATGCTGTTGACTTCGAGCTCTCCAGTATACTCATCGCGAATAAGGATAACCTACTTGCCCTTCTTTGCAAAGTGCTTGGAACAGACCGAGCGTGCCAGGTTATTTTTTGTAAAAATCAAGAAATCAGCATCTTCAGCGACGTAATTACTAACAACCTCAAACGCGAGGAGGGCCTTTGACTTCTCGCCTTGTTGCCAGGTGCAAAGAGATGTGCTGCGTAGTTTGTTGGCATATTTCCGAACTTCCTCAAACCAGTCGACTTTAGCGCCGGCAAATGTCTCCAACTTATTGATCTCAAGCTTCCCCTTGGAAACGTTGAGTTGGTGTCGCGAAGGATAGTGCCCGGGAAGAGTACGTCCTTGTTATTCAGCTTGAAAAGCTTCCGCGACAACCTGAGCTTCGAGTCCCGATTTTGGCAGGCCATATGTTCGATCATGACTGGCCTTCAAAGCGTCTGCCGCAAGCTGCCAAATGAGTAGCTGTGCACCCATGAGCATATCGTCTTCGTCCATGTCCGAATCTCCCTCCTCTTCGTCTTCGCTGATCTGCTCTTTGCCTTCCGCAAGAGGCCGGTACATCCTAAGAATCCTATACTTTGTTCCTAGAATGGCTTGCACTTCTTCAAGTTTCGCACAGTCCTTATCAGAGACATGACTTGCGGGAGCAGAGAAGACAACATGGAAGCCGACTTTGCGAAAGACCATAGCAATGACTGCAAGCAAGAAGGGCTTTCCGGTGCCGGAAAACCCTTGAACAATTTTGACTGCCTCAGGGAACGAAGTACAAGACTGAAGGTATGCTTCTTGGTCTGGCATCAAGTGGATTTGCTTCAAGACTGCGTCAACAGCTTCGTGAAGCTTGGTATCGTCAAGGTATAGAGCTCTGATGGGGTTAGTCATGGTGCGAGGGCCTCGCTTGTGGTTCAAGAGCACCTCAAGCCAATGCTTAGCATATTGAGCGCCTGGTTCCACGCCAGTGATGAGGTTTATTGCATCCATTTGTCTCCTCATGCCTTCGTTAGAGGTTCCGAGCGAGACACAAGCAGGTAAGAGGTTGAGGAGCATTCCAGGCACGGTAGCAAAGCGCCGGATTTGGCTCAGGGACTCGTTTTGAATGAGATAGACGGGGTCGCTGTTCGGGAGGTTGAACGCATTGGGAATTAAGATACCCCTGCACCGTATAGTCGGAGTTGAAGCGCTATCAGTAGCGAAAACTATCTTCACGGTAGAGCTTTCTTTTGCTCTAAAGACTTGGGCTATCTTCGTGTCTGGCTTGTTGTATTTCATCACAGCCACAACTGCTCTCCCAGCAATAGATAGGAGTGCAACTTGATGATCCGTTTTCGAAATGCACCTGCGAATGTCCTGCTCACGCGCCCATTCCCGGAAAGCACCATATGCAAGGATAATTGCAGCTTCCTTCGCATCAAAGAAGGATACGGAGGCAGGGACTCGGGGAAACGGGCATACTTGAACTGCTGACTTATTGGTCTCGTCAAAGACTGTACCCCAGATATTGTCGATATTGTCAGCTATGGGCTCTTGACGTTATCAGCAGTTTGTCCGGCAAATAACTCATTCAATCCGTTCTCTTGAGCAATAGACCTAGCTTTGTCCTCATAGACGGAGACATCTTGAGGGTCAAGGCAAGGAGCTGCAGCCGTACAGGCGGGAGGCTCGAGAGACGGAGTATCAGGGCAAGGCATTTTGGCAGTAGGATCAGGCTCGGTGGTATCCTGGAGATTGGGGTGTACTGTGTTAGCACTCATCATCTTTCAATCTTCAGCACTGCCTGCCATATTGAAAGGCAGAAGGTCAGCTGCAATAAGGAGTCTCATACCTTGGTATTGAGTTCATGGAGCTCGAGAAGGCCGTGGAAACAATGAGCTGTGTCTTCGTGCAAGAACTTTAGCTCTGTCTCAACAGATGGCTTCAGGCGGACGGCCACGAAAGCTGCCACTGCCGCGTCTTCGCACTTTTTGTTCTCTTAGATACTAATTGTTAAGAGAACTTTGGAACTGAGAGGGAATGAGGCTTACTTTCGCGGATCTGCAACAGTTGGACATGCAGTTGAACGCGACGCTGTTAATGGCTAGATTCTGCTTCCTCGACCTCACGGCACGCTCTCAAACATAGGTCGTCAAGGCTGATGTTCGTCATTCTCGCTATAGAGAAGTAAGCAAGCGAAGAAACATAGTTGGCTCGCATCAGGGTACAAACCAGCTGCCCTGCTTCAAGAAGGAGTAACACCAGGAACAAGCAAAGCAAGAAGAGGAAGAAGAGAAAGCTGAATGTTATTGTATAAGAAAAAATGAAAAGGAAGCTGATTCGAACGGAAAAGTATTTATCGGATATTTTCAAAGACTCATTAATGCCGAGTTCACGGATTGAGAAGCGTCAACAGAGTTCAAGAGTGGGAGGAGGAAAGGAGGGTTGAGAGGTAGGGTCATAAGAGAAGAAATGAGGTTAGATGACGGCGAGCTGTCAAAGCTCCAACATAGTTCAAGAGCAAGAGGAATGGAGAATGGTCAAAGGAGGTGCAAGATGGGGAAGAGGAGAAAGTGCTGTGGGAAGAAACAGAAGAATGGGAGGGAGAGAGAAAGAGCGCCATCTTCCGTCAACATTGGAACCGGCTACTGACTTGTTCCCTTAGCAGTGTTACTCGACCCTGGGCCAATCCACAGTAGTTACAATGCTTGAAGTGTTGCCTGGCCAGCCAGCCAGTCTCGCATCTCCTTTGCTGCATACTACTATTGGCATCTCAACCATGGTCAGAAACGCAGAATATCGAAGCCACGGAGTAGAGAGGTTCCAGCCTGATACTCCTCTTTGGCTTCTAGTAAGTTTGTCTTTCTTATTCCTTTTCGACTGCTTCGAGGTCAAATACTGACTTGCACATTGTCTATTCTCGAGTTCTGGCCCTGCCTTATCGCAAACGATCAAATGATACCGATTAACAACCTTTCCTCCCATCCCAGAACGAGTCACTCAAAGACTCGACCATGGTCGAGAGCTATAACTACTTCCGAGCACCTATCCGAGGTTGTCAATTACAGCGGCGATTGCGATTGATTGCAACTCACGATGTCTCCCTCAGTCAGGGGGAAGGCAGTATACCAGTCGAATATTCACTCGGGTACTTGATCCGTCATGAGGTATCTACGACCAATACGAAATCTCGGTATGATTCATTGCCCAGCATGAAGAGCAATACCTATCAGCGTCTGGCTTGATCCGCTAAGCCGCAGGAGAGATCGAAATCGGCCATGAGCGGGGAATCCTGGGGCGCGGCTACCCAGGCAACTTGGTTTAGCTAGTACGTTCGATATCTTAGCTGAGAGCTGGCCTGGCTCTGTGGATAATACGGTGCACTGACAGGTCTCCTACCTAGATCAATAACCCACTTCAACGACTGGAACCAATATAGCTTCTATCCCAGCCTCAGCTGCCGCTCCGTATCGGTATACCCAGAGCAGGCTTAGCTTCTGGCAAGCCAAATCCGAGGAGTCTGCTAGCGGCCATGCGAACGACGCCCACGTATCGGTTTCCGTCGTATTTTGCGGATGCAGCTGCCAAGGTGGAAGGTCAGCAGGGCAGGCAGCGAAATAAGAAGTCGAGCTGGTCGCAGCATACTGGCAGCGGTGTCCTATTACCTGAGTTCTTGTCGACCAGTGTTCATATATCATATATGAAGACTGGGGACCTTGGGCCCAGGAATGGGGTCCCATATACGGGCGAGAAGACTAAATAGGGTTAGGAAACCGCCGGCGGCGACCTGAACCATGGAACGCACTGGTGCTAGGCTCTAGCACGTGGGATCGATTCGCTGAGGAAATAAGGTTAAGCTCAGACCAAGATCAGATCCAGATCTCTCAGGGTCTAACTATGAGATGGGCATCACTGCTTGCACTTGCGATTAGATAGTAGGAAATCCCCATAGAACATGGTTTGCGCTACTCAATACATAAAGCTCCGAGTCCCGAGGTCATGACCATGTGCCAATGGTAGCCAGGATCCACTAGTAGGCAGGCTAACCAATTCGGCATTTGATCGGCTAGATCTTAGCTTGCGGACTCAGACTGAAGAACAGCAAAATCAAAACGCCAAGGAGGGGTACATTCTGTCAACTTTTCTTGACTATATTATCAAGCCGACTGACAATTGAGGAGAGACATCTAGTCTTCAACTACATGGAAAGCGAATTGAATTCACAATTGGTCTTTCTGTAGACATGGTAGTCTCACATAAACCAAGCACCGTAAAATAAGCACCGTAAAATAAAAGGATAATCATCGGCCGGTGTCGGATCCATGCGCCATTACTGTTGTCAACGTATCGTGCCGGAGGTTCCGTTCTGTCATACCGGCTTGCCGCTGAAAGAAAATTAAGGTAGAAAGATAAACTCAATCAATCCCAAGAACTGCGCCCGTCAACCGATCAGAAGAGACTCGAACTGGAATAAGACGAGAATTGCAACTGAGGGTTTCTCAGAAGAACAGTAGAAGATAAATGGCCCGCGTTCTGTTCCTGCCAAACGTGCACCTGGTTTAAACCCACCCTTGGTATCCAATTGTTTCCGCATCGAAAAGATAAACGAGTAATGATGTCGACAGTCGGTAGTGTTGTACATGTCTGCAAAGTCGGCATCAATCCGGAGTATGTCGCATGAATGTCGAGTGGTCAAGTTGAAAGGCAAGATTCGACAAAAGTCGAGGATGAATCCCTTGAAAGGGTGGAGGAAGATGAAAGAAGGATAGAATAGAAGAGAAACGTCAACCTTTGCGGCACCAAGCTCAAGCACCTTCTTACTCAACAGATCCCGACGGTGGTTTTCTGCTGGGAGCCTGGCAATCCGGGTCCAGGGCAATCAAGGCTACTTCCGCTGCATCTTCCATCGCGTTCTGTACATATTCACCATCGAAAAAGTATCGGCCGACATAGTATTTTCCGTTGACAAGGACCTGGCAGGACCACGCTGTGCGACCTCCTAAAGTAGACAACTCCGTCAGCATGATAATGAAGAAAAATTTGACGGTCTAGCAGGTATAAAAGTCGGTGAGGGATCGAGACTCCACTCTTCCGCTGAGACGAGATTTAACAAGAATGTATGCTTGTTCTCGTTCGATTGTATCCACTCAATCATCCCACAAAGACATGACGCTGGCAAAAGAAATCTTGTATACGGTGCTTGAGGCAACGAAGCAGCTGGGAAGGGAATGAATCAGGAAAATATCGGCACAATGTTACCTCGACGGTCGGAGAATGAGTTGTATTCAGGCTTTTCGAAGCCGACTCTCTTGCAGTAAACTATCAACACTTATGTTAGCATATCTGATGATCAAATGGCCGCGGAGGCAGAACAGAATAAAGGAAAGGAAACAAAATGTTATGCATCACAACGTTCTCTTCCCAGACGGAGCATGGATGGAAAGCGGGGCCTACATTCGAGTCTCAGCCTCCAGGTATTTTTTATGTCAACAGACATGATCGAAGACAGTATTTGTTGATATGTAGCCGTTGTCGATGACTCGTAGACCAAATGATAAAAGCGAAGGAGACAAGGGAGACGGAAGAGTCAAAGAAGCGAAGTGAGGGAAAGTTGCTGCTGCAGTAGTGGCCTCCGGTCAGTTGTACTGTGGCAAGGACGGTGATCGTGAACGTGATGGCCAACAAGAGCAATAAACCGAATAATAGCAGAGCAGAGGTAAGTAGCAAATGATGGAAGAGGCTAAGTTTCAACCCGTCCCTTTTCTTAAATCAATGGACTTCCTCAAATCCGTGGATATGGGGAACAGCAGGCGTATAAGAAAGATTGTGGGCCGCCGCTTGCTTTAAAATAGCGTCCTCGGAGGAGGCATCCATTTTGCCCATTGGCAAACACGGAATCTAATCATACATAGAGCCCATGCATGCCACACCTGTTTATGGCACCGCGCCGGCAGGACACTCCCCTCCAATTGAGGGGTGCCAGGGCATGGAGAACGTGCGGATCACCCTTATGAGGCTGCAAGCTGGAACGGCCCGCACACGCCGAAGACGAATATGGCATTGAAGAAACGCCAGAGTCTAGGTAAAAGATGACTAGTCTCCGCCATGGCTGAGTAGGTCCATTGATTTGCTAGGAAGCAGAGGGACAACAGAAGTGACGTTGCTGCACAGGGAAGAAGAAGTGGTCGCTCTGGACTGACTTGGACGAATGATGCGCGTTAAAATTCCAGTTCTTTAATCCGATTGCTCGCATCATCGAGGGACCGCTAGTGATCTCTCCCCTGTTCCGCAAATCGAGGTGGCATTGGGTACAAACAGGCTAGCTGCCTCACGATGGGACGTGGTCGGAAACGCAGGAACAGTTAAAGAAAAGAGAGACGATAATGCTAGGTACGTACGGAGTAGCAAAGGAGCTATCATGAAGGGGGAGGGGGTTGTTTGATTGACCAAAAGCGGAGAGTGGGCCATAGGACTTTGTTTGAAGCGACGTGATATTCGAGAAATTCGGCCACTTGGGCCCATCTGTAAGATCGAGGCGGGCCCGAAGGCCGTGCCAGCACATCAATTACAGCATCTAATATCGATCTCGACAGAGTGCGCCGACGCGGTTCAGGACCATCCCTCAGCCTCGGACCCCAAAGGGCCAGCCAGGCCGCTTTGCATGTAGCCATTGGTTCTCGGACGCGACTTTGCACATTCTGAGCGACAAGGGCTGTTCTAGGTTGTCCGGGCTAGACTGTTTCGCGGCAACCAGGGCGCTAAAGGGCTGGCAAAGCGAGGAGCCTGAGTGAGACTAAACTGGGCGCGGCAAGACTGCTGGCTGTCTCCCAAGGGAGCTCTCCGCTGAACAAGATCTAGATAGAGAAAAGTGACAACAAAAATCAGGCCGGTTAGTTGGGAAGACTCGACCAAGTCTAGTTCTAGACGTTGTAAGTGATTCGTTGCCTCCAGGCTCGGGTACTTGGGCTTGGGCATTCGTGCAGGTTTTCCTCGAGTGTCTGGACTCTGGAGCAAGAGAGATGGTGGGGTGAGTGACCAGGGAGTTAGAAGAGGAGGGTGTCAAAGAGAGGATGAACCTGCATTGGGAGGCGAGGTTGATAGCATGATGCCAACTGTAGGGGAGGAAGGAGTTGGAGTGGGAGGGAGAAGGAGCCGAAGGAACAGAAGGAACTGCAAGTCATCCATTGTCGCTGTTTTGTTTACGTCCAGCGGCAGCCTCGTCCCCCCCCGCACTTTCGTCTTCTGGCTTCTTTCTTGCTGTTGCTGAGCATCAATCTTCGAGTTAAAGAGCAGTGTACAGTGCATGCTTCGTAGCAGAGAAATTCCAGAAAGGCTATTCACTCTATAGCTCGCCCTCTAGTGTCAACGCATATCGAGAAACCACATTGGCCTGGTGTGATTCGCCAGCAATTTAAGCGAAAGCAACCCAATAAAACCCGAGGCCATAGAGAGAGAGAGAGACAAAGGCAGTCAGGCAGAAATAACAAACTATCACTGTCACTGTCAATCTATCAAGAATATACAAGTTAGACCATGTTTCTATCTCCCATCTTTCATGCCCAACATGCTGCTAGGTATCTGCAAGATTAGCCATATACATCATGCRCCATCACTCGCATACATGAACCAAACTATATTTGCCGAGTGATATAGCTTCGTGCCCAATCAATGAATGCCATCCCCAGCATTTTTGGAGTCAGCGCCCTCGGGAAAAAGCAATATGGACAAATAAAACCAGGCGAGGCTGAAACGGAAATTCATGGACCAACCAATATGCATGCCGGCAAGGAATTATCCTCGCGCGTGTACCTGTTTTACCGCGCACATCACTGCAGGTCATGAAAACCATTGGTCTTCAATTCTTCGTGATCAAAAGTACCCCCACATGGGACAGATGTCTCGGAAGAACCGAGGAAAAAGTGAAGAAGGATAACACAGTCTCATATCCATGGGCATGACAAGGAAAGTCGTTAGGAAGAGGACTAGGCCTCGATGATGTGGTTCTGCTGTGATTGAGCGGACACTCCATTGGATGGCGCAGTCGGGTTTTGCTACACGTCACCCCAGGCATTGTCCTGTCCGGCCCTGTCCCCGATCACCAGAAATACTGGCTAGATACGGGATGGCGTTTTTGTTTGACGGGCAGACCTGCTGCCCTAGGATCGATGGAATATTCCATCTACCAGCCGCTTTTGGCTTGAGAAGAAGGAGCGCGAATGAATGAGTGCAGAGGGGCCGCTGCGGTGCCATCGCCTGCGTATGCAGTCGTCAACCAGTACCATTAGCCCTGTGGCCACGATGACATCGGCAACGTCATGCATGTTCCTGAATGCAGACATATCGCTAATCCACATTGAGGACGGGGGGATCCAGCCACCCTTGTTTTCCTCTTCATTTGCCTCCGTAGGTGTCAAGACCTCCTGCAATAGGTGGGCCACTTTTTTGGACGTCCGCAGGTTGATCAGATGATAAGACACTTCACGGAGATCACTGTGGGATTCTCGGCGCCATTGGTATTTCGTACCCCAATATTCAAACCCGTATCTCTGAGTCATAACAGCAGGCCCCCTCCGTTTCAGTTCTACATGCGCGTAGTTGGAAAATTCAAGAAGGATCGTATCGCCAAGTTCGGCCCGTCGATGGGTATTGCTCTTGAGGATAACACCATCATCAAAGAATTCACCTTGCTCAGACCCCCGTCGTTTGTGATTCGTGCCTTGAAGGGTCCTATGTCCACCCGATCCTGGCCGCAGGCTCGCAAGCACACTGCTCCATGAGCGCTGGTGCGTTGGCGCCTTTTCAGAGGTTGATACGGCTCGTCTCGAATTGCAAATCTCGCGCCCTGACACTCGAGAATATCTCCTGAGGGAAAACTAATAAATGAGCAAAGGAATAGACAATCAGAGATTGAAGAGTCCACTTACCCGCCTGGTAAACAGATCGTACATTCTCAAGTGGAATAGAACTACACCCTGTTCATGGCCGGAGCGATGAGGAACCATCGTATCAACGCGGAGGTTCATGTTCCCATCGAGTGTCGAATCATCATGCCGAATCAGAAGCCTCCGGCAGGACGGGAATAACTTGGAGAATGTTGAGGAGCTCGAGGGCATTGCATGTATTGTAAAGTTATCAGGCCTGTTCCGGTCCGTGACCGAGAATAGAGGGGGTTCATCGACGTCGTCTTCCTCCCCACTAGTTGACCCCAGGGTTGATGCAGATGATGCAGAGCCCAAGAGCTCTAAGTCTTCGTCATCATAGCCCATTTCTTCCGTTTCCTCCTGCCGTTTCGACAGGGGTTCACTGTAGATTGTTGGGGCTGTGCTTTTGGTTCGGTCTGAGCTATCGCTACCGGTGGAGCTAGTGCTAGCTGTATTCCTTAACGTAGCTGTCGCATCTGGACAGGCATATTTGTACGACACCATGGCGACGCTAAGATGTAGGGGTTTGAAGATCAAGAGTGACTCTCAGCTCGGCTCGGGACGATGGATGGATGATATGTTGTTCGGCTGCCCGATTGGGAAATAGAACTTGAGGTAAGAATTATATTGGAAAAAGCAAAAAGAAGAGAAGAGATGGCTTGAAGATATACAGGAAATCGTTTGTTCAGATCATAGTCACAGCCTTGGTAGTCGAACCACCTATACTTGAATTAAGGATGGGCCACAAAGCTGACAAGGCGAGGGAGAAGGGTTATAGTGGTCATATGAGGGCTTGCCTGGATAAATAAGGTAAGCAATAATCTCCAGAATAAGGGCAGGGTAAAAAGAAGGGAAAGAAGGTAATCAAGATGGAAGAGCATGCGATGTGGGCGGAATGGGAGTGGAAAGCAGGGGAGACCCGAGAGCATACCGCAGATGACGGCCCTGGACAGCAGGTATGCCTGTTGAACGGGCGACCACAGGACCTCAGCCACGTCGCCAACCTTACGGAGTGTATTCAGGCATTATTGATCTCCTTCAGGCCCTGGATGGGACCAATAATAGCAGTCGGAGGAAAGGGTCATGGTCGTAAGCTTATGGGCATCCTACTCTGGCTTCTGGTAGGTATTGTTTACTGTGAGTATGAAGTAGATTGTTGGGGTCGATAGCAGCATGTACAGTTGCTCTTCCAGGCACCCCATTTCATCAGGGCATCTTGCTTCTCGTACATCACCCCACAACTTTACGTAGTCTACAGCTACGTCTTTCGACTACAGTTCTCAGTCCTCCGCCCCGAGCAGATTCCAGAACCTGCTTACTCCGTACGCTACCCGGCTGACCATCCGAGACCAGGTTCGTCATCCTGCACCATGCGACAACCAACACCCCCCGGGCTATTTCGGGAGCAAGGCTGCGAGGGTTGCCTCATTACTCCGTAGCACTGCACGCCTCTCCCTCCTACTTCAGGCTGAACCGAGCCGTCGTTTTGCGCAAAAAGCGTTCTCGTGCCTGTATTATTCAGCGTTCCAGCGGTCCCCGCCGTTTCACATGCAGCGCATCCCAAGCTGATTGCAGACCGAAAAGCGGGCAGAGCTCTGACAGGGTGCCTGCGTTTCAAAGCTGCCCGAGCGAAGCGGCAGACAAGACGTATATACTTGGAACCAGTCGCCTAGAGAAAGAGGGAGTCTCGATGCCTGATCGCCTAACTTTGATGATTCCCAACTTCTCTTCGGAGGATTGCCAACAGACCGGTTCGAACTCGACCACAAACAAAACATCTGCGTGAGCGCACTTCGCCGTCGATTCCGGTATCGGTTTGCCTGCCACGGTGTCTACGGAGTAGGGGCCCATGAGCATGAACCATCTCCCCACACTCACAACCAGTAAACGCCAACGAAGTTTTGAACGGTTGAACCTGATCGCTCCATCACTGAGGATCGCCGTCGCTGCCGATTACTCCACTATCCACCGATCATCAATCAGATATACTTGTTTACCCTCCTAGCCGCAGAAAATCCCCATGGGCCAGACCGAGCGACCGACCAGTGACCACGACGTAATACTGGGGTCAAAGACGCCTTAGCGATTTCGCCAAGTTCTGCAGCACCTCCATACTCTTGTATCGCTTTATCCAGTGAGCAGTGGCCGATATCACAAGGCCTTCTCATGGTTCAAGGTTCCCCACACTCTTCTCGTCTTTGCGCTCAATCAAGTCAAGGCCGGAGGGCCATGCATCCCGGGTACGTGCTTAATGACCAGGCTGTCTTGTCCGTCTGCACAGCGCTGCGTCTTACCCCGCGAATGACGAGGAATCGGGAAAAGGGACGATCGAGTCATGAATATGATTGCTCATAAGCAATGTTAGGGTATCACGATTCATCACCGGTTACCAGTCGCCCCCACGGAAAGCGGGGATTAGCTAGATATGTCGTACCGTGACTACAAAAGCGCAGACGACTTACCTAACCTCTTGAACTGGATGATTCAGTCGGTACCTGAGGCCTGATACTTGTTTACTTGGGACAAAACAAAGTGGTATGCCCTGCCGCCTTTTCAACGGCCAAAAAATGACCGAGCAGTAGTCTCCTTGTGACGTCGAACATGCAGGCTGCATTTCCGTGTGACTGTTCATGCAGGGAGTTCCTAGAGTCTAGGGAAGTTCTCAGATACTTTGTAATCCGCATACTCCGGAGTAGTGCGTCATTGGAGGGTTTTGCTTTTCCTCGTTGAGGTATCCCAAAGAAAACAGGAGAGTCCTGGACGTGGTCCTTGGAATAGATCGTCAAGCTGGTCAGCCCCGACCAGAACGTACCATCAGGTGCGTCAGGGTTCGAAAAGAGCCCACCACCTAGTCAGATACAATGTAGGTACCGTCGAATCCCCTAAGTAGCAATATTTAATAACACAGGTAAGGCGCTTGGTGATGTCAATATTGATTGACATCCCTTGCAGTTCGCAGTTTACCTGCTGCGTAGGAACTCCTACACCGAAGCTCGGTGGCGGGGAAGGGTGAGTCCAAAGTATACTTGGGATTCAGGCATTTGTACATTGGGCTTTCACTTCTCACCGGCTCTGGAAATTGATTCCGCAGGGTCTCGATTCAACCTCTATCTTACACCATACCTCGAGGCTGGAGTTATCCGCCGATATCTGCCGATACCAGGTATAGCTCTCTAAGTCTCTAACAAACATAGTTGTATGTACTAGACATCCAATATGCACCCTGGCAGGTGAATCAGACCTGTTTCCACAAAGGTTGGGGAAGTTTTTCGCCAGGCTGGAATGAGACTTCGCCACGGCAGCTTGAGGGAGAATGGGAGAGCAAGTCCGCGCGTGGAGACGGTGGGTAGAAGCCAACATAGGCCTCCCGTCGAGCGGTTCCGACAATGGTCACGGACCATGTATGGAGACCATAATAGGAAGCTATTGAGTGGACAAGCCACCGACTGGCGAGCGTTAGCATGATACTCCTGATCATGTCATATTTCCAGCCACATACCCAAAGCCAGCAGTAGGGTCATCGATGGAGCTTTCAAACACCATCTTTTCTCCCTGGCACTGATTATGCGAGCTCGGCGGCTCGCGCATATTTTGCAGCTTCTGTCCGTTCCGGCCGACAAACACGACCTCGTCTTCGGAGTCTTCATCAGACGATGACGACGCGTCCGCGAGCCCGTCCTTCTTCCGCACTAGCTGCCACTGTTTGATATACTGCCGAACATCCTCTTCCAGATCCTGCAACATACCGCGGGCCGCCCGAGCATGTTTCAGCTTATGACGGAGTTCCTTCGGGATGTGGTGCCTGGGCTTGGCTGGCGCGGGTCGCTCGATATGTGCGTAGTGGCTGTCCCATAACGGCGCTAGAAAATACGGCATCGGTTCGTGGCGAGTATGCGTGGGCTGCGGCATCCAATCCTTGGGAGACGGCATCTCAGCCCAAGGATTATGGAGGAGACGGTCATTCTCCCAGCGCTGCCTCCGGCGACTGCCGTCTTTACCCTTGAGCAACGCCTCCCGTCTCTTCAGGCTATCACGGCGGAGCGGTTCTCGGCGTCGGAAGGTGACCGCCGGCACCTTTTGGACTTTCTCTGCTGTGCTTTGACACAAGGTCTTGATTCTGGGCGCGGTACCATCTGCGGCTGGGACAGGGTCATCTAGGGGAATCGAGAGCGAGACAGTCGCACCCCGCAAGGTAGTGCTCGTGGGAGCCGACTCGGTAATTGTAAGGTTCTCCAAGGAAGCCGCAGCCTGTTCGGTCCAAGCCGAGATCGCGCGGGCCTGCTGAGAGGACAATGGCCCGTCTTGCGATGGGAAACTAGGGTGAATCGCCATCGGTAAGGTCAATAGTGTCCAGGGATATCGTCAAAGAAGGGTCGTTCGTGATGGAATGGACTCTGGACAAGAAGGGACATGAAGGTGACAGATAAGAGATAGGTACCGGTAGCGTCGGGCGGAGCCAGGAGCACGTGACGGAGCGGGAAAATCCAGTTGGTTGACTCACAACGCGAATCTTAATCCTGATTGGGCGTTCTCTCGACACAGGCCCGTATTATTGCAACCGTGAGGTCCGTGACACGGTGACAAACCGGCTGGCCCTAGTCAATCCGAAAACAGAGTGTCTTGATGATGCTCGGAATGATTCATCACGAGTCATCGAGTCATAGTCTTCGCCCATCATCGCGCTGTGCATCGGACGCGTCCTTTACCTTGCAGACGCGAGCTCCTCAGGATTACTAGTCAATATGATGACCCTGAGTGACTAGTATCCCGTATACCGTCTTTTATTATTGAGATTCTGTTGATACCTTCAAGGACAATATTCCATACTGAATCGTCCATTGGCGATTACATTACACCGGTAGCAGCACCGCCGAATGTCCAAGAGGCCCTCTCAAGACGCCGGGTTGCCGAACACATCATACCAGCTCTCGATCAGGTGTAAGCTTCGTTCTTTCTGTACTAGGCCAGCCAAGATTCAATCCAGTTGGGCGGGATACTTCCCAATCTCACCTCAAGGATCAGGATGAGTAAAAAGGTCCGGTGGACGCTTGACGTTCCTGGCTGATACCTCAGTTAGACGCGCCATTTCAGCAACCAAATGCCCTCGATCTAGGGCTGGATTCAATATTTGGCCTCAAACACTCAGACGAAAGCAAGAAAAGCCAACCCATGGATAAAAGCGCCTTCCGAGCAACGCTAGCACCACCAGGTATCTTCTTGACAACTACAGGTTCGTCTCCTGGCTGGTAGAGCTATCCCACCAGCAGTAGTTCAAGAAACATTGGTAGTGGTGCTGAGCATCCTTGTTTGTGGTCGTCCTGGAGACCTGCATCTAGAGCCTTCAGAAAGAGTTTCTATTGTGATAAGGGTGAGATTGCGCCGAACTGGCGGAGATCAATGCTTGGTCTTGTTGCAACAACCGCAGTCGATTCCGACTCCCAAGGTTGCATTGATAGCCTAGCTCATGACCATGGTCTAAACTGTAGAGGATGTGCTCTGTATTTATTCCCTGTCACGCTTTGGTGACATCCTGAAGTCCTGGCCATGATCTGAATAGGCCAATATGGCTAGCCAAATGAAAGCTGTGTTATACCTTGAGCTTCGACCTCATCGATAGACCAACATGATGCTCATTAAATATGCAGACTTGCTCTGACATTAGTCTATGTCAATTATTTCCTACGCACTCGATACATCCACTCGGTTTGAATACTACCGACAACATACAAACACCAACATACTCGTCACCAGCGCCGCATGATACTTGGAACCCGCACTCGTATTATCATGCCCACTCTGCACCTTGGAATACCAGACCAGGTGGACAGTGTCCCCGGAGCAACTGAGACAGGACCCCGCCCACAACAACAGCAACCATTTCTGACGGTGACTGTCCACCGACGAACACCCCATGCTCTCCGCCGCGAACTATATCCACGCTGATTCGGGTCCGATGGCTGCGGAAGTGTTCAGCTCGTCTTCTGTTAACAATGACGCTGCTCGATGTATCCTACCTATTCTGCGGGAATGCCGTCGATGTTGAAGAGAGCTTCCATTACCGCGGCTAGCGAGCTTGTAAGGTGGTGTTTCTAGATCCTTGATGACGTTGCAAATTCCCTCAGTTGATGGAGATCGGGGCAGAAAGGTGCGGCCCTTGCAACGATGGTTGCAACACTGTCCATGCGCCATTATCAACCTTGGCCATGGCCTTAAAGAGGACGGAGGTAGAGACACTGTGACCGGACAGAGCCGGAGGCGAATGGGCTGTTGGGGCACAGGGCAAGACTCATGACATGGGCCACGGTCTGGCAGTGTGAATCGCGGGACGAGAGCTTTTGGTGATATCGACTGCCTACTCCACGGATCTGCTGTGGATCCTGTTCAAGTTCTGCGGGCTTCGACTGGACCTGGCAGAAGACAGGCAAGGGTATAGCACGTGGATAGTTTGTCCATGATGGAAATCACGGGGCTGACTTGAAGTGATAGGGGAGCAGCGTGCGACTAGGTATATCTGGGAACAAACCCTCTGAGAAGCTCTGTTTAGGATGCTTACAAGAGCCATTGCTTGGTGCCAACAACATAAGGACACTATTCAGTCCATCATGGCGCATAATCTGCATGCCGACCGGGCGATCTTACATGACTGTTGCTGTTGTTGGTGTGGCCACATCCTTGAAATGTAGTTATTGTGAGAGATCCAGGGTTTGGGCAAGGAAATGTGCTATATAGTTTTTGGCTTGGCAGCATCATGCACATACGACCACAGGGTGTGGAGAACAGGGCTTCCCGTCCGCTCAGCCGTACTTAAACCACACGCCGGCTGGTTAGTAGTATGGTGGGTGACCACATGCGAATCCCAGCTGTTGTATGTTTTTTGTTTTTGTTTTTGTGCTAGCACAATTGGATGTGGAGTGATAAGCATTGAGGGACAAGAGTACATCTCAACTATTCATCTGCCTTGTTATTCATACAACAGGCGCAACCTCAGTCAAAAACAAAAAAAAAAAAAAAAAACCGCGCCGGTACCACCCCATTCCATCTCATCATTTTCTGAAGAACAACAGGAGTCCTGGACACGAAAGCCAATTTATCCCAGCCTAATCGCTTGCTTGACGCAGACAAGCCCTATCCCTGAGCGGCAAGACCCTTCAAAATGCTCAATCCCTCGTCTGCTTCGTCCTGGTTCCACGGCTTGAGCCCGTGGCTAAACAAGAAGTTGGTCCAGCCGCCGTAGCTCTTGACAATTGCGCGCTCAGCGGTGTTGAGAGGGGGCTCTGCGATGTGTTAGTCTGGGTTGAAGTAGTATACCAGTGTTCATCGGATATGGCTGAGGTGATGAGGAAGAGAGGGGTAAGAGGGGAGGGGAATTGGCTGTAGGAGTGACGTACGGAGACTGTCGGAGGCAGGCATTGCGTTATTTATAGGTGCCCTTGCGTTGTTTTTAAAGAAGGTATGTATGGTTTTTGGATTTGGAATGAGTTGTTTGGGACGGAGGCGATGTTGATGATACGAAGAGCTTGTGGTGTTGAAGTTAATAAAGTTCGCGATGGGGTGGGGTCATTCAGACCACGGCCAAGGCTGTTTGTAAGGTAAAAAACGAGGATTTGATTTCATTAAAGCCATGACTTATTTGATCTTAAGATTATCCGATTATCCATTTTGAAAACGCAACTCCAACACAAGGGGGTATATCAATAAAAAATCCCAGGTAAAGCAAAAGAAGAAGACTAGACAAGAGCACCAACTCCGGTCCCAATCGTTGCGATTAGAGAGGAACAGCACGGTGCTCAGTTAGGCTCAGTGTTGGACACGGTCAATGGACTAGAAGCTTCCGATGGAGCAAATGGGATCGGTCCAGAAGACGTGAGCCCAGGAAGGCCATGTTTTGTCACAGACACAGAAGCAGGGGGTGAGAACAACATGGACGGGGGACTTGTCGCATTGCTCGCAGGCCCAGGGGTAAGAGGCGGCGAGATGCCTGCGTTTGCATTCGAACTCTGCGATGAGGTTGTTCGTCCCAGAAAGAGCTCCTGAAGCGGACGATGCTCTTCATCCACTGGTATGGGTTTTGTAGTCTCTATGACCGGAGTGGTGGATGCAGTGGGCAATGACGCTACCGGAGTCACAAAGGAATCGCTTGTTAGTCTTTCAGTGACTGATTCTGTCTCGGTAGCCAATGTAGACGGTTGTCTAGGGACGTCCGGTAGCGGAGTGTCGTCCTGGGAAGTGCTCACTGGAAGCTGAGGCGTCGTCTTCGAATCAGTATTCGAGGGCTGATTACGCGCTGCTGCTTTCTTGAGGGACCGAGGCGCTTTGGAAGGACCCTTGGGGGCCCTACGTTTGCGGTCCTCTGCTGCCTTCATTTCTCGTGAAGCGTTCTCTTCAGGAGAAGGCAATTTGAGTTTTATGCTCAGCTTTTGAACGTTAGAGGCGAGTTGATCCATGTCGTCAAGCACCCGCTCGCTGGCGTCAGATGTAGCCTGTGATGCGATCGAGTGCTCCTCCGGAGTCGTTGCAGAGAGAAACGTACTAGGTACCCGGGGTACAGCTGGTGGTTTCTTTTGACTCGCAGCGCGTTTGGGAGTTGTTGAACGCGACGCTGCAGCTTTGGAAGCAGCAGTCTTGCGTATGGTGACCGAACCCTGCGACAACGGTCTTGGAGGGGGTAGATCTTGCTCGGTAGCAGAAGACGTACTGGCAGTGGTCGAATTTGCACTCTTTCTTCGTGAAGTGCGCGGTCCAGGGGATTTGGATGGCTCCGAGGTAACGCTGGGAGAGTCAAGTGTTGTCCTACGGCTGTTCTTGATAGTTCGGCGTGCCGGAGTCTCAGGTCTCGGTGTGCTAGGAGCGGAAACTTTGGGCTTTCTTACGCGGAGCTGCATCTTTTCCTCCCCTGCCACAGGCTTAGTTGGAGTTCCCGCTGCATCGCGAGCACCAGTGCTGCCGGCATGACGTTCACGTCTCAATCGCGAAGCCTTTTCATTGAGTTCTTCAGGCCGACAGCTACCGGTCTGTCTATCACTTGGTATCAAAACCTTGGACAGCTCATGTGCTGCTACAGCCCAATCGACTGGCGGTAGAGGCGGCTGCTCCAGCTCTAAGCTGGCATGTGAACCTGTAGATTTCCGATCCCTGCTTGGAAGAACGACTTTTGCGGTAAATGACTGCGTCGGAGCAAAATACGTCGGGGCCGACTTCTCTTTAGGCTTGCTAGGCGAAAGAGCCGGATACACCAGAGCCTCCAACTCTTCTAATAGAGGTGGAGACCACCATTCCTGGTCATAAGCGGCATGGTAAACCGGCATTTCAGTGGGTACGTTATCGGCCAAACCAAGACGATCTGTCATTTCGGTCGCCAAACGGTCGATGGAGTTATCGCCGGTCAACTGTGCGCTTTGCGTATCTGAAAGCCCTGATAAGTGAGACAAGGCGCCTGATATCAGCGCCCTGTTGCTGTACCCTCCTTCAAGGACACTAATACACCGTCCATCAACACCTAGTCCTTCTTCCTCCGCCATCCGGACAACGTCGGCCGTGAATCTAGCGTAGAACTCGGTTGGCACATTGACCTTGTGTCTCTGCATACCCGCGCTTTCCCATTCGCTAGCATCGAACCCGGCCGAGAGGAAGATGGCTGCCTTCGGCGCGGGTCCAGTCGGAGCGCTCGCTAGACGTTCAGTATGCATTTTTAGAAAGGCACGGGCCTTGTCTAGCAGGACAGTGTACTTGGCAGAATAAAGGTCCCAAAAGTCCTGTTCTGTGTTCCACGGCTCAAGATGCACGTTCCAGATGGATTGCCCATGTGCCCTGTCGATACAAACGCTCGCGTTGCGCACTTTATCCGCTTCGCCCATCTCGCAAGGGTACGAATTGATGTCATGCAAGCTGAAATACCCAATCATAGCTTTCTTGTGAGCTCCTGCATTCTTGGGAGCAGCTAAGGCCTTCCTGTTCTGCTCCCAAGTGATGTTTTGCCCACCGTCGCCGTGGTGTAGATCGAAATCCAAGATTGCAGCATGCGTGAGGTCATGGGTCATCGCAGCGTAAGAAATTCCCACATGGACATTGTTAATCCAGCAAAATCCTGAAGGATGGTCCGAAGAACAATGATGACCTGGAGGCCTTATTGCAACGAATGCGCGCTTCGTCGGCCCTGGCCCGAACACCGCATCAATACCCTCGCACACGCCGCCCAGCGCTCCCTCGAAAGCGTTCAACGACTCCGAGCACAAGTAAAGATCCCCCTCATGGAAGGCCGGTGCAGGAGCCCCGGAGGTGTCGTCTTTGCCAGTACTGCGAGGCCGTACTAGTTCCTTGCCATTCACTGCAAGACGCGATTCCGCAGCGTCGCACATTGTTCTGAGATCCTCCATCCATTTCGTCCCATGTACATTTGTAACGGCCGTCGAGTTCAATGGCAATGTCCTTGTTGTCTTGCGGATCTGAAAGGGGGGAACAGGAAGCTGCTGTAGGTCCAGGTCTGGGTGAGGGGCAGACGATCCTCCAGCATGTCTTTGGGCAAGGCGAACGAAGGCAGCGGAGATACCCACGACACAAGCCTGAATGCGCTCCGGCCGCTCCACAATCGAGCTCAACGCGGCGCGAGGAGTGCGAGGACGCGAAAAGCGATGGCCGTAACACGCATCGTGAATGACCACCAAGGTTTGAGATTGTAGGTCGGCGGACTGGTGGTGCTCAACTTCTTTTTTGAAGTGTTCAGCTGCAATACTGGACGTTGTTATCCCGTTGGCGTTGAGTGACGTCGCGAACGTGGACGACGCTCGACGCGACATACTGGGCCGGGAAGAGCTGGGACCCCCGAGCTGTGTTGATCGGAGAGAATCAGTTGAGGAGCGCTTGTTTAGAGTAGAGGTTGATTGATCGCGCCTGGGTATTGCTTGCGATGCCGGATGCGCGGGGAGATCGGAGGGCGATAAGAGCGAGGATGATGAAAACGCGGACGGAGAGGTGGGAAATGTGGTCGCAGTAAGGGTGTCGCTTAGACGTTCAGAGAAGATTGAGGGATCGATGGGCGGCGCAGGGGGGGTTTCGATGGGAGCTGGCCCAGCTGGGTTGGAGGGGTCCATGATGACGCAGAAGGCAGCGGTCTCATTTGAATGGTGACTCAACGGGAGCTAATAAAAGAATAAGAGGGTGAAAGAAACAAACAGAATATTGTTGTAGACGTCCTGTAGGCTGTCAGGAGCAAACAGGGGGAGTGAGTGAAGGGAGGATCTGGAAACATAACAATCACAAGCCAGGCACTAACAGCCTCCTGATTCGGCCGTGGTCAAGGGGCTCCAGTCTGTCTTTCCATACTTGGATCTCATGCGCAATGATTGAGCGTTCTGTGTATAATTATAATTATTGCATGTTAGATACTGATGGTATGAAATATTCGCAGAGCATTTGATGTGCCCCGAGCAGCCGAGCTTAACTGACAGCTCTTAGGTGGCGGAGTTGTATAGAACCCTACACTAACCCTTGTTCAGCACGGAGGGGCCAACCACCCTCTGGCCTGCATATAAGGTCCACCTGTCTTGATAGTCACCGGCAACTGCGCAGCGGCTACGGCCATGGTCTATAGAATATATCGCTTATAGCATGGATACTCCGACAGGTGGATTTTCCTTGTGTGCAGGCCAGAGGGTGTATACAGATTACAGGGGAGAGGATGATCATGCAAGTCCTTTATCTATAAAACATCTAGCAAATAATCATCACAGTTCCACCCTTAGAACTCCTAATAACCAAGCTTAGACCCAGAACGCCGTCAAAAGAGCCAAGCACCAGCAACCCTAGATGCAGAGATGTCGTTATCGTAAGGTCAGAGCAGCTCAGCCTAAAATATCCCCGAGAACCGCCTGTACCACCTCCCGCGCGTGACGGATTTCTCCTGGTCCAGACTGTCACTCGAGTACGAGGAACCTGAACCGACAGAAGAAAGTGAAGTACGGCTCAATTTCCGCTGGTGCTTCGCGTGTCTTTTTTCGTGTTTCTTTTCAGTGATGAACTTTTGCGTCGCGTGTCTCGTACCTGAAGTATATTAGAAGAGAAACAAATAGTCACATTGCCACGTTTGTACATACAGAAACAATACATGGTCATGGTCACCCTCTCGACTCCAGTGCCAGGGCACGGGCCAGCGCCGCAGGCTTGATAGCCAGCGTCTTCATCGCATTTACACCAGCTATACGACGTGAGGAGTTGGCGACACATCTCTCTAAAGATGCAGAGGTAGATGCGCGAAACAACTATAGTATGTTCTTGTACACCCAGCTGAGCCAGTCGTTCGTATAGATCGGATGTCGATCTGCCTCCAGGGCTGTGAGATTCACGGTAAGAACGAGAGCAGAAACTCCAAGTGAGGGGTATGCGGAGACGAGTGTACGATAGACAGTACGGTAGAATGCAATGGTACCAAGCGGAGGAGATGGATGATGGTCAGATAGACCTGGAGGAGAGGAGGTAGAGAGGTAAGTAGATCAACGACAGAACCACAATGGACTGGGGGTATATAAGTATTCAAAGAAAGAGGAAAGTTGATGGACATAAGCTCAGGGTATTATTTGACGTCAGCACAGAGAAGCGCTGCAGTGGAGTGGTGTGCTAAGAACCCAGCGGCAAAGAACATCCACTACGACTGATGAACCGGTCATTCCAAAATCCACTCCATAGCGATCTGGCCAGCTGCCCGCCAATCCATTCTTATCATGCCCAGAACTGCAAAGGCTTGCGTTTCTCTAGGCGCCAGCAATGAATGGCTCTGCTGGTCTTTTTTTGGTGCTCAGTTTCAGTTGGCGCCTCTACTTTGTACTACTCTGTACTCTGCGTTTGTACGGAACTTGGAAAGACTCGGCAGGTCTGTCAGCTGAAGAGAATTGAATGGATGATGAGTCGCAGACCGTCTCAAGCCTTTTAGCCTTTACTAAGATGTTCATCCGCGACAGATAATATTATCGGCTTGCGTGTACGACTACGGAGGAGTACGTTCTACCCACAAGGATTGAGTGGAGCTTGGCGATGGCCTTATCCAATTAAGACATCATGGTGGTGACGGATCATGATGTCGATGCTGGTCGATGATGGAGCCAGGGTACGGGCCAATCTGACGCACTAACTGCTTTTGGCTAGTGACACGGACACGGACTGAGGTGATCTTCCGGATCACGTGCCTTGTCCTCCCCGGACTACTTTCTATGAGCATTCTCGAAACTTAATATGAAAACTGTCTATACCTGTTCATAATTTCACATTAAAATGCTCTCTGCCAATCTTGCGCTGTATATACTAGATATACCACTAGAGATGCCATAATTGATCCTTTAAGCTCTCTCCAACAGCCTCGCAGTCTGGGCCTCACCGCCAACAGCAATTCTCCAAATTCCCCTCACCCCTCCAGTTCTAACCAAGTCCTCCAACAGCCAATTTCACGCAATCAGTCTTTACCGATCAGCATACTGCCATACTTCCAACAGCGGCATGACGTCCCACTCTTCAGACCAACCCGCCATCATGCCCCCCTCCCCGGCACGAACAACAACCCTCATCGACAACCTCTTCTCCGTAAGATCCCTCATCAATTCCGCAACATCCAAGGCGTCCCTCTCAAAACAGCCACGCCTTGTCGCCGTCTCAAAGCTCAAGCCCGCGTCCGACATCCTTGCGCTCCATGAATCCTCAGCCGCCCATATGCACTTCGGCGAGAACTATCTCCAAGAACTACAAGAGAAGGCGCGGTTACTTCCGAAAAGTATCAAATGGCACTTCATCGGCGGACTCCAGTCGAACAAGGCTCTTTCACTGGCGAGGGATACACGCGCGCTCTGGGCGGTTGAGAGCGTAGACAGCGAAAAGAAGGCATCACTACTGGATAAGGGATGGGGGCAACGCAAGCCAGAGATGGGCGGGGAGGAGAAGCTGAGGGTCTTTGTGCAGGTCAACACGTCCGGCGAGGAGAGTAAGAGTGGGGTCGATCCCAATGGGGAAGCCGTGGGACTGTGCCGGTTTATTCTGGACCAGTGTCCGCGGCTGCGGCTGCAGGGTTTGATGACGATTGGAGCTATCGCAAGGTCGAAGGCCACGACGCCCGATAATGAGAACGAGGATTTCATTTGCTTACGGGAAGCAAGGGATCGGGTCGTTGCGGAGCTGGGGTTGGAGGGGGCCCAGTTAGAGTTATCTATGGGAATGAGTTCGGATTTCGAGGGCGCGGTCGCAATGGGTTCCAATGAAATTCGTGTTGGGACGACCATCTTCGGGGGGAGGCCGCCCAAAAGCCCATAGGATCATGATGAGACTTTAGGAGTTGCTATTAATGGTCAGGTCGAGATTGGCGCATGACGCTTCAGCCGGAGTACTATTCCGTCAGAGAACTTAAGAGGACTATACACCAGAGCCGGAAGTTATAGATTATCGAGTCGGCGAAACGCGTGGGGATACCGACCCAGCAGCAAAGCTTTTTTTCCGTGCTTCTTGACTACGTACGGCAAAGGAAGGCGTCCGAGACGGTATCTAACAGCTTAAAGCTATCTGGTCATTTACTACACTAATGCCCGGACCTTGGTTGGCTGAAGAACGATCACAGGGATCAGTGTGATGCTCCTCCGGCCATGGTCGACTCCTGTCCAAGTGACTAAATATTCGCTGCCCGGACAACTCAGATATCTTTGTCCTAGAGGACTCTCCTGCTTATTGTACCTACTAGCTACACTCCTTACTCCTCGCTTTTCTCTTCTTCTCGCTTCTTCTCGTCGCTCTTCCTCGCGTCAGGCTCCGGCCCCCACATAGACTCGCTGTCGTCTATCTTGGGCTCTTCCTGAGTCGAGTTTCCATTACCAGTAGCAGCATCTTTGTTCGCATCAGCGTCGTCGCTTGTCCAATTCCCAGTAGCACCAGTGTTCTCCGCGGCGGTATCATTATTCTCTATAGAGTCAGCATCGTCGTCGATGTGCTCCTCGAGAAATGCGATTTTGACAGCATCTTAACACAAGATACGAGTTAGTAACTTACCACCGTTCGGGGCAGGAATGGAACGTGACTTACTCTTGAGGCCTGTGGTCTCGATGGCGAGATTTTTTATGCTGCCCACAGCACATAATTCGCGATGTACGGGATTCTTTCGCCTCCGGTTCTCGAGCTACTATCGCCAACCTGTGAAGGAACGACAACTACCATGACCTCGTTCATCCGAGTATGAGCAACGTTGCACCGATTATCGTCATTGACAAATCCAAGGTCCTTAGCTGTCTTTGCTGCGGAAATGACGTAGTCGACAATAACACACTTGCCTTCACGGCCTTGCATCGAGTCAGCTGTTTCTATGGACGGAATAACCCCTTCAGGTAGTATCTCGATAGCTGGGACGGCGGCTTCGGGCAGGCGATGGCGGACTTCGAAGAACGCTCGCTTGTAAAGATCACGCTGCGCTGCATACATGGTAATGATTCGCATCTCGTTGCCGCGGTACCCACCAGCCTCGTATTTCCTGACGCAAAGCGTCACGATAGCTCTCATATTTGCTGCGTTGAACTTGGACTTGCTCGCATCGTCAACCTCACATGAGGAGTTCTTGATGCTAAGCACAAAGCAACCAGTGTCAAGCTCTGGTGTGGCATCGAACTCGTCGCGAACCATCTTCTCCCAGCTGGGGTTCACTGAGATTCCCAGAGTAGACAGATGGCTGTGCATTTTGTCCCCATACGTGCGAAGTTTGGGGAACTCGGTGAAGATGGGCCGACAGCGACGTTGCTGTCCTAGGACTTGAACGGGGTGGTGCGCACTCACCATGCGGCTAGCGAATGAGGTCTCTAATTGTGGACTGAACTCGTTCCATCCTGGTTCGTGCTTTACGGTCAAGACTGTTGGACGCAGCTGAAGGTGATCGCCGCCAACAATGATGCCAATAACGTTATGGAAAAAGCCGCATTTGACTGCACTGATCTAACTGTTGACTTCGAGCTCTTTCGGATCCTCATCGCGAATAAGAAGAACGCCCTTTGTCTTCTGAGCAAAGTGTCTTGAGCAGATGGTACTGGCCAAGTTGTTGTTGGTGGAGATCAACGCGCGTGACTGGCTAACAACTAGGCAGTACCCAGCTTCGCGAAATGCAATCAATGCTAAAGATTTATCATCATTTTCCCTCTCGGAAAAGAAAGTAGTCTTCATCTTCTTCATCGCCTTCCGGAGTTCTTCGAACCAATCAACCTCTTTTCTCTTCCAGCTCTCGACTTCATCGAGCTTGATCTTGCCTGAGGAAAGATCGCGCTGGTCATCTGAAGGAAGGTTCCCCATGAGCGTCAGATCATGGTCCCGGCTTCCCATGCCTCGGCGACGGCCTGGGCACGCACCCTTCTGTCAGGTCGCCCAATTCGCCGGTTGTGGTAGGCCATTGCAGTGTTCTTGATCTCCTGCAGCATGACTAACTGCGCGGCATTGGATAAGACTTCGGTGTTTTTGTCTGCATCGTCTGAGGCTGAGGGTTTTGAGAGGTCGATGAGTCAGATATGGGTAGGTTGACCATGGCCTTGAATGCCTGACTTTTTGCAAAAGGCCTATAGCACCGAACGACGCGGAAGCTGGTGCCGAGTAGTTTCTGTGCCTCATCTAATTGGTCGAGGTTCTGATCGCAAGCCGAGTTGATGGTGCGCTGATAATTACGTAGAAACCAAGCTGCATGAAGAAATGTGCGATAACACCAAACAGGAATGTCTTTCCAGATCCCGGGAGCCACTGAACAATCTTGAGGAAGTCAGGGAAACTGTCACACAATGTGAGGACGGCCTTTTGATCATCGTTTAGGTCGATCTTTGCCATCGTTGTCCGCAAGATCTCCTAGAACTTGACATGACCCGGATCGACTTCAGGGATTGGGTCAATGTTCTGCCTGGGAAGAAGGTGGGAAGCAGGTGGGAAGAAATGGGAGATTCTGGTCCTTCGATGCCCGTGAGAAGGTTGACTGTGTCCACCTGTCTCTTGGCCCCTTCCTGTGTGACTGGGAACTTGACTTTCGCTTTCAGCTGCTTGATTTTCTCGCCAGGCAAAGTGAGAAGACAGCTCCCGAAACTTGATAAGGAGATCGTTTTCGATCAGGAACAGGGGTTCGGTGCATGGGAGACTGAATATGTTGGGCACGACAATGTCAGACGGATCCTGGAGCCCTCCTTTGCTCTGAAGTGTTGGCTTATACGGCTGTCGGGTAGATGAAACTCTACAGCGGCCACAATGGCCTTCTCCGCAATAAGCACCAAGCCGATTTCGTGTTTCATCCGGCCGACACATTGGTGGATCTCCGTGTCATATCGAGATTCCGGGAACGCGCCGTATGCAAGAATGATAGCGGCCTCTTTTTGTCAAAAAACGAGACGAATGAAGAGTTTCTAGGGATCCCACTCTTGATGGTAGGCTCCACTGCCCAGCCGTCATCGTTGGCTGCGGATTCGGGCTCGGTGGCCCTCTTTGAGCGAGCCAACTATCCAACGCAGATACTTGATAAAACCCTTAGACTCTGGGTCGAAGGCAGATTTATCCACGTCCAGGCCAATGGCTACGCATTTTTCCTTAGAAGACGTGGAATACGGGGTTTCGTCGATCTTGACCATGTTCATTTCACCTTCTTCTGCCCCAGAGCCGTACGAGGAGCAGGGGTAGCTTCCTTTTGAGTAACACCCTTCTCAGGAAGAGCATCGAACCACCCATCATACTCGAGGTTGAACTGTAGATTGAGACAGAGTGTGTCAGCATTGGCAACCTTTTACTCATAGGAAGGCATGATTTTAAACAGGGTTTCGTACCTGAGGGGCCGACTTGTTCACCTCATGAAAAGTCATCCGGTCCCAAAAGTACTCGAGCGTTTCATCATGGAACTTGTTTTCTAACTCGGCTTGCCGTTCAGGATCAAGAACACAGATCACGAAAGCTGCCATAGCTGCGTCGCCAAAATTTCTGCCATCTGAGAGGAATCGTAAGTAACTGATCATATCTTGGGCTTGGCTGGCCGGGTAGAATTATACTTACTTTGCCAACGCAAGAAAAAAGAAGTATGGCGTTTAATACGGACATCAATATCAGTGGCTCGTGCTGTTGCGATGTCACGGTGGGCCTTCGAATTGAAGTAATCCATATTTGAGAGCACCATGTTGGCCTGGGGAAGTCAGCAACCAGTGGAATACATCAGGTTTGTTAGAGGTTACGCACCGATTTGCCTTCAGGCACAACACGGTACGTGGAGTTATGGATGGATGTCAGGATAGGCAAAGAGGTGAGATTGTGGCGGGTGGGAGCTCAGGTTGAAGAAGCATCTTCCGAATCGGTAAGCTAGTAGAAAGTAAAGAAAAGAAAGAGACATCAGAAAAGATCAGGTAGGTGTTTGGTGCTCGAATTAGCCATGGAGCAATGGTATGGTAGATGAGTGGAAAAGGAAGAAGAGGGAGTGTTATGGAGGAGAAGAGAAAATAAGGCGGCGGGGGGAAGCGAGAACTGAGGGAGCGAGTCTGAGGGTATCATTTCCCAACACCAGGATAGGCTCTAGATGATATCAATAATACATAATAAACCACCGTGTACGGCAGTAAGGTTGAAAGCGTGTAATTATGTGCAGTATTAATAGCCAGAGGTAAAGTCGTCTCCAACGTCAATACCCCTGGGCTTCTCACGAACATAGCTCCTGTCCGACAACGTTCCATGCGATAGCCTCTCCTCCATCTGCCGCGCGAGCGCTTGAGGAATTCCTTCTTGCGTGGCTCGAATCGTGACTCGGTACATCTAGACTTGTCAGCATGATTCCGATCTAGTCCATTGAGTAGCTTACCTTCCGCTCATAGTTGGGTTCCAATCGGAGAAGGCAACCGATCTTTCCCTGCGCGGAGTGATACACAGCGCAACCCACGATGTTAGTAGGAATCGGATCAACGCCGCTCAGTAACTTCCAGCCAAACTGTTCTACAAGCCGCTTTGTGAAGCCCTCGCTGACACTCCCTGCCTTCGGCGCAAGCCCAAAGGTGTTTTGCGCTTCTAGTGGACCACCGCCAATCTGGCGCCATCGCTTAAAGAAGTCTTCTGCCGTGAGACTTGAGGGCTCCAGGTAACGATGCATCAGAATCGGAAGTTGGAGTGTGTAAGCCTGCAAGGCACCGGCAAGGTAAGAGATACGAATTGTAGGCGCACTGGAAAATGGCCCTTTGGCCTCGAAGAAAAGGGTTTGCTGGGTTTGACCAGCAGCCGGAACCGAAGGCTCCGGAAGGCTCTTTGAATCGATCCTAAGATGGGGCGCGGATGGGTTGTCCACAGTCGTAGTCAATGACCCGATGGGGAAAGAGGATTTGTTGCTTATGTAGAGCTTAAGCACACCCAAATGACCACGGAATTCGGACCGCAGGCCAACCTGTATTTGCAGGTCCTCGAACAGCACGCCTTCGTCCGAGAAGTACAGCTTGTTGTACCCAATGTCCCAGTCTGGAGACAGGTTCGCTGCGCTAGCCATGTTCGTAGGGGCCGGTGGTGGTGTAGACGCGCTCAGGTCTAGTCCGGCCAAATCCCCTGACGCGCTGGAGGAGGCAGTAGCTCCATTGGCTCCCGTAGGTGTGCCATTGACAATCGTAGTAAATGATCGCTTTAGACCTGTGTTTTGTGCCATTAATATCTCCGCCCCGTCTGTGTTGGCGTCCTTGCCTCCCACGACCCAAGTCTTCTTATCAGTCGTGCCGGCCGTTTTCTGGTGGAGACGGGACAAGAGAATAGAAGCCCTCTCGGAGAATGGAGGCATTTCATCACAAACTGTTCGCAAAAGATCGTCAGTTGGCAGTGTCGCCAGCGACAGGTATTCGAATGCACGTTGCTGTAATTCCGGGTCCGGTGAGTGGCTGTACAGTCGAAAGATGTGTAGGAGCTGGGGCTTGATTTCTGGGAAAAGATTGACAAATTTGACAAAGGACGACAGAATCATGGCGCGCGTGTTGTCCGTACTGGTCATCATTTTAGCTTGCAGGGCGAGAAACTGTTCTATCGGGCTTGACCCTTGGTTGTCGGCTACTAAATGACCGAACTCTCCAAGAACATAGCAGCCAATTTTGACCAGACTCTCATGACAGTCGCTTTTCAGATACGTGAGTAGTGTCTGAGCAGCGTATGCCTGCAGTTCCTCGTTGTTTGTCACAATCTGAATCACTCGCTGCCAGACTTCGTCGTTGACATGGTCACCAGCAAGAGACAAGAGTTTCAGTGTAACGTCAATATACCACTGGGCGTCCGTAGCATACTTCTCCGTCAAGATGGCAACTTTCAGGACCATCTCCTCCCGTATAGCGTAGTCGGCAGATTGAAGGTAGCGCATCAATTCGTTCACAATCGGGGCCGCATTTGTGATATCACACATACTGTAGACCAAGTCAAGGCCTTTCCGACGCACGCTGATATCTCTATCTCGAAGCGAGCCCAGAATGATACTTTGATGCTTCTTAATTGGATCGAGAGTTTCGGCCCTGGCCGCAAAGTGCGTCATGGCCTCTAAGCCGAGATAGCGCACGTTTGTCTCGCGTGATTGGATGTATTTCCCAAGACGCGAGGATATTTGCATCATCAGGGTATGTTCTGTGTCAAGGTGGATGAGAAGGTTGATCGCTTCAAAGAGCACCGCATTCTGCGCATTATTCTGCTGCACATTCTTTGGGGTGTCCATTGCGATCTGCATTATTTGCTGAAGCGACTCGCGGATGATATCACGGACATGACTATCAGCTGCATTGCATTAGCTCGCATTGTCAAACGGCGAGAGGATGTGACCTACCTGAAGGGGGGTAGTACTGTAATAAGCGTAGCAGTTTGACCTGAAGCCATGGACATGGTACTCGATAGTATAGATAGTCCGGCGCAATGTCATTGTCGACGACGATTCTCTTTAATCGTTGAGCAGCCTTGACGTAGCTTCCTCGATATTCGTCAGGCCTATCCTGTGCCAGGGCCATGACCAGCGATGTCACTGATAGGGTAACGCCCATGTCCGGATCATCCATCAAGGATATTATGCGCTCTGCCCATTGATTTTGCACGATACTAGGGTATTTTCGGTATAAGCGAAGGAGGGTGAGAGCGGCCTTCTTCTTCACAAACGCTTTGGAGGTACTGCAGAGACCATCAGTGACACAGATTAGATATGACCATACCAGGGCGTCTCACGGAGAAATCAGCAGCCGATGAACATCGGTGGAGAGCGCTTCACCCATCTCCCTACTTCCAACGTTGGCAACCGCATGTAAAGCCAAACAGTTGTTCAATTCGTGCTGATCCAGCAAGTCCTTCCGGATACTATTGACGACAAGATGCAGCAGCTCATGCTCTTCATGAAGAAAAAGTGTCACTGCCAGGTATCCAATCTGCTTCTCGGAATACTTGTTGGAGGAAATCAGATTGACAGCCTCCAGGTGACCAAAATCGACATCGTACCCCTGGATGTAAACATAGAGCAACTTGCAGACATATTTCTTCTTCTGGTACCCGTCGAGACTCCCCGACTTGAACTTTTGTCGGATATTCGCCAATTCCTTGTTCACTCGCTTCTCCTCTAGCTCACGCGCTCTTGCATTTCGCAAGTCCGCAATGAACTGAACCAGGCCGCGCATAGAAGACATGGTGGCTGCGTGATGTCCTGGACGTTGTACGGTAGAACGAGCGGTAGGGTCTAGGCACGGTGAAAAGTGACTGAATTATGCCAGAATTTTGTATGCGTAGTATAATCGGAATTGAGGGGATGCGGCTGTCTTCGCAATCGTCTCGAGGTGCTCACACCGTGGCAGGGTGTACACTCAGTAGTAGTATTTCATAGAACCATATCCCGTCGCCCGTTTGGTCCGTTCGTTTTCGAGGATGTTCCTGGGATTTTACGCCGCATAGATCATGGCGCAAAGTTAAAAGACAGAACGAAAGCGTGTCTTCGGCACTGGTTAGGAGCTAGCGCAACACAGGGTAGGGATGACCGGCGTCAAACGAGTAGCTCGGAGCCCAAGTCTAGGTTGACTGTAATGGAGCAGCTGGAGAGAAGCACCGAAATTAGAGTCGGGGGATAGTGAGGCCCGGAGAGTTAAGCATTCCGTGGAGGGCGGCCGCAGCTGTTAAGGAGCGCCCCCCGTTTCTGGCTGCCAAGCCACAGCAGGGCCGATCCGGCGGAGATCCGGATCATTATTGATACGCTGTGGCGGTGCATCTAGGTACGTCGATGGACTGTATTGGATTTCATGTGTGATGATTCTCCTCTACCTAGGTAAATCTGTATTATACATTCTCGCAAGCCCTGAACCCTCTCCCAAGTCATGAACCCCAAAACGCCCAGCCGCAGCCATGCATGAACATAAATAGGCATATGGTATCAACTATCTGCACTACCGCGTTATATTTTGATTAGTTGTTCTATTTCCTGCTTCGTAGGAAAGCTGCGACCTGTTCATGTCGCGTCACGAAGAACATTCTTTTGCGATCCGACTTCCATATCAAGACGCCGATTTCTTCAGCATACCGACATGGAGCCTCGTACTCGGCAAGGCTTACGAAATCTTTGAAAAGAAAGCCAGCCGTAGCTTTAACACGGTCACGCTCCAGCTGCCAAAGACGGATCTGATCAACGACTGTTGGTGGAAGAACCGAGGGCGGGATTCCAGCCTGGTTGGATGTGGACCTGGCCACATTGTGTCTTCGCATTTGCGGGTGTGCGTGGGTAGCAAGATACGAGATGATTTGGTCGGCTGTGATACCCATCTCAATCGCGCGGCGGATAGACTGCCGAGTCACCTTACCCGTAATCAAGTTAGGAAACCGGTATTTTAATGTCGTAAATAGTGCAATAAGAGAGATTTGAAGCGGCGAGGAAGTGTATGCGTAGAGTCGATAGTTCGTCTCAATGATGATGAAGCCGGAGCCAGGTTGGTTAGTATTCCCACCTTCGGAATCGGAGCTTGCGCCAGAAATGGGATTGCTGAGAGCGCTCGAATCAGACGTTAGGGTAGTTGCCAGGCGGGTGGGATAGAAATGGCTCGCTTCGGGAGAGTCCTGGTATACGATACCAAAGTCGGCCAAGTCGGTCAGTGTGCGGAGTTGGTTCGATGTCAAATGTTTCTTTTCGTAGGATTTGCCCAGTTCCAAACTGCTGAGGAGGAATATGAAGGAAAGCACTTCAACGCTATCCATCCCAATAGCCTCTGCGCTGTGAACGTAGAGAATCAAGATATGCCAAACCTGCGTGCCCACATCCTGAAGGACAAATGCGAACCCGTCCTGCGTAATTTCAACGCGGCGGTCACGGATCTCTACCAAATGTCCAGCCTGCAAAAGCTGTTTCACGCCTTTGCTCAGGTTCACATCGCGTTGTATCCCTAGACCACTGGTCCCGACCATGTAACCGAGAACACCCTCCCACTGTCGCCGCGCATAATCATCAAGATCGCCAATAGGAACAGTCTGATCGTCTGGTATCTGGTGGAGCACACCGAAGGACTGAGTTCGTTCGGCACCTGTGAGAGCTTGTCTGAGAGAAGCGGCGAACGGATCGGTCACCATATAAGCGCGGACGTTCCCAGCGGTGGTTGTATTTGAGAGGATATGCAATCTTCCTAGTATTGAGAGCGCACTATCCCGCTCTCTATATAATATTAACTTGTTAGTATGCCGAGAACTGCAGCTATGACATTTCAGCAGCGCTCACCTCAAACTCTTGGATTTGACCCAGATCTCCAAGTCCGCCGCAGGAAGCGGGTCCTTCAGATAGAGGAGCGCCATCACGAAGCATTTTGCTATCGTCGTAGATGGAAAGTTAACCGAGATCAAAGTGAGATCACGGACCACAACACAACTACATACCCAGGTCAGGCAGCATGCGCCTGAAGATAGCAAGAGCGGTGGATGGCTGCTGATAGAGCTTGAAGAAGACCGTTCCGGGGAGGCTCTCCAGATAATCGAACGGTCGGGAGGCGGCCGCCATCTTGCCTTTGGAAGCAAAAGTGCCCTATCACCTCTGGAGCATGATGCGGCCGGCAAGGAGGGACAAGCAGCGTCAGTGAGAGAGAGCTAGTTGAGGAATAAAAGAGCAGCTAAACGAGGCAGCACATAGAACGGCTCCGGCGACCCGAACGGCCAAAAGCGCAGTCCGCGGCGATGATCTCACGGCGTTGCTCCGGCATACTTCTCTCTGCGTACAACTTGCATAATCCCATTGATCTGTTTATCCAGCCCAGAATGACAGCTCTGCGTTTTGTTAGATCCGTAAGTCTCTTTGCTTTCTGTACCGCTCCTAACAGAGCTCGCTAACGAGTGCACTAGGTTTGGGAGTCCTTCCGGGCCACTTCGGGGCTGGAGCCTCGGTAAGTAGGAGTGTGAGCCCAGCGCCCAAAGCTAGCAATCACTAATCGCATGAGCTTACAGGCTACTGGACAATGTAAGCTCATTTGATCCTGGGTGCCTGGGTCTTGGAATTCTTGCCATCAACAGCTCCAATCTGCCCTGGTTCTTCTGGGTCAACAATCGGGTGGCACTGATCAATGTCTCTCCAGCTCCGGGTAACCGCTGCGAAGCCGGGAACCGTGAACTTCGAACTTGACATCGAGAAGCATCATACAGTAAGCATCTCACTATCAAGATACTTTATACTGCATAGGCGCTTCGTCTCGTTCGCTGCCGCATTCGCCAACTTCAATCTGTTGATGCTGGGTTCTGATGTCTTCCAGAACCGCCTGAGTATCCTCCATGGTGGTACCATTGCCTCTATGGGTAAGCAACGCATATGCGATCCTTGTTACTGAGAGACTTACGTTTCATTCCTCCCAGTCGATCTAGGTGGTTCTTTAGCCGTTGCATCCCGTGGACTATATGCTACCGGCGTATCAACGGATCTAAACGGTAAGTGGGAACCTTCATGTGCGGACCATGGTCAGTTTCCATATACATCTAACCATCCTCAGTGACATATCTTAGCTCTGGTGGCAAGGTGGGGGACAAGCTTCTCGCGGTACGTCCCGTTTCTTGCATATCACTCATTGACCTAGGGCTAATCTCAACGCAGGAAGTGACGTGTGATAAGTGTATGTTCTGTCTTATCTGCATTCCAAGGGATATCTCTCATTGTGATAGATTATTTACTAATCAGCTTCGCAGTTGGCAAAACCCTCGCATATACCAACATCAGGTTCATGAACTCGAAGGGCGACGTCTTCGCCCGAGGAAGTCACACTAAGTATGTAAAGCTCAACAGTAGTCTCAATCAGCCCTAACCCACCGATAGGTACGTCTCACTTGCCTGGAAGGACCCTCAGAATATTGTCGAGGAGTTGAATGAGCGCAAATCATCGTAGGCGCGTGGAAGTTGTACATAAAAATTGTTGCTCGTCGCAGGAAGGGCGCCTGACCAAAATATATATTAGATTAACGGTAGACTAGATAGGCGAATGGCCTGCACAGTGATTCAAGTGCCCCTTCTCTGTTTAGCTTGGATGTCTTTGCTCTCTTAAAAGACCTAACGAGGTAGCTGGAGATTTATTACTGAACAATATATATTTGCAGCCACCCACGTACTCCAGTGACTAGAATGATCCTGAACAATCTTTCTCATTCAAGCTTAATCCAGATCATTGAAGCTCTTAAAAGGTAGATGGCTCAGTTACACTCTTGACAATCCAACGGTACAAGGAACGCACCAGAGCCTATGAGACTGTGAACATTACTTGCCTTATACACTTAGTTGGACGTCTAGTGACCAGAGACATAAGCTTCATTCAAAGTAGATTGTAATTCTTATGATGAACATATATCCAAGTTGAGCCTCCAGTTCTTAACACTCCCTAGCCTTGACACCACGCTTTTTGTTTCCATAATCAGGTGTATACATGTTCATGCAACGGATCCTCCTCGCCTTCTTCACCAGCACCGAGCATTTCCTCGTCTCCGTCTTCAATAAGGTCGCCCTCTTCGTCCGGCATCGTCTCATCCATAATCCCCTCTTCCCCGCCCAGAGCCTTGATCTTAGCTTGGGTCATCTCGAACACATACTGTCCAAGATGCTCTACACCTTCCATGGGGGTGCCCTGGACCTCATTGTCTAATGTCCGGGTAGTTGGGAATATCTCCCCAGGGGCGAGCATTAGTTTGTCTGGGCGCTGCAATAGCAGGTCGAACGCTGGTTTGAGCTCGTAACATGATTCAAAAACCTCACGGCGGCCGAGAATATACAAACCAAGTCGGGCACGAGATAGTGCCACGGTAAGGCGACGTACATCACGAAGGTAACCGACTGTGCGAGTCCGCGTGAGTGAGAGGATAACATCTGGAAAGACTGGTTAGTCCCATGGACTTAAAAAGGTAAAGCTGAAACTTACAGTCATTCTGCTCGCCCTGATATCTGTCTACCGTGGTGACGATCTTAGGCATTCCGAACAGAGTGTTTTTGGCACACCGATGATTCAAGACATCCTTGATGAGCGCTGTTTGGCCTGCATAGGTAGCAAGGATCGAGATCTTTGAGGCGGGATAGCCGAGAAGTCGCATATACTGAAAGATGGCTACAGCATACTCTGCTTCTCCAAGATTTTGAATGAAATGAGGAGTCGGCTCGCGTTCCCCTGTGCCTTGGTAGTCGGGCACATTGATGAACTGGTACTCAAACTGGAACCCAGCGTTGGCCTGTTTGAACTCTGGCGCCTGTTCAACAGCGGGCAAGTTCCTAAGGTTCTGATAACGCCATCGGAAAAGCTCCGCGATACTTGGTCTAGCACGTCCTTGTTGGTCGAGCGTGATAGCCGGGACCCCTAATCGGACCAGACGAAGGAAAAGACTTTGCTCAAAATGCGCATACTGCCGGAAGGCCATATTTTGGATGATAGGTGAGTTCTGAAGATGGTCTCCGCAAAGAACAATTCGTCTTAGAGGGAGCTGGCCCTCCTTCATATTCTGTAAAGTTGCCGGGATAAAGCTTTCTACCTCTGTGATCTGCGCAGCCTCTTCCATGACAACATTATCATAGTGGAATCCAAGGGCCGCGATCTCCTGACGGCGCATAGCCGCATGTGTACTTGTCATGGCGATTATCCTGGCCTCTTTGACAAGAAGATAATTGGCTTTGTCCTTAGGTTGTCGCAAGATCTCGAACGGGCGAATATCTTCTAACTCAGAGAAAATCTTGTCAATATGGCGCTGGCAGCCTTCTGCCACATCAATCACCATCTCCTTCGAGGCAGAGGGATCAAAAATGGGTCTAGGTGCGTTGGAGAAATATTCATGGAACGGGAAGTCCGCGATAATCTCTTTCGTAGATCTATTCTCGTCCCGCGCAATCTCCCAGTATTTCGCCCAAGCAGGTTTAATAAAGACCGTATTGAAATAGCCAGCAGTCTCGCAGGAGTTTCCGTGAGCCCCTTGTGCTCCGATTGAAGCAGCCAAGCGAGTGACCTCTGCGAGGAACAGGTTTCGGTTGTCGAGGAAAGATTCAACTCGACCATACTTGCTATAGCTGGTCTCAGTTTCTAATTCTTCCTCACCATGACCGAGTCGCAACAGATGCCGTTCATCGATATCTAGAGCAACGATTTTCTGAAACAATTGATTCAGAGCTTGATTACTGTGTGCAATAAGTAGTGTGCGCTCGGTTGGGAAGTTATGATAGATATTGTTGATGATCTGGGTCGCCACATCAGTCTTTCCAGTACCAGGAGGTCCGACAATGACTGTAAGACCGGGCTGCGTTCCGGACGCAATCGCTTCAATCTGAGCCGGCGTGAAGCGAACAGTATTGAGCTTCGGGGCATCTACCGGGTACGGGCCCGGGTTTGGTGGTTTGTACGTCGAGACGCGAATAGACTTGGGCCCCAGTCGTCCTTCCGCAGGCTGGTCTCTCCGCCGTTTCTTTGACGTGCCCAACGTAGGTGGCTGTATGGATTCTTCCATATATTCAAGTGCGTACGGTGGTTGGAAACTCGATGGAGCATCTCCCGTAGGTTCTATCGTCAAACCTGGGAAGCTCTCAATCAAATGCTGCCAATCCAGAAACGTGTCCCTGAAGTCCACTGATTTGAGTCGGTTGGGCAATTCAGTGTAGCGGGCCCCGGCTGGATCTCCATAACCAAGGAAAATATCCTGAATCCATGGTGGCAAGGTGATATCAGACAAGATGAGCCTTTGCATAGTTTCGAGGACGGACTTGAAGTTGTTCTCCCTCCCCCTCCTTCTTGCAACGACATTGATAAGTGGGTAAATATCAGGTTTCCCTTGTGAAATACGATCCTTGTCCGCTTTAAAAGCAGCAGGGTCCAGGTTGACTAATAATCTCCTAACACGAGGACGAGATCGGTATCCATTTGTCTGGCCCGATACTGGCTCGCGTAGCGGACGGCCGGCTTCATCAAGGACCTGTACAATGTCTGCCGATCTGACGTGTACGATACCCGGAGTCTGAGGGGCATTGATATCTCTCAATCCAAATTTACCTGTGTTGCCAGGCTGCACGGCAAGGAGGAAGACAACGTCATCAGGTCGAAGCGAATCCCATTCCGTGCGGACATGGTCCGCCAATCTACCAACTTCAATGGTGATCTCAGCCCGCACAAAAGCGGGTTTGGCGGATCCAACCTTGGGCGGCGCAACTTCGATTATGGCAGGCTTTGAGATGGGGATAGCCATACGAGAGAAACCATCAAATGTCAAAGTTTTTCCATCCTGACTTGATCGAGGTTGCATCCGCTTCACAATCGATTCCATATCCTTGCGGATCTGAAAGAAAGCTTCCGCGCGGTATAACAGGAACGACCGCCATAGGAAGTCGCCAAGGCTAAGATATTGAAGGTTAAGCTTTGGAATGGCAAGTGGCCTAGATCCGTCGTAGGTCTCATTTCGGAGTAGTGATGGATCGTACAGGCTCTCTTCTGTAGGGACGACGCTGAGATTAGAAGCGGCTTCTTGGAATGAGGTTATCCTTTCGTGGTATGACAGAAGCACCTCCATGTACAGGTGACGGTCGGATTCAACATTCGCTTGCTTGGGATAACCCGTGCGGAAGCCCAAGTGCGCGCATAGACTCTGCAGCTCTGCATCCTCTAAGGAGCTTAACTGCCCTTCGAGTTCAGAGCGCTGATCAATGGAACCGTAATTCGACAAAGCTAAGATCGTCAGTTTGTCCTTGAAGTGTTTCATCGAGGCCCTCTGTAGTTGTGCCAGATCATGGCAGTGCGCATCGTACATTGCCTGAGATGACAGTGCCTCTCCTGTGTAATCGTTGATAGCGAATGAAGTGAAATGTTTAAGAAGATTATAAAAGTCGCGGAAGAGCGCATTTTCTCCTGTGCGATACAACTGAGACAGGCGCATGACAGGCAGGAGATGCAGGTCCTTTAGCAGCGTGTTAACGTATCGTCTTGTCGGCAGTTGGCTCTCTAGATCGACCAGAAATTCCAAGAATCTCTCGCAATATCGCAGGTTATCCGCCTGGTGTTTTTCGACTCCGTTCAGTCTCCGCAAGAAATCCAAAAGCATGGTGTACAACCATGATCGCTCAAATCGCATTTTCGCCCTGGCCGCTTCGTCTCCCGTGTCGTAGCGTTTTAAGGCCGCCCTCCAAGCCTTTTTCAGGTTGGGGGCTTTCGCGAGAACGCGCTCTCTCGCCTCTTCGCTATGAAGATTATGCCAAATGGATATGGAAACAAGGGGAGCGCATTCTTTCCGGATCAAAGCGTTCTCGAGCGATTGGAAGGCGCTAATCATGAACGACATTATTGACAGACGAGAAAACGTGGGGAGCGACTGATCGAGACTCATCGAAAGGATCCGGTGGAAGAGGCCTGAGAAATCGTCGGGCCGGTCTGAGAAGATTTCTGAAAACCGTCAGCTATTTTACTGAGTATCCAGAGGGTATATCATTACCCCATATCGGCAGATGCTCTCTTTGCTTGACGCTGACAATCAATGCTATGAGTAGGACATTGTAATTTGAGGCGTCTTCCGTGTATGTCGGCCAGAGAAACCTGTTCGAAGCTTAGCAATCCCAAGTCAGACCAACCGGCATAGGCTGCACTTACTTCTCGAGAATATTCAGACTCTCCAGAGTAAGCAGTGAACGGAAGCTGAAGCCCTCGGATTCCAGAGGGTCCCATATATCCTTCTTAATCACATCATGCTTGATCTTGCGGACATTGGCAGCGTCGAGCCAATGCGTTTTGGCCAGTTGAACCCAAGGGCTGTCGTCGCGAAAGTCCTCCACGGTCGGTCTGGAGTCGAGGCCGGGCGCCATGGCATTCTGTGTCTGGAGACCCATCCCTCACTGCTGGAATTGCCCAACGGCCAAAAGCTCTCCTAGCGCGGGCCCGTTATATGGAATTGCGTAAGTGGTTTGCTGCGCCCGACCTCGGGGAAGCTTTAGGCGCGCGGGTACGGTGCCTAGCGCAGTTATCGATTGGCAGAAGGAAAGCCTGCAGAGCCGCAGCAACACATCTCCCGCGCGACAACCTCACTTATTTGTATCGTCAGCGACTGCTGCCGCCAGCTTTGGAAAATGGCGATTGCAGATGTTGATCTGATTGACATATACAGGAGGCTGGTTGATACCCTGTTGACCAAGGCAGAGCATGTGAAACTAGGAAAGGAAATCGAGCCTCCTTTATCGGAAACACAGCTTGGGGAGTCTTTCTGGGTCGTCCAAGGGGAAGATGAGCAGATATCTAAGCAATTGAGTCAGCAAACCCGCTTTGCCGCTGTGGAACTCGCTTTCAGAGAGAAGTTCTATAGTCTTCTCGTATGTTGTGGTCTGTGCTAGCAATCGAAGCAACTACTGACGTTACGGCCAATCTAGGCTACGACCGCGATCGATGACCCCGAGTTCGTTCGGATATGGAACCTGCTCGACATCATATCTGTTTTCTCCGACAACGGTTCGTCTCCGTCCGCGTCAGTGATGAGTGACGCCCTAATGCGATTTAGAACAATGCGAGCCTGGTCTTATATTCTGGTTGATCGAGGAGCTACTAGACAGCCAGACGATTGAAGGCTGTCGTAAAGTCTTTGACTACTTGGAATCTCGAAGAGAACGGAACACGAAGGTACGCGCCTCTCGAACATCACTCACTAGTTTGAGTCGCTTACACGCCTTGAAGAAACATTTCAAACAGAAAAACCTTATCATACTACGATCATGTAATGAACTACTACGACGACTGTCGCGAGCGGAGGATACAGTCTTTTGCGGCCGAGTGTTTATCTTTCTCTTTCAAAGCTTCCCCCTAGGAGACAAAAGCGCAGTGAACCTGCGGGGCGAATACCATACCGAAAATGTTACAACTTTTGATACCATTGCGAAGGGGGTCGCTGGTGGAACAGATGATATGGATGTGGATATGCCGGACACGAAGGAATCAACTCCATTGGCAGGTTCGGATAAGCAGAAAATGGAGACACACCGAGTCAACGAGAAGGACGGCAAATCGCCCACGCCGAACGCCATCAAGGCACCTGAGGTGACTGTTTCGAAGCCCGGTGATTATAGTGGGGAGCGCGCGCTGGATCTGGATACACTTTATCCCATCTTCTGGGGCTTGCAAGCCTACTTCTCTGCGCCGACAAAGGTTTTTGATGCCCAGCACTTTGCTACATTCAAGAGCGGGCTTGAATCCACGTTATCTGCGTTCCGGACGGTCAATACCGACCTTGAAACTTCTAATAGCAAGACACAGGAGGAAATTCGGAAATCGACCAAACGGAAACGAACAGCAGATGGACCCGAAATTGCAAGCAGTTTCAACCCAAAATACCTGACTAGTCGGGAGCTTTTTGATCTCGAGGTATCTTTCCTGATTATCTAGCACTCCTATCAATCCTAATCCTACTTTTAGGTCAACGATACAGCTTTCAGGAGACATGTCTTGGTTCAGGCCTTAATTCTTTTAGACTTCATGCTTTCGCTTACGTCAAAATCGAAAGCGAAGTTGGCTGATTTAACTAACAAGTCCGTGCTGTACGGATTCATCCTGAGCGATGAAGATGTAAGGCCATCTTACTTAACATGATTCCTTTTGTTCAGAGCTAACAGTGTTAGGCAAAATGGGCGGTCAAGATGAGGAAATCGATTGAGGGATACCTTCAGGAAGGTGCTGGCGGAAAATTCTACTATCGTATGGTGGATACGGTTCTGTCGCGGGATAAGAATTGGGTGCGCTGGAAAGCTGAAGGTTGCCCTCCAATTGAGAAGACTGCAGTCTCGGTCGATGAGTACATTGGTGCTCGTGATAAAGCGACCAAGACCTATGCCAACAAGCGTCTCCGTGTTTCCCCTATGAATTCTCTTAATCTCAAGTTTTTATCAGAGAGCGAGTCGTTATCTGGAGTTGAACGGCTCAAAGAGCCAGAGAGGTGGGCACTTCCTTCAAGTATCCCATGAGTTGACAATCGTCTGATCTGAGTTCAGGTTCAGCGTCCCAACTTCAGAATCCCTGATGGGGGTGATCGAGGACGTCGAATTTGACATCGACACGGCACAGACTAGCGACGACAAAGAAGCCGCGAACCAAACAAAAGCGAGCAAAACTTGGCTGATGTTACGCCTTTCAGCTAAGAGCAAGCTCGCAGCCTTTGATAAGATCGACGACGGGAAAAATCTGAAGACCCTTTTCGAATCCCCACAGTCCGCGGAGAGCACGACTCAACCCGCTCCAAGCACACCACAGGAGCCCACAACAAAGAATTCTCAGGGGGCCGAAGCAAATGGGTCCGTACAGGATGACCAGATGAACACCGAAACAGGAAGTGCCGCCGTTATTGCTGATTCGAAAACAGTCGAAGGGAACGATGCAGCGACTATTGTTGCACCGGGGTCATGACAAGGCCCACAGTCCTCATGACTGCAGTAATTTGGGAGAGGGATTGTTTTGATAGGCTCTGCCGGCGCTTCTTCGGCCGATCACCTGGCTGGTGCAGGCGGTATATGCAGCTTGGCCTGCAGTTGAAATGATATGTAGAGGGACCGGGGAACGGACTTGGGCGAGGCGTGCGTAATCGAACGTCCTGCAATCTTCTACGACTTGGCCACAACCACACCGCCAACCTAATGATTAGACGCCAATGACCTGCCTGCGAAGCAGGTATTAAGTTCGTCAGTCATGGCCAGCGGCTTATGGCACATCATCATTTTCTGCACAGGGGGCGTTATCTATTGAATGGTCATAGGTTGAGTATTTGCATACGGTGCATGGAATATTTGGCTACTTGCATTTGGCATGCTGCCCACGGGCGGCTAGCGATTGGAAATGAAGGCAACATGGCCGACACACAGGGCCACATCCTGGAGCCTTTGACTAACCACTGACTGGAGTTGTTAGTATTTTAATCTGCCTACCAATTCATTCCGAATTATTCACGACTCGGAAACCCCGTACTCCACTATACAGATGGACGAAGATACATACTGTCCGTATCCTGTACGGGCGGCGAAAACCCCGCCAGGAAATGGGAATCAAATGCAGGGTCATTAGAGGATTCCCTTGATCCTTCAGTTCAGTTCGTCTACACGGATCTCGGCAGAGCAATTCTAGGCGCCTTAGCAGTTTATCAATGATCAACCACTTTAATCACCTGCAAAGTACTCCGTACCTGCATAATTAGAAGCCCGGACCTCACCTTGTGTGGTGTTGAAGAAACGGTATGCATAAGCTTCAATTTAGCCGAAACAGTTCCCGCCTGACAGCCTGACGAGTGACACCCTGGCAACCCGACAGGTTGCAAGGTCAAGAGCACGACAGCATGACAGCAACGTGGGGGAAGCATGGCATTTCCCAGGCGCTTGGATTCTTGGAAGACGAAGGAACGGAAGTACTCGAGCTCTGGAGGCGAGATTAAAGGGCGCCTGTCATGTTTCACGGTAAACCTAGGCCCAACCCTACTGGAGGATAACGGCCTGCAGTTTCTTAACGTCCTGGAGTGATCTGTCGGCGCGTGGTGCAAGAACTCAAACTCTTCACCAGAGCACTCCACGAGCGAACGTGAAGCATTTTGAGACACTAGAAGGAAGGTGAGAGTATCAGAGTTCCGAACCTGGACGTCGATGAAGCTACCCGCCTGCGGTAGGTATGTAGACGACAACAATGTACCTCGGCAGGACAGGATGGTGGATGGAGCATGCCCTGACTGTGGCGTTTCACCATGGCTGGTGACCCGCACAGACCAGACAAGAGCTGAGGTCGTAGGAACTGGGAATCCGTACGCTCCCCGGCGGCCGAACGAAGCTGAGGATCAAATGAAGGGACAGGCTCTCCATCTTGGTCACGGCGCGATGCGCTGGAGCGGATTAAGCCGAGCCCATGACTGGTCGCTTTGATATCGCAGATTTGCCTGTGATCTTCTTCCCCGCACCGTTGCCACACGATGTCACTTTGATATCAAGGATCATCGATACGGCTCACTAGTATCCAGCGCCAGGAGCTTTGACCGATCAGGCCATGGCGGATGGAGTCGCTCGGTTTACGCTGACGTCCGTCGGGGTGACCAGCTCGATATGGAAACCTCCTAGAAGGCCTGACACCAAAGTACCCGCAAAGTACTATATTTATACCCACGCACTGAGCGGATATCACTACGCGTCCCTTTGACTAGGGCCATTATTTTAGGCTCATCTGACGTTTCCGAGATTTCGCCTGGAACCTTTCCTATCCAGGCAAGATCCCCAGCTTCCGAACACTGGCTAGGAATTCTCCGAGGAGCCAAGGTACGACTACGACGCCTTCGTGATGCGTGTAGAGCTTCACCTGCTTCCATTGTTTTCTACGGCGTTACTCCATATTACTACGGAGTATGTCCTACCTGTTACCGTTCCTGAGTCCTGACACCACCCGTCGGCTATTAGTCATGACCCGAAGCCTTACGGAGTGGATGCGCATTCCATCGAATGCATACCAGAGTACTCCGTAATTCCTCAGGAAGACCCTAGATTTCCAACCTAGACTTACTTCGAGTGCGGACATACTGCCTGTCTGTCGGCTTTCGAGCGCCTTATCCCTGCCGGTGCTCTCTCTGCTCTAACCGAGCACGCCTCGCGAATGCGAGCTAGAGGCTCAGACGCTGGATTTGGTGATCAACAACCTATCTGACCCACTACGACTCATGTCGTTTTGCTTTAGAACTATTCAAGGTTTGGTTGTCATATTGTTTTACCTACTCCAACCTTTTAAGCTGCCAGACAAGAGGATTTGATTTGGCTTGGCTGTTGCCTATCTGTTCACTCTGCTCTTTCCTTTCTGCAAGTCTTCCGACAAAAGTGTTTCATGCAGGTCCGTTTGTGTGGAGTAAGAGTTGGGCCTCCTGGCTCCTTGTCAAGTCGCCCCGTCTTCAAGGCCGGTGGGCCCCTGCAGTGCCGTTGAACGCCTCCCGGACGGTCTCGGTCGAGTCGGTCCAGTGTCCGTTCTAGTCACCCCTAGTTTCCCAGCGCCTTGCTCGGAAGATGAATCTACGATCCTATGAATCAAGGTCTACCATCGACCCGTACGGCATACTAGTAGTCTAACCGCTATCTGCATCGATTGATCACCACCATCGCCCATCTACAGTCTACAGACTCTCGAGTCTCCGTAGTACCTCCGGTTGTACTGACTCGGTGATGGGATCCACGCTAAGCCCGATTGGGCAAGGACGTCAGAGGTCCACGGGGTGCGACTCCGCCTGTTGGTGGAATTTGTTTTCCTCCTTCCATCACCCACGCCGCTGGATCAGCCCTCGAGGTTCATCCAGGACCCGTCCTGTTCCTGGATTCATCAAACAACCGGCCTGCAAGAGGTTGTGTCTATCATGTTCATTTCTGCTGTCAACGCGACTCAGGACTCGCTCTCCCGATTACCTAATGAGGCCACAAGTTTCAGTCTTTGCTCGTATGTCGTAACGCCTACCTTTCGTGTCGCTTTGGCCGGTATTATTTCTTGGCTGGCTGATGCCGTACTGGCCAGCGCGCTAACAGGGCTTCAACGTTAGGGCCGCCGGCGCTCCTGTCTCGATCCAGGCTCTGTGTTTGGTGGATTCCTAGCCAAGGCACCACTTAGTTCCGGAACGTCTTCCACATGGTGTGCCATCGGCTCCATCGGAGCAACTGACAATTGACATGACAGCCTCTGAGCCTAACCACCGTGGTGTTGCTCGCGTCGGCAGCCACAACCCAGATTTCAAGGAGTCAGAACTCAGGGGGACTGCAAGCTAGGACTCAAGACAACTGAGCAAGGGTCCGTATCTGCCCCTCTACTAACAGCCGTTAATGGCGAATAAGACGGGCAGTGGAGATGAATCTAAGACTGTCCCCGACTCCCCCAGTGACCCGCAGGCTACAGCTATGCAAATGGGATAGGTATGGATACGCGGATTCAAGAATAGTCCCGGGTTTGGCGTCTTCATTCCACGCCCGAAGCTTGTCACTGACAGCTTTCAGGCCCTCGATGCTTTGACAAAAATTGTCTGTCAATAATGTTCACGAAAAATGGCGGCTGTTCATTGTTACCATAAGATGTACTACTTCTGCCCGTGTGGAAGTAACCGGAGAAACACGGGTAGTTTATTTACAGTCACGCCAGCCATACCTCGGTGCTTAATGACTGTCTCAGACCGACGGTGATAGCCCCGTTCGTGAAAGTCAAGCCTCGATCAACGTATCTATCAAGGTCCACGCACCAACACTCCGTCTTTTTCCACAGGGCTGCCACCCCAGCCCAGAAGCTCGCCAGGTCTGCTTGCCCGCTACCTTCGCTTCCATCAAAGGTATGGCTGTCCTTAAGCCGTCCCTGTCGTCTTCGTACTTCTATTTATTATTATTGGACCTCTCTGCCTGGACTCTATTTGCTTTGACTTTGTATTCTTCTCTTCAATTTTCTAAAAATCCTTCTCTTTTCATTGGTTATCCGCACCACGTTGCCTCGAACTCCATAGCGCCAACGTCTTTTTTATTCAAAACACCTTGCAACGAACCTTTATATCACCGTTATTATAAATGTTTGGTTCTACTCTGAGTAGGAACTCCGCTGAATAGAGTACCGGCGAAACCCCCTGCTGCAACAGAAAATTTGCCTGGATTTCGAGCTAAATTCTCCAAATACCCACCTTTCTGTTACTACCCTCCATCCCGATTAGCCTGGTGAGTTCCGCGCGCACACTCTGATACTCATGGGAAGCATGCTCATACCTGTAGCTTGGCGTGCGATATCTCTCTCTGCCGGCGAACGTTTTTGCTTGAGTTGCCGGTTTTCCTGGAGTTGCCTCCTGCATTAGGCCCTGGTCGTCATTTGTCTCCAGACCAGTCAGCCTGTTGTCAATTGGAGGGACCCGTCCTGGCATTGCCACCCCTCACTCTCCTGGCAGGCTGGCACCCCTCCCCTTCAGTAGTGTGGACTGGAGTGACAGATCCGGTGGATCAATACTCTCGGACGTCGGCCACAGTGCTGAAGCTAAGCGCCCCGGTATTCCTGGTCTTGATTTCGAATCTCCGTACCTTGATCTCTTTGTCCTGACCCGCTTGGCTAAGCACTGTTTAATCTCTGCTCCTCCCTTCTTCCCTTCCCAGGCGCCGGGAGGCTGGAGTGTTCGGCCACACCCAGGACCCAACTGTGGAATCGAACTTCATATCTTACCGCTGGCTTGTGGTGATCAATCACGACTGAGACTCTCCTTTTATCATCTTTATAAGAAACAGTCCAGGCGGTTAGATTGCTTCTCGTTCGTCTGCTATCAAATGCCGACCACAGTTTGATGAATTCCTAAAAACGGCGAACGATTAACTTCTATTTACTTCCCTCGCTATCGCTACCCCTGGTTTAACAGTTACTTTGAGACCCTTGGATCTTCAGACAACTCTCACAACGCTCGCAGACCCACTTCATTCAGTACCATCCGTGATCTTATAACGACATCAGTTCTGACATCTTATCGTTGCTGGATCTGCCCTGGGCTGGGCTTTTAGAAACTTGCATGGACTAAGTGGCAAAGGCATCACGATCATGTCCGTTAGTGGCCCTTGTGCCTGGGTGTCGACGATGCCATCACCAGCAACTGCTCATTCACCTGCCATCACGAGTTCCTGGGCTTCAGTATCCTGGAACAGCGAACCAGTCATATCGAAATCGAGAGCGGACTTGTCAACCCTATCGGGGATCCGGGGAACAACAGGCGAGCTAGACAAGACTGCCCCTGTGGAAATGCAGTCTGCTGAGTACAAGGCTGAGAATGCCTTTACAATGCAGCCGTCCGCAGGGTCTTCCAGCTCAATACAGTATTCAGGGGTAGATAGACCTTTGAATGGTTCGGAATGTGCGACTGCAAATGCGCACAGCGACACGTCGAGGCCAAACCCGGAGAGACACGATGCCGAGACCCAAGAGACTGCCGATACTCAGAAGAACGACGGACTTTCATTCAAGGTCAAACCAGAGGTTGCAGAGGAGGTGCACGAGGAGGAGAAGGACCATAGTGAGATCAATGGTGGCTCCTCTGATGATGATGGGTCAGTCGCCGACGAGAAGAAATCATCCCAGGACATTAAGCTGGACAAAAAAAAGATGAAGAGGTTCCGGTAAGTGGCTCGGAGTGATCTTTAGCGCATCTGCTAACCTCTGGAGGCTTACGCATAATCAAACGCGCTTTCTGATGAGCGAATTCACTCGACAGGCGCATCCTGACGCCGCCCACAGAGAGAGACTTTCGAGAGAAATCCCCGGACTTACCCCACGTCAGGTTCAGGTCTGGTTTCAGAACAGGTATTCCAAACATGCTAGCACAGGGAAGGCATTCTTAACTGACACACTACCAGACGGGCGAAACTCAAGCGACTTACTAGCAACGATCGGGAGCGTATGTTGAAGTCACGAGCACTGCCGGATGATTTCGATACGACTCAGGTTTTACGCACTCCCTTTGGCAGCAAGGGTCCTTCGGAGGCATCTGTAAGGTTACTCACGCCATATATTTCGTACGCCCATCTAACATATGCTTCATAGGGGCTTCTTACCGAAGGCTTACCGCGCTTGAACGAGGACGAGTACGTTATTTCACCATTGAGCTCAGCGTCCACGAACGGCCCTGGCTACCCACCGACCTCTTCCGATAGGGGCTTCGAGAATTACCAGAACCGAGGAGCGGCAGCAACTGTTCCAGATTTGAGGAGCAACCGAGGCACCTTTCCCTTTCCGCGGTCGAGTAGCTTCTCTGAATCGTCATACAATGCAAATCTTCAATATCCAGGACGATTTTCAAGGCCTGGAGAACCGATGGGCCATCCTGGGATTGCATATCGACGGCCAATGGACTATATGGTGAACCGACCGGCAAACGGTATGATGGTTGGCTATGGCCAGCACCGTCCACTAGAGGGCTCTGTGTCGCCTACTGGTCAACAAGAGACGCAAATCTCATACGGAATGGACAGTACTAGTACGCTTCTCACTTCTGTTTAGAGACCATCAATACTGACTTAAAGGCTTTTTGCTAGATTCACAAATGCACAGTTATCAACCTCCTCTTTCAATGCCCGCTCCCAAACCCTACGGTGGAATAGAAATTAGCTCGCACATGCAGGCACCCGGGCGAAGCGTGCCAGCTGTGCACCACCTCCCAGTCTCGGAAGCACCAGACTACCGCCCTTACTCCTACGAACACCACCCTTACAGCATTGGTACCGGTATCCCATATACACAAGCCAATGCATCCAGCCTGAGTCTCCCGGCATCTTTCCCTTCGGAGACAGGCCACGTTGCAGTTAGCAGCTCGCCCGATGGCAGGATGACCTCTCCGCAGGTCATGGATCCTCTGAGGGCCAAATACGGCCAGAGCTATGATTATGCGAACTACCTATAGTCGCAGAGCGCCATCATTCTCACAATCGACACTCGATGCGACACCTCGATATTGATTGCATCTTCTACTCAACCTACCTAAGTAATGCGGACGGCGGTCCGAGAACAATTAATTGGCGAAGGACTTCTTATTCTTTCCCGTACATACTTGTTGCCGATTGGATATAGCTCGTTTTCCCTTCTTTTCTCTTATGTTTTATTCAACACTTATTGCTTACCGGCGGGAAAATCATTGGTTTGCTACACTTGGAGTTGGGACTATTGGCGTTTTTCTTTCACTTATTGCATCGTGGACCGTGTGTGGCTGTTTCTAAAAGACATATTCTACAAGTCACTGAGATCTAGTCTAATGTTAAATGTTATCTTCGCAGTCTTGTTCGCTGGAGGCTGTACATGAATGTCTCTTTAGTCGCTGCCTGACCGGTAGGCCTGAGTACCTGCAGACACTTTGAACTTAGGGCTGCAGATAATCTGCAGCATCGCAAATTCCAATCAGCAACCAATAAAAAGCAATTAGATGTCAGACCATCGCACCCGCCCAATGCTCAAAAAGCAATTACCAATCCTCAAGTAATGAACTATATCGGACCAATCAATATTGCTTGGTTCTGTTGACAAAGAAAGCTGGGGCGCTGGCGCTCGACCAATCAGCATCGCCAGATTGCTAACCATGTCAACGGATGACTCGAGGGGCAATAAGGCCTGCTCTGTATAAATACTGCATGTTGCCTGTCTTGCTTTGCTTTATTCTCATCATCAAACTCATCTATCTTCCATCTATTCATCGCTTCGGCTTGAGTCACTACCTATCATCCAACACATCAGACCTCACCTTTTCCAATAACAACGCCAACAATCAAAATGGTCCACCCCGCTACTACCTGCTGCAAGACGAACCCCAGCGGCGGCTGCGTCTGCGCCGCTCAGGCCAAGTGCTCCTGCGGCAAGGAGTCTGCTCTTCACTGCTCCTGCAACAAGGCTTCCACCGAGAACTCGGTCCAGGGTCCACGGTGCTCGTGCCGTACGTTTTCTCCGATCTAATATGCCTGGGCGATGTATGCTAACAACTGTGTGCAGGGGCTCGTCCGGCTGGTCAGTGTACCTGTGAACGTGCGGCAAGTGAGAACCAGCCTGTAACTGGAGAAACGTGTCCTTGTGGCAAGAGATCGGAGGGTAAGCGTTTTCTGTCTTTCGTTACTAGTGGCATATGCTAACCGCTATAGCTTCTTGCACTTGTGAGAAGGCTGGGGCTGTTGACTCTGCTCTCGAGATCGACTTCACGACGAAGGCCTGATTGCTTAAGTTTACGTTAATGAAGCTGGGAAGCATTGGATTGTTTTCTTCTTTCTATCGGTGTATTATCTAAATAGGGATGGCGTTGACTGGAGTCTTTGAGGTGGGATTATGACATGCAGCATCCATCAGTATCAACAATGAATATTTATTGAACCACGTCCACTTCGAAAGACGGGACGAAACAAGCACAAAATACAAGCACGGCGTCGCTATCTAGCACATCCATTGATCTCCGCAGCGCTGAATGTACGCCTCCCGGAATGCTCGCAAGCTCGCAGCGGCCTCCTCCGTGGCACAGCGGTTCTCCAAGACCATGAACGCCCGCTTCACCCGATACGCGGCCATGTCCCCATCGTCCGAACCCTGGAATGGACGTGAGTAACTGGAGGGCATCTCGAATCCTGTCGCAATATCCGGTTCATTGAAGGAATCCTCGTAGTGGAATGCGTTGGTCAAAGTCATGAAGCGGCCCAGCCAGTATTCCTGGGGCATGGCACTCTTGACCTGTGGCCGGCCATCCATTTGGGGTGTTAGTACTGTTCTTCTCTTAGGGTTTGACACACGAGAAGGGACAGGTGAGATGGGAGTTTCAACAGAACTCCTTGGTGGTAGTGATTTCAATACCATTCTCTCATTCTGTGTCTTGCGCCTGGAGCTGCTAGGACTCAAGACAGGTAACTTGGAGCGCTTCGGAGTTGTCTGCACGTTTGCGTACTGCGGCTGTTGTGCGGGGGCCAGGATGTGTGCGCGAGAAGCTGCTGGGACGTCGTTCTCTTTGACGTGCTCATGGGTCTGTACTTGCAGATGCGGCTTCTGGATTTGACTCGTCGAGTTCCCCAGTCCAGGATCGAACATGTGCTTGAGCGTGGACAGCTTCGTCTGTTGGGTATCCTGCGCGAGCCTGAGGTCCTCGAAGCCCTGGGTCAGCCGAATGCGCCTAGGAGAAGCCATTGCGTTCACCGTGCTCTCTGCGGATGCGGTGTGAAGAGATGCAACGTTTAGAGAAGACAGTCTGTTGCGGGCTTGATAGTAACGAGGTAGATGGTGGTGGATGCTGCTAGCTCGCTCCTTCTCAATATGCGCCAGTGGGGGTGCCGATGCCAGGGTCGGGACCTTCACCTCTAGGTTCTTCTTGCTTTCATTGTATTGTGTCGATGGCTTTCTTAGCACTTTAAGAAAGGCGCTTGACTGTCGAGAAGGAACAGATGTTTGAGTCGACGGTCGATTGGTTTTGCTTAAGGTAATTCTGGGTGTTGCGCGAGTTTGCATTGCCCATCCTCTTCCCATAGGCGACAGCACGCTCCGGCGCCCTTCTTTCTGGTACACCGCGTGCGAGTACAGTGCATCCTTTGGTGGCTCAGTCGGGGTAGGAAGTCTCGAGGTGGTAAAGGTTGACTTGCGACTGAGGCTTGCGGATGTCTGAGTGCGTGGAAGCTCAAAGGAAGGGAGACGAGAAGTCAAGCGTTGGATTCGAAGGCTCTTTGTCACACTGTTTGGCTGTGAGATGTTTTCGTGGTGCTCGTGCTCTGGCTGGGGCTCGTTCGGGTGCTCGAGCTTGTGCTTGTGTTCCTTGTCATCCGTGGTGCTATTGGGTATGAACAGTGCATGGCTGTGCTGGGGTACTAAAGGGATGCGGACTGAGCGAGGGGGCTGTGACTCGTCGCTGGATATGCTCAGGTCCTTGGCCAGCGTTGAAGTCGATCTTTTCGGCATATTTAAGGTTGATGGGGAGGGCTTGCGTTTGAACATTGGGCATATGTGTTTCTTGAAAGTTTTTCGGACAGTTATGAGAGTGTTTTTGAGAAAGGCTTTGGAACCACTGCCTTGGGTTGCAGCCATCTTAACTTGTTTCTGCACACAGACTTAGACAGATAGAAGTATGGACAGGTGCAGGGATGAATCAAAAAAGTGGTTCAGCTGCGTGCTAGAAGCACTGTTAAAAACATAAGATTAAGAAGGCCAGTAAGCTATAGCAACACCTGTGCTCTTCATTCACTGTAGGATTCACTGATTCCCACCGCAAAAATACTCATGCTGGCAGATAATTCCCAAGTCATTCACTCTGCCATTCACTTGTCTTGAGGAACCACAATGGAGCCCTCGCTGACCTTCACAGCACTGCCCCTCAGCTCTAGCCTCACGATGCCCTTCTCCCCAGTCACTACCTCAAGCCCTATCTCACTTCGCCTGCCCATCTCCACCCCCTGCACAACATCATACACAAACCGTCCAGCTCTCCCCTCCCTAAGCGAGAGATAAGCCGTCAAACCACTCGCTGCGCTGCCAGTTGCTGGATCCTCGAGGTTTCCCAAGATCGTCCTCGTGCGGATAACCTTCCGACCCAGTACTTCATCCTCCACATTTCGGACGTAAAAGTACGTCGCAACCATCCCCTCATCCCATCCAGCATCCAGGTACAACGAACTAGCGGGCTGTCCGCCATATGCAGTAGTCACAGCGGCCAGAGCCTCGAGTGAGGGAAGTTCGACGAGAAGCTGGCTCATCCCTTTCACAACAGAGAACAGAGCAATTGATGACTGAGTCAAGTACGGCTTGAGGAATGGGTAGAGCCTCAGTACCTCATCGAGCGGGTACTGCTTCTCATGGATATGCACGTTATGCGCAATCCGCGCAGACACAACACCCAGGTTCACGTCCTGGAGAGCAATTGGGAGATTTCCGGCTTTCATGTTCAAGCTCTTCACCGTGTTGCTAGCATCTTCCTCCGGCGCGTGGTGCAGAAACCATGACGCTGCGCCGATAGTTGGGTGTCCAGCGAACGGGAGCTCCTCGCTCTCTGTAAAGATGTCAATTGTGCGGGACTCATTCGGGCCATGCTCTGCGTGGACAAAGATGGTTTCCGAGAGGTTGAACTCGCGCGCGATGGTTTGCTTTTGGCGCTGCGTTACCTGGGAGGATGCTGCTGCGGGGAGGAACACCACTGCGAGGGGATTGCCCTCGTAGACCTTGTTGGTGAAAACGTCGAGAGTGGCAAACTTGACGCTGGTCATGGTTATACTGATTGTTGCGAAAGGTAAAGGTCGAGGTCGAGATTCGATGGAATCTACCGCAGTAAAAAGAGGCTCACGCCCTGTGACAACTTACCTAAGTCAACCCCGCTGAGATGAGTCATGGCAAGACTATCTGGTAGCCGGATGTTATTCTGGTCTATACGGTTTCGCTGCTTGTTTTTGTAATTATGATGAACTAAGGAGAACCTGATTGGTCCGACCGCGGGCCTGGGATCTTCTTTGCTGATTATCAGAGGCCGGGGGTCTGTACAATGCCCGCAGTATATATATTTCGGCCTCCTACCAATTGATCTATAGTCTATGATCTAATTAATGAATTGTATATACCAAGTGACTATCAGGACCTACCTTTATATTATGAGATAGTAAGATTCCTTTTATCACCATCAAAAGGTTGCATGGGATACTTGCGCTCACTTTTCTTGATATCCCTGGCGTGCCCTAACACCGTGCCCTATTTTCCTGATTGGGGTAACGCGGCGCTGATCCATGACTGGCTCCGAGTCCGAGTCCGACTCCCCGCCGCAGTGAAGGCTTCCATTTGAGCTCCTACCCGCATCCAACATCTTTCAACACCTCTCACAGAAAGATATCGAAATAAGTTCTATGAAATCGTTGCTCACCTGAAAGAGATCGAATACTTGGTTTCACACTCTGGCTTATTATCATGGGGACCACCAAACCGCGCCCGCCTGGAAAGAACTCCCTCGCTCAAGCTCAATCTCTCCCGGACAAGACATTCATCATTGACAATGGTGCATACACAATGAAAGCAGGCTATGCGCCTGACTCTTTACCGCCCGATGATGAAGAAACCACCTTGTCAGCGTGTACCGCCATTCCAAATGCAATCGCTAAAGCCCGGGGAAGTCGAATCTATGTCGGCGCGCAAATTGGCACGAACGTTGCAGACTGCAATGAAATGTTATTTAGGCGCCCGGTGGAAAAAGGCTACACTGTGAACTGGGAGGCGCAAAAAGAGATATGGGAGAGCTCGTTTTTTGATGAGAAGACTGCGCGGTCGAAAGAATTGCGAATCGCAGATCCAGAGGACACCACTATAATTTTTGCGGAGGCTCCGAATGCTTTACCGGCGCTACAGAAGAACGCGGACGAGATAATAATGGAGGAATGGGGGTTTGGAGGATACTTAAGATGTGTTGGTAAGGCTGGAGTCTTTACCCCTTGCTATGGGGTTTGCGCATGGCTAAACTGTTCCTGCTGGTATATAGGTCCGTCACTGAACGCCTGGAACGAAGCTCAATCGCTGTTCGGAGACCCGGTACTATCACAACCCGGAGCTGCCGTCTCGCCAACCGAGTGCCTCCTTGTGGTTGACTCTGGATATTCTCACACGACCGTCACCCCGGTTTACAGAGGCCAGCCACTTCAACGCGGAATTCGGCGGCTCGACATCGGCGGCAAACATTTAACAAATTATCTTAAAGAGCTGGTGTCAATGAGACAGTATAACATGCTGGACGAGACATACATAATGAATGAGGTCAAAGAGTCAGCCTGCTTCGTAAGCAACGATTTCAGCCGTGACTTGGAGCGGACATGGAAGGGAAACCGCAGACGTGGACAACCAGATCCAGGAGATGGTGTGGTAGTCGACTACGTTTTGCCAGACCCGAATGGAGGCAGGCGAGGCTTCATGCGACCCCATGACCCGCTGTTAGTGTCCAAGCAGAGAAAGGCTGTTCTTGCCGGTGCTAGTGCCGATCAGCTCAATGAGGATGCCCTGATTTTGGGTAATGAGCGGTTCACTGTTCCAGAGATCTTATTTACTCCTAGTGACATTGGCATGAAGTCGGCTGGCGTACCGGACATGATTTTGCAGAGCCTTTCCGTGTTGCCTACAGGACTGCACCCGGCGTTCCTAGCCAATGTTATTGTTGTTGGGGGCAACTCGCTACTTCCTGGCTTTATGGAGAGACTGTGAGAACCCACAATCCTAGCCCAATTTGCATGTTGCTAACGTCAACAGGGAAGCGGAGTTGCGCCAGATTGCTTCAGCAGAGTGTGTGGTTAGGGTTCGACGTCCGAAGGAGTAAGTCTTTTTCCGCTTCACCGTCCAATATGCTTGTCACTGACGGTGCAACAGCCCCATTCGCTCTGCCTGGCTTGGGGGATCCCGCCTAGCAACCAATAAAGATGAGCTCAAGAAAATGGCAATCACTCGCCAGGAATACCAGGAAAACGGATCTTCCTGGACAGCCCGCAAGTTCTCTGGCGCTCTGTGAAAGGATTTGGCCACGATAGCATCCACGTGTGCTTCCAAGGAGGATTTGCCCGACTCACAGAGCCTCAAAACCCGAGCTGGATAAGTATACTTTGCCTCATTCGTGGCTCGATGTGGACATATTCACAATCGTGTCGATGTGCCCAAGCAGCATTTCAACGTACCGACTTGTTTGGTTAGGATGGCACTCTACCAGAAAAGACCCATCAGCCTATCAGCCTATCAGCAGAGGAAATGGTAACCCGCAAATCAAAGGCCGAAGAATGAACATTGCCATTTCCTCGTACGACGGCACCACGATGCATCGTGCGAAAATCGAATCCAACAGGAGACAGCTCTTTCCGAAAGGCTTGTGGATTTCCCGGCCTCGAGCCTACACCTGATGCGTTTTTTCTTGTTACTAGGGAATCGGCCCGCAGGAGAGTGTTTGCTTGATATCGGCCTAACGAAGGCCCTGGCTCTGATTGGTATCGGTGTCCATTATTAGCTCTGGCAGTTTGAGCGCACGCAAACCTCGCCAGAGAATCCCCGATCGTAACCTTGATTACCTTTCCGACCCTGATCTATCAGCTATCTACGTTGACTCTAGGGTTATTATCTCGAGAAAGTACATATTCCAGACATTCGTGAGCAGCAGCACTTGTTGGCCCCACGCAACGCATCGTCTAATAAAGGCGTTTGGGGTTAGCTTTCCTGACGTGATCTCGAGGGTGGTTATTCCATTATACTATTGGATATTTGAATGGGAACGACATGATTCACTGCATTCGCGGCCGCCTTAGTAGTCGTAGAATCCCTTCCCGGACTTTTTGCCCAGCCAGCCAGCATTGACCATGTTCTTCAATAAACCAGACGGCCTGTACTTGCTATCTCCAGTTTCTTGATGCAGAACATTCATGATGGCCAAGCAAGTGTCCAATCCAATAAAGTCGGCTAGCGTCAAGGGTCCCATGGGCACATTGGTTCCATTCTTCATGATGCTATCAATATCCTCGCGATTACCAACGCCAGTCTCAAGGCAGATGATTGCCTCGTTGATGTAAGGCATGAGGATGCGGTTCGCAAGGAAGCCAGGCGAGTCCGCGGACACGGCTGCGACCTTACCCATGCGCTGGACAAAGGCAATAGCGGCGTCAATTGTCTCCTTAGACGTCTGCAAGCCAGCAATAATCTCCACACCCTTCTGGATAGGGACGGGGTTCATAAAATGGGTCGAGATGACTCGCGACGGGGCCTGGAGGTCCGTAGGATCTGTCGTTGTAGCAGCTGCGATCTTGGTAATCGAAATGGACGAGGTGTTCGTAGCAAGGATGGCATGCTTAGGAGCAATATGCGCGAGCTTTGAGAATATGGATGTTTTAAGATCAGGGATCTCGGGGACAGCTTCAATGACAAAGTCCACGGAGCAGAGGTCGTCCAGGTTCAGGCTGGATGTGATGCGACCCCGTGCGGCGTCTGCCGCCTCCCTTGTGATGCGCTCTTTAAAAACATCCTTATCAAGCAACTTGTCTGTTTCAAATTAGGACTGTGCTAGTGGGCAAAATGGACATACACACCCGCGAACTTCAGGCCCTTATCTAGAGATGCCTGAGAGTTATCAACTAGCTTTACGGGGACTTGAGCTTTCTGAGCAGCGACGAGAGCAATTCCGAGTCCCTGGCTACTGTCAGTGAAGTAGAAGAAGCAATGCCATGACAACACACCATCTGTCCAGCTCCAATCACTCCTAGGGATTTGACCTCGGCAGCATGCACGGCAGGAGATGTGCTGAACGCCCGAGAGCGCATCGAAGCGCCTCCGCGGCAGAGGACACGAAGCGATGGGGACAACATTCTCAGAAGGACCACAGATCTCGAGGAGGATACAAAACAACCACTATCCAGGACGAGGTAAAGGAAGCCCCCGAGTTGTCCGCAATCTACTCCGTACAAGAGACCCATGTGATCCGACGTCATCGGCTATCCTCGGCTATGCGGCTCCTTACTTTCTCCGCAAATCCGACTGCGGTCCGTGGAGGCGGTGACGCGTAATGACGCGTAACTATTGGCGCATGCTTGACGCGTTGCTGTTAATTTCATGGCGATTGATAGAGACGATGAACATTTGAAAGAGAGTATACCTACAGTCGACGGGCCGTGATGGAGGAAGCTGGGCCCCTGAATCATACCGTTGAAGTGGTCGACCCCGAGGTCCGCGCTCACGTCTACAGCTTGGTTACTGCGGTAAGTTGATTCAACCATTTCGTCTCGAGCGTGTTGACTGATAATTGCTCCAGCTCGGAGGATTCAATGGCGACGATGCGGACAAGTACGTCCTCGGAGATGACGCCTTGTCATGCTTGCGCGATATCAAGCGATGGCTGAAGCTATATGATGAGAAATTCAACCGAATGGATGTTGCGCGATGTCTGGGGGAAGCGAACTTGGTCAATGGCGACCTTATCCAAATCCTTTCGCTTTGGTGGAACGAGGGACAGCAGAGCAAATATATGTCGAGGATTGCGCTGGCATGTGGTAAGTTCCTTGCGCCCGATTCTTCTCGCGCAAACTGGTGTATCTGACAGCTCGCAGTGGAATTATTAGTACCTTTGACTTGGCCGCTGGAGATCCATGGGGAAATGACAGTCAATCACCATCGTCACATACCTTACCTACAACAAGCCCAGGTGGGTTATAAGCGCGGTATACTAAACATTGCCAACTGCGGTCTTCTGCGAGCTGTCATCCGCATCGGCCTTCCCAGCATGGCGGTTCCACGATCAGAACGGACAGCTCGCGACGAAGGAATCCTGAAGATCATGCTCTATCTCTTGCGGAATATCGCGGTTATTACCGCAAATGCTCGTCTCGCAGCGGAGGGAGAGGAGGAAGAAACCTCAAGGTCGGCGACAATAAACGCCTTTCATGACCAGGACGTTTTCGCTCTCATACTCACGATGTGCTCAAATGTCAGCGACGACTTCAACATGCTGGATATCCCTCTTCTTGAAACACTGTTTCATATTGTAAAGGGTATCGACGTCGAAAAGCTTTTTATGAATGACGCGCAGCGAACTGCAAAGCGCACCGATGAGTTGAACGATCTGCTGCAGCAGGAGAATTCCATGCGAAGAGAGTATGCGAAGAACGCACCCACAAGACACGGTCGCTTCGGGACGATGATCTGGGTTAAGCGTGATGATGCAAAGATGTCAACAGTCTCCGGTCAGGACGTGCTTAGGGATGGGCAGATGACTCTGCACAAGATGGACCAGAGCAAAAAATGGAACAAACCTAGGCGAGGTCGAAAGGCTCAAGACATGTCGGCAAACAATGACTTCAACACGCCAGTTCTTATAAGCCCATCTGCTACGGCGAAGCTGCGGACGTTCGTCGAAGAGTTCCTGGATTCGGGATTCAACCCAGTCTTCGTGCATGTCCGCAAGGCAATTGAACGCGAATCTGTTCGTGTTCTGGATATAAATAAGCGCCACTTTCTCTACACAGTTTCCTGGTTTCTTGCAGCAGAGCGCGCTCGGCGTGCGCGCCAACGTGAGAAATTTGCTCAGAATGAGAAGAAACCTGGGAAAGAATTGGAACCAGATAGTTTCGGGTTGGTTGCTGGTGTATTCAACCAGGAAACGTTCGTTTTCCTAAACCGATCAATGCAGAATAGCCTGGACAACAAGGAGTGGGAAGATCTAAACGCTGCCATGAGGTGCTTTACACAGATCCTGTTGACTGTGCAAGAAATGTCACAATCACCACTCGAAGAAGACCAGGAGATTGCGGAGAACATCCAGAATCGCATTTTCTACGAGGAAACGACACATGACCGGATACTTACCATCATTCGTGGTTATACGGATCAAGGTTTTGGCTACCTGGACGCCTGTACCGAATTGTCTCATGTGTTCTTGCGTATGCTGGAACGTTATTCCAAGGAGAATGTCGATATGCAAGTTCGATCACGACGGCGAGCCAGAAAAAAGAAGCGTGACGAACAATCAAGTAATGAGGGCAACGATGAGGAGCAAGCATCGGATGATGAGGACTACGCCGAAGCCGAAAAGATGTCAAAGGAGCGCAAATTCGACTTTACGCGGTTTGCCGCGAAGTTCTCGAACCAGAAATGCGTCGACACCTTCGTGGCGTTTATCAAATTCTACAAGGAACTGAACACGGAACAGCTAAAGCGCGCCCACCGTTATTTCTACCGGATATCTTTTAAGCAAGAGATGACTGTTCTTCTGTTCCGAGTTGATATCCTCAATCTCTTCTATCGCATGATCAAAGGGCCCGGTGGCATGGATTCCAGCAAACCAATCTTCAAGGAATGGGAGGAACTGGTCCGTCAGCTTATTCGCAGGCTTTTAAAGAAGCTCGATCAGCGGCCTGCCCTGGTCACGGAGTTGCTGTTCAGCAAGATCAACTCTACCGCGTTCTATCTTGAGTACGGGTATGAGAAACAGACAATAACCCCCAGTAAAAGGGCCCCAGCCGAATTGGAGGTTGACCCCAAGGCAGCTCCAACCCCGGAGGAGAAGCTCGGTATTGTAGTAGCTGCGTTGGTCAAAGATGAGCAGAGTTCACTGGTTAAGTGGACTAGCGAAATACTGGGGTCGGCAGCAGACGAAAGAGAAGCCTGGGAACTAAATGCTCAGGATGTTGACCTCGCAGGGCCTCGAGATTCTCACAGCCCTATCATCTGTAAGTGCTATTAGTCTTTTGAACGCCGTTGCCGCTATCTAACTAACACATTACAGCCGTCAAGTCGCAGGATGAATCGTTCAAAAGAGCCATGTTCTTGAACGCTAAACTCCGACTCCTAATGACTTTGGTGAAATTCGAGCGTCTTGGACTAGAAAACGTGGAGGGTACCACCTGGGTCATTCCGTCGCAACTCAAGTCAGCCGAGTTACGGGAATCGAAAGCCGTGATTGATAAGGCGCTGGTAATCGGAAACACCGACGAACGTGATCCTAATGACTTACTGCGCAAGAAATATGGCCATGAGCCGCGGGGTGGCATTAGTGACCAAACCTACGATATCAATTTTGGGTCTGACTCTGAAGGTGAAGATATTGTTCCTGATGGACCACTATTTCCCGCAAACCCTCGAGCAAAGGCGAACGCGCTCAATGACCCGAAGAAAAAGAGGAAGAAGAGGGAAGAGAAGGGGGAACAAGAGACCCTGGATGAGGAGACGTTAGAGGAACGTCGTCAGGCGCGGCTAGAGAACACTAGATCGCGTCTGGCTAAGATCAAGAGCGACCTCTATGTACACGCCAGTGACGAAGAAAGCGATGACGAGGCGGACCAGGAGTTCTTCCGTCTCGAAGAAGAGAGGCGCAAAGAGCAGTCGGAGCGGATCAAGCAGGCATTGATGCTTGGGAGAACAGAGGCTTCAGGGAAGAAATCTACAAAGAAACAGGCAAAGCGCGCGAATGAGTCTATAACCGCTGGCGAAAAGGAAGTCGGCAGAAAGCGACGCAGACGTAGTCACGAGGCCAGTGCAGAGCTTGAAGACGAGGATATCTCTATGGGTGATACGGACATGCAGTCGCCGGCCTCTTCTGCGGAGTCGTCAAATGATGCCGATGGCATGGACACGGCTCCGGCGGCTGCAGCAGAAGACGAGCTTTACTTTGACGACAATCTAGCATTCGGTCGAAATAGAGAAAGAGAAGACGACGACGCGAATGCCGACAATGACATTGTTGGCGGGTCTAGCCCTAAAAGGAACGAGGGTGTCAACGAAGAAGATGAAGAAGACGCCCCTTTGACGGCCCCAAGCCGTCGGCGCATGCGGGCGGGGTTTGTGGTGGAAAGTGACTCGGAATAACGGCGGGCTACTGCATTGATGAGACATGAGGAGTTTCTATTTTGGTCACGGACAAACATGGCGTAATTGTATAGACCAGAATAACATCGGCTTATCTTCCCCTTCCATGAGTCTGTGACGATGACAGGTGACCCCGCTCAACCCTAACAGCGGCCCCGCAGTTCAGGCTCTCCATGAGTCCATAAAATTTCTCCTCTGCGCCTCAAACATCAAAACACACTACCTTTACGCCGTATCACGAGTCAAACACGCCGTAAACATGTCTCAAAAACTCGAAATCGTGCTGAAAACAACCCTCACCCTGATCGAGCAATTCCAGTCCACTCTATCCTCAACCCAAGCCAACTCTACCCTCGCGGCGAGCGAAAAGGACCTAGATCCCCTTCCCCTCCTCTCGACATCCTCCACGGCGCTGAAATCTCATGTCACAAAACTCTCATTACTAGCTATAAATTCGCCCTTCACACCGTCTGCCGTGGCGACAACGCTTTCGACGCTAAATGAATCCGTTCTTCCGTCCCTAGTCACGGCCGCGCTCCTCATAACGCCAGAGTCACATACGCGGGCTTTTCAGACCGAGATCCGCGTTCTGACGGGGACATCGTTGAAGGAGCTGTCTCTGTTAGTCAAGGAAGTGCAGACTATTGCAGAAGAAAAGGCCGAGAAGAAGAGTTTGGAGCAGGCGGAGAAGAATGCGGTCACGGCTGTGGCGGGGCGCGTCTGGGATGCTTGTGATGTGCTGGTTGATGTTGCTGCGAAGGGCGTTGTTGGGTTCTTGGTTAAGCGGGCAGAGCAGTATAGGGACTTGGTGAGGGACGCGGTGGAGGAGATTGAGGAGTGGGACCCTGATGAGGAGGGCGATGAGTTCTTCGATGACCTTCTCGATGGTGATAAGGATGAATCTGCAGCTGATGAAGAGGATGACGAGGATCAGGACGAAGATGAAGAAGGTAGTGCTGCGCTTCGTGCGCGGAAGAGGGATGCGCTGAGGATTTTGAAGCCAGTTGCGCAGATTTATCCCGCCATTATTACGAATCGGCTGAAGAAGGCGTCGGTTTCGCTGGCGCCTTCTGACATTGGGACACTGGAAGAAGTCATGTTGAATCTACAGCGGATTCCGGATCATATCGACGAGGTGGCTGGGGCGCTGTATGAGGATGATCCTGACAAATTTACGCGTCGAGTGGGTAAAATCAAGGAGAGTGCCTTCAAGGCAATTGAGTTAGTTGTTTTGCCTTGGGGTTTGAAGCAGGAAAACGCTGGGGACAAATTTACCACTTGGTCAAAGACATGGACCAAGGTTGTCGAGGAAGTCAGCAAGTCTATAGTCGACGCTTAACACTGATCAACGATTTAAGTATGTGGATTGTATGTGGATTGGGTCTAGGATCTATGACCCTAAAAATGATTATGATTAAGTCATGGACCTAGAAACAAATTATGTACAGTCGCAAGCCGTAATCTCAGGCTGCAATATAAAGAACAGGCGGCTAGTCTTTCTCATCGCCCGACTCATATTCATGCAATTCTTCTGCGGGCATCCGATCCTTGAGCCATTCAAGGATAGCGTCCGTACCTTTGGCGACAATCTGCCAACGCGGAACCCGAAAAGAATTACCGGCCACCTCAAATCGTCGCAATGGTAGAGGTGAATCGCCACCCCAGTTGGCACGTTTGCCGTCGGCTCGGAGCAGGCCAAGCTTCGGTGGGAGAGAGTTGATGTTGTTGTTACTCACATCGAGCACCTGAAGACCCTGTACGGCTTCAAATTCCAAACTATCCAACTGATTTTCCGCAGCCAGGAACGTGGTCAGTTTCGGATACGCTTGTCGGATACGGGGGAGGGTCCCAGTAAGGCCGTTTGACGACACATCAAGGAAGGTCAATGAAGGGGCATGTAAATTAGTCATGAACGGTTCAAGAGTGATGATACCCGTGGCACACAGATTGAGGGTATGTAGGCTAGCCAGTACCACTGAGGAAGTAAAAAGAGAGAGATCAAGCGGGTTATGGGACAAGTCCAAATCGCTCAGATTCGCTGCAAGCAAACTGAGAGCTGGGACAGGGAAAGACCGCAGGCTATTGTGTTGCAAATATAGGTATCTGACATCGCTGGGATTGATAGTCTCCAGTTTATCAACCTCAACGTCTGACATATCGGTGTAAGATCTGTCCAGTACGCCTCCTGGCTTGAGCTGCCAGCCCGACGTCTGAGTTGGCGTCTCTGGTGCAAGAGTAAACTGCGTAGCGACGGAACCTTCCTCGTCATCTGTTTCCTGAACCTCACGCTCACATCTACTTCTTAGGTCACGCTTCATATCCTCCACGGCCATGCTTAGGAATTTGCGTTCGCGGAGGGGATTGTTGGCGATGCGGAAAGTGGAGAGGCTGTCCATCAAGCCGATTCTTTCATCCAATCTGGTGATATCGTTGCCAGTAAGATCCACATTTCTCAGAGAATTTATCTCCGTGAAGCCCGATGGGAGTTCCGATATACTGTTGTCTTCGGCTGATAGGGTCAGGAGCGCTTGCCAGGTGGTGATATCAGGCAAGCTCCGTATACGGTTCATGCTGATTGCTAGGGTCTGCAAAGCAGGCAGCGTCAAGCTTTCTGCAATACTCGTGAGCGCGTTACCAACCACATCCAGAGTTTGTAGGAAGTCCATCCTGTCCACAGAGGAAGGGAATAAAGCGCCCTGTAATCTGTTCTTTGAAGCAATTATCTCTCTTAAAGGAAGCGTGCATAGTGCCTCGAAGGGGAGGGAGGTCATTCGGTTCTGTCCTAGATTCAAGACTCTAAGGGACTTGAGGTCTGCAATCGTTCCTGGGAGGGCGGTGATAGAGTTATCATGAAGGTCAAGAACTTCAAGATTGGCAAGTCGGCCGATACCTTCGAGAAAAGAGCCTGAGCCTGCCAATTGATTCTTTGCAAGTTTGAGATCCCGTAGGCTCGTTATTTCGAGAACCACATCGATATCGTCCATAGATAGCTTGTTATTCGAGAGATTTAGCGTGTGAAGCCGTTCCAGCCTTCTGAATCCTATAGGAAGACGCTCTAGCAGGTTGCCGTGTAGGTCTAGTGATTCTAGCCCCCCAAATTGGTTTCCCTTGTCGTCCGAGTCCATGTCCATTTCACCAGATATGTCTGGAAAGGCCGCTTCAGGGAGCTCAGTAAACTCGTTGTCTGCAGCAATGAATTTGACCAAGTCCACGCTTTCGTACCAATCTGTAGTCGCGTTGGGATCGAAATCATACATTGATAAGACCTCGTCAGGGAAAATGGCCAAAGACATGGCAGCAATGTTGAGGGCACCTGTTGTTCGGCCTGCATCTAGTCTCTTCCGAAGCAAGCCTTTGTTCGAAACCTTGAGCCTCTGGTTGAACGGGTCTTCAATATCTGCTTCCGTCCACGCATCAAGAGGCGACGTCTGGGGCCCTTTTTGGGCTGCTGCTTTTCGTGCAGCTTTGGCTTTTGCAATACTCTCCCTCAGGGCGCTGGACGATTTTGATGCTTTTTTTGTATCCGTCGAGGTCGACTCTGCGGTTTCGAGCACTGTGGCTGCCTTGGCTCCCAAATTGAGCCTCAAATCGGACGTCTTTGGCTGAACCTTTCGGGTTTTCTTCACTTGAAGATTTGGAGGTGCAATCGTGCCGTCTGCCGGCGCCTTACTCAGTGCAGCACGCGATTCCTGAGTTGGACCAGCGCCACCGTAGACACTTCTTCTCGCCATCGGCTTTGCTAACTTCGTAGGGCCATCCGTACTGATTAAAGGCGTATGATCACTAGCGGGGGCATTCGCAGACAACGGCGGGCGAGGCCGTGACGGTAATCGTACGCTAGACGGTTGGCCGGAGAAAAAGTCGTTGCCACTCAGCTGACGAGAAGTAGAGGATCGGGAGGGCGACCTTGAGTAGCTTGTCATAGAAGACGGCGGACGAGATGGGGACCGTATCGGGCTAGTCGCATTGTAAATGGCCGATGGCCTCCTAGAAGAGGCAGGAGACGGCGGAATCTGCGAAAGGGTTTCAATCGTTCTTTGCGACAAAGATGGCCGTACGCGACCGCGATTCTCAACGTCTTGTGATAGCGTATCTTCAAGGCTGTTGTCTCTTGCATCTAGCAGCTTCTCGTTCTCCGAGCCTAGCCCGTCACTTGCCATAGAGACAACTCGTTTTTGCTGGTAGCCATTCCGAAAATTCCTCGGCTGTAAGGTTCTTGGAAGCGGTTTCTTGAATTCTGAAGAGGGCCGTCGGAGTCTATCGATTCTCAATCCCGGGTCAGTACTAAGTCTCTCGCGCGACGGGGAAGGTTTGAGCGAAGCGGAGCTGGTAGTCGAAGTAGGCAAAGGGATTCTCGAGACTGGGCGAGGGAGGCGAGACGGCGTTCTGGATTGCTGATCCATGGTCGCGTCGAATTCCAGAGTAACTAGTGTATCGATCCAAAAGGGGCCAGGTTTCAGGGCAGTCCCATGACGCTGTGGAGGGGTAACGAGGGGTCTGATGCAAGCTTCATAGAGAAGCTATGATACAATAAAGAATAGCAGAAAAGAACTGACTGGGGATGAGCTCCTTGAGCTCCAGGGGCGCATTCAACAATGTTAGTATGCATGATGGATTGATCTTCAAGCTGGCCAAGTATTTATGTGCTGATTAAGCATCCCCACCATGTGCCTGTCACCAGGCTCACCACAGTACTCTGTATACAAAGAAATACAGAATTCAGGAGTATAGAGGGGTACTACTCCCTATATTTCTATTGATACTGTTGACTTGTTCTTTGCACAGAATCTCCTTATAGATCCTGTTTGCAAATCATAACAAACCTGCATTTTGAGATGAACTCAATGTAGACTTGTTCACCACCATAGTTGGCAACAATTCCTTTTGTCAAATAATTACTGTTACTAAGCATCGGGGACTCAGCTTGTCATAGTATTGATCTAAATATGTAGGTGCTCTGAGATCGGGATCTGGTCCATCTGTGATCTGTGCTCTATTTACTCCGTACTAGCTTCAGTTCGTTGCCTGAGTTACTGAGCAACCCCAGTCTGATGGATTTAGTGTTTATGCCCGCTTCCGGTCTAGGCCGGATCTGGACTCACCAACCAACACCCCGACCAGCCCCCTCCCGAATGCAAAACTCCCGCCAGCGCCAGCCCTCCATCTTAAGGCATCAAACCATTTCCCCCATCTGCCCTCGTCCTCCTTGCTTCTCATACCATCCATTCTCATCTGTCTCACTTGAATCCCATTTTTCTACGGCCCCCTTACACTCCTTGTTTGACTATTATTCAGTACTCTCGCCTCTACCCCGCCAGCGGAAAGCATAATATCCTATCATCACTTGAAGCTCTTCCGAATACTTATACCGCCTGCTTAATCGATAAGAGGTTGCATCGGGTCATAGTCGCAAGACTTTAGAATTTACCTCATCGCGCGACGCCCCGGGCAGTACTACAGTTGACACGCCTGTATCTTTATACTATCTATCTCTTAACATCTGGCGAGGCGCATTTGAAATCCACGGGACTTGAATCCGACGCCAATGTATGTCTTGACCGCCTCATGACAGCTGCCCCGTACGACCGACGCACTGACTTGACGCAGTTGATATTGTTCCCACACAGCAAACTCCTTCTGCGATATAAAGCATCGCCGCCATGTCGCAGATCTCCGAGCCTCAGCTGTCGCAAAGCTCCCTTGCCCCTCCTGTTGGAATCTCACGCCCTGTCACCCCAGTGCAACGCGCAACCCTTTCCGCATCGCCTGATTTGAGTGTGCGAGCTGGAAGCACGTCTCCGCACTCCGATAAGCTCAAGTTCATCTCCCCTCCATCGCTGCCTTCATCAGACATAACGCCTCCACCATCAACGCAGGTCCCCGGAGCTCCGCTCCGAGGGTCACGGTCTCGATCTAGCTCCTACCTTGCACCTTCGCCAGATATACAAGAAACTCTCTGTGCTGCATACGGCGCATCTGAGAACCTTCCAACAGACGACGAGATCGATACTGCCGACGAAGCCAGGCTCCGCGCTATTGCCAAAGAGCTCCTTGGGGTCGCTCGGGAGGCTCGTGTATCCGCACTCCACTTCAAGTTGCAATACGGACTATTATCATTCAGAAGTAACGTGGCTATCAAACGCGCCGAGGTCGAGCATAAGCTTGCGAGGAGGGAAGCCGAAATACTGCAGAGTACCGAGTACCGTAGCCGTCATCTTCTTCCAGGTGCAGAGCCGATGCCTTCGCCTTCCAATCTCGAGTTGGAACTTGCCGTCAAGCGTAATCAAGAACTCGAGAGGACCAACGCTACCCTTGACAGAAGACTGCGACGAGCCAAGAAGCTCATTGAACAAGAACAGGACCAGTCAGATGGGCTGAGAGAGGAGAACCAGTTGCTGAAGAAGCGCATCCGGGAAAACCGGGAACATTTCTCACGGATGATCGAGCACGGTCCGATGTCGCCCCCTGGTCCGCCGCCAGAAGGGATGGATAACAATGACAACAGCAATCCATTTGCAGCCCTCCTTGCAGCGGACCGTGTCCTTAACAGGGAATCTAGTGTGACATTTACACCACAACGACATAGAACTCATAGACAGCATCCGAATGGCCACGTGCGAGGCAGTCATTCCCTGTCCTCACTTCCCATCACACCGTCTCAGACACAGAAGATCCACCGGGAAAGTCAGTATGTCACTTCTGGTAAAGAGTCCAGCGACGAGAATCGTGATAGAGATAGCACAATATCCGCATCTGATATCGAGGAAGCCGGAGCAGAGGAAAATATCCCTCCGTCTCAGGCGGGATCTCTTGCAACTAGCATGCTTCGTCGCAATCATCCGTCTATCCCGCAAAACATGCGGGGTGTTGCCAATTCAGCTCCGAAAACCAGTACACTCCTTCAAACAAAGTTGTTTGGCCAAGTGAGAAAAGCGGGTGTAGATCGGCCTGCGAACACCCTCAAACGTAAAGCAAGTTTTGACGGTGCGAGCTCAAAGAAATCAAAAGCGGAGGAGCAGGTGGGTCTCGGCATTCACTAGGTGGCGGACGGGCTCTTTCTTGAGGCTTATCATACATGATTGCGCTTTACGTTTATGATCTTGGTTTCAAACGTTGTCCATCACTAGCGTTTCTTTCCTTTTGTTTCAACAAGTCACTGATGTTCAAGAACAGCGTTGTAATTCTTTTGTTTTTTCTCTTTCAAACTTTCCCTCCCATCAGGCATTTATGGAACGATGACATGTATATGCATGGGCTAACTGGTATCTACCCGGGTATTGAGACTGTTTCTTTCGGGTCATTCGATTTTCTTCGATATTGGAGGCAATATTTTCCCATGTATGGATGTATCCATAAGCAGAGATAGTTTGGAAATTCAATTGAGCTACACCTTGAGGCCTAGAGGGTGCATCTGCTGAGCAACATGTTCAAACTCATGGTATAAGATGACTAAGTATATCCAAGTCATGTGACAGGTAAATCTGGAAAGACTACAATAAAGGCTACAGCTGTCAGTATTCTGAAGCCATGGCAAGGGCGGAGAGAAGATGGGTGATCTATTGTATCTCCGCTCGCAATTATCGATCCATTGCCTTTTTTTCCTTGCATTCAGAAACATCGCTGGATGTCAGGTTGAAGCTGGAAGGTACCGGATTGGGCAAGGAAATAGGGCTCGCTAAGCGAGGCGGTGAGCGACTCCCGCGCGGTTGGCCACAACCAGAAAAAGTTCCACTAATATTGAGACGGAGGAGTTTTGAGATACGACCAGCATCCCACGACGACCACGACAAGCCGGTTGATCCCCGTCCGACACAATGGTACGTACTTGGAGGCTCATATTGCTGCTCGGAATAAATGAGAGCTGAAGCTCGAGTTTTCTACGGGAGGGAACGAGTGCTGACCAGGTTTCTTTTGGGTGATATAGGCGATCAAGCACAACAACCAGATTCAGAAGCACCGTGAGTGGCACCCGACGATCGAGGTCACGAGGCTCGTTTTCCGAACGAATGCGACCAGGATTTCGACATGCGATGGGATAGTTCGTGTTTTGGATTACTGATGCGTTTCCGTTGTAGACTTCCACAAGGACTGGCAGCGTCGTGTCCGCGTGCACTTCGAGCAGGTACGGTTCTCTCGAGTTTTTTTGGGGTGACTTCGTGTCGGATAAACAACATGGACGATGGAATTCTTGACGAGACGAATTTCTCCGATTGAATTTGCGAACGCGATGGACTAACAGGAATTTTCTGGGATATAGGCCGGTCGCAAGCACAGCCGTCGTGAGGCCCGTCTGGCGAAGGCCGCCGCTGTTGCCCCTCGCCCCGTCGACAAGCTGCGTCCCGTTGTCCGGTGCCCTACCGTCAAGTACAACCGCCGTGTCCGTGCCGGTCGTGGTTTCACCCTTGCCGAGCTGAAGGTAAACAACATATGCAGGAACAATTTTTTCTGGGTCAGAGCGGAAACTCATGAATTGAACAGGAGGCCGGTATCCCCAAGAAGCTCGCCCCTACCATCGGTATCGCCGTTGACCACCGCCGCACCAACTACTCCAAGGAGTCCCTCGTCGCCAATGTTGCCCGCCTCAAGGACTACAAGGCCCGCCTGATCGTCTTCCCCCGCAAGAGCGGTCAATTCAAGAAGACCGACTCCTCCGCCGAGGAGGTCAACGCCGCCAAGGCTGCTTTCGCCGCTGAGGGCAAGACCCAGGGCTACGCCACCAGCGTTGGCGCTCTTCTGCCCATCAAAAACACCACCGCTGAGGAGGCCGTCACCGAGGTCAAGCGCGACGACCTGCCCAAGGGCGAGGAGGCTGCATACCGCCGGCTGCGGGAAGCCCGCAGCGAGGCCCGCTACCAGGGTGCGCGGGAGAAGCGTGCTAAGGCCAAGGCTGAGGAGGAGTCTGCCGCTAAGAAATAAGCTCCGTGTACCTAACCGATTATGTGCTCAAAAATTCTCAGCTAATGATGAATCCGGTCGTCGATTTTCATATTGGGGATTACTTTACTACCTACTAAGTGTACTGTGTGGCATGACTTGGGATTGGCTGGCGTCCCGATTTTCCTCTTTTTACCTATTCCCTTTTGCTCTTTCTTACTCGGAGATAAAAAGGTGCTTCTGAACTACCCTGAATGAAATGCGAATGTCCAAATTCTTGATTCCTTATTCGACTTGATAAACAACTACGACCTCAGCGGAACTATAGTGTAAATATAAGGTACTGGATCGTAAACTCGGTGTATATGGCATTGGATTGAATGTCGGAATTGCTTTTTGCTCGTACACAAGCTTGAAGATGGTAATCATGGAGCACATCGTTGTCATTACGGCCAAATATATTACTAAAGCTTATGTTTTCCGTTCTGCGCCCCAAATAGAGCATCTAGTACACAGTGCGTAGCTGTGACAATAGCCTGCGGATCAGAACCGCCGGCAGTTCTTGACTGCTGCTTCGTGTTTTCTGTCAAAACCGCTTGGAACAACTTCTTCGATTCTTGTTCCACTTTTTCATTAGAGCTGCTGTCGAATCCAAATGTTGACGCGCATATCGTAGGCGTTAACTCCGGCTCTCCGGTCCAGTCGTTGATGGTGATTTCGCATGACAATAAGGCTCCAAGGGCGTTCTGCTTTGACTCAAACGGCATTGAAGTGCGTTCGAGGTGTGGAAGGATTCGTCGGATATCGGACGTTGTAAGTATCTCTCTGTTAATGAATTCATTATCCACCGAGTCGCTCGATTTGCTTCGGCCAGGTATTAGCGTTGAATGCTGGGCTTCCATTTGAGCCCAGAACTGAGCACGCGATAGTAGAGCTTCCCAGTAGCGGTTGATACCCCAGCAGAGTCCCGAGACATCTAGTCTCCCAAGCGGGCTTTCTAGTCGTTTATTGATCCATTGTTGGAGATAAGCCAGGCCCGTTCCCTCGACAGATGCTGCAAGAGATATGACCGACTGCGTTTCTGGGTTTGTCTCGTAAGAAACCCGTGCTTTGTAGAAGTTTGATGGGAAGGGGCTGGACGCCGAGAGCGTTATCTGATGTCTCTCCAGAAAAGTGCCCGAGTCCGACTTAGTGATGCTATTAACCGATGCGGTGATTCTCAAGGGAGCAAGAGCAGTTAGATACGGGTCCGAATGCGCGCTCTGACCCAGATCAAAAGGATTCAAATCAGGTGAGGTCTGACGTGGCTTTGACGGCCGTTTTGTTGAGAAGGGCAGTAGTGTTGATATAAAGGATGAGATTGTGGTGTGATGAGTGTCGGGATTGGCTTGAGACGGGTCCGTTGATATCAACAGGGAACTTATAGGTCAGTGAACTTGCCATATTTATGGATGGTCGTGTAACACGCACCTTATATTGTCTAGATAGGGCTCGATTTCCTCTCCATTTTGTTTAAGTTTGTCGCACAGCCCCTCGATTTTGGCAATGTCTTGTTTGAGAGACTCCAATTCAATTGAGACTTCTCTCTTGAGCTTTCTCTTCTTGACGACAGATTGAGGGAATAGGACATCAGTTGTCGTGACAGCGAAGTTCTCCAGCTCACTGCCATAATCTACCGTTCTGAGCTTCGAGGGGCTGGTTTCCAGGTCCCCAGTCGCTCGTCTTTTCCCCCACTTTCCATGCTGCATACTGGGACTGCTGCTCAATAGCCCTTTTGGTCGTCCAGGGGGTGGCTCCAAGCCTAATTGAGTCGGTGTTGGTGGCAGGTCGGGTTCATCGAAGCCACTAGGCGGGGAAACGTCTTCGTGCATGTCCAAACCTGTTACGCTGCCCAATTCAGACGCCAACTGATCCTCAGGGGTGTTTTGAGACAGCCCAATTTCTTGCGAAGTTGAGGGAGACTGAAACATGAAATCCGAGGCGCTGATCCTTTTGGATACGCGCCTTGGGGGTGCGGCAAACGCACCCAGACCGCTCGAACGTTGGCTTGCGAAGGGAAGAGGAGATTGTGACTGTTGGCTTAGATTGAGAGAGCCCGAAGGGCTAGCCGTCAAAGTAATTGACGGTCTGAGGGCTTTTCTGTCCCGCAGCCCAAAAGCCCTCATTTCGGCCCCCTTCTGCTTGTCATCCTGACTAGCACTCCGCGCGGATGATTTCGAAGGGGATCTAGTCAAGGCGCGTTCTAGAACTTCAGGATGTGAGCGCGCTAAGCTTGCCTTCGTCGGCGCCAGGAAAGAAGGTCGTGGAGGGGAACGCCTTTGCGATGCATTTCTCCGTGGAGAGGGTTCCATTTGCGACGCGCCGGCAGCGGTTGCTGTGCTGTTGTTGATTCGTCTGGTTTTTGTTGTCAAGCAATCATTGCTATCGTTCAGCTCGGACCGTGGTTCGAATGACGGTCAAGTTCAGTGGCGATACTTTTTATATAGAGTCAGTGATACCGGGCAATCTATATCTGTTTATCCAGTCCAGACTCATATCTGATGGGCGCTAGAGCCATCCACGTGATACTGCGGTCCGAATGTGTTTGTAATGTTTGCACCTGATTCTCGGAGAAAGCCCGTTTTCCTGGAGACCGGCAATATGACGATATCCGTTCTTCCGTCCATTTGATTTCCTGACTTTCTCGCTGTTCACTTCTAGCACCATGGAGGGCCACGCACTGATCGCTGTGCGACACTCGCTATACAGGTCATTTAGATCTTCGTCACTTTCACACATTAGGAATTCGCTCGCGCAGAACATTAGACGCCACCGCCGCACTCTACCTCCGCGGCGCCTTTCTCATCGCAATGCCAACCTAGATTCGGGCCGCGCAGGCGCTTCACAAGCCTACCCACTCTCTGGGTACTACTCCGATATTCTTTCTGCTCGTTCTTCGCACAGCGGCCAAGCTACCACCTCCCCTTCCGCGCCGGAGCAGAAGTCAGAAACGCCGCCTGCCGACACAAAGGAATTGCCGCAGTCTCCGGAGGAAAGGATGGCGATTGTCTTTGGAACTCGACTAGCTGGGCCTGGTCGATCCTCACGCTATAACTCGGGGTCAAATGCTGCATGGAAGACTGTGAACGGGGTGCCAATTCCGCCGAGGCCCGAAGAGCCGGACAACTGCTGCATGAGCGGATGTGTACACTGTGTGTGGGACGATTATCGAGATGAAATGGAAGAATGGGCTGCATTGCTGGCGCAGGCCAAGGCTAAAGGCGGCACGTCAAAATCACCAAAGGTTGTTCCGACCGCTATTCCCAAAACACCAGTCGATGCGATGGCCAGTACGAGCATGGATGATGACGGGGGCGGCAGCGAAACGAACTGGTCGATGCCTGGGCCTGGAGATGATTTGTTTGCGGATATTCCTGTCGGTATCCGGGAGTTCATGAAGACGGAAAAGAGGCTGAAGCAGATTCATCGGGAAGAGAGCAATGTTTGAGCTCCTCGCGGAATCCTTGAACGCATTATGCTATCATGATATCCATGCGCGTCAGTTGTATATACATCGTAGATCTCTAGAAATGTACATAACCGTACGGAGTATAACCATTAACCGCTTCAGGGTTGTAGTGCATCATTACCAATATAGATTATTTCGGAAATGATTGCCGCTCGCTTTGGAACCCTAGTTGTACCGCGTTCCGTCTTTACTCCGATATACCATATATGTCTCGTACCAGGAGTCAGGCACTCACGCACCCTCAATCAGCCTACCATTGCCCTCACGGCTTCCAAGTTGTACCCACTATCCACAGAACTGCATAGTGCATACAAACTACAGACTACTGTAGGGTAGTGGAGCCTTCTCCCGGACGATGGATAAAGTATTAAAATCGCTCGCCGTAGCAATTCTGAGCAAGGTTAGGCTGCTTCAGTCGCCAGCGAAACAAACCTTGCACAGAGCGTACTGTATGTCCTTAATACCATGCCCACGAGACAACTTTAAGTTGTTTTGACAAGGTCATATGTAAGAGATGAGCCTCATCAAGCGCCTCCCTCCACGTCCACCGTATCCGTGCGACTGATGGGCGACTTCCGTCTCTCCTGACATGATCAAGAAAAGGTGGTTTACCCAGGTTGTAATTGAGAGACCAGACAATTCTCATCCTGTTTTCTATACTCCGTAAACATGCGGGCTAGCTCTCGTTTCAAGATTGCCTATCGTTCGAACCGCCCGGGCATCTGCAGGGGCCGAAATCCACATGTCCGTGACTCCGTGGCTTTCAAGACACTCAACGACCCGCAGAAGAAGATCAGTCGTGCTTAGAACTAGCTCAAGCTACTGCACTAGGCCACAGCTTCGAAATTCTAACTCAAGCGCTGATCACAAGAGTTGTGCTTCTCAAACCGAATCAGCCCTAGCAACCGCTAAGGACCCAACCACCTGGGCAGCCTATTACCGTATCGTCAGCGGAATGTCAGTCTTGATTGCAGCGTCTCCCTCAGTGTAGGTGAGTTGGAGTTATATCGCCAAGGCTCTGGGATCTACAACATGATATCGATTCTCTTTACAAGCTCAAGTGGTGAGGATGAAAGAGATCAAGATCGATGTGTATACCTCCGATCCTGACATCGTCCGTCCATGGTCGGGATCCGCTCGGAGCCCGCCGGGTTTTCTCTAGCACGTCAAGAGCTTAAGAAGCTGACCATATAGCGAGGGAAGATGCAAGAGATAGGTAGGTAAAAGCCGCGCCGACTCCGTATAAATGATTTACCGTGGTTTTGAGCCTTCACGGTTGGCTTCTGGTTGTTCCCAGAAGGATTCCTCAAGGACGTACGCGTATTGATCCCGCCATTAATGTCAACTTGGCAAGTGCAGATACGCAATCCTGAGCATGCTCAAGTACCTCGAGGCTCAATGTTATCTGATGGAAGTTGATTTACCCTTTGGCGATGACGTTCCGCGATCTGTTCCGCGTCGGGCTACGGCGGACGGTAGCAACCGTTTGGGTCGCTGAAAAAGACAAGATCATCTCCAAGCGCATCCACTGCAAGCAAGCTGTTCCCCCGAACCTCAACCAAGTTTGAAAGTCGGAGATCATTCTTTGCTCTCTTCTTGTCCTCTTGACTTTTGTAACCCTCTCCTCTCTTTTTATCCATCTTTTTTTCTCCTTCCGTCATGTTCAACCTTGTCCGCAGCCGGCCAGTTGCGGCGCTCAGAGCTGCCACGGTACGATCCTTTAGCTAAGAATGATCTATCGCCCGATGATATGGTTTTATTGACATTATCGCTCTCATCGATAGGGCTCTTCTTCGCGCCTTGCCCAGCAACAGAGGAACCTCTCCATCCATGAATACCTTTCCGCCAACCTACTCAAATCAGTATGTGGACAATAAACATCGATCGCGCGGTAACTCGGCTATCTTACTGATCATATCATTCAGTACGGTGTGGGCGTGCCAAAGGGTGAAGTCGCTCGGTCGGCAGAGGAGGCTGAGAAGGTTGCCAAGTCGCTCGGTACAGATCAGCCCTTGGGCATTTTGATGCGCTGTGCTAAGATGCGCGTTCGCAGGTAACGATGACATGGTTATCAAGGCCCAGGTTCTCGCTGGTGGCCGTGGCAAGGGTCACTTTGACAATGGTCTCAAGGGTGGTGTGCGCGTGATTTACTCGTGAGTTCGATCTCGAGCTATCCCAGCTTTTTCTAATTATTGTTCAGTCCCACCGAGGCCAAGATGTTCGCCGGCCAGATGATCGGACAGAAACTCATCACTAAGCAAACCGGCGCCGCTGGTCGCCTTTGCAACTCCGTCTTCATTGTCGAGCGCAAGTTTGCTCGCCGTGAGTTCTACCTTGCTGTTCTCATGGACCGCGCGACCCAAGGCCCTGTCATTGTTGCTTCGTCGCAGGGTGGTATGGATATCGAGGCTGTTGCCAAGGAGAACCCCGAAGCCATCATCACAACTCCTATCGACATCAATGTCGGTGTGACGGACGCCATCGCTACCAAGATCGCACAGGAGCTCGGCTTCTCCGAACAGTGCGTCGATGACGCCAGGAGGACCATACAGAACCTTTACAGGGCGTTCATGGAGACCGACGCTACTCAGATTGAGATTAACCCTCTGTCCGAGACTTCCGACCACCAGGTTCTGGCTATGGACGCCAAGTTGGGATTCGACGACAACGCCGATTTCCGCCAGAAGGAGATCTTCTCCTGGAGGGACACAACCCAGGAGGATGCTGATGAGGTCAAGGCCGCCGAGTAGGTTTTTGCCGCCCGTGCTGTGTAGGCAAGGCTCTAATTTCTGTTATAGGCACGGTCTAAACTTCATCAAGCTTGATGGAGACATTGGTTGCTTGGGTACGTACACGTGGAGACGTCTTTGGTTCTCTAAAGCTAACCGAATGTACAGTCAACGGTGCTGGTCTCGCGATGGCCACCATGGATATCATCAAGCTCAACGGTGGCAGTCCTGCCAACTTCCTTGACGTTGGTGGTGGTGCCACCCCCGCTGCCATCAAGTCTGCCTTCGAGCTCATCACAAGCGACCCCAAGGTGTCGGCTATCTTTGTCAACATCTTCGGCGGTATCGTCCGCTGCGATGCCATCGCCCAGGGTCTGATCAACGTTGTGCAGGAGATGGGTCTGCGCACTCCTATCATTGCCCGGTTGCAGGGTACCAACATGGAGCAGGCTCACAAGCTGGTACGTCCGCTTCTCTTTCTTGTATCGCAAACCAACTAACTCTCATAGATCAACGAATCCGGCCTTAAGATCTTCTCCATTGAGGACCTTCAGAGCGCTGCGGAGAAGTCTGTCCAATTGAGCAAGGTCGTTGCGCTTGCTCGCTCCATTGACGTGGGCGTTGAATTCACTCTCGGTATCTAAGCTCCGTTCGAACCCTTTTGACCATCCAGTGCCTCCTTGTTCGTTTCTTTTTCTCTGGTGAACCGGGTGTTTCGCTGAATCGATTTGGAAAGGGATGAGCGAAGGAGGGATGGTATGTTGTAATTGCCAGATGTGACGCTAACAAAGTCCTACTGCCCACAGACTAATCGGTCCAAGTGCATGGGCTCTAATGGGGGTACGTGTTTGTTTTTTGAGGAATGGACCAGGAGAACCTATAATAGAGAGCATTCAAGTTATTTTGTACATCCTTACACACTTGTTCCAGATACCAGTGGGCTTCATCCGTCTTCAATATCCTGGCTGGCATAGTATATCTCCCTAGCTGATTTGCTCCACGAAAGACGATAACAGCGTTCCCGACGTATCGACAATGGAAATAACCCGAGAATCACCTATCAACACACGACTAGTATGCATCATGAGTGAAGCCTCGTCTGACGGTGGCCTGGGTAAGTCAAGTTTCTGGCTTGCGTAGAGAGGCGTATCAGCGTACGGGTTCGAAATCCAGATGCTTTGTTTGCCATCATCATCTTTGACCCAGTAGATAATGCCGTTATCGACATTGGCTATGCACGGCGGACGGGCAATTTGACGATCGGGCAGCGTGTGTACACAGACTTGCTCTGTTTGTGGATGGTATGTTATTGGCACGATGAGGTCGATTTGATCCCGCCCATGGACAAATCCAATGTTTTTGCAATTATATTGCCAATCCCAGCCTAGGCATGCCAATCCTTCGGCGGGTGGTAGCTCCAGAGTATAGGATCGTGCTGCCGAGGATTCCCCGTTCTCATGGAGCTCATGTTTCACAACGCGTAGACGATTTTTATGTTGTTCAAGACAGACGGTTGTCAAGAATCGAGGAGAAGAATCCAATCCCACGTGTGCTAGGTCTTGTACTTGTTGAATGTTGTGGGTCCCTCGGTTTCCTGGCTGAAGGTCAAGGTGCATGAGCACCTGGTTGTTCATGAGGTGTATAGCAACTCTGAAGCCGCTGATGACGATTTGGGATATATTTGTATTGGGAAGACGGACAGTGTGTGTTTCTTCCGTATGGAGATCCCAAGCATGGAGATGCCTATGGGACGTCAGTCGCGCAATGGAAATAGATAACTCAACTCACCCACGAATAGTGATTGCAACCACCATATCTCCAGAGACGCGCAATCTCATAAATTTCGCGCGATTCTCCGTGCAAAAGCGTCGTGTCGTCTTGGAGCATAGCTCATAGACCACGATTGTAGTGTCATCATCAGTTGACCAGGCATATCTTCCATCTGAATAGTCAAAGCTGAGCGTTGATTGCTCCCTCGCTAAAGATACGTCCACCTGAGTCTGTCTGAATGGAATTCCCTTTTCTATTCGAAGCCTGTGCTGCGAGTAGCGCGAAAACGTAGCCTTGAAGTTATCGTCGAGTGCACCTCCAGTGTACTGGCGAAATAGAATACTGCAGGCTGCCTTCGAAGACAGTAAATTATTCCACCTCTGCGAGACCCTGCATTGTGTACATACATCGTTCAAGCCCAGGAACTGGATGATTTGCACAGCAACTTCCAGGGGTAGGGAGCCGAGAATATCCTTCTGGAAAGATCGCTCGTTGATGCGCTTCTTCGCGTCCCTCCATTCATGAGGCCCTAGCTGGTCTATGATCTGGTGGTAAACGATACGTCGAGCTGAGTTTGTATCCAGTTGTTTGAACCGAGTGATGATTTCCTGTATATTCGGGTCCATGGCCTCGGCAGAGAAGATGATCACATAGTATGGAGGACTCTGCTGGTCATGATCACAGAATTACGACGAAAATGATGTTGGTCGCATTATCGCGTCTTCAGTCCAGCAAGAGCTCTACCGACCACAAGGAGAACAGCTGCGGTCTGAGACGGACCGACGGAAAACCAGATATTGGCCCTATATGAGACATTTCTTCTGAAGGATAGGGAACGCATATTATTGGCGAGAAAGCTCAAAGACGGGAACCTTTTTTGAAGGACACTACTTGGTTGATCAGCGCCTGCTTGGCCCAGACACTGGCCATTGCTATCAGCTCTGTTGACAGAGAGCTTCTCCTCACCTTTGCTGCCTCTTTCTGTCTATGCTTCCGTGTGTTTTCTCCTCTCTGATGCTGCTCTCCTCTACTCGCCTTCATCCTGACCACATCGACAGCAGGTGTTTGACCAGAGAAAAAAATTTCGCCGTCGTGTTCTAGGTTCCCGTCCCCCGCCTGCGGCGTGCGGCCGCTGTCGCCCATTACCCCCTGTTCCGCCGCGCGATATGAGCAGTCTCGCTGATTTTCCATCGAGAAACGCCGTCGCCTCTGGTGCTACAGATGCGCCGGGCAGGATACGGAAGCTCCCTGTTCTCTCGTCATCTGTCCCATCCGGCACATTGACGAGTGAACCGATGGAGGTCACTCCGCCTCCTTCGGCCGCCACTAAAAGCGCCCATCACGGTACCCCCGATAGTGATCGAGCGGGCGCAAACGCGACAACGACATCCAATGGCTCTCCGGACTCTGGAAACCCCAATAATCATGCGACGCACGGCCAGGCTATCGGTGCCGCAGCGGCAGCCCAACAACCCAAGGTCGTGCAGACAGCGTTTATCCATAAGCTCTACAAGTATGTTCCGCATGGCCAAATTGAGAATACTGCTGATGCTTCATTATAGCATGTTGGAGGATCAGAGTATCCAGCATTTGATATCATGGTCCAGTACCAACGATAGCTTCGTCATGTCTCCTACCTCGGAATTCTCTAAAGTCCTCGCGTTCGTTATTCGGCCCTCGTCTGCTCTCCTGTCGCTAATTGACCATGTAGCCAATACTTCAAACACACCAACATTTCGTCCTTTGTGAGGCAACTCAATATGTATGGTTTCCATAAAGGTATGCCGTTTCCTGGCCACAAATACGCATCTGCTAACTCTAACAGTGAGTGACGTCTTCCATACCGGATCTCCCGACTCTGCTCTCTGGGAATTTAAACACGGCAACGGGAATTTCAAACGTGGCGATCTCGTTGGACTGCGAGAGATCAAACGCCGGGCATCGCGACATGCCTTGATCCACCGAGACTCCTTTCCTAGCCATAAGACTGCCGCCTCCCAACCCGGTACGCCTGCGGAGCCTGTTCCTGATGCGACTGAAGCACGATTGATGCAATTGGAACATATGGTCTTCGACATGCATAATCGCCTCAGCCGGGCCGAGGAAGGCAACGCGACATTGAATGCTAGGTGCCAGGCTATGACGGAGAGTATAACCAGGTGTCATCAAGTAAGGCTATCGTCCTTGTTTATCCGCCTGCTAATCGATATAGTGGAGTCATTCAATATCCCGATTTCTGCAAGGAATGATACCTGACCGCGAAAGCTATCTATACCGAGATGGTATGCCGATAAGCTGATATCAAGACTTTTACTGACGTATAACAGTGGCCAACATGCAAGCTGAACTGGAAAAGCACCTAGACGCCGTTCGAGCCCTTGAACATCCTGACCCCAGGCTATTGCACATACCAAGCGTCGCAGTCGACCCAGGTCCCCCGCTATCCCCTCGGCAGATGCCGCAAGATGATAACCGGCGACCATCTTTTGTATCTTCCAATATGATTCGACCACCGGTACCCCCACATTTGTCTGCCTCGCCCCGGCGTTTTGGCTCAATTGGCGCGGCAAACTCTTCACCCAACTATAGCCGCCCCCAGGTTCCGTCTATAGTTACTCCGCAACCACCTGCTCCTCATCCTCTTTCATCCGCGTCTTCTCCGCCAGGTCCCAACCTTGCGCGCCGACATACTTCAGCGGATATCCGACAGCATGGTTGGCCGCCGCCAGGCATCTCTCCATTTCCTCCGAATCAGCCATCCTCTCAGGGACCCTCCCCTTGGTCGCCTTCACCTCTTCGCACACCCACATCGAGCGACCAACAAGTACGGGATGTATTAGCGCAGTATGAAATGGGAGCGCCGCGCCGCTTTCAACAAGACATTTCGCGACACGCCACGCCGCCGCTGCATCCTGACCAGCAGGGGCCAACGGACAACGGCTGGGCTTTTGGCGGTCCCAGATTCCCTCGACATGAGTCTTCTTTGCCTGCGACCCGCCGATCCAGCATGGCTAGTAACGTACATTCTCTCCTCAATCCTGCCGACACTGCCGAAAGACCTGATGAGGATCAACACGCCGCAGAGGATCGAAAGCGGAAGCGACTCGAGTAATAATACACTACTCTCTATATTTACACTAGGAGATATATTTGATCGCGCAACAATTTTTTGCTTTGGGAGGGAAAGAAGAAGATACAAGGTCATTTTTATTACTCTTATACACCTTGGCTTCATATTATCATTGTACAATCTAGGCGTGGATTTTTGGATACCATGGTCGTGCTCAGGAGAGCAAACTCATTTTTTACTATCACCTCAGCTCGTTTCCTTCGCAGATTCGTCATCTTGGGGCATAGTATAGTGCCGGATTGAGCTGAACGCTCAGGCATGTTGCATTGTCTCGCCAAATTTGGCTTTATAGACCTTATTCCCCGCATTGGCATTGGCTGTCTCACTCCCAGGACACAGAGGTTGGGCCTTGACGCGCTTTTGACTCCCGTGTCTCAATTGAATTGACACGTACACAGACATGGCAGTTTTGGAGTTTCATGAAAAAGATCGCATTGGGGTATATTGCAAGATTTCCAGGTGACCGAATAAAGGCGTTCATCGCTTCTTCCTCTTCTTTGACCGCTCTGCGAGTATCTCGTCTAGAAAACTCGTAGCCTTTTTCCTCCCTTTTGACTTTGGTTCCTGTGAGTTGGCTGCCTTTCTTTCATCCGGTTCCTCGCTGTCCACGTTCGCCACCTCGCCATCGGCACTCTGAGGCTGTGCCGTAGGCTCAGTATGTCCTCCCACCTTTCTTTTTCGCGATGATGCCTTCTTGCCAATTAAAGCCGCGCGACCCTCGTCGTCGTCATCATCTCCAACTCTAGAAACTTGCTGGTCGTGACCAGTCGTCCCCTTTGAAACAGGATTCTCTGACGCCGCCGAATCAGCAGTGGCTTTCCGCGCCTTCTCCTTCTCAGCCATGACCTTCTTATAATTCCTCCCGAGAAGTTGTCTCCGTAACGCATCGTTCGAATCAAGCTCCCTGCGGTTCCAGCTCCCATCCGCGGCTTTCGATGGCAGTGGCGCTCCGAGACCTAGTCTGCATTTCAAACTTAGTTTTGAGTCGGGCAGTTTTAGCAAGTAGTAGCGACGCACGTTTCAGGAACAGCTGTGAATATTTCTTCTTCCTCCCTTTGGAGCTCAGCGTCGGTTTTCGCATTGTCTGCTTCTGTTGCAGGTGCTGCAGGGATCCATGATGCGACGAGGCGCTGGCTGCGGGCGAGGGCGATATTAGCCTTGTTGAGAATAATGTCTGTGTCGGCTTTCGAGAGCGACATCTTTGTTCGCTGTTTTCGGGGTTAATGGAAATTAGATGAGGCTCAAGGTCTTTCCAATTATTCCTTGATGAAAGCTTGGCGGGCGGCCGGAATGGAAGAAGTATTATCAGCAATGTGTATAGATCACTATAAGCCATATATATACATTCAAAATAGTTTGTAATCTAAGATGAATTCTTTACTGAAAGTGATTTCCGTCGCATCTAGACATTAGGCGACAATTGATCATACTTTACACAATTCTCCACACTCTCAATGCTCGCCCTAAGTAAGCCACGGGCTTCTAGACCGACCCAAACACGAAGCATCGAGGTGTCGCCCGACCGAACAGTCTTTAAGAAAGTGGCGTTGGAACCGAGTTTCCGCAAGATTGGAAGGGCACTGGAAAAAGTGTCAATACAAAAAAGGATTCTGAGCGGGTGGCAGCTCGATTATCTCGAGCAGCAAGGCAGGGAAAATCAACGCTAACCTCTTGAAGAGATCTAGATCAGGATCCATACTGCGGCCGATGCCTTCGAGGAGGAGTATTGAGATGACGACGTTGACAAAGTCTCCTTCTAGGCGAACATGATGACGCCGGACCATGGATAACACTTCGCTAAGAACGTCACCAATCTTGATATTCCCTAGCGCAAATGTCCGCGACTTGACGCCCAGGACGAGATGTTGCATCCTCAGTGCAAAGATGTCTGGGTCGATGACTTCCTCAGGTTGACGACACCGCTCAACCATGAGTTCACCCGCGCGGTGGCCGTCGAATTCGGCGACCGCTCGGAAGAGGGCAAGGAAGTTTGCACGATTGATCTCATTTAGTTGTGTCACTAAACCAGTGTCAATGAAGATGAGTTGCGGCCTGTAACCCTCGGCATTGAGCTCGTTCAGAGCCTTTTCCCATTCGCGCGGATCATCTGCATGTGGCCGCAGCCGCGCAAGTACGGCGTCCGCCACATCAACCTCTTTTGTAGTTGGTGCTTCGTCTGCGCGGGTTTTCTTGCGAAGAGACAAATCAAGCTCGCTTGGCTGATAGAAACGGACCATAATGTTGCCGGGGTGCAAGTCTGCATGCACAAAATTGTCGAGTAAAAGCATATGCAGAAAGGCATCGAGGCCTTCGTTTGCGATTTCATGCTGGTATACCCCTCCTCCCTTTTCTAGGAATGTCGACAAAGGTATACCCTGCGCGAATTCCTCGATGAGGACTTCACGAGTACTATAATCCAAGTATGGATAGGGAAACCAGGCTGTGGTACGGGACCTGAACTTCTCGCGGAAGACTTTGAGATTTGTGGCCTCTATTCGAAGATCGAGCTGTAGCTTCATCATCTCCCCGAACTGAGCGACCTCATCAGGGAAGGAAAGCCAATGCATGGTTGGGATTGCATTGATTAATGAAGCAAAGAAATACATAATACGCAGGTCTCTGCGGATCAAGCGCTCAACGCGGGGATGGAGTACTTTGACTGCAACGTATGATGACGGGACTCGCCGGGGGCTGCTCTTAACCAAGGCGTCGACGTTCTTTCTGAACTTGCCTCCTGGGTTTTGAGGTTCAGATGTAAGTTGATTATCTGAAAGGTTGGCAAGATTCGGTTTCAGTTTCGCTTTGTACACTTGGGCGATGGCGCCAACCCCGAGTGGCTGCTCATTGAATTCTTCAAAGATATCTTCAAAGGGCATTCCATCAAACGCTTTGCATATTATCCGCTTAGTCTCCTGCAATGAGTGGGCAGGAGCATGGGAGTGTAATGACGACATGATGTTGCACATTTGTGGAGGGAAAATGTCAGTACGTGATGCGGCCCATTGTCCAAGCTAAGAGAAGATATTAGGAAATGCTTTCGGAATGGGATAGTCGTGTCTACCTTGATGAAAGCAGGGCCCGCGCGCTCCATTGCTCTGACAAGAAAGCTGTACCACCACAAGGTACCTGTTCGGGCCCCATCCTGGTCTTGAATGCGCTTTCCGATCCATATTGTAGGCGCCGTCAGGATGACCGGTAGGAAAATGACGACTAGATGGAGGAAACGGAAACCGGTAGCTATCGTGTCGTAGATATAATGTACCCAATATGCCAGTACAGGCCCCCCGAGTCCTAACCGTTCCTCTGTCTTTTCGAGGATATCTTCTCTGATCTCCTGGCGCGAAGCGTCTAACATCAGTTTTTCCCCAGTTTTATCGTCATCTTTTGCATCCGCCAATTTGACAAAAGCACCGGGGGCAAGCGCTGCACAGAGAGCTATTCCAGTTCTTGGAAACTCCCTTTGACGGCCTTGGGCTGGATGTTGCGGACATGACGGTCGTGTAAAGCGGCGGCTCGGCGGCGGATTGATGCGGGCGAACAGCTGTGGAGTTTTGCCACAAGTCGAGCGGAAACCGCGAAACTGGAGGAATATCCTCATGTTCTCACATGTCAAGCATCAAGTGCCATGGAGAAAGAGACAAGGTAGACTGGGCAGTGCAGGTAGATGCTGGGTGTAAGGGTGGTAATCGGAGTTTCTGAGGAGCCCAAAGTTCTCCGCGGGTGGATGGATTCCCATTTGCTGCCGACGTCATCGGTCATCAATGATCTGCTATTGTCCTTGAACCCTGCTCTGTTCTATTGGAATAGCCGCTCTGATGATTCTGCGCATTTTGACACATCCAACAGCTGCACATTCCGGCCCTGGAGCTCTACGTAGAGCTAGTCACTAGTCTTTGACATCCCGGAAACGGATTGGATTGTGAAATTCTCGTAGCTGCTCTTACCCATAATGACCAAGCTAAGTTTACTTGAATCCAGCCGGATACTCACGTATAATTCTTACAGCCTTTCCCATGGACTGACATGATGCACCATGGGCCGCGATGATGCGGACATTGAAACAGGCCATGGTTGCCCACGGTGTCAAACTGGTATGATCTGGTGTGGTATAAGCTACATTTGCATGACCTCGATGCTTGTATGCGCCTGTTTCCCGGAATTCTCGCTTCTTCAGCTAGGTTTGCTTCCCTTCTTTGTCTATGGAAGTAGCCCTGTTTTCTTCTCTGCCTTTTCGCAGAGTCCAAGGCACCTCTATAACCAAAGGATATTGAAATCGTTGCATTGGTACCAGATCGGGCACTCAGTCGGACGGAGATCCTGGTCTGCTACCTGCAGGTGAGCATTCTCTACAAAATCAAAAGCCAATTGCTTATTCAAGTCAGGAAAATTCTGGCGTCCAACGGAGGCTTTCTTGACAGAGTCGTCTTTATCGCAGAGACAAACCATGTGTAAAGCCTGGAATGGCTCACGTCCACAGTTAGCGGCGCCCTTTCATGGTCAACGTTGGAAACTTATGAGATGGTCGGCGAAAACTCAGACCCGCTATTTGTATGGATTGAAGGCGATATCGTATTCTTAAAAGACCGTACAATCCCGACCATAACGAAGACCAAGTTGGACCGCCCTGACTCGCTCATCGTTTCAGCAAACGTTGTCAACGAGGCGGCTCTTGCACTTCTCCACGGTCATCCTTCAATTACTCTCCCATATATTTTCTGAGCTACAACCTGCGCCAATTGCCGGCCATGGCAGTTGGCGAGCTTCAGAACTAACCTGTTGGAATGGGCCTACGGACTTCCATGTCCAGGAAGGGTCCTCGCCACCGCCCGCAAACCATCGCTGGCTCCCAGTCCAAAAGTTTCCCCAATTGGCATGTCTATTTCCTCAGACCAGACGACTGGACTGTCAAAGCCCAGCAGCATTATTCTTTCCTCCCTCATCTGGACCTAGGCGATCTGCATCGCTACAAGTTCCCTCTCTGGACCAACCGACGGACTTGATCAGCACGTCCTTTTTCTGATCATGAGTGGTGATGCTAAACAATCATGTCTGCGAATCGTTCGCAGGAGACGATTTTCCAATTATCCGCGGACTGGAGCCATATCACGAGAAATTTCACAAGAGAATGGATGGAAAGGGATTAGCTGCTCATTACGTCGGGTCCAGGGTTCCAGCTCGCAAGGCCTTGAATTCACAGATGTGCTCCAAAGGTATCGGTCGTATCATCGTATGCGCGAGAAATTGTCTGTCAGGCGACAATATGACAGTAATACAGAATAAGGTAAGAAAATTATATCATGCTTGGACCACCGTCAAAGCCCATTGTACATCTACCTAGGTAGCCGGCTCAACTTCGCGGAGATGAATCCTGCAGCGACACCTCAGCACTGCTATATTGATCTTCAATCACTACATCAATCGGAAAACGGATGCCTAACACTGCCTATTTGAATTTCGTAGTATTAAAATTCACTAATGTTGGACGACGCACTGATGCAGATCAACATGGCATGGCGTCATCTCGCGCCGACGCTAACCAAGTCTCCTCTTCGTTCACCTGGGCAGGCTTCTCCAGAAGCATATATCTAAAAGTGCACATTGAGGTTTGAGACTCAACACAAGCTTCGACTCCGGACGGGTATCCCGGGGCCCCAGTCTCCATCAGAGGCGTATGATTTGCCCCATTGCTAGTGGATCCCGTACCTACCGTATCGCTGTGCCGTAACCGATCCAGCCGAGTCCCGACTGCGGGCGTACGTACCCGATCCGACAGCCGTAGAGTCTGCCTTTCGTTTATTTTCTAGAGGGAAAGTTCAGTTTTGTGGGCCTTTCCCACCTTACCACACCACAGCACCATCTCCTGCTGGCTGGGCCGGGTCAGCTATCACTTGGAGCTTCTTCGGCAACAAAGAAGACTACCTAAGGCTGACTCGGGTTGCCGGTAGTCAGCGAGTATATCTGCCCTTTAGCTTGACAGCTGCCGCCATCCATTCAATGTGCGGTGTGATTTACTACTGTCGAGAACGAGAAGAAGATGTTTGCATACGATCGTCGGCGGCCATTGAAAGTATATGACAATGCACCTTGAACTCCCCCCGCCTCCCAGGCACCTAAAATCTCCTTGTGCTGAGGGATACCGTACTCCAACAATCGAGGACGCAGAAAAGGTCTTGACCAACGGAAGTGCAGGCCTTCAGCCAACAGGCTCGCGAGTGCGTGAGGCTCATTCTTCAGCGCTGGAGTCTACGCATGGCTCCTATTATCGCGCATACAGTGGCGCCGACGTGTCTTTGACCAGGACAATATCCGAATCCACTGGCGGAAAGCTCAACTGGAAGAAACGGATACGGCACTTTACTTGGGCGTTCTTCACTTTGACTATGGCCACAGGTGGCATTGCCAATGTTATATACACCAGTAAGCCTTCGAACCCTAACAAAAGACGGACACTGACCGGCCAACAGTTCCTTATAGATTTCATGGCCTGGATACCATTGGGATTATCTTCGTTCTCATGAATATAGTCTTCTATCTCATAATCTGGGCTATACTACTTACCCGGTTTTACCTGTTTCCGTACACTTTCAAAGCATCTCTGTTGCATCCCACGGAGTCACTGTTTGTCCCAGCGTCGGTAGTCTCGTTTGGGACGATCTTGATCAACATTTCGCAGTATGGCACTGATAATACTGGTCCGTGGCTTACGGATGTCGTTCATATTATGTTTTGGATTGATGCTACCCTGGCTGTTATTTCCTCCGCCGGGATCTATCTCCTTCTGTATGAAACCATGCCTATCTTATTATTCACACTAACAGCAGTAGGTGGTCAACGCAGACATTTACCATAGCGCAAATGACGCCGATCTGGATCTTCCCAGCCTATCCTATGCTGATCATCGGACCTCATGCCGGGCTTCTGTCTGCCAAATTGGAGCCTTCTCGAGCATTGCCCATCATTGTTGGAGGTACAACTATCCAGGGAGTGGGCTTCTTGGTGTCGCTCATGGTCTATTCAGCCTTCATTTACCGGTTGATGTCTCAGAAGCTACCAAGGGAGAACATTCGACCCGGGATGTTTGTCTCTATTGGCCCGAGCGCTTTTACTGTAGCGGGTCTTGTGAATATGGCTGCGCAGGCGGACAACGTTTTCCCAGATGACTTCATGGGCGATGGCGCCTTGGCCGCCAATGTCTTGAGGATAGTGGTTAATTTTGCTTCCTTGTGGTTATGGGGGTAAGAACTTCTGTTGATCAAAGGCCCGTGCATGGCTGACATTTTCAGTCTTGCATTATTCTTCTTCTTCATTGCAAGCTTTGCGCACTTGTCAGCTATCGGCCCTGGCCGAATGATCTTCACGATGGGTTGGTTCTCGTTTGTTTTCCCAAACACTGCTTTGATCACTTCGACTTTTGCCGTCGGAAACGCATTTTCCTGCAAGCCGATCCTAGTTATTGGATGCGTCATGGTCATCCCTCTCATCCTGATGTGGATATTTGTTGTCTATATGATGATCCGCGCTATCATCATCCGTCACATCCTCTGGCCGCAAAAGGGCGAAGATAAAGATGAAGGAGGATTCGAAATTAATGAGATCAGACCCGGCACACTCGGAGAAGAAATCCCAGAATAGGCCGCATTGTCGTATGACGCATTTTATGACGACGTTGCTTTGTGACTGGATGCTAGCGTGGCAGTATCTGTACATACTCTGTCCTTGGAAATAATGTCTCTATGCAAAGCAGTGTTTTGATGGAACTATACTCCGGCATTCCGTCTCGTAGTGTATAGAAGCAACGGCTGGCGTCGGCAGACTCCGATGGCAGGGCTCTGCTGGCTCCACCGCAGTTTTGGACTGGTCCAATCCATGGTGCGCGTGCCACATGGATCCCTTATCCGGGGCGCGATAGTTAAGTTTTTTTTTTCTTACCCCTCGAACCCTGGCCTTTTTTTCTTGAATATACCGAACTTTCCTCTCTCATTTGCTTCATATTTGCCGCTTGCTTGCGAGTGCTCAGCCTCTTACGCTCGGTTCTTGTCAATATATCGTTCTTATCGCGCTATCTAGAGTCGCCTTATCGCAAAGATGCCTCAAAAAGTTTATGTCACGTACAACCAGGTATGACTCGCCAAGCAGCTTGACCCTTCGTGCACTCGAATGTGGACGCTCCGAAAATGCAATACTGCGCAACACGGCCAGTCTAACCGTGATATAGGTCCACAAGCTGTGCCAGTCATCAGCTGACCAGATTCTAAACACATTCCACCCCAACTTGATGATCGCTATTGGCGGAGGCGGTTATGTCCCTGCCCGTATCCTCCGGTAAGACGACTAGCTAGGGAGGACAATGACAACTCTGACAAGCTACTAGATCGTTCCTCAAGCGCACCGGCGACCCCAACATCCCCATCCAGGCCATCGGTCTTTCGCTCTACGAGGATCTCGGCCGCGGTGACCCCGAGGAGGTCCCCGGCACAAAGGTCACGCGCACACAATGGTTGGATCTGAGCTCTCTAGAGATGGCCAACCTGATTGGCAAGAACATTCTCATTGTCGATGAGGTCGATGACACGCGGACGACTCTGGAATATGCTGTCCGTGAACTGCAGAAGGATGTCGAGCTTGCGCAGAAGCAGCTCGGCCGTGAGGGCGAGAAGACAAACTTCTTCGTGTTTGTTCTACACGTATGTGTCTACTGGGGTTTTGGGCTGGACTTTTATGCTAACGGCCTGAGTAGAACAAGGACAAGTCTAAGAAGGGCCAACTGCCCGCTGACATGATGGAGTCTGGCCGCTACCACGCCGCTGTCACCACCGAGGATGTCTGGATTTGCTACCCTTGGGAGGCCAAGTATGTTTTTTTACCCTTTGTCAAACAAAACTGACCGGTATCCTTGTAGGGACATTGACGAGCACGATGCGCTGGCGAAGGCGAACCCTCTTCTCTAAGCCATTGTCGGCCCACGTTTTCATAATTTCCCACCCATTCTCCATCGGATCTCAAAAATGCAGCATCCCACACACGCCCCGCCCGGGGGATTATTGGCGCCCATCTCGAGGAGTTGACGATATTAGACGTCATTTACGACCGGTTTTCATGATGTTTTTTGATAGATAAAAGCAATCACTTCAGCAGATCTGGTCGGCCAATTGTCTACTTGCGAAAGACTAGACAATCTTGCGCGCTGTTTTCCTTTTTTTGGGGGAATTATTTCAGCTTTATGAGTCCCACGCCTAGGCACAATGCCACCAAAATGAATTTCGCTCCGCAATCAGCGGAGATATCGCAAGCAGACAGACGATGGCCATATCACGTAGTATATATTACAAGATCCCACCATCCTTTCCTCCGCGTATTTCTTCAAATTGAGCGCCCGAGGGCCACACACCGGCTAGTTGCAATGGAAAGACATATATCGCTTTGCGCATTTAGTCAACGTCGACGTTCACCTTGCGCAGTTCGGCCTTGGCCTGCTCAATCTCCCCCTGTAGCTCCCTGTGCGCCTCGGGCACGTCGTGGAAAGTGAGGATCGCTAGCCCGAGGCGGCTAAGAAGGTAACATCCGAACGATATGAGGGCGTAAAAAGGGAGCTAGACCGCGCGCAAGAGGGGTTAGTCAGTGTCGTTAAAAAATGGAATGAGCGGATGGGTAAAAGGAGCGGCCAGTAGACGTACAACGGGAATGATCTCTTGCTGGATGGTTTCGTTCAGCGGAACGAGACCGAGATAGAGGGATAGGTAGAGCTATATTCTGTTAGTCGTGGTTTTGGACAGGGGTGAGTTCGTTTGTTCGTACGGAGGAGACGAGGAGGAGAACAGAGAGAGTCTGCTGGGCGCGCGTCATTGTGGATGTGGTTTAGTTGTTAGAAATTCTGGCAAGCTAGAGAAAGAAAGGAGAGAAAATGAGCTTGGGAAAGGAGTGCAAGTCGATTGTAGGTAAATGAGGGACTGGATGCAGGAGCTCAAATGGACACCTGAATCTGAGTTCGCCGAAGTTGACCGCAGAGGTGGCTGTATGGGCGTAGTATAAATTACACATCTGCCTTCAACAACCAGGTGGTTTCCAATGCAACTTGCTATAGCAGGAACTATTATGGCTTGGATCTATGTATTGCATGCTCTCTCGGGTGATCAAAAGTGCTACTTTTGTTCAATGTAAAAGTTCTGACTTCGATACATTGATACAATACCCGTACGCTACACTATATGTCGCCTCAGACCGTAATATGAAGCTGCGTTTTAATCTTCCAGAGATTATCAGTACCCGTCGTTTTCTAAGCAGATATTTGGATGTAACAGCAGAAATAGGGCATGGTCAGAAGAATCGCCCAGATCGACCCCGAATCCGCATTTTGCCCCTTCCAGCGGATAGCCAGCCCACTATAGCGCTTCTTTACCTGCGGAGCACCATTCCGATTCTGCAAACTCCCCAGAACGAGAGAAAGATGAGCAGCTATAATAATGTTGATATCCCAGAAGCCGAGGCTTGGGATACAGAAGGCCTGGATTTCCCTTCGCTAAATGAAATATTTCCAGAGTCAGCGCCAGCATCAGAACCACCCCGCACTGAGACTCTACCAGCACTGGAGCAAGAAGCCCTTTTGATCTCCTTGGAGAATGCACTGAAAAAGGCAGAGTCGGAAAAGGATATAGCGGTATTTGATGACTTGCCGGAATCTTTATTCAATCTCTCGTCCCAATCCTTGCTTCGGGCTGCAGAAGCCCTGGCGAATGGAAGTAGGAACCGTCAGTATATCTCGCCGACTGATGTGCCAGTTGCTGATTTGCTTCCAGCTTCACTGCGTCACGTGTATGGCCGCACAGGCGTTCTGAAATTCTTCCTTCGCCTTATATCCTCTGAAGAGGCTACGGAGAGCAACCTGGTTCTCCAATGTCTGAGACTAATTGGGAACTCTTGTGCTGATACTGGTTAGCCTTCTTCACAAAGTGAATGTATAGAGCTAACTATCTGAAGACGAGAACCGGGCAATCGTGGTGGGCTACATACCTGCTATCCTGCGGTATATACTGCAGCCTGAACTCCTCCAGGTTGTGATACCTGTTCTGTATAACTTATGCATTGACTACGGTATGCTCCCTGAATCTGGACGTTCTTTGGCGCTGACAAAATGGAGAACCTGCCCAGTCTCAACTAGCGGCGGAGAAGATAGTATATATCCTCTTGACACTAGTTAGAGATGATGCATTCCAGGGAGATGATGCTCTTCTTGATTATGTTTATGAACTTATAGAGCTCGCGGGGGAGCAAGGTATGTGCCGTCTTTGTATGGTCTGGAACTCACTAATGGCATATCAGAGCAAGGCATAGAAAACTCACCTGAGGGAACAATCTCACTGTTACTAGATTTGATAAAGAGCTCGGACGTTGAACTGGCCCAATTCTGTGCCCTTGCAAACTGCATCGTTGCATACATAAACAAACCTAGATTCCAAGACATCTGCATATCAAGGCGCATGGTTCCCGGCATGTTATCAATGCTTAGACGGTCGTCATTCTTCAAGGCAGAAAGCTCGGCAGACACGCAGGCACTTACACAGTCACAACTGAAAATCAATCAGACACTGGCAGAGTTATCTGCCTCGCCGCGGTTCGCAGAGCTCTACCCCCTAGGCTCGGCGCTCTCGCGAACGCTCAAATCCTGGCTGAGTAAGCCAGAAGACCAACTTCAAATCTGTGCCTGCATTATGCTTGGGAACCTGGCGCGCTCCGACGAGGTCTGCGTTGCCATGGTCAAGGAACTGGAAATCCACAAAGAACTGATAGCCATCCTCAACAGTAATGCTAGAGGAGCAGCACTTCACTCCGCTCTTGGGTTTCTCAAGAACTTGGCGATACCGAGTGATAACAGGGTTCTTATAGGCGAGGCCGAAATAATGCCAGCTATCGCCCGCCTATGGGCCTACGAGACCGTCCCACAAGTTCAGCTCGCAGCAACCAGCATCACCCGACAGCTAGTCATTTCCTCTGCTGAAAACATACGTCGGCTACTAGAGCCAGTGGAGGAGAAAGAGGGGCAGACCTACCTGTCATTACTTCTTGAACTTTTCGATAAAACCGACTCGACCCCAATCAAGACAGAGATCGGACGCATCGAAGCGTCTCTCTGTCGCACACTTATACCTAAGGCTGATGCTGCTGGTGGCCCTCTTCTCGACTCTCTGTTTACTCATGAAGGCATGGTCCTACCGCTGGAAGCAATGATAAAGCAGGATCAATGGCCCGTTGTCCGCAGTGAGGGATGGTTTGCACTCGCGCTGATGGCATCTACCAAGGCTGGCTCTGTCGCTGTCGTCGATGGATTACAGAAGATTGACGGGTTCTCTATGATTGAGCAGATCTTAAGCGCTGAAGAGCCATCTGATAGCAAAACAGATAAGGTGCAGTGGCGCAAGGACAGGGATAATATCATAGTTCTCATGCAGGAGTTGTTCAAGAATCAGGTAAGTCCGCTATTTGCCGGAGATTTCCCAAGCTAACCGATGCCCTCAGTCCCACGCGGTCAGCCCTTCTTGGAAGTCTACTGTGCAAGAATTGATGAATACACATATCTCAAAGTACCATTAAGGAAGTGATAGAGCTTGGACTGGAATATTGTCTTTGGAATAGGCTACTGTATAGATATGGGCATATTCTGGTACATAAGAACGACTACTCGGTTCCAAGATCACGACTTTCCCAGCGGGGGCATACCGTCAATATGACAATTCCCTAGCCAGATACCGTATGGCTTCCCGGCCTCCCGCTACAAGAATATTGATATCGGGAGTCTCGCGCACCCTTATTGCCTTTTCACAGTGGCTTTAGGCTATACAAACGGCCTAGGAGTAACTGGCGCGAAGAGATATCTAATAATCCTGACCTACAGCCGATCAAGGCCGAAAACCCTACGGAGACTGGCCAAAACCCTACTGGCCCGACGAGATCCTTAACAATCCGGCCATGCGACGGATTTAGACAAAAGGAGACATTTTGCCAAATATAGTAGATCCGTAGCCATTCAACAAGTTTAACGTGTACCCCAGCGATTTTGCCAATGCCAGGGGCCCAGGGTCGAGCAAGGCCCCACATCGGCTTCTACGTGCAGGTGCATGTGGAGTACTACCTATACGGCACTAATCAAGACCGACCCGAATGGAGTATATTCAACCCTGCTCACCCGTGCCAGAAGACATACTTCCCTTTTATTTGCCTACTAACTGTAATGCCCACTGGTAGTGACAAGCGGAAATCCGTCCTTATTACGGGGTAAGTTCCTTTATTGAGGGGCTATGAACCGCTGCTGAGCCTTGATACAGCTGCGCGCCTGGAGGAATCGGGAACGCTCTTGCACGTGAATTCCAAAGGCATGGCTTGCGAGTCTTTGCAACAGCTCGCAATGCAAAGCAGCTGGATGATCTCGAAGCTGTGGGCATCGAAACACTGAGTTTGACTGTGGACGATGAAGGCAGCGTTCAGCTGTGCTTTGCAGAGATCGAAAGGAGACTGGGTGACAAGGGATTGGACTACCTTGTGAACAATGCGTGAGTTCTCTTGAGAAAGCAATGTTGCTGTGCTAACCATACCCTAGGGGCCGCAGTATGTATCCATATAGAGACATGGTTCATGTCATTAACGATGAGCAGACTATACAGTTCCTGCTGCCGAGGTCGACCTAACTGAAGTCCGGGCCACACTGGAAGTCAATTTTATCTCTGTCGTCTACATCTGTAAGACGTTCATTCCCATGCTCATCAAGGCAAAGGGAACCATAGTCCAGATTGGTTCCGTTGCAGGGGTATGTCCCTAGTCTGCCTGCTGATCAACTAACCTCACTAACTCGCTTAGTTCATACCTTATGTATTTGGCTCAATATACAATGCTTCGAAAGCGGCATTGCACTCTTACAGCGACACCCTGCGGGTAGAGCTAGCTCCTTACGGGTAAGCAGTGCCGTTCTCCAGCTTCGTTTCGGATACGGCCACGGCCGACTAACGGACATGCCAGCGTGAACGTCACTACAGTTGTTACTGGCGGGGTTCAGTCACGCATTGCGCGCACGCCGCGCATACTGGCGCCCAACTCTATCTATGCTCCGATTGAAGACCAATATAATCGGCGCGTTACCCACAGCCAGGATGGAGCTATGGCACATACTACCTATGCGAAAAGCGTCGTTGCCCAGGTCCTGTACGGGTCTGCGCCGTGGCGCTGGATCTGGCCTTGGGCCAAGGGTCGAAAGAGCTGGATTTGGGAGGGAAACAAGAGCTGGATGATCTGGTTGTTTATGGGCGGATGGGCTTGGACTGGTCTTGCTCATGCCGTCATGACGAGAATGTTTGGTCTGAATAGACTGAGGAAGACTTTCGGGAACTAGTCATGGATGCAAAACGTAGGTCCCGTCATTTTTGGGGCGCAGGCTTTAATGCCGGGAGTAATGCGCGTGGCGCGGAAGGCTAACCTGGCCAAATTAGGAAATAGGGCGTAGCTCTATTTCTCTATAGAATAAGGCCTTTAATAGGAAGGCGTTGTATATCTATAGTAAGAACTAATTACTAATTCTTTAAGTCAGAGTTCTGAGTCAAACTTGGTGTTTTATGCATCATGTGACTGGCCGCCGCCTTGGCGCGGCTAGTTCGGCGCCGAAGTTTCTTTGTCAGGCGGCCTTAGGCCACTATGCGTCATGTGACTGGCCGCNCGCCTTGGCGCGGGGTAGTTCGGCGCCGAAGTCTCTCCGTTAGGCGGCCTTAGGCCACTATGCGTCATGTGACTGGCCGCCGCCTTGGCGCGGGGCTAGTTCGGCGCCGAAGTTCCTCCGTCAGACGGCCTTAGGTCACGATGCGTCATGTGACTGGCTGCTGCCTTGGCGCGGGGCAAGTTTGGCGCCGAAGTTCCTTTGTCAGGCGGCCTTAGGCCACGATGCGTCATGTGACTGGCTGCCGCCTTGGCGCGGCTAGTTCGGCGCCGAAGTTCCTCCATCAGGCGGCCTCAGGCCACTAAATTGCGTACACTGCGCAATTGCAACACTATAGCGGTGATAATACTGGCCTAATTAGGAAATAGGGCGTTGCTTTATTTTTTTGCAGAATAAGGCCTTTAAGTAGTATTTAAGAATTCTAGAACTAAGGGGGCTGCGCCCCCTTAAACCCCCTAGCTCTGCGAGGCAGATATATATATATTTATGCCAGAGCTACGCACGAAAGGCGGTTAGAAGAGATCATGTGACAGTGCTTTTTTTGAACCAATCACAGCGAACCTGACACCGCAAGGTCTAGGCGGTAAGAAGAGGTCATGTGACAGTGCTTTTTTTTGACCAATCACAGCAACCCTGAGCGATTCTGCCGTTTTACATGATCCCTAATAAAGCTCACGTGACTGCGAGCCGGGACCTACGATTTATCGTGCGCTTTGGCCTCCACTTCGTTCCGGCCACGCGCAATGAATTGTGGATTTAGAGATAATCCCCCACTTGGCACATCCTGATTTCAGGCTCGTAATGTTCATGGACCCTGTTGTGAGTGTAGTAGTCCACTTATACGATCGGGTTACGTTACACTGATGCGTATGTCAAATATCCGTTATTGTTTGATGTTGTAGTCAGGCAGTTTGATTGCCTTGATGTTTCTGGACTTGGCGCTTACCAACCACTACCCGTCCCTCACATGGTACATATTGATGGTTCAACTATCGTGTTAGGATCGAAGGCACAAATGAAGCTAATGATACAGAGTATACAAGCGAATTATATACATAAATTATAAAGCCGCTGAAACATGGCAATGGTAAACATCCCACATACGGAACCTCGACTCCAAATACACCGGGCCATGGCCCGATGCCCGATGAAGCAATGTGAATGCGAATCCAAAAAGACAAACAGTCAGACAATCAGATGAGCGTCATTTCCAGACTGTTTCGCGACAAGAGTGGAGAATGCAAGCGATACGCGTCTGTATGTTAACCAGATCAGTTTCCGCCATTTTCTCGGACAGCGCCTCCGCTGGCTTTATACCAGACATTACCCCCCCAGCGCATAAGGCCTGAAGGGTAGGGGATTAGTATAAAGGTAAAAGTAGGGGAAGCGGTGTGACGCACGCTCGACGGCAGCTGTGGGTGTATCCAAGGCGGGCCGAATATCAAGGTAAAAGACAGGTTCTCCTGTCGGCTCTGGAGGTCCAGAATAGTAGTCGATCACGTAGCGAATCTCCTTGGGACCCGACGGTGTATCGCGCACCACGTACCAGTCATGTCGGTCAAATGGAGGCTTCGTCCTATAAAAAATTAGTAAGATTCTCACACACCAAAGTCATGGAAACTGACTCAAACTTCGACGGATATAGCTGGCCAAGAAGCTGGAAGAACTGTGCTTTCGGCGTAAGCTCTTGTGGCCGGCCCTGGAACCTCACAAGACGTGGGGGAGTTGTAGTTGCAGTACAATAATATTCTTCTTTGGCCAGCTCTAGGGGAATGTTCTCTTCGCCTCGTCGACACTTCTCCCATCCGTGGGACAATCCTTTGGAGAAAATGCGTTCCCAGTTGACAATTTCATCCCAAGCGCCTTCGTTCAAAAAGTTGTGAACTGCAACCATGGCCTCCACGGCATCCTGCGGAGTGTCTGTGTACCCTTTTCGCAACATAGCGTTATACATCTGCTGCGGAGAGGGATATTCCCAGTTCCCTTCCGAGTCGCCTCGAGGTATAGATGAGACCTCACGTTCCACGCCTAGGTCAACGGTCTGGTTCGGAGCTCGCTCTTGCGAGAGAGATGAAAACATGTAGTTCAACGGATTGAGCTTGGATAGTGTTGACTGTTTCGCCTCTGGCGCAGCAGGCTCTTGGGGAGAAGAAGACTTGGGGAGCACGAAGAAGGGCGAGTCTGCGGATCGGACAGGACAGGCGCTCTGGGTCTCGGGAGTAATTTGAGGTGAAGGATTTGATACATGCATGGGGCATGCCGGCTAAAATTGTATGATGTTAGCGATTTGAGGTCTATTAGACATCTTGTACTTGCCGGAGGAGACGTATTGGAGGATGCCACCGCATGGTTGCGCTCCGTAGGTTGCGGCTGCGAATCTGCCCAAAACCAACCCATAATGAACGATGACGAAGAATAGTAGATCACAGAGAATATAATATGAGCAGTGTTAAGCTTGCCAATAATGAGGGGAAGTAAAGATGACCTATGGCATGTGACAGAAATGAAAAGATGAGCCTTCTAAAAACTTTTGGAATGATCTAATCGGCGATACCCGCAGCTGATAACAATCCCCGTCCGTGACGGTCCGCCGGTAACTGTCGTAATCTAAACGCCGGCCATTAGACCGGCTCAGTGGCTCTTCATTCAAACTCAACTTAGACTAATATTATACTGTTTGCTTTATTACGCTTCAAATATACTGTAGACCGGCTATCAAGAGTAACGCCTTTCCTTCTCTGTACGCCTGCCCGCAGCCAATACAGCCTGATAAAATCCATCCCAACGGTATAGAACAAAGAGAACAAATCGCGCTGAGCGAAGAGTGTTAAGACGATGCCCGCAACTTCCGAGGACGTAAAGGAAAGAAGGACAAGTTCAACCCTGAACGTCCTGGACCAGCCTTGAAATGAGCGCATACCCAAACAGGAGGGCGAGGCCGACCCAAATCTTGTTACGCTGAAGCCAAGTCTGGCCGACCTCTCGTGCAGCATTACCGCCATCCATGACAGCCCCGATGCCTGGCGCACTGCCGTTGGGACGTCTGCGAAGCGCACTGGTTTCTGGAGAACATTTGGTAGAGGAGGTATTTGGGTCCGGTCTCAACTGGCCGGTCGCAATATCGATGCGGTTCTCCTTGAGCCATTTCCAATTCTCCTGGTCTAAGTCCGGCCACTCCGTGCGGAACTTTAGCCCTCCGTCGCCTGCTTTGACATTATTGATGCCTCTGGAGGTAGGTGTCACACCGGGGGTCGCGCTGATGTGGGTGCCTCCGCCTGTAGAATTCCACCATCTAGAGCGCGCAGCCAGAACTCGTCTTTCCGCTTCTGTTGCGCTTACGCTTCCGGTAGTCATTTCCTCACTAGTCATAAATGAGAGCAAGCCGATAAGGATCGTTGATACTTCCCAAGCCGGATTGAATGACTTTGGGTGGAAATCGCTGATGCTGAGGCAGAGACGGGAGGATGGCTGAAATCGACCACTTGGGGTGTGCATGCGGATTGCGGGAGGGGCAAATGGGTATTCAGGAGGGAACATCAATGTGCCCCAGTATTGGCCATTTTCGTATGGTGTACCCGGGGGACCGGTGAGAATATAATGCCACCTAGAGCACTCAATTAGGTTCTCTAGTGCCTCCGTGAAAGTGCGCTTGGCTTACTCAAGGATGTTGGACTCTGATGGGTGAGCAACGATGAAAGGCGGGGGATTCTTTTGAATATTTTGATATTCGCGAGTGAGCTAATCTAGAATTAGTAGACACTCAAATCGGCCAGCGTTGGGGTTCGGTTTACTCTTTTGTAAGCTGCTTTTGTCGCCATCTTAACAACCGTGCTTATCTTGTTAAAAGTGCGGCGAAGAAGAGGATTAACAAGTATGGCGGAACGAATGACGCGCTAAATGAGAAGGAGAATGAACACAGAGAGCGATGGAGAGCACACGCGAAGGGGGTAAAAAAGGAGGGGGGGGAATTAGTCGAGAAGACGAGTTGTTGATAGTTGTGGAAAGGCGAATACACCGTATAAGGCTACGTACCACGTGACCTACCGGAACTAGGTATTGCTTCAACGGACGCTCTGGGCAGGACTCGATGGGAACCCCATAGCCACAACTGGTCTTTTGCTGGCCATTGCCGCCATCGCCATGTCTTCTCCGCTCTCCGCAGAAGATGGAGACGTATGCACTGCCCTTCCTCCAGTTCAATCAACCATCCTTAACCAGTGGCGCCGTTTATAGATTTTCGAGCGTCTTCAGCGACCCGCCGATCCCAAGGTGCAAGAAGAGCAGCAGCAGGCTGTCAATGAGCGCCTCCACGCAATCTACCAGAAGGCGCAAGATCGTCTCGGAGAGCTGGTGAGGCCCCCAATATCCCTGGCAAGAGTGCTTCGACGTCGATACTGACTAGCTATAACCTAGATTGACCAAAACTCTACCTTACCATGCACTATCTCGTCTGTCCAAGTCCTGAACGCAAAGAATACACGTAGAGGATTTCTCGAAAAGGTTTTCAACCCATTGCTGAGCTCCAATAAGAAGCAACCATATACCCTGTCGGAAGCTTTACGGGAGATATCCGCCCGTGCGGACAAGCTTAACAGATTTGGTCAGTGGGATGATGGGATATGACTTCCAATTCTAACGGGGATAGTAGACATCTTTCAGCAGCCAGTCTCCGTGTATTTGGACCAGACACCAGGCTCCCAAACAGAGCTCCCGAAAATCAATGTGTACTACAACGTCAAGGAGAAGTCCCGAGTACTGCTCAAAACCGGAACTGACCTCGGCAACGCGGAGGGTTCGGCCTATGGTAACCTCCTGTGGCGCAACGTATTTGGAGGCGCTGAGAACCTGAATTTCAATGCCTCGCTCGGCACAAGAACAAGATCCGCTTATCAGGCTGCATTTGACACTCCGATTCTCAGCGACCCGGACTTTCGCCTAGAGCTTGGCGGAATTGCCAGCTCAACGCAAAAGTCATGGGCAAGTCACGAAGAAGTGTTAAAGGGCGGCTGGAGCAAACTTCGGTGGTTAAGTCGGTCTGGCCAACGCCATGAGATGGGTTACAGTGGTTTCTGGAGACAGGTTACAGGTCTTGCGGAGAATGCATCTCCTACAGTCCGAGCGGATGCAGGAGACAGCGTCAAGAGCAGCGTTTTCCACAGTTGGACGACGGATCGCCGGGACAACCCATTCCTTCCCTCCCGAGGCTACTACGCAAAGACCTTTAATGAGCTGGCTGGCTGGGGTCCACTGAAAGGTGACGTCGCATTCTGGAAGTCCGAGGTTGAGACGCAAACCGCCGTCGCAATCCCAATTCCTGGAATCAAGGGAGACAGTGGCGTGAGCTTCACTACTGGATTTCGTGCTGGACTCCTCTATCCGCTTGGCCTCGGCTCTGATTCCCGACCACGCTTGTCTCGCCCCAATGATCGCTTTCAACTCGGCGGGCCAACAGATGTTCGCGGTTTCCGTCTTTCAGGCCTCGGGCCTCGCGACGGCGCTGATGCGGTTGGAGGTGATGTGTATGCAGCAGGAAGCGCCAACCTTCTTTTCCCACTCCCCCGAGTGGGCGTTGAGAAACCTCTCCGGCTCCAGGCCTTTGTCAACGGCGGACGACTACTGCCTCTGAGAACCGCGCAAAAGGCGCCCCCTACCAATAGCGCAGAAGTGCAGGACGCTGTGTCGTCCACCATCTTGGAACTTGGTAACGGCCTGCCAAGTGTTGCGGCCGGTGTCGGTCTCGTTTACGCCCATCCAGCGGCCAGGTTCGAGCTCAATGTCTCCCTCCCGCTGGTGCTGCGCAAAGGCGAGGAAGGCAGGAAGGGGCTGCAGCTCGGAATCGGCATCAACTTCCTGTAAAATCATATAGTTATTGAGGTCCTATAGAAGTCTTTTTTGTACTTTTACTGTTAGCGTTTCGATCATAATTCTGGGCCCTTCACATATAGAGCTTCCAAATTCATATAGTCATCAAGTGTCACATGCGCAGCAACAGGGCGTTACCAGACGGTGGCGAATCAGGCTAGCCCCAGATGCCGTGGATAAAGCACCCTGGACCCTACATGTATAAGCCAAAGCAAGCCCGGACGTCGTTGGACCTTTTAACATAAAATAGAAGATTATCAAAGGTAAACTAAGCAGCCCCTGTCTTCGCCGCAAGCGTCCCACTCCCAATGGACGAGAAAATGGACATGAGACCGAACACGACATAGAACAACGCCAACGGATAAGCTACAAGGCCTCTCATACCACTCATTCGCGCCACGGCACAGAACATCCCAGACGACGAATAAGTGCACCACCCAACTGCAGCAGTTGTAAGCAGGTACCCGAACATGGAATCCATGGGTACAAGGATACCCAAAAGACTCGTTAGCACAAGCGGCAAAAAGCAGTAGCCCAAAACGCTGGCGGAGCGCGGGAAAGTTAAAGTCGCGGAGAAGTGACCCGAGGAGCCGGGTTTGGCGTGTGGATCGTAGTTGACGGATGGGTCTGCGGCGTTAGGCGGCTGCGTTGGGGAGGTTGGTTCAATGGGAGACATGAGGCTGAGAATGAGATGGAGTGCGATGGTGCCGAAGACAGCGACGCCGTAAATGTAGCCGTAGAACACCTTGCCTGAGAGAAGCAGGAAAGTGCCGTATAGGACAATGTAGAGAAGGGCACCGTACAGATCGCTGTCGTCCATGAGGTGCTGGTCGATGCGCGCAAATGGGTTCAGGACTGTTAATGTCTGCGCCATTATGATTAGCCTGCAATGTCGGGCAAGAGGTCGGGCACTGTACCTTAGTCCGTATATGCTCAAAATTGACCCCCAGCTCCTCTAACAGCGGCGGTTCGCCGTCATAACCCTCCGTTCCGAATGCAGCAAGCCACCCGGTCCTCAAGCCTCCCTGTTCACCCATCCTCCCGCTCACACCACCAGGAGGGGATCCGAAACCGCCGTATCCGCCCCCTACCCCTCCAACGGGGTAGCCTTGTGCCGCTGGGTTGGGTGGTGCGCCGAAACCACCATATGAGGCTTGAGAAGGGGTCGTGTGTCCTGAGACTGACGAATAGCTAGATGGGTAAAATTGAAGGTTTTGAGCTGATGACTGAGCTCCATAGTGCTGTTGTTGTGGATAGTATTGCGCCATGATGACAGGGTTCGGTGTTGGCGTTGGCGTGAAGAGATCTCGCGGAAGGCAGAAAAACGAGCGGCACCAGTACCTTTAGGCGCTTGAGTCTCGAAATAGAGGGCTGGTTCCCAATGTATGTTGGAGGGAATTTGTGGTTTGACGCAGGTGGCTCGCTCGTACAGAACACCTGTCGGCGGTGAAGCTCAATCCAATCTACATGTTAGTCATCAAGTACTCCATATCCGCTCATAAATACCTAGAAATCAAGTGTATAGAACTAACTTTCTCAAGTCACAACAACCTTGAGTAATTCCCGAAAGTCAGGAAGTTTGAAAGTGAACATTATGGTCATCAAGCTGAATATCTGACATTTCTAGCCATAATACATTAAATTACTCCAACAGCCTCTCCGCGAGCAGGAGCGCAATTTTCCAACCACTCGCGCGCTTTATCAAGCTCGCCTCCCGCGGCTTCAAGCGCAGCAACGCACCAGGGTAGATCGTACGTTTTCTTACCAGCCGTCCCGTCTTCTTCAACCGCAAGCATTTCCGCAAGCCCCCGCCGTTGCTGGCCTGCTTGATCTGTGCAGAAGTAGAACGGCGAGGTGTGTGGTCCCTTTCCTTGTAGATCGACGGCGTCAACTAGAGGTCGGACATGGTCTAAGATAGTAGTAGCTGCGGTCATTGAAGCCGATCGCTCGGGGGATTGGGGTCGGTTTGCCTTTCCAGTCTTGCAGAACTCATTTTGGCACCACGCTTTTCCGCACCCTTTCATCAGCTGGGTGAGGTAGCGGCGCTCTATTCGTCGCCTCAGCACCTTGCTATCTGGGTCATATGTGTCGACGTAGAAGGGCCCAAAGCATATGTTGCAGAGACCTAGAGTGTTGGACCCCGGCCTAATTGTGCTCTGTACCCCGCGTCCGTCGAGTGTACGCCCACAATTCTGGTTTAGGCAGATTTGAGGGGTGGGCCGGGAGAGGCGTTTGAGATCGTGGTGGCGGAGGTGTGTTTTCATGTCGCGCAGTCGAACGATCTTGTTGCAAAGATGACATTCGGTAGTTCTTCCACCATCTACTAGCTCATGCGGTGTGAGGCCGGAGAGCAGCACCTCCGGATCATGCATATCTGGGTCTGTTTCGCCTTTTTGGGGTACTATCAGTTTGCAAAACTGACACAGTATGTTTTTTGCTGGGCAGAACCTGGTCCGATGTTGAGCAAGATGCTGGATCCCATCTGCTTCGAACCCGCAGGCGCGACATGATTGCTTGGTGTGAAATATTGAAACATGTTTACGCTGGCTAGCCAGGTCATTTCCGAATGAAGCGTCATGTGGACAGTGCCAATGATTTTCCCACTCAAGGGATCGCTTCTGATAAACATTGTTGCATTTGGCGCATCGTATGTTGTTTCGATAGCAGAAGTTCTCGTGCAGTACAAATGTTCCTCGAGAAACCCAACGCTCGCAATTTTTACACTGGACGTCATCAGGTTCGTGTGTATCTGAATCCACGGCCTGACTGTTGACAGCTGAGGTCCCAGATACAAGGCGCAGGCGATAAGGCAATGGCGACAGCTGGTTTTGCGTAATGTCAGATTTATTTGGAACAGCAAACGCGTGAACCGAAATACGGAACGCCTCGGCGTCATCCAATTCCACATTCGTTGGCGCAATGCTGATCTGTTTCTGTGTCTGGCTCGAAAGCTCACCAAAGACAAACTCGTCCAATCGCGGCCGGTTCCTTTGGCGAGCAGAAAGAGGGCTCACGAGCAAGAAAACATCCACAACATCTGCTCCCTCAAGGTTGATCTCTATGCTGTTTCCATCCACCCATTTTCGGAGCTCATAATCCGCGTACTCGCCAGGAAGCACCTGGCCAGTCACTTCTGATCCCAGCTCGAGCACTCCGCCAGCGGACGTGCCTCCTGTAGTTCCAGGCCCGCGCGAAGCTTTCTCCAGCCGCCTCTGTAGTGTTTCGCGGGCTTGTTCCTCATTCAAAGCAACAATATCAACCTCCAAATCAGTATCTACAACACAGATGCCTTCGCCCTCTGGCTCCACCTTGTCGACCAGAAATCTGAACGACCCTTCCTGCACTCCCGAAACGGTCAGAACTTCCCGAGTTGTGAGTGTAGTGTAATTGTCGCGTAAATGACGCTCTAGCAGAGCCTTCCAGTCCTCCGTGTCGTAACCGGCCTCTAGCGGGCGCAGGCGAACATAAGTGCCCTTGGGCAGTTGCTTGGCATGCACCGTAATGGTGGCCTCAAAGTCTTTCTCCAAGTCGTTTATGTCGAGGGCTTCTCTCAAAAAAGTACTAAGAGCGATTTCGCTTTCTCGCGCAGAGAACTCGCGAATCCCAGCGTACATCACACGCTCATTTTGGGGGTTGACAAGACGAAAGGTCAAGGGATGTGGTAGTTGCTGCTGTCTGTGAATACCGTGCTCGCGTGCTTGAGCCTCAGCCGCAAAAGTATGGGGGTTAAATGGGTCAAATGAGTTGGTATGCTGGCGCAAAGGTTGCCGCGATGACACCTCCTGAAGCGGGGCGGCGGAGAGAAGTTGTTCGAGTGCTGATTGTGGAAGAATGATCCTTTAACAAATAATTAGCTTTCACCAAGTGACCCATAGGTTATCCCTTGAACACTTACTTATCTCCAGGTAGTTTCGGCGTATCTTGAGATGGGGTGACAGTAAACTGCGATGACCAGCGAAGTTGGTCTTGTTCCTTAGCCATAGCTTTTGCAATGTCTGAGTAGTCCCCAGAAGGATGCGCAACCCATTCTTAAGGTTGGCCACGACGTTGGTGAGCCTGACGGGAGTCTTGCTGCATCTTCCAGAAGATACCGCCCAGATTTGTCATCCCAGACTCTTTCTCGTCACTCAGTGAGCTATCATTATTAATATTCGTCACTGCACAGTGCACACTGCCTACTGGACAATATAGGAAGTGAAAAGTGGAATATCCTTTTAGGGCTGGTTTGTTTTACTTTCCAACCCCGGCCATAACAGTCGGCCACAATCGAAGAGCAAAATAGCAAGCTATATACAAATGGTATCGAACGAGACTCCGTCGAAACTCAGTGCTATTAAAAAACAAAAAGCCAATCGCGCTATGCTCATTTCAAAATTTGTTTTATGAAAACATTATTTTTGGCAGTGAGAGCGCAGAGCCTAGTAAAGCTCTCGCATTCGATGCCGTGTGCTCGTGTTGCACCAATCGCACTGGGGAAGTCAGTCGGCCATGGGTCGCTTTGTATCAGGATAATGGTTCATACCATAGTGAAGGAGCATCCCTCATTATGTTCGATGCAATAGTCGCCTTGGCATTTTTGGCAATTCCGTTGACAGTCCAACTTGCATGAGGCGCACTAGACGAGGTTACCAGGCGGCTTCCATGTTGAACCCTCTGTGTCACTTACCGTTGGCCCGCACTCCCAGCAGTCCTTACTCACTCCAGGTCCAAGCCTCTCATCGCCAGTACGGGGTCCTCTAACAGCTGTCTGGTGGGGTGACAAATTGCTCCGGACGTGTTCTGGGTGTGGAAGACAACTGTTGCAGAACCACTTGTTACAACGATGACACCACCGATCGACGAGACAATCAGCGCAGCGAGCGATCAACACAGGATGCTCGTTGGGAAAGAGTGCCGGGCGTCTTGCTGCAGCCAAAGACGACGAATGCAACGGCGGTGGTGTGAGGAGGGGGAAGTGTTCCGCTGGGGACTGTCCCCAGATGGCCGGGCCTTCTTCAGACGCGTGACAACGGTCACAGCCCCTAGGACCCAAGGCAATCGTTGCGATCGCTGGTCCGAGTAGCCGCCCCATAAGCTGACCATCCTCCGTCTCCTGAGATTTCGTGGCATGTAATTCGATATCATGCCGAGGGCCGCGGCAGAGGGTAGCATCGAAAGCAATGATTCCTTCGCATTTTTGGAGGGTCTGCGCCCAGCCATCCTCAATGTGGCGCTTGAGAAGTTTACCTGATGGGCTATACCACGCGTTTTGACGCTGTTTCTCCTCTTGGTTGAGAGTCGGCGTCACGTCCCCCATTGTGCGTTGACTCCACCAATCTCGATATTTGCTTCGAACAGCGGCCCGAGGGCGATCCACGGGGGTAAAGTAGTAGATACCTTTGATGCGGGGTGTTCCAGCGGGCCGCGTCGGTCGAATAGCATAGCTGAGTGCTTGCATGAGTTTCCGCTCATTTAAGTGCCGGCATTCTCGAATAGACAGGAGGTTGAGATTGAAGCGGTCCGATAGAATAATATCCGAGACCAGATCAGCTGGAACGGACAAGCCATCCAGAATAAGAGTTCGTACGTCACGTAATATACATCTTCCCTCTAAATTGGCGTAGATGCCTCTCAAAGGCCCGGAGTAGAATTCATCTTCGGTCAGCGATTCATCCATGCGCTCAGCCCGCCACACCTGGCCACCAGGATCGATGGAGCCCTGGTCAGCCAGTTGAGCACCTCGACAATTGGATAAGTCAAGGCGCCGAAAGATATATGGGGTTTCCATGATCAAGGCGCGTATATAACGCGAGGTGGCCGACAGCGCTAGGAGAGAACCGGGAGAAAGATATGGCACCAAGTGGTCGAGGATCAAACCATTGCCTAGAAAATCTTCGAATGAAGTAGCATCGGACGCGGCCGGCTCAGTTCGCTCCTTGACGCTCTCCTCTTCATCACTGAGTTCGATTTCGCGAATGGCGGGAACGAGACCTAGTTCCTTGGGAGTCAATCGGCGGGTGCCATAGAAGAAATCGGGGGCACAGCCGATGAGATTTTGACGGTAGGCAGCCATAGCTCCAACGGCCAACTCCTCGCCCCGAATTACCATCGAGCTAGCATTCGGTTGGATCTCCTGAAGAGCAGCTCTGGCCTTGACGAGTTCCGTCTCCAGCAGATTAATGGTTGATTGAAGAACAGCGGACATGTTCTTTGTGTTATCAGGGTCGATGCTAGTGACTAAGACAGACCAAAGTGCTTCTGACATACTACCAGGATATTATTGTAGACCACTTGGAGAGGGGACAGAACAACAATGAATTTTGGAGGTGGCAAAAAGGCGTTCTGGAATCTGTATGGCTGGGAGGTCCGTGGAGCGGACCACGGAGGGGTGTGCTCTTCTTAGCGGACACGTTCAGGTACGGAACTATAGGGTATTTCAAAAGGGATCGGGAACCAAACGCTGACTGGAATCGGCAGTCAAAGCGACAATGAATGAGGAGTGGGGAAATGCAACACATTAAATAGAACGGAGTATCAAGCAACCGAGACTAGAAGGGAAGACGGAGGAGTCAGGGATGGATGACCTTAATATTGATGATAGACCAGGGGCTGCCAAAAAGCTTCACCGGACGACAACTCGGGTCTTATGATATTACTCCGTACTATTTCTCCGTCGAGGATGATGCCGTTTTATAGATTATCGCATGTACTCCGTACAACTCAGAGGCTGCAAAAAGCAAAGACAGCACAGCATTGCTGCACAGGCCCAACTAAGGAGGTAACACAGCAGCGTCCTGGCCTTTATGGGTTCAATCAGAACATTCAAAAGGGGATTCTCATCGCACCTCTAGGCTGCTCCGTACAGAGTAGACGTGGTGCAGACAGTAGTCTAGATAGACATCAAGACTGAGTTGAGTGTATGGTTCCACCCAAGGGTCATCCGATCTGGGTTGGCCCCACTCAAGCCGAGGCCCTGGATTTGAAGGATCACTGGTCACGCGGTCCCGGCCAACGCATCAACCGGAGATCAGCCACCCGTGGCTTCTAGAACCCATTCATAAATTTACCCCAACTGGTTGAGCTTCTCCAAAAGATTCATGCGGTAAATGATAGTAATTGAGGACTTTCTACAGATTACTTGGAACGTACTTCGCAGACCTTAATCAAGGAGCAAAACGGTGGCAAGTAAATGAAAAGCCCAGAGATAAGCCTTCACCGTTCACCCTTGCAGATCCAAGCAAATTTCTGGGGACAGCATTGCCGGGTGTCTTGGCACTGCGAGAGTCCTCAAACTGCCAAGACAAGGGTTGCATTACGTCTCCGCCGACTCCTGTAAATATAAAATGTGCAAGCTTGGGCTTTTTAAAGTAATAGTCATCTGTGTCGGTTAATCTACAGAGATATGTGGACTACTCCGTACTCCGGACTCAGTTGGTCTCAACAAGGCGACTCAGCTCTTCGCCTCTTTACAGTGCACTTTGTATTTAGTCCAACGCCTACACCGTAGATCCATGATGCCAAGTCCCCGTGGTGCAAATATCTCCCTCCGAGTGAGATGACCGTGGACCGTGGTTCGTCACTCACCAGGCTTCCGTTTTCCGCGATGATATTATTAGAGATGATTAAGTCGATCCTCGCTTTGGCAAGCAATGACCGCCACCCTTGTGCTCTCCCAGATGGTGATGGCGCTCAGCACCAAGAAATAAGGAGTATACTCGGAATGCTCTTACAGCTCCTTACTTGATGTACAGCCACACGCTACTCCATATATGCAGTGATTTATTCGCAGCTACTGTAGTTCTAGGTGCCACGAATAAAGCAGCTACTTTGCAGGGGGTATTATTATATGTCGACATTCACTCAGGCAAGTTTAACCTTCTATTTGAACAGCTTGGAGACTGCTACCTCCTTGTCGTCATGCTTGTTGAGAATCTTAGCCGTGGCCAAGTCAAAGTCCTCTTGCGTGACATGTACGCGCCGCTCTCGGAGGGCGTACATGCCCGCCTCTGTACATACACCCTTGAGTTCAGCTCCGGAGCATCCGTTCATTTTCTCCGCAATCTTTGTCAGGTTGATCCCACGCGTCAGGTTCATCGATCGAGAATGGATCCGTAGGATATCCGCACGGGCTTCCACGCTATCGTAGGAAAGAAAGACTGTCAGAAACAACGCCTTACACGCGAATAACGCAACAATCAGAAAGGAAGGGCCTTACGATGGGGGTGGAAACTCGATCTTTCGGTCAATTCGTCCAGGTCGCAGCAATGCAGGGTCCAGAATGTCCAGTCGATTAGTGGCCATGATGATCTTGATGTTCTTCGTCGGTTCGAATCCGTCCAACTGGTTGAGGAGTTCAAGCATTGTACGCTGAACCTCAGAATCACCCGAGCCCGCGGAATCTATTCGGCTAGAACCAATGCTGTCGATTTCGTCCATAAAAATGATGCTAGGCGCATGCTCTCTTGCCATGACGAACAGTTCACGAACCATACGGCTACCTTCACCGATGTATTTCTGTACAAGCTCAGAACCGCTAACACGTATGAACCGGCAGTCCGTATGATGAGCCACGGCTCGAGCAAGGAGGGTCTTTCCGGTACCCGGGGGTCCGTAAAGAAGAACCCCTTTGGGCTGTGCAATTCCTAGAGACTCAAACAATTCGGGATGTTTCAAGCCAAGCTCAATGACCTCCTTAATTTCCTTTATCTGCTGGTCAAGACCGCCAATCATGTCATATGTACTGTCGGGAACCTTCTCGACCATCATTAGGGAAACCAGCGGGTCCACGGATGACGGAAGCATTTTTTCCAGTTTGTAAGAGTCGGAGAGTAGGGCAACACGTTTGCCGACGGTCAGTTTACCGATATCAACGCCATCCGCGATGTCAACGACTATACAAGGTCCCTAGTTAGCACCGACCTTCCCAGCTAGTAGATGATGGGGCAGTGTATCAATAGCATCTTACCGTATTTTCCCTCCGGATGTACCTTCACCAAGACCTTCTTTGTGCTCATGACTTTCACCACCTCTCCGACGTAAGAACCGGGCTGTTGAAGGAGGCCGAGTTCCTCTCGCAGTAGGCGCACTCGCGAGTTATAGTCATTGCGTTGTGCTTCGAGTCGCCGCAACACAGCTTGTCCTTGGATAATCTCGAGCTTCATGCTCTCGATCTTGTTGCGGTAGTAATTGTCAAGCGCCATGATGGATGGGACTCCTAGGAGTAAGCGTATATGAGTTGGTTCTCACAGCCCGGCGGAAAACTTCTAAATCGCAGTGCACCAAGGATCTTTGAACGGTGTACTCCGCTGGGGTGAGGCAGCCGGCTTCAAGAACTGGGAGAAAAGGTGTGTTGATTGGGAGTCGTATAACGAGCCAGATGTCGGGGGACAGGTACGTAGCTCTGAGCGGCGTTCCAGTCAGCAGTGCCGCTTTAGAACCAGAGCTCTCATTATCACGTGATCTATGCTTTGCATACAGCTTTACTGTATCTTGACGGTTCTATCGCATTGCTATGTCTAGACTTACCTGTAGCCTGACTAGGTGTGAATATGAAGTTGCTATCAACTGGCAGCCTCTGAACCGGCAAGCTCATAATGTAGCCGGTACAGAAGAAATTTAGTGTTGGGCATTACCTATACTCCGTACGGTATTTGTATCTCTATATTATCAAATGCTTTTCACCTTCAAGCAGGCTCTGAAATGATGATATCTAGCGCAATAGTTAAGAAGAAACGAGTGTGTATGTTTATATTATCAAGCCTCATTCAACTTCACCATCACAGGCAACTATATCAACTATGATAAGTGAGGTCATTTGTAATCCTGATGTCTGAACCACTGGTTGGATGACAAGCAATCATCCTCTCGCAGGATACCTACTGCCTAGCATTGATTTAACGTCCCAGTGCCATGTCCACTTGACTCTCGTTTTTGCTGCTCATGCCCTTTTAACGCAAGGCCTGTTCTCTTGCGATCTTTCAGGTGACTGCCTGCTGCGGGGAATGACGCCTTATCGTCTGATCCAGTCCGTGCTTAGGTAGACTTGACTCAAAATTCAAGTCCTGCTTTTTCGATTCTACACCATAATGTAACTTGGGAGCTCCATGATCGTTATTCATACATAATAAAGTGCAGGTCACTTTGTTGTTTTCTCATCGTTCTCTTTTTCTCTGCCTTTGCTCCGTGTTAGCTCCCAGCCACCGCTGTTTACTATCTGCCCAAGAACTGTCAGGCTCAAGGTGAACTCGACAAGAGAGGCCACATACTAGCCATGACCGACAAACAGGGCGATGCGCGTGCTACATTGTCTTTCGCTCCGTCTGATTCTTCCTCACGCCTTACTCCAACTGTGTCCGGAGAAAATACTAGGACGTCGTCGGGGACGGTGCGTCTGTCAAGAATGACCTCCCAAACCCGAAGCTACGGTAGGGCCACTATTTTCTTTTTTTTTCTACTACTAGCTGTCGCTGACTATTTGCCATCTATAGGTACCTTGGATACGCCTGTGAGATCGACTGTTGATCCCCAATTCACCGAGAGTCAAGCTGAGAGCTCGAGTCGCGTCCCATTGCCCGGGTCGCCGTCAATCGCCCCGCTACAAATGGATGGGGACAAGTTGAGGAAGCCGCCTGTAACGCGCCGGATGTCATCTAAACGCCACATACCCCATAAAGGTCAGGAGTTCTCTACAGATGATGATGTCCACGAGATCGAGGAGGATATCGCTCTACAGGCGTCTACTACCCAACCTTCGCCTAGAATAGGGCCAGTGCGGAAGCAAAGCTCTTTAAGACGAAGGTTGAACCCCCGGGTAAATCCATTTGCATCTCCCGGCAACGATGATGATAACGAGGACGAGTACGATGACGATATTGGCCTGCCAGAACCAAGCCTGGACGCAAGCGGGAAAGATTCATCTTCGCAACTCCCTGACGACGATGACGACGATGATGACGAGAGAATGAACGATGAGGAGGCAGAGGATGATGAGACGAGTGACGCCGAGAGCTTTACGCTTAAGGATCGCCAGCAGGCCATAAATGAGACTCACCCGTTTGGAATCCGGTTATGGAAACCAGCTCTCTACAAGAAAAGTCGCTCGGTAGAGAAGACTGCAGAGGGCGACATCCATTCGTCGCCGGGAGGTAGGGTCAGCACCCTTTTATTCTTGATGAATCTCCTGTGGACGTTATTTTTCGGCTGGTGGCTTGCGATTGCCGCATTACTGGGCGCTATTGCTTGTTTCATATTCTCATATTCTACCAGTGCAGTAGAATACGGCAAGGCCTTTTCCGGTCTTTCGTGGTACTTGTTTTACCCCTTCGGCTCCTTCGTTCGCCTTGATACAGATGAACACTATGCCGATGAGGATGAGGGAGAAGGCCGCAGCATTAGTGAGTATGCGCAGTGGCAAAGCGGCGATCTCGAGAACGGCGGGTTGTTTTTTGGACCCCCTCGCAACCGGTCACTTGTGGGACGGAGAAGGAATAGTGTTGATTCGGCCGGGGAGCAAGACAGTCTCTTGGGCCGCGCACCAAGAGCGGGCTCTGAAGACAGCTCTCTCCGCCCCAAACGCCGTCTGTTTGGCCGTGGGGAGTGGACACTGGGGCGCGTTGTATTCTTCGTTTTCTTCTACTTCCTTGTAGGGCCACTGATGCTTCTCGTCTCGCTCATCTGTTGGCTACTCGTTTTCTGGATTCCAATGGGCCGTGTGACGCTTATCCTCTTTGACCATCTTCGCAGGCATCCTTTAGCTCTATCGTACCATTCTGATATGACATTTACCCGAATCAGTCCCGGATCTTCGGCTTCAGTTCTCCTATGCACCTATCGTGCAGCCGGTTTGAGGTATTGGAAGTATACGGTTGGTGGCACAAATGTCTTCCTTATCAACTTACTCGCCGTTGTTGTGTTCGTGGTCTTTGACTACTTCCTCTTGAGGGAGGCCCTTGGTCTTCATATTTGGATCACCCATCCTGGCCTCATATTTACGCTTGCTCTGCTCTCCGTCATTCCTTTGGCTTATTTCATTGGCCAGGCTGTTGCGTCCATTTCTGCGCAGTCTTCGATGGGCATGGGTGCCGCCGTGAACGCGTTCTTTTCGACCGTGGTTGAGGTCTATCTTTACTGCGTTGCCTTGACTGAGGGTAAAGGTCGCCTTGTTGAAGGGAGTATCGTCGGCAGTATATTTGCTGGTATTCTGTTCTTACCGGGGTTGTCTATGTGCTTTGGTGCCATCAAGCGCAAAACCCAACGCTTCAACGTCAAGTCTGCGGGAGTCACGTCAACAATGTTACTCTTCGCTGTTATCGCCGCCTTCGGTCCCACCTTATTCTACCAGGTTTATGGAAGCGTAAGTCTATCCCATGATAATGCGAATGTCGCTGATGAAGGGCTCAGCATGAACTCAATTGTCACGCGTGTGAGAGCGACATGGAACCTGGTAGCAGTGACTGCCGTCGTTGCTACTTCTCCCAGGTACCAGCCATTAATGATGGCTTCTTTCAGAAAGCTGTTCAGCCGTATTCGTGGATCGCCGCCATTTTCCTATTCTTATCTTACGTTATTGGGCTGTGGTTCACCCTGCGAACGCACGCCGCCCTTATTTGGGCCACAGAAATTGATGAGAAAAAAGCTGCACCTCTCACTCAAGAGCAAAGTACAGATGATTCAAGGCACGAGTTCTTCTCGGCTACTCACTTGGCAGCTTCTAGTGGAAATACTGGGTCACGAAATTCGGTTCGAGATTCGCAACTGTATAGGAGGATACTAGGACAATCTCTAAGAGACGTTGGGCTGACTGAAAATGCTGGTGAGTACGATACAAACCAGCCTGAATATGATCCTCCGCGTGGTAACAGCACGACGCCATATCTTGTACCCCGAAAAGAAGGAAACGACAACCAGTCGCCTTTTACAGAGTATACTGGGTTTTCCGGGGAGCAGAACGAAAATCTTGTTCGGAAAGTAACCGAGGTGGCGGCTACCGCTGCTACTGTTGCCGCCCGGGATGTCGCTCGAACCCGCAAGCTGTCAGGACCTCGCGGACTAGCCCGCCCAGGCACAAAATCCGCCCTTTCGAAACAAGTCAAACCGATTCTAGAAGACCATGACGATGTTGGGCTCGAGCAAAGCCCTACTACTTCCGGCGGACATGACGCCCCGAACTGGAGTAGAACGAAGTCTTCGGTTATCCTCCTCGTAGCCACTGTTTTCTATGCAGTGATCGCCGAGATCCTCGTCAACACTGTTGACGTTGTATTGGAGAGTGTCGATGTCGATGAGAAGTTTCTGGGCATCACATTGTTTGCGCTGGTGCCCAACACGACAGAATTCTTGGTACGTGTGGTGCATCTGATGTGCCCTGACAGCTGGAGCTACCTGATTAACTGATTGTAGAACGCCATCTCGTTCGCCATGAATGGCAATATTGCACTGTCTATGGAGATCGGATCCGCCTATGCGCTACAGGTTTGCCTTCTACAGATACCCGCCCTCGTATTGTTCAGTGCCTTCTACGCCCGCGCTTTGGACCCAGAACATTTGATTACACACTCATTCAAGTAAGTCGACCCAATGCCGCGCGCAAATTCCTCGGGGTCCTTTACAAAACAAAAGAGAGCCTGGAGTAGATGGGCTAATGCAAACTTTAGTCTAATTTTCGCGCAATGGGATATGATCACAGTCATCCTTTGCGTATTCCTCCTCTCTTACGTGTACGGTGAAGGCAAAAGCAATTATTTCAAGGGCTCGGTTCTTGTCCTCACCTACCTTGTCGTCGTGAGCGGCTTCTTTCTCTCTGGCTACAGTAACATGGATACGATGGGTGTTGATCGCTTTGACACATTGGCCCTGGGCGGCAGGTCTGAGAAGTATTATACTATTGGCAGGTCGAGAAGTGGTGCTGCCTATTAGCATGTATACTGATCAACTTAGTCGGTAGGTTGCTTCTTATCATCGTTTGCGTCCCGACGATCTTTTCTAGCCTAGACAGCCTTTGAGCGCGGCATGCGTCATGTACTTCACAGGCGGCATTTTGGGTAATAGTTACAATTAGCTTTACTTGATCACAATGGTGGTTGACATGTGTAGAGTTGGGTAGACTGCGCCACTTACCGTGATACCATTATACAGACTGGCTGCGTGGTTGAGCAGGAAGACTTCCTGTCTTCCGTACCTCTATCTCTGGTGGAGACCATGTCCCCATTGGCTGACATATGCTCAGTGGGCAAGAAGGATCGAGTTGAGAGGTGTTGTAGAAACTACTATGTTCTGGAGTATAGACCATGAGAACAGATGATTTAGAGTCAATTACGATGGTAGGGTTCTTAAATCATCTATTAGGGTTAGGCGTCTAGTTAAGGCGTGGATAACTTCAAGGAGGACTGGGGGGTTAGAGGTTAAAAGGGGAAATGAAAACAAACGACGTGGCGGCCTACTTTCAAGTTGGGCCTGTTGATTACCTGTCATCGTAGTCTTACTCTCAGGCTAATTCGAGGCCATCGCTTAAAGTAGACCCTAGCACTCGCTTCAAATCTGGCCATGCCTCATAAATTATTCATATATGTGCTCACGAACTTTTGCCGGCATTCTAGCTCTGAAAAGCTACAGGAAGTCTCATTGCCGTTCCCCTCCTCCGGACATGGCCAAGAACGTAACAATGAGGAACACCCACCAGTACCTAAGGGAAATTAGTCCCGGGCTAGAAAGAAGTAATTAAAAGCACTCACTTCTGAAACATAGTCTTCTCCGGTTGTTCCTCTGAATTCTTACCGTCCCGACCAACAACAATCGGGCGATTGAGGTGCGGGCTAGGACCGAGCTCATCCGCCACGAGCTCAACTAGGATGCTATGTAACGAGGATGTAGACACAGAGGTAGAGTCCAAGGAGACATGATAGATTTCGTTGGAAGGACTAACATGCAGGCGGAGAATCGGCTTTTGTGATGCAACAAGTCCCGTCAGCGCAGACGGTGATACGAGCGTGCCAACCCATTGCCGCGAATTCGTAGAAGTCGCAGCATAGAAGCCTACGCGTGCTATGCCCTGGGAGAGTTCTGTGGGAGGAGGAGAATAGTCGATGAGATCTGACTTTAGCGTTGCGGTATCGTATGAGACATGGGCGAGCACTAAGGGTTCGGCCTGGTCAAGATGCCAATATAGGATTTCAAGCTGCGGCGAATACGAAGATAGAACGGGCGATAAAAAGAAGAGAAGGAATATGGATATGTAGAGGAGCTTGAAGCTCTGCAACGAGCCCATTGTGAAGAGGCGTGGATACAGACGACTGATTATGAGGGAGGTTGCTCCCGCCCCGGCCTTGGCCGCATGGAGCTACCTACTTGTTTACCGCCTTCGGGATTTATTCCGCCCGAGGATGCACGCCAAGGATTGACGGGTCAGTGAAGCTTTTGAGGCACATTGAATTTCGCCCCGGGCCTCGAGAGTACTACACTCAAAAGAAAAACAGCAGACAGAACCTCTCTCTACCGACGTTGAGGGCGCCTTCCGCGAATAATGCACTGAAAGTTTGTTGAACGCGGCTGTGCTACTCCCTAGTGCGACGGTCCTATCCATCAGTTTGACGTATTTCGACTGATATCGCCTTGCTCGACATGGACCATGACCCTTCTAGCGTGTCAGAAGAGAGCCCCACGCCAGCATCTTATAATGACAGGGTGGAGCCCTTACAGACTGGTGATTCAGTGCACGATATTAGGGGGGTCGAAGCCCTAGCAGAACAGGTAGTGGACATCGGTCATAGAACAGGCAGTTCCCCTGTCGGAAGCGACAAACGATCACGAGCGCGGCGACATAGTATGATGGATCAAGTTGATGGTGAAGCTCCTCAATCCGACCATACATATCCCGCCGGTACCGGTGGTGGCACTGTCAATGCGTTCGAGCTCAATGGAGCAGGTCAGGAGAGCTACACCCTCATTGACATTCCGCCAAACCTCGCTAGGATTCGGCAGATCATGTTCGGATGCAAGGAGCCCATCGAGATCAGCTTGCAGGAGTTTGAAACGTACTGGCCATTTATTGATAACGTCTGGGTAAAACAGAGGTCCAATTCTAGCAAAGAAGGGCATAAGATCTCTGAATACTATCAATGCCGGCTAAAGGTTAGTTTTCCTTCACTTATCAGAACGAGGCTAACCTATTGCTAGAGACCGACCCATCGGAGCTCAGAGACGCGGCCTTTGCCAGAGGGTAAGCGTCCACGAAAGAAAAAGGTTCGTGAAGGCGGACTTTGCAACTTTCAAATCAAGGTCATCAGATTCGAAGGCGCGTATTCCACGGTCACCATAGCCAGAACTCCGGGAAGCAATCGCGAACACGCGCATGATCTCGATTACATTGACAAGGTTAAGCGAAACTCGGGACTGATGGAGCTTGTCAGGAGGGAGGCGAGCAAGGGATACTTGCCTTCTTCCATCTATATGAAATTTCGTGAGGAGTCCGAGAAGCTCATTGAAGCCGGTGGGACGTATTTCTCTGTGACTGATGTCAGGAACGTGTCCGCAAAGTGGAGGCTACAGAACCCGGAGGTGAACCTTGTACCCCATGAAGGTTATGAGTATCACAAGGGTCATGGCATTGTAAGGGTTCGCGATACAGCAGACACCGGCACACCAGCTGATCTAACAGCCCCGCGCGCAAGTATATTCCGGCCGTGTCCGTTACCTCCTGATACTCTTCCGTTTCCTCAGTTTTCGCTCGACTTCCTAGACCCCTATCTTCCGAGGAATGACGAAAAGCGGGAATTCCCCCATGTTACCCTGTCATACGCCTCGTCAATGGACTCAAAGATCTCTCTTCTAGCCGGAATGCAAACGGTGCTTTCTGGCGAAGAGGCCAAATTAATGACACATTATCTTCGCTCACGCCATGATGCAATCTTGATTGGAGTCGGAACTGCACTTGCAGACAATCCAGGGCTGAACTGTAGGCTGGAAGGCGCGGGAGGTTTTGGTGGCCTTGGGCGGATGTGGCAGCCAAGACCAGTCATTATTGACCCCATGGCGCGATGGTCGCCCCATGGTGACTGTCGCATGTTGAGGACCACAGTCGAGGGGAAGGGTAGGGCCCCTTGGGTTATCGTGTCTCCCGGGGCTCAACTACACCCTCAGAAACTGATGACGCTGAAGGGTTACGGGGGCGATTTCCTTCGTATCATGGAGTACCAGCCGCGGCTGCGCTGGGAACATATTCTACGGGCTCTGGCCTCTGAGGGCATCAAAAGTGTGATGATTGAAGGTGGAGGGAGGGTTTTAAGTGAGCTTCTGAACCCCGAATACAGTGAGCTCATTGATTCAATCATCACGACCATAGCTCCGACGTTCTTGGGGGCTGGCGGAGTCGGGGTGAGCCCAAATTCAAAATGTGATGCACAGGGTAAGCCCATTGCCGCACTCAACCCGAGAAACGTGAAATGGGTGCCCTTGGGACAGAATGTCATAATGTGTGGACATATCAGAGCTACTCCGTCTGTACCTGCCACCGCATCGATAGCGGTCAGCTGATATAAATAACATTTCCCTCTGGCGCAGAGGCTACGTACTTCTGATCGTCTATTCCTGATAGGCATGCCACACGCTTGCCTGTAGAGTGTTACTACTCGAAATTTGTATTGAGTCTTCACGTCCAGCCCTAAGTTAGGGTAAGGTTAAGGTGCGGAGGGTAAAGTAATAAAGGGCCTCAAAGTAACCCCAAAGAGCAGCTAGGGATTTGTAGGAGGACATGTCCAGTCTTCACAAAGTGCGCGGGGCCATACTGTATTGAGCGACCCGAGAACTCTGAGTCGAAGCTAATGTACGACGTCTTCTACAATCTACGGATTACATGTTTGTTCGCATCGAAGCGATGTACTCAAAGCTGCTCAGGCTACATCAGCTGACATGGAGTGCTTTCACCGGGTTGGACAAGGCGCCCAATGAGGTAACTCAACCCAGAGACCAACTGCAGCTGCACGCTTGTTATCTAGGGCTTGTACTTTTGTCCTCGTAAAGCCCCTCTGCCAATTCGGATCGTCGACTCCAGACGTCGGTGGCGGTAAGCATGAGAAGTTGAGAACCAGTCCGAGCAAACATTACCGCCATGACCATTTAGCACTGAACTCACTAGCGACTCGCCTTCAAGGGCTTTGCTTGGTCTCCCATCTGTCTCCTGCAGCAGTACATAAGTCCCTGCCCCTCTTCTGTCTGCCTGTTCAAGAGGGGGTTTTGTTGCATTCTTTGTTCCTCATCAATACCCCTTAGAGAGCCATTGGTATCTCCCAAACCTGTCGGCCTTGGTGAGATTCATTCTACACTATAGCCCTAATGAATGGAACTAAATGCAAGTTTAGATTTTTTCTTGAGCTTGATTCAGTTGAACCGAAGCTCATCGCTTGACAATGACTTCGTTTCCCCCTCCGCGCCAAGCCGCCCGCAAGGCCTCGCTAGATACGAGGGACGAAATCCTTGTTCAAGTCGAACACTTCATCGGAATCGACGTGGGAACCGGGAGTGCCCGTGCGTGTATCATAGATGCCAAGGGCGACATTGTTGGATTGGCATCTGAGAACATCGGGCTCTGGCAGCCCCAGACCGGGTACTACGTATGTATCGCCCATGGAGATCATACACCTTCCGGCTTGCCTATACTAATACAAGCCAACACAGGAACAATCTACAAGTGATATCTGGCGTTGCATCTGCGTTGCAGTTCAGCGCGCTATTAGCCAGCACAATATTGACCCCAGTACCATCATTGGGCTTGGGTTTGATGCTACTTGCTCATTGGCTGTTTTCTCTAACGTGACAGATGAACCGGTTTCTGTGACCGGGCCTAACTTCGACACTGACCGCAATGTGATACTCTGGCTTGACCACAGACCAGTCGAGGAAACCGAAAAAATTAATGCAACCAACCACAGCCTGCTGCAATACGTTGGTGGAAAGATGTCCATCGAGATGGAGATCCCAAAGGTCCTGTGGCTCAAGAACAACATGCCCAAGGAAGTCTTTGATGATTGTAAGTTCTACGACTTGGCGGATGCCTTAACTCACATTGCCACCGGCAATGAGAAACGAAGCTATTGCAGCGTGGTTTGCAAACAAGGCTATGTGCCTCAAGTCCCAGTGGGCGTTGATGGGACTGTAAAGGGCTGGCAGGAGGATTTCTTGGTGCAAATTGGCCTGCAGGATCTCGTGGAAGACAACTTCAAGCGCATGGGTGGCGTTGATGGAGTGGTGAGTCGTTTCCCTTGGTCCCGGACACCACGAACTGACCACGGTCTAGAATGGTGACTACCTTAGTGCGGGTGAGCTCGTGGGTACGTTGTGCGAAAAGGCAGCTTCAGATCTAGGCCTACCTGCTGGTATTGCCATTGGTAGCGGCGTCATTGATGCTTATGCCGGTTGGATTGGCACTGTGGGTGCCAAGGTCCAGCTCGACTCGGAGCAACTGAGCGTCGATGCTGCAAACAATGATCAGGCCCAGGCCTTCTCACGCCTGGCGGCCGTTGCTGGAACCTCGACCTGCCATCTGGCCATGTCCCCTGGCCCTGTCTTTGCCCACGGAATCTGGGGCCCATACCGCGACACGATCATCCCCGGGTATTGGATGGCCGAGGGAGGGCAGTCAGCTACCGGGGAGCTGCTCAAGCATGTCATCGAAACGCATCCCGCCTTCAACCAGGCGATTTCGATTGCGGAATCCTACAATACCAATATCTATGACTATCTCAATGAGCATCTGAAGGAAATGATGACTGAGCGGAAAGCCCCTAGTATCTCTTATCTGGCTCGCCATTTCTTTTTTTACGGTGACCTCTGGGGTAACCGCTCCCCAATTGCTGACCCAAGCATGGCTGGCTCAGTTGTTGGCCTCTCTAGCGAGCAATCAGTGGATGGCCTAGCCATATACTACTATGCCACACTCGAATTTATTGCGTTGCAGACCAGGCAAATCGTTTCGACCATGAATGAATCGGGCCACACCATTTCATCCATCTTCATGTCAGGCTCCCAATGCCAGAATGACATTTTAGTCAAGCTTATTGCATCGGCATGCGGCATGCCGGTCCTCATACCACGCTATACTCAAGCCGCAGTCTGTATAGGTGCCGCCATGCTTGGAGCCAAGGCTGCGAGCGCAGATTCTGAAGGCAAGACAGAAGATTTATGGAGTATCATGGACCGGATGAGCAAGCCAGGAAAGAAAATTGTGCCGACGGATGACGAGAACGAAAAGGCTTTGCTTGAAGTCAAGTATAGGGTTTTCCTGGAGCAATGCCACAAGCAGCAAGAGTATCGCGCCCTCGTTGATGACGCCGTGCATTCGTGGAAGTCTTCTTAGGCTCCGATAACACATCTACCCTGCTAGCTCAGTTTGCCCATTTGTGTGGCTTGGAGGCACATTTTAACACAAAGCATCGTGATTTCCCCGGCCTAATGGTGAATTATAAGATACCATGTAGAGAACGGATTTTTATGGCTGTTTCTCGAGTATCAATACCTACATTCAAACTTTTGGGATGTAGCCGGACCTTAACTCATGGCCTTTATTTGCAACCTCGGGATATGCTGGAAGGATACTGGGATAATAGCGTACAACCTAATTCGCCGTAAGGATTGATTGCCAGTTCTGACAAGTCCTATTACCACTTGGCGATGTCAAATCCCAGACCATAATCCCTTGATCAGTTATTACGACAAGTTCATCCTCCTCCTTTGTGAAGCGGAGCTGAAAGCAAACTGCATCAAGTCGCAAAACAATGGGCTGCAGCTCAATTTGACCGGTGCTGGATGACCTCCACGATGACTGATAATAATTCCGAGGATCCATTTCAATCAGAGCTTCAGGCTCCAGTGCCCATATGTAGAGGACATTCCAATTCGCAATAGCAATCCGAGTTCCCTTGGGGGATGCGGCAACCTTACACCCGAGCGAACTTGTTGCGTTTCTGAATCCATAGAGGCGCGCCACAACATCCCACTGTGTCAATCGCCGGCCGCGTTCGAGGTTCATGGCATGTCCACAGTTGCCAGCTCGGCAGATGGCTTCTGATCTCAAAAGACAAGCAACAGTCCAGTTCTCTTTGCGATGCGTCGCGATCCCAAGGGAGAGATACATCCACCGGCATGCAAAACCATCAGATTCATGTGTCCCAAAGAAAGGAACTTCTATTGAATATAGTAGGCTCAGGCCATGAGTAAATTGAACAGAGGTTGAGTTTTCGTACATTGTCGACGATGCTATGTTTTGATATCCTGCGTACAATGATCTTCCTTGATAATAATATAATAGCTGACTTGATCTGTCGTTGAATGCCAGGTCTCGAATCATTGGACCGCCTGTAAACCGTCGCAATTGGCGAGAGGAATACGAAAATCCGACAAGATTGGGCGCAATATCATATTCTGATTTGTCGATAGCAGTGTAGTGAACAACAGCATGACTTAAAGACATACGATGGCACCACACAATGGCAAAAGCCCCGTCGGTAGCAACAGCCAAAGCCGAGGGATTGAAGTCCTCATACCCAGGAAACATCGTCATCCTCACTGGATTGCTTGACAACTCCAGGGGGTGACAAGCGAGGTATATGAATCCATTACGACCGTACTCCCTCGCCTGTCTCACAAACGGATGGTCGTCGCCTTCCATAAAGGGGGTGAATCGATAAAGTACATAAAGTCTGTCATCCCCGTAGGCTGTCTTCAGGATTTCAATTGACCCCGACTCGTACCAGGGCAGCCTCGCCTGTCGAAGCGGCGCGATCTGCCCGTTGCGGACTTGGAGAATCTGGACAACATCTTGACTGTACGGAGTGATTATAAGTGTTTCATCAGCATCCACGGCGAGCGATGATGCCTTGATGTTGGGTACTCGATCTCCAAATCTGAAGGTTGTGCAGCTGGCATCAAATTGGCTCCCATAAAGCTGCTTTGAGGCACGCGCTTTCAGCAGCAGGAAGAGGCTCCTTGTACTGAGAGAGGAGGTATCCAGAGGCGGACCAGGCGTCCGCTGTAGATGCGAAAGCAGTGCCTGACGACACCTGGAAGCGATCTCATACAGAAGATGGCATGACAAGGCCGTCTGTAGAAAGGCGGGGGTAGTGCAGCTGAGCAAGATAAGTGAGATCAATTCGGGAGGAAGATTTAGAAGCATAATAGATACCAGTCACTGAGCAGAAGCGATTGGTGGCATATAATTGAAGCTCTTTTTATCTTCCGAGAGGCATTGTTCGTGCCCTAGAGTGGTGGTTGCTGATAGGCTGACGGATGCCTGGTCCGGCCCTACCGTAACCCCGTCCTTGGAATTAGTTTGAAGCATGTCGTATTCTTAATGAACCTCGCTCAGCATCAACTCCTGGAAATGAATATTTAAAAGCCCCTTAGAAAAAGCACCAAACACCTCTTAAATGCGTTTCATGTACACAACGGACCAAATGCTGACAACGGTTTATCTTGCTATCCCGGGCTGCTTTTCGACAATCTGGGTGGTAGCCCACTCTAGAATGCTTTCGTAACAAAGCACGAACTGACTTAGGTTCTGAACCACGCTTGGTCTCTGCGTACGGAAGTCGGACAGTGTCTTCGCAACGAGATCCATCTGTCCACCGCCGAGCAATTGATCAAAAGAGCGCCCTTCGTGGTGCCCATCTGGTTGGGCGGATTGGCGCTTCAGCACATCTAAAACACTATCGACCGTGCAGAAAGTTCCAGTGCGGCCACATCCTGCGCTGCAGTGCACCAGAACTGGTCTTGTTGGGTTGCCTGGTGCAGCACTGGCCGTTGCATTCCGGACTTTATCACATTGTTCAATTAGATTAACGAGATGCTTCGGCTGAGAAGTGGTACCGAAGTCAGGCCAATCTGCGTATTGAATTTGCGTAACTTCGCGCAAAGGCTCGAACGGGAAGCCTGAATGCGACAAACCAAAGTGCCTGACAACAAGCGTGGGGTTATCGTCGCATTTACCACCAGCCGAGTCCTCTAGAGGGATATATTTCTTGGAGAAATTGTTCACATGAAATTGTCCATATGTTCCGGATTTCCAATACGGATGGCATTTGACTTGCCCCCGTTCAACCTCTGCAGTCAAAGACACTACAAGACGAATGTCTTGTTCCCATATGACCCGCCAGAAATCCTATCAACGTTAGCCAGGCCGTAAAACAGACAAGATAAACTGACATCAAAAGTATCAGGCACAGGAGCCTGGGTCGCTATGTAATGTTGCTCGCTATACTCGGCTTTGAGATAACTTGCATTCACATAGTCACATCCACCACGGGGTATGTCGTGGAGTTTCACTCTTGAGTGGTCATACGGATAGATGTCATTATATCGATTTTTTGCGCCCTTTTCAATTCCAGCAACACGGTATTTTGGGAACGAGGGTCTACCCGGACTAGAATCATTGTCCTGGTCGTATGATAATGCTTGTTTCATGCGCTCGAGTTCGGTCTTCTCAATGTCGAAAAACCTCGAAGCAGCAAGGCGACCTTGATCTGCAGGATCCGAAATCTCACGTAGCCAAGGTGGGAGGGACCGCCTTTGTGATGCTGATAAATGTTCTGAATGCTTCAGCGCAATTTGTCCTACACCACCGACAAGATCCATATGCTGACGGATGTTCGCAAAAAAGGGTATCGCAGCATTGGAAGACTCGGGTATATTACATCCACCAGCAACTGGTGCAGACTGCGGGAGGTCGATATGCATCGCAGATCCTTTCTCCAGTTTTGTACCAGAGGCCAATTTTTGTTGCTGTTGCTGGGTGAGTTCGGGAAACCTGGAGGAGAACGCTTTGAACCCTCCCGTCAGAATCATGCCATCACCATTCCATCCCTCGGCCGTGAATTTCTTGAGCACATTGGCAAGAGGGGCAGCATCTTTCATGTTAGATGTCGCGGCGTCATAAACGATTATGTAACGGCATTGTCTCCAACGGCCAAAATTCCTCCGATCGGCTTCGTCGGTGAAAGTGTTCGCTAATTTCTTGGTGTCGAATGAAGGGCGCTTGAGTAGAGTTGTCGGGATACACAGATTTAGTGCACCTTGAATATTTCCCCGGGAGAAATGTGCATATGGTCGTACATCTAACAGCATCAGATCATGCGCATGAGAGCCAACGAGCTCTGCGCAAGCCTCCGTCGAAACCAGCCTGACGCTCGGCCCTGCTGTAGAGATACTGTCGCGTTTCGTCGGATTTGCATCGTCTTTCTCCAGAGGACGACTTAAAGCGAGTCTGTAGACCGAGGGGTCAGGAACCGCAACAGCGAAGAAGGGATTGTGCTGCTCGGCGATCTGTTTTCCAGATACGAGTTTTCCTTCTGGACTTTCATTTGAAAGAGCATGCGAGAGATTTCCTCGGTTTTTTATGATGTTGTTCTGGCTTTCCGTATTGAATGAAAAATAATTGGAATCCGGCAATTCCGCTGTCGAATCCCGCGGGCTGGCCGGGCTAATTTTGTTAAAGGAGGACGGTCGTGATTCTCGAGAGTCGGATAACGGGAAGAAAGCCGCGGGCGACGTCGGCGATCTTGCCCCTGTCATCGCAGACATAACTTTTGAACTCGGCGACACAAAGTTCCTATCTTCTCTCGATAACAGTTGTCGAACTTGGAAATCGCTCATCCAATCAATCCGCTTGCCATGTCGATACCGATTGCGATTGCAGAAAGCCCAAGTGAAATATGAAGGACGGCCGAAGAAGTTTATGGAGTAGAAATATGCTCATGGGGAGGACTCGGCAGGTGGTCAAGTTGATTCTGGAATCTGGAGGGTCAAAGAGCGGGCTAGGCGGGCTACGTTACGTCATGGTGGAGGGCGGCAAACTCCAGTCCAGTTCTGTACGGAGTACACAATAATGAAGAAAGACGGTTATTTTTATTTTGCAACTTCAGTGACATGCATGATCTCTTAGAACTACTCCGTGGTCTTAGTTTGGAAAATAAGGACTCTAGATACCTACATTCCAATGGCGTCGTATGCATTGTGAACCATTATCAACCCAGTAGTAAGCGAGACTTTCGCGGAAGCCCTACACACATGGTGACATGATCCTACGGAGGGAATGCGAAAAGACACATCAGAAGACGACTCGTTGAGTCGTTGGAGGATATCTTGAGGGCACTGGGAGGCGTGCGCCTCTATTAAGCCATGTAATCTAAAGTCTTCCATCTGGTTCCCCTTTGAATCTTGTTACTCGCTTCTGTTCCCAATTGTCGAGATCTTTCGCCATAAGTCTCTGTAACGAAACGAGTTAGCTGCTGAGTAGGGATAGACAAACTGAGAGTGAGAATAAACTGGGCCGCGCACATAGTACTCTTCCCGGTCATCGCCAATAATCCTCCTCCGTGGATTTCTCTTGATTCCTTCCTCTCCATCAGGTCCCTTGAGGCCGAGATCCATCGCTTCTTCTTGGCTCAATTGTTTCACTTTGCGATCGTACCTCTCGTACCTCAGAGCAGCGGCCGGGGTCAGGACAAATGAACCAGCCACGATGACCATAATAAAAGGCAGTCCAAAGAGGAGAAACGGATGTCGTGGAAGTCTAGCACGATATGCCTCACCAAGCTTTTCCCCCAGCGTAGAGGACGCTGTGGTCGCCCGCCGGAAAGTTTTCGCTTGAAATACTGGCATCGCAATGGGAGTACGCCGAGCTAGGACCAAAAGATCTGCAAAAAGTTCCTGCGGCAGTGAGGTGGTCGGTTGGTGTTTCCCGCCATCAACTCAAAGCTCGGCGGAATAGAAAATCCGGCTGCTGCATGAAGTGTTCTCCGCAACGGAGCTTGTCATAAACAACAAAAATTTGGGCAACAGGCGGGCAAGCAAAAGCCGGAAAGCTTGCCTTCATATGACTATCAAGCAGTGCTTCTGATCAATAAGTGAGGATACGTCACGTCAATTCTAAGGCTTTTTTTTTGGATCGCTGGTGTTTGTGGTGTTTTCCTAAAAGCTGATCATCTACGACCAGGGAAGTAGTAACATTGAAACATCGTTGCTATCCCAGTGCTCCGCATCTTCCCGGGTCTCCCAGAGCTTCCGAATGTCGTTCACCACGGGCCCCATGTTTGGGGCAAGCGGCTTAGGGGGGTTCGGCGCCGCTCCCCAGCCGTCGCAAACGTCGCAGCCGTCGCAGCCGTCCAGCATATTCTCTCCGAGTAACCCTACGAGTATATTTGGGAACCCTCAAACAACGCAGGCTCCCTCAACAAACTCCATCTTGGGCGGCCAAACTCAAACTCAACAACAGCCTGTTCAGTCCTCAATCTTCGGTTCGGGCCAACCTCCTGCCAGCACGGCGCAGCCTCTTAATACTTCTTCCCAAGCGGCGCAACCCGCCTTCTTCAACAGTTTATTGGAGCGTGGCAAAAAGCGACCGCTCTCTACATTTGCTCAAAATGGTAGCTTTGAGGAATTACCTCATCTCCAGTTGGGTCTCGATGATATTCGCCGAAAGGCAAGGGGACTTGGCACCGGGGGTCTAAAAGACGCCCCTGTACCGAGCAGCAAAGCGTAAGCCAGTTACTCTATATCATGCTCGGTGTTTTTCTATACGGCTGACTTATCATTCGCTCAAACAGTCATTATCTACTCGCAGCATCAGGCGTTTCCCCTGGTCATGCTCTACGTGATCTGAAAGCCTTAGAGCCTCAAGCGTCTATTTCACTTCCATCAAAAGAGCAGGACGCCTTCGATCCCGACAATCAGAAATATTTAAGGAATATTCAACAACGTGGTCGCCAGGTCATGGTTGCGGAAAGTCTTGCCAGAGCCCAGCGGGACTTTGATTCCTTTCTGGAAGAGAAGGTAGATCTCAACTGGGAGGAGCAGCGCCATAGGATCTTCAAACATTTTGGCTTGTCTCAAAAAGATAACCCGGCAGGAGATTCAGGGCCATCATTTGGTCGTTCGACAAGGCAACCCAATCACTTCGGGCCTGCGTCTACCCACGGCGTTTCTCGGAGAAGCGTCTTTGGCCGTTCTGGCTTGGAAAAGTCAGTAATAGGTACCCCTGGTACTGGAAAACCGAGCCATCAGCTCTTCGACGAGCCAATGGAACGCACAGATGGTTCCGGCTTTCAAACCATGGACCTTCGATTCTTGCGCGAAAAGATGGGCTATTATGCGGACAAGGTCCAATCTCTCAACTCTGCTCGGCTCCAGGCGCGTAGCTTCCCAGTTATGCATGAGTTTTCTGAGGTTGAAAAGCATGCTGGCGGTGATGTACTCATCCCTAATTGCCCCTATTTTTCACGAGCTAACTTCTCCAGGTTCCTCGTCAGCTTTTTGACGCATACAGAGCTTTAATAATTATTGTCGGAGAATCGGCTGATGTTACGGGAGTGTCAGAGCGTGGCGCCATCAATGAGCGTCAATTCGCGGAGGACTATTTGAATGAAGCGTCAAAGTCGCAACAGGCAGTAAACATGAGAACGCGTATAGTTGAAGGTTCAAGGATGTTCCTTGAGAACTCATTCTACACCGAGATCGAAGCAGCAATCATCAAAAATCCGCGCGAAGCGCAGCTTGGTGGAATACCGACTGTGGTCAACAAAATTCGCGCGTATATCCGCCTCAGGGAATCCAGACGAGACCTTGCGCCGGATGGCACCGAGCTGCAGACTGTGGGGGATGATTACTGCTGGATTCTCATCTTTTATCTTCTGCGGTGTGGATTCATCACTGAGGCCGCAGAATACGTTACCCGCGATCCCGGCTTCCGGTCATTGGATCATAAGTTTGTAACTTATATGACAACCTATGCTCAAAACAAACGGTTACCAAGGGATATGCAGCAAAGAATCAATGGCGAGTATCAACAACGGTCGCGCAACGCTCCCGACAACACCATTGACCCATACCGAATGGCGTGTTATAAGGTCATTGGGCGTTGCGACCTTGGCCGCAGGCGCCTTGATGGTATCAACCAGAGCGTCGAGGATTGGATGTGGTTGCAGTTTAGCCTAGCCAGGGAAGATGATCGAGCAGAAGAGGTTGCGGGTGATGTCTTCGGTCTGGAGGACATTCAGACCGATATCACTGAGATAGGACAGCGAGTATTCGGAAAGGGTCAGGAAGGGCCTGGCGGCTATGGGACTTACTTCCTTTTACAGATTCTTGGAGGGATGTTCGAACAAGCCATTAGCTATCTCGGATCCTATGCGCCTGTCAGTGCAGTGCACTTTGCTATTGCACTCGGATACTATGGCCTTTTAAGGGTCTCTGATTTCTATACTTCCGGAGAAGAGATTTGTGAGTGGCGGACACCCTGATAATCGCCGTATACTAACATTCGCAGTATCTTTCACTATGAAACAATATCCGCAGATCAACTTCGGCTATCTTGTAACCCATTACACGAAAGAGTTCCGCACCGCTTATGTCGAAGCGGCAATTGACTATTTCTCTCTGCTCTGCCTTAATGCTGATCTTCCAGGGGCTCTGGGTAAATCTCAAGCCTCCGTGTGCCATGAGGCTCTGCGAGAATACATCCTGGAAACTAGGGATTTTGCGAAGCTCCTCGGCGACATCCGTTCGGACGGCTCTAGAATTAAGGGTCTGATAGAACAACGTATTAGCCTGATCAAGTTGGTGGACCAGGAAGAATTTTTGAGGACAATCACTGTACAGGCGGCCGCTGTCGCTGAAGACAAGGGACTAATAACAGACTCGGTCCTTCTGTACCACCTTGCTGAAGACTATGATCGTGTCATTGATATCATAAACAGAACCTTGTCGGACTCTGTGGCTGTTCCCTTGGGAAGCCCCACACTGAAGTTACAGCCTTTGCGACCTCGCACTAGCCTACAGCAGGATGACGGTGGACAGGAGGCTAGTGCCGAGCCAGGTACAAGCCTAAGCTTGACCGTGGTGGAAGAGCCAGTCGTTTTGGCAAAGAACATGATTGGTCTCTACAACCAGAATGCCTTGTATTATCAGCGCATTCGTCAATCAAGTCGAGACGCATGCGGCGTTTTGCTTCGGATGATGGAAGCCAAGGTAGAGGTCGAAGCAGGAAAATGGACAGCGGCCCTGGATGTAAGTCTCACTCGACCAACTCTTCGTCTCTCAAATTAACGTGTGGTTTTCTAGACGATCAATGGATTGGGCATTCTGCCATTACGAGCCAATGGCTCTGTACCTTATATCCGAAGTGCTGCTCAGGCGTTCTCAGCACTCCCGTCGCTTATTTCTAGCAATGTCGGCCATGTGATAATCTGGAGCATTACATGTATCGGACGTGAACGGGAGCGACTAAGCAGCGGACCGTATGAGAATGAGATGAGGCAGGGGCTCGCTGAGGAACTGTTGCTCATGGCGAAGGATCTGATGATATTCTCTGGAATGGTCAAGTATAAATTACCTCCAAGAGTCTATGAGACTCTTGCTCGGGCTGGAGCAGATATTGGCGCGTATTAAAGGGCATTCTTTTGGGCACATATATCGGGCTCTAAATGATAATCGAAATCAACTGCTCCAATTTCTCGGTTCATCTATATATTTATCAGGGGCCTTCAAGACAACTAGTAGCATTACCACTGACCACGCGACTGCCTATCTATTTAAGCCTTCTTGTCAAACAGCATAGTAAGTTCACCAGTTTGAACATCTGTCTGCTGGACTTAACCAATACTTCAGCGATTCAAGAAGGCCAATGGCCTAAATACCCAAGTTTTACTTTTATCCAACAAGAGGGGCGGGTGGTAAACTCAGGCCTTCTTGATATAACCCGTTACCCGTCATGAGGGGTGTAGATAACCTGATAATCAATTGTTTTTATAGGTAGGTCGACTATATTTACCAGCATTGTAGGATGGCTCGACCTCATCTTGGCCATAGTCCCCGGTCAAGACAGCCTTTTGACTCGCGGACGTGAGCTGGAAGAGTTGTAAGCATGGAGTAGCCCACAAGAATAGCAAGTATGTAGTCAAGTTCAAAGACATCCAGACAACAGACACAGAAATGGGGTAAGTTTTAGCACATTAATTAACTTGACTTCTGGTTGTTCCAAAGACTGGTCTGGCTTTGTTAACAAAGTATGATAAACATAGATTCTGAAACCCGTTGGTCTGTGGTATAAAGATCAAGCGACAAAGAAAGTGGCAGCAGGTGATTCACTCACAAAGAGTCTCTTTGAAAGCCACTCATCCAAAGACAGCCCAACTCGAGAATCGAATCAAGCCTGGAGACTCGGGAAGGCGGGATCTTGCAATCCGCCCTTCAGTTGTGTTCTGCTGAAAAGAATCGCAAGGACGGAGTATGTGGGAACCCCAGAACTTGGCTGTGATTCGCCGCATCAGAACACACCACAACAACACAACAATCTTCACAACACCAAGGACTAGTACTAAATCATTGCGCTTTTTTCTCCTTTGCTTCTTTGTCTCTCTCTCTCCTTCCATATCATATTTTCTTCCCACCCTTCTCTCCTATTCAATCCCAATATTCATTTTATCTACCTTCCCCAAATTTGTCGCATCCTTCGTTTTACCCACTGAAAGTTTGTTTCTGCCTCCAATGCCTCCTAAGAAGAGCGCGACCAAGACCGCGGCACGGACGGCCTCCGTTACCCAAAAGAAGACTACTGTGGCCGCAAACACCACGAAGAAAGCTACTGCGACTAAAATTGCGGCTCGGGAACGTGCAGCGATCACTGCCACCACCAAGAACAGAGCCACGAAGACTGCCACGAAGCCCGCGGCGGCGCGCAAAGCTGCCAAAGCAGAGGACATAACCAAAAAGCGAGCTCTCACCGATGACGAGGATGATGATTTGACTAGTCGCTCGACCAAGCGCGCTCGTGTTGCGAAACCCGCCACCGCAAAGCGGAAGCCAAAGGTGGTCATCAACAGCGCGCCCACCGTCAAACTGAACGTTTACGTATGTGGTGAAGGCAGCTCTGGTGAACTTGGCCTGGGGGTCGGGAAGAACGTTATCGATGTGAAGCGTCCACGTCTCAACCCGCACCTGCTGCCGGATTCTGTTGGCGTCGTGCAGGTGGCTGTCGGCGGCATGCATTGCGTCGCCCTTACGCACGATAACAAGATCCTCACCTGGGGTGTCAATGACCAGGGTGCCCTCGGTCGCGACACAACATGGGAGGGTGGTTATAAGGACATGGACAAGGGTGGTTCGGGCTCGGATTCGGACGACGATTCGGACGACGACCCCGAGTTGAATCCTCATGAGTGCACGCCAACTGCTATTCCTTCCGGTGCTTTCCCTCAGGGCACAGTTTTCGTCGAAGTCGCTGCTGGTGACAGTTCAAGCTTTGCCCTCACTGACGAAGGTGAAGTGTATGGCTGGGGAACATTTAGGGTAAGTCATCAAAGATGAAGGTGTGGCCTGACTGATATTCCTCAAGAGCAACGATGGGATTCTCGGATTCGATGCCAGCAGCAAGGTTCAGATGGTCCCCAAGCTTTTGCTGGGCCTCAAGAAAGTAAAGCACCTAGTGTGTGGAGACAACCACGTTCTCGCCCTCAACGAAAAGGGTGCCGTTCTCTCGTGGGGATCCGGCCAGCAAAATCAACTAGGTCGTCGCATCATTGAGCGCAACAAGTTGAACGGGCTTCAGCCCCGAGAATTTGGCCATCTCAAGAACATCGTTCATATCGGCGCTGGCGCCTTCCATTCATTCGCCGTGGACCAGAACGGCAAGGTTTACGCCTGGGGCCTGAACAGTTTTGGTGAGACGGGCATCCGTGAGAATGCGGGTGATAGTGAGGCTGCCATTGTCCGGCCCGAGGTTGTGAAGTCACTGTCAAAAATGAACATCGCCCAGATCTGCGGCGGTGCACACCATTCTATAGCTGCCACACAGGATGGCCAATGTCTTGTCTGGGGTAGACTTGATGGTTATCAGACCGGCCTGAAGATCGATAGCCTCCCCGATGACGCGGTTATCAAGGACGAGCGTGGTCGTCCCCGCATTCTAATCCAGCCTACAGCTGTTCCCGGAATCAAAGCTAAAGCTGTCGCGGCGGGTTCCGATCACTCAATCGCGATTGGTACCGATGGCCGCCCCTGGTCTTGGGGCTTTTCCGCTACCTACCAGACCGGCCAAGGCACGCAGGATGATGTCGAAGTCGCAACTATCGTTGAGAACACTGCTGTTCGGGGCAAGGCCCTCAACTGGGCTGGAGGTGGCGGTCAATTCTCAGTCTTCACCGAGCCAATTTGAATGCGAATCCTTTACGGATAGCAGGTCGAAGTTAGTGTGAGGGTGGGCTGCTTTTAAATTGTGATTATAGGGGTTTCTTCCCTCTCTTTCTGGGCGTTTTTCTCTCTTCTTTTAGTCATATTCAGGTTATGGTTTCTCAGCGGCGGATCTAGATTCGAATGTACTTATACTTTCAATTACACAACGATAGTAAACATGCGGCTCGGCTTGTCATTGAACTGCGCTCTGCCAATACATGGCGTTGGTAAAGTCATAATATAAACACTACCTAAGACAACCCGAATTAGTTTATTCCGGCATGACGAGTCCTTCCATCGCTTCAAGCTCATCTGCATGGCTATCAGTTTCTAGCGATTCATTCTTAGGCTCCTTAGGTCGCATGTTTGCCACGTCATGTTCATCTTCATGTTCTCTCAGTAGAGCGTCTAGTTCATCAAAATCATCCTCATCTGGCGGACCACTGTCAGTTCCAGGGGCTCTGGGTGAGGTAGGCTTTCCAAGGTCCGGCTCGTCTCTATGTTCTTTCAACAATGCATCAAGTTCGTCAAACTCATCATCATCCGGCGGGGCACCGGCTTCGTTGGCTAACGGCTGATTGTTGGTACTATCCCGTATAAACAAATCCTCGTCCACGTCCACCTCAGTTAATCCTCCAGGCGACCGCGAGGTGTCCTTTAGTATCGATTGGCTGCTTTCTGTCGCCGACAGGTCGTTGTTCGGAGCATCATCCGCGGGCTTTGGCTTTTCCTCGTCTATCCAAGTTCGTCGCATAGTCTGCAGACGTTTGGAATGACCAAGTCGCTCAATCATAGCTAGGCCATCCGCAAATTTGGCGCGGGGAAATAGATCATCAAGCCATAGTTGGTAAAAGTTCAAAAGGCGAGCCAAGTCAGAGAACTAGGTATAGCAAGTCAAGGTCAGCATGAAACCTCACCCTCAGTTGGGGCATTACAGACCTCATGTCCCCTACCCTTGAACTTTAGGTTTTTCCTGGCGGAGCGCCGCAACTTTGGGATTCCAGCTTGTGTGAGCAGTCTAAAAGGAAATAATCAGTAAACAGCGACTATCAGGGTGCTCCAACTGACCTGTTCTCATCTAGTTTGGCGATAGGTTGTCTCTTTTTGGCGACTTTGACCTCCTCATCAAGACCGAGGACTACCCCTGAGTTATCCGGCTGGGCTGATGGCTTCGGTTGATTTGATCTGCTCGTATTGGCATTGATTTCCTGCAGGATGTCGTCAAGACCGACATCGTAATCGAACAAATCGTCGACATAGTCGGTAGATTGCGCCGCCTCTGCTGCCAAGTTGGTTTCGTTTGCCATTGAACCGCTGAATGTGGATTGAGAAAGAGGTTAGTTCCGAAAACCAGCAGATGTATTTCTAATCAATCAGTTATGAAATGACCGCGTGTATAGAATGTCAAGCATGAAGCGCTGCGGAGCGCAGATCTTGGGCCGATATTCGATAACCCGGAACGCTAGGTATACCTACCTTGTGAGACGCGTCTCGGACGCGTCTTTAATTACTGGCTGATAGAACAAGGGAGGGAGGACAGTGACAGCGCGAGCTAATACACTCAAAACTGCCATTACTAGAGTTCAATTGAGCGCAATTTATGCCTAAACCTTGATCTGTAAGGTTCTTTACAAGGTAATAGGTGTTGGCCAACGGTCGGTACTGCTTGACTGCTCGTGCACAGTCAATGGAGTCAATTGATATGGACTGCCCTGCCTGCTGGTATGCCCACCCCGTTTACGGCAACTATACCGAGGTACCTGGGTGTTTATAATGATAATTCAGCTCTGCATGAAATGCTTGAGATAACATGGCTTGAGAGCCTGTTTGCGCATGGATAATTCGAAATTATGACCAGATATCTACCAAGGTTGAGCTTGATAGCAGTTCCTTGACATCCGTATCGCAAGCCAATCAGAAAAAAAAAAGACAAGAGAAGGTAAGAATTCTCATTGCTGCGAAGGTCTATCCGTAATCACATCGAAGTAGTACTCCAAAGATAACTCGTCGTAGTCCGCGCTAGTCCTAATCCGAGAATCAATCTTGGCGCTGACGACCTCCGACTTCCAATTCAACTCCGCCCAGACAAGAGACACCCAACTATCAATCGGCTCAATCCCGTCAAAATGGCAGGCGATAACATCTCGACAGTCGTGCCACCGAAGCGAGCTCTTACCGACTATCCGGTGCGATCTATCCTCGGATTTCTTCCCATGTTATGCACAATTGAATGCTAACATTGCTTTGCAGCTTATCGACTCTGACCCGTACGGACCGACCTCCTTAATATAGGAGCGATCTGCTAAAACAGTGCTCTCATCTAGGCATGTGCGACGAGTTTTCGGATATGCGAGGCCCTCAGACTATGCGGTTGCTGGTGCATCTGCTGCGGCATCTCCGCTTGCATTCTGGGTTATGGAGAGAGTGAGCCCTTCGCATGTGGGTAGGGGAGGTTTCTCGCCTGTAATGCGCCTGGCGGTGGCGATTGGTCTTATTGGTGGTACACACATCCTCTACTCGAGGTCGTGCAGTATGTCACCCCGCCCGACTTATATGCGTTCGTTATTAACTTCATAGACCGTTTCCATGGCCTCACGGAGAACTCAAGGGAGGTTAAGATGGACATGAGAGAAATGGTCGACAAGGTTAAGAAGGGCGAGCCTTTGTATGGGGTTTCGAAAGTCTCCCCCCACCTGCAGGGCGTGGCTGCCCGGAACTCTCGAAACTCCAACTTCTTCCTTCAGGTTATTCCGTGGTTCAACCTTGTCAACCATGAACACGTGAGTCCGTCCTATTTCAGGTCTAGCAGCATATTGACTATTATACAAGCACGGTGTTGATACAGCAAAATACTATCAGCAAGCCGAACGGGAGCTTGAAGCAGAGCGTCTGTCTAAGCTGAGCTCTTGAACGCGGCTTGAAAGCTGAGGGCAATTGCGTGACGCGGTGTGACGCACGGGCGGAGTCGAAATTTGTATACTTATATGGTCTCTAGAGTCATCAGTCGCTCGATCGGTTCTGCAACTTTCCTCCCGTAGGGTCAATCTGAGCATCATCGTCGAACCTGGTGTTCAGCTCCCGATGCTTTTTAGGTCGAGGCTTGGGGGCTGGTAGAGTCAGCAGTAGACACTTTTTGAGTTGTTATCACACGGAATACCCTTTTCGTTTTCCTGTATGTAGAAACGTCTTAAGAGCATGATTGCCTCTTTTCGCTGGAGCCCCCCGTGAACAGGATAAGGCGGGTCGATCGCGAAACTAGAGCTGATCAGCCTACGAAGAGCGACGAGTTTTCTTAAGGCGACAAACTCAGAATGCAAGGACAGGATGCTTCCAGTTCCCCCAAACCTCTCATTTCCACAGCCATAATACACCTGTCGTATCTGATACTGGCGAAGGGCGGCCGCGCACATGACGCAGGGCTCGACTGTCACGTAAAGGTCTGTCGACCGGAGTGCTTGTTTTGGGTAAGTGCGGAGCATCTCCTGGATTGCAAGGAATTCGGCGTGTCTGGTCCCCTATGAGACTGTTAGAACACTCTAGCTGGAAGAAGCCAGAGGCCTCGAAATATGATATGACATTTCTCCAGCCTCAACATATCTGCTGAGAACTATACTATAGACCCACGTTCATAGATCTGTTGGTGTCGTTCATTCCGCGGCCAACTATTTTATTCTTGTAAACCAACACGCAGCCTACAGGGGTTTCTCCTGTATCGAGCGCTTTTTGTGCCTACTCAAGAGTCAGTTTTCTTCCAACGCATAATGGCGACAACGCAGCCTAGCACCATCTCAAACGCCTGCTCCATGAAGTATGCCTGCTCTGCTGTTTGATTCATGGCGGCGCACTCGAAGATTCGCAATAACGCAAGCTCCACAGCAAGGATAGAAGCCAGGAATGGTGTTGCACGATTGAGAAGAAGTTTCGGGCATAAAATAGTAGGTGAAACCTTATTTCAGCACTATCAGAGTTTCTATACCATTGTCAACAACGCAGTCCCTCTAAAAGAGATTTTAACGCACACTGGTTATCTTGTGGCAGTTGATCTTCAGGTTCATGAACCACTTGCGCAAAAGTATTACGGCCCAGATAAGCGGCTTATCGCCTCGCTTATCGCTGCTTAGATATCAGTCTCGCTCCTCTCCCAACGCGTCCGTTTCCTTTAGACGCGTTACCTCGACACTCATCGGTATATTTTCAAATTGAACATGTTATAATCAGAAAAAGCCAGATCGCTGCAGATGACTTGAAGGCCGATTCCTACCCCAGCATAGGTATGGCCTACCGGACATCTGCAGAACCAGTCCCGTCCACCCTGGCGGCACAGCTGGCACCACGTCTCTCATCCCAAGGAAGCCAAGTTCATCATCTAACTAGGGAAGCCTTCGCTCAGCTCCGGCAGGAACTTTTGGATGGCAAATTCAGTCAATTAAGCCTTGACGACAGCGCCACTGATGTTAGCCGGCTAATATGTATCGTGCTCAAGGCCGGCTTGGAGCCGTGTATGAAGGATGAAACCCCGAAGAAGGGAGACCTGAATAACCAATTGTCGGATTGCTTGGACATCATCCAAACAACAATTGAGAAAGCGCCCCATACTTTGACGGATGTTCCTGATCCAGAAATCCTCGGGGAAAAGGCTCCCGCTCCGCTATACGTTTGGCTCGTCGTCCGGCTTCTTCAACTCTCTTGTGTTCAATGCAATGGAATCGTGGAAGAGAAAGTTGCTGGCATTTTCTTGACTATAGTTCGTTCCCAATATAAACACACCAAGCTATGGTCCACTTGTCATGCCATTCCCACCTTCTTACGGGCTTGCGCGACCGGTTTGTAGTAACCCGAGCCAAACTGCAATAATCACACTAACCAGGCCAGACATCATATTTTCTCTCGAACGCTTCAATATCCACAAGCAATGGGACGTGTCTCTTCCTGCACCCGAAGGGCCTCTTTCCGTGGCACTAGGCAGACTCGGCCTCCCTTCCACGCTGCTGAAGAAAAGAATCAAGCTTGGATCAATCGGCAAAGCTGTTCTGTTGACTCTCAAGCTTCTTGACTCGTTCACAACGCAGGCGTCTGCTCCTGATATAGGATTTAGCGTCCGGCAGAACCTTGCTTGGATCTTTAACGGTTATCAGCGCCTTTGGGGTGTCTTTTCAAGTTGGTTCCGGAGACCCAGCTTAGACATCATTGAGTCTAAAGTCGAAATCTGCTCGCGCTTCTTGACGTCGGTACGAACCTTCTGCTTTCGCGAAACATCATTTGCAATGGAGATAGCATACGATTTCCCTCAAATGCTAGGCGACATACTGTCTTCAGGCCTTCTGGACCATTCTCAATCTCTTCAACTAGAGCTGTGTCGGTTCATTGACGACATCACCAATCTAACGGATTGCACCAAGTCTATCAGAGGACTCTTCCTGCCATTAACCGAGGCAATGAAGAAAGCTACTTTCAAGGCACTCGAGCCGCATCTACAGGTATAGACTTGACCCTAAATCGGCCATTTAGTCTGACAGAAAACAAGGTCGCGATTCACAGTGCTCTTGCCAAGACGGTGCGGACGTGTGCGACCGATCTGTCCGACCATGGCGTCAAAACAATGCTTGATTCTTTTGCTTGTAGCCAAGGGCTGGCGGTGTCAGCTCAAGAGGCTGATGATGATGATTCTGAGCGAGAACGGAAGCGCCGGTGTCTCCCTCGGCCGAAGCCGCAAAGCAGGCCAGACGCAATTCAACAGCTCGTCTCGAGGCTACTGGATATTCTGCGCTATGAAGGCCCATCGGACTTGGAAACTCTTACGTTTGCGGTCTTGTGAGTTCGGCCATAACACCACAAGCCACATGCTAACATTCCTTAGCAAGTCTTTCCCTGCAGTCCTTGAGCAAGATAAACAGGAATTTTTAGATAAAGTAGGCCGTCTACCCTGTGCATTCGCGGGGAGTTTGTCGACGGCGGTCCAAAGCAAATCCCTGCAGAAACATCTTTGTCATATCTGCGACGAAGAACATCACGGCGAAACTCAGTTTAATGGGCAAATTAATGAAAGCAATCAATTATGCCAGATACTGGCATTCATTATTCCTAGGATCCCGCGTTCCTCAATCATCAGAGTGACCACTATGGCTACATTGAAACGAATTTCAATGCACACCTCGAACCCCACGCATCTTCAACTCTCAAATTCTATCTCCGGTGATTTTCTTCTCGGTTCGCTTCGAAGCTCTGTGCGAGAGCTTCGAGTCGTCGCTGGGTAAGTTCCGCACTTCAAACGTGTATCATGTGCTGACGTGTCAACACATTAGCCAGTCCACGGTTTGTTTCGTGCGCAGCGGTATAGAGCATGAAACTCGGCGCAGCAACTTCGTTGTGATCCTGGGGTGGTTGAGGAGCTTATCTGAAAGACAACAGACGGCATTACATGAGACTTGCATCATGTGCTTGTGTCGACTAGCAAGGCATGATTTGATCTTCTTGCTGCAATCAATGTTCAGAACTGACGAATCAGGTTTTCGAATGATGAAGAAATGAATATAATCCTTCTTCGCCTCGTAGAATACCTGGGCCATCCAAATCCGTTTACCTGCGGGATAGCCTACAGCGAAGTACGTCCCTCACTCTGACATGGTCCAAACACTTTCTGAGGCTCTTAGATGTCAAAGCTTGCGCAGCAGTTTGCCGTCACACCAGCGGGCTTGTTTCGTCCTTTCTGGAGGACGCTTGCCGTGACTGTCGCAAAAAATCTGCAATCTCGTCCTTACATGGCGGAACAGCTTTGCGACCTGCTCGGGATGACAGTTGACGATTTCTTAAGGCTAACAGAGGTCTATGTCCTACCTCATCTAGTGCTCTGGCGTAAGAAAGAAGTTATTGCGCGTATTGGAGGGACCTACAAAAATGCCAAGAGCCCCTTTGATATATGCTCAGAAAAGGACAACCTCGCGGCAATACTGGCATTTTTATTGTGTCAGTCCTCCTCGGATCCTCAGAAAATGATCATGGCCACGTTGTCTGCTGTGGACTCTGCTTTCGATGGCCGTACTCTAGCAGAGCTGGTTAGGATTGAGCCAATTTTGATTGCCTGCGACCTCTTAAAAGGTCTTGGTGATGTTGGGGAAGAAAAGGGAGCGAAAGTTCGTACACCGTTACCCTGGCATGGGGTCCTCTAACAAAACATAGTTCCAAGAAGCGCTACGTATTCTATCAACTCTCGTGCCGCGCAAATCAACGCATGCGTCAAGAAAGTCCAATTTGGTGGGTCATTTCATCGAGGAGCATGTCCTTGGCATAATCACACAGTTCGCGCACGCCATCAATGATTTTCAGATTAGACAGCCGCTCGTTGAGAAAAAAAGGAATATCATGGCTATTGGGGCGATGATCAAGGTTGCTCCCGGGCATGTGACCAGTGCCCTGCCGCAGGTCTGTATACCCCCTTTCTAAACACTAACTCGCTCTAACAGCTACAGATATGTGCTTGTTTGCGGTCCGCATTGGAAATTCGAGAACTATGCAATAATTCCTTCATGGTATGGGGCACATTAGTGAGCTCTTTGCATGAAGAAGAAGTCGAGCCTCTTCTCGATCAAACGCTCTCTATCGTGATCAAACATTGGGCCAACTTTACGGAAGAAACTAGAAACTTTGCTTATCAACTTGTTGAGCACATCTCAAAGACTCACAGTGAGCTCCTACAAGATATCTTCGCTACCATGCCTTCCTTGGCCTCGATACCTGTGCTCTCTGTATTTGAGGCGCAATTTAACGAACTGAAAGGCACACTAGATGTTCGGAGTCAATTCATGGCTTTTGCCCGTCGGTGCATCAGCGAAAATGCCACTGTAGTTGAACAAGCTTTGACAGAGCTTGTCTTGTATCTTGGGGAACACGAGGACTTCGTTCACAGGTCTGTTCTGAGCGAGCAACCAGATCCGGCTGTAGCGCATCTGGTGAGGTCTTTACTCGACTGCTGTGTGAAATTTAACACTACATCAGAACCTATTACATTGCTTTCAGCTCGCTGCCTTGGCTCTATCGGCTGTCTGGATCCGAATCGAGTTGACACGATCAAAGAGAAAAAGGCGATCCTTGTTTTGTCAAACTTTGATAAAATGGAGGAGACGTTTGACTTTGTGCTCTTTTTCTTCCAGCATGTGCTAGTCGACGCCTTCCTATCGGCGTCTAACACTAGGGCTCAGGGGTTTTTAGCTTATGCTATGCAAAATCTGTTGATGTTCTGCAACCTCAATACAGCGATCACGCAACGTTCGCGCGGCGTTCAAGCTGACGAAAAGTATCAGCGATGGTTGGGGCTTCCTGAGGCCGTCCGCAACACTCTGACGCCCTTCCTGACGTCAAGATATACCGTTACCATCAAGGCAGCCACTTCCAAGTGCTCATTCCCGTTGTTTGCACCTGGTATGAGCCATGCCGATTGGCTACGAGGCTTTGTGCAAGGTCTGCTGCAAACTGGAAACGGGAATAACGCGAAGACTGTGTTTAGCATTTGCAGTCGTATCATCAAGGGACAAGATATCTCCATAGCATCTTTTCTTTTTCCATTTGCCGTTCTGCACCGTGTGGTTGGAGGAACTGAGAGGGAAAAAAATGAGCTGCAAGGGGAGCTCTTGAATATCCTCTCTCATCCTCTTTCTGAAAGTAGGGATGATGTGCACGAAGCGGTCTTGTTATGCAGCCAGGTGAGTAGCATGCTTGAGACGTTTTTAAGATACTGATTTTGTATAGAGTGTGTTTGAGGTGTTGGACTACCTTTCGAGATGGGTGCAGGGGAAGAAAAAGCAATTGAATGGTCTAAAAAGTCGCAATCACCACAAGACCTCCAAGGAAAGTGACCGGGATTTGTTGATTGACTCTTACGCTGCTCAGACCAAAGCAGTGGAATCTCTTTTGAGCTCCATACCGCCAGAAGTGATCTCGAAGCGAGCTGTGGAGTGCAAGTCTTTCTCTAGAGCGCTATTTCATTGGGAGCAGTATATTCGCCAATTTACGGCTCGCCTTCAAACACAAAAGTCTAGCAGTCTAGAGCCTCTCTATGAACACCTCCAGGGCATCTACAGTCAAATCGACGAGCCAGATGGAATTGAGGGTATCTCAACCCACCTCCATGTTCTAGACATTGATCAACAGGTGCTTGAGCATCGAAAGGCGGGGAGATGGGCCACTGCACAAAGTTGGTATGAATTACAACTGGAAAGGGAACCCGGTAATCTTGATGCCCAGTGGAACCTGTTTACCTGCTTGAAAGAATCTGGACAACAAGGTATTTCTCCTTGAATTAATTGAAGCAAACAACTTATAATTTCTAGATGCAATTCTCACGCGTTTTGAGATTCTCAAGAAGACAGAATCTGTTCCCAAATTCCTCCCCTTCGCGGTGGAGGCGTCGTGGATGACAGGTAAATGGGAGAAAATGCACAGTTTCCTCGAACTTTGTGCGCAAAAAACAACCGCAGACTTTAACATAGGCATTGGCTTAGCTTTGGATGCCTTCCGTCGAGGCAACCCTCAGCAATTTGGCGAAATTGTAAATGGGTTACGGTTGAGTGTCGCTAGGTCCCTCACTACTAACTCTGCCACGTCCTTACAATCCTGTCATGATAGCATGCTCAAGTTGCACGCTCTGACAGAGATAGAGTCTGTTGTCCTACACCCACACCCTGACTTGCGGGATGCTTTAGATCGTCGCTTAGATGTACTAGGAGGATACCTGTCTGACAAGCAGTATCTTCTTGGATTGAGGAGAGCTGCTATGGAATTGACGTACGCACCCTCATTCTGAGTTGGGGGCCAGCACTAATCAAACCCAGTGGCAAATTTGCGGATTCTGATATAGCCGCTGCATGGCTGACCAGTGCTCGGTTGCTGAGAAGAGGCAATTTTGGCAATCAAGCATATCAGTCAATGCTCAATGCTGCTCATCTGAAGGATCGCTCCGCCACCATTGAACATGCTCGACTACTCTGGAAAGACGGTCATCACCGGAAAGCCATACAGATTTTAGAGGGGGCGATAGCTGCAAATGAATTTGCCTCCACCACATCGAATTCTGACAATCCAGATCCACAACCTGCTGCTTCTGCCCATGAGAAACACCAAAATCTACTTGCCGCCAGGGTATGCCGCACCGTCACTCTGACTTGGGGGGCAGGCTAACTTGTTCAGGCGCATCTGTTGTTAGCAAAATGGACTGATAGAGCAGGACAAACACAATCAGATATAATAGTACAAAGATATCGTGAGGCTATCAAGCTCCATACCAGGTAAGTGAACCATAGCAGATGATTTCCATCGCTAATCGGCTTCAGATGGGAGAAGGCTCATTATTATCTTGGCAAACATTACAACAAAATCTTGGATTCGGAGAAGTTGAAGCCGCTGGGGAAGGAAGCACAAATCTAGTAAGTTTGTCCATGAAGAGCGTGTGCTGCTGCTTATTATTGTAGCTTGAGTGGTGAGGCATCGAAACTTGTCGTTGACAATTACCTTCGATCATTGGCACATGGCAGCAAATATGTTTTCCAGTCATTGCCAAAAGTCCTGACCCTCTGGCTGGAACACGCGTCAACTATTGAGCAACCGCTTGATCCGAAAAGGGGTGACAACGCGTAAGTACTCTTTTTCTAGCGCCCTACATACTGACAGATAACAGGGACTTCCAAGCGTATACTCTAAACCAACGAAAGAAGAGTCTAGACGACATGCACTCGCAGCTAAGAAAATATGTGAACAGAATCCCAGTTGCATCGGTAAGCTTGTTCCCCGAATGAAAACAAATTCTCAACTGACCATCAGCTCTTCACGATCTTGTCTCAAGTTGTTGCGCGAATATGCCATCCAAACCCCACTGTTTATAACCTATTAACCAAGATTGTGGCGAAAGTAGTAAACGCTTTCCCTCAGCAAGGGCTATGGACTGTTCTCGCAGTAGCCAAGTCATCGTCCGCAGAACGAGCCTTAAGGGGTCTCACTTGCCTCAATAAAATTACCGTGGGTTACAATCTAGGAATACTCACTTTTCATATGCAGCCGAAGCTAAGATGGCAATAGGAGATCAACAAGAAGTTAAAAACAGAGACAACCTCTGATGTTCGCGGAATGATAAATCAAGGGCAAAGGTTTTCAGATGAGCTGTTGCAATTATGTGTGGCAAAGATTGAGAACAAGACCTCCCGAATCAACCTTGCACGACACCTCAACTTCAATCATAGAGTAGCCCCGTGCCGACTTGTCGTTCCCTTCCAGGCGATGCTTACTCCAATCTTACCAGCCAGCCATGATCTCGACTACCTAAAAAATTTCAGGGCTTTTCCTCGGGACTCCACGACTATTGAAGGTACGCAGCCAATTTACACCCGGCATTACATCTCGCCTAACTGCTCTAGCCATCCTTGACGATGCCCAAATTCTCAACTCTCTCCAAAAACCTCGAAGGATCGGCATCTTGGGCTCGGACGGGAAAATCTACAATATCCTATGTAAACCGAAGGACGACCTCCGAAAAGATCAACGCCTGATGGAGTTCAACAACATGATAAACAGATTCTTGAAAAAGGACGTAGAATCCAGCAAGCGACGCATGTGTAAGTTTTTCGTCACTGCTAGTCTTCACTCACTAATGACGGTAGATATTAAAACGTATGCTGTTACGCCGTTGAACGAGGAATGTGGACTTATCGAGTGGGTGGACAATCTCAGAACCTTGAGGGACTTGATCACGAAGTCACTTAAGGAGAGGGGCATAGCGCCAAATGTAAGACTCTCAAGTTTCCATGTGGACTCCCCTTACACTGCGTTTAGTATGAGGAAATCCGACAACATCTCAACGAGGCTTGCTCGGATCCATCAAAAGTGTCAATATTCACGGATAAGATTCTAGCAAGGTAGGACGCCTGCTATTCCTTCGATATTAGTTTGACCGAAATGCAGCTTTCCTCCTGTTTTACACGAGTGGTTTGTGGAGGTTTTCCCCGAGACTGGAGCATGGTTTGCAGCGAGGCTTCGCTACACTCGGTCCTGTGCTGTCATGTCAATGGTTGGATATGTCCTGGGGTTCGTCGCTCTCGTCAAATCAAGCGTGCGCTGCTGACACATGCTACAGCCTAGGGGACCGCCACGGTGAGAATATACTCTTTGAGGAAGGCACTGGTGGTGTCCTACATGTTGACTTCAATTGTCTCTTTGACAAGGTGGATTCTGCTAATCCATTGGCTGAAGACTATAGCTGACCTCGTGAATTCTAGGGTTTGACCTTTGATAAGCCGGAGTTGGTGCCGTTTCGACTCACGCAAAATATGATTGACGCTTTCGGTGCTTACGGGTATAATGGTCTGTCTTCATCATAAATAGCAATTAATACAATCACTGACGATTTGTAGGTCCATTCCGGAAAACGTGCGAACTAAGCCTGGATCTTCTAAGACAGAATGAAGACGCTCTCATGACTATACTTGAGACATTCTTACATGACCCCACGACAGATTTTATTGGCAAGAAGGTACCTGTGCCATCCTTAAGATTAATGTATATAAGCTAATGATAAATCTTACCAAGCGCCGAACCCATGCGAATGTACCGGATACCCCTGCTGGCGTCCTAGAAAATGTTCGCAACAAGCTCCGAGGGCTTCTTCCCGGTGAATCAGTTCCATTGTCGGTGGATGGTCATGTCGATGAACTGATCATGCAAGCAACCAATGTACGTAATCTTGCGGCCATGTACATTGGTTGGTGTGCTTTCTTTTAGCTTAAGACATAACACGCATTTGTGGGTTTCCGGGTCCTGTGAGAGCAGATTAGAACCATCCAACCATGGAATAAACCGGACTAAACTCACGCTGTGTACCATGTCAATAAACTATTATACTCGAGCTTTTTTGCTGTTTACTTTAGAGATAGGAAGATAATTGCAAGTCGTAGGAGCTACCTCCTCGGTAAGCCCCGCTGGTTGCGACCCCTATCTCTACTAGCGCTTCGACTCCTGCTACGACTGCTGTAGTCGTAGCTGCTGTAGCTGGGGCTGCGACGGCTGCCACGACGAGGACTGGAACCCTGCGCTCGCACCCTTTTTCTTGGTGGGGATACCGATGGAGACCTTGAAGAGAATGATCGAGAGCGACGAGGTGATCGGGACCGCGAGCGCGTGAGCGACCGGGGCCGATATAAGTCATGCCTTTCCATAGGCCTAGAACGACCATATCTTCGGGGAGAAGCGGCTCGCTGGTGGTATGGCGAGTGACGAGAAGAACGATTGTCCGCAGGTCGTCCTGAGAGGTGTCTCTGATGTCCATACTTCCCTCTCGCGTTCGAGATAGGCGGTGGCGAACGGGAAAAGGCTCTCTTTGGTAATACTATCGATACGTTCAGTATTGCTCCGTCAAGTTGCGCTTCGTGCATATGCGCAATGGCGGCTTCCGCGTCTGCCGGGTCATCATAGAGGATATAGGCCGTGCCCCTGTTCGTCATAACTAAATACAGGTCGTGTCAATTCCACCACTAAGGATAGACAAGTGGGCACTGCATACATGCATAGTTCATGGGAAGGTCAATGCTTCGGATATCCCCAAAGCTTTCAAATATCTCACGCAAGTGCGACTCCATCACGTTCTTGGTGAGCTTCTCTATGACAATCTGCGGGACTCTCGCATTAGCTTCAGTTCAGTGAGTTGGAAAACGGACTGAGATCTGACCTTTGAACTCCTCTGGCTTGGAGGGCTCGGACTCCGACTGTAGCTCCTGCCTCTGTATGACCGGGAAGCCGGACTGCGAGTCCAGCTACGGCTCTGACTCCGGCTTCGATGCCGGCTCAAGGATCGCGTCCGCGTTCGCGACCTAGAGCGGCTTGCAGACTGCTGTCTCTTGTGACCGCCGACACTTCCCTCTGACATTGGGCTTGGGGAGGTCCTCCTGGATGTTGACTCTGGTAGAGGAGACAAAGAGCGTTTGATTTCGCGATGACGAGGCAGTTCCCTGTACATGGCGCATGAATGAGCTCGTCTAAGAGAGGGTCTGGGTTGGTCTCCGCGACGTTCGAGGTGCGAGAAGTGAAGGTCGAGGTGTAACGCAACAAAAGTGTTGTAACTCGACAAAGAAGTGGGGTGATCCACGCAATGCGGTGTATACAGACCTGGTCAGATGGCGATAATTGGCGCAAATAGGGCTGTTCTCAAGTTGCAAGGACCTGGAAACACATTGATCAAACAGGTTAGACCATTTGAATGCCCAGGTGCAGAGTTATGCCATGCCGGAGTTGAAATTTAGTCTAACTGGAATGGGTTAGATTCGGGCCGGGGTCTGAGCCGGACTTAGGGTACGGACTATGACGTAGTACTCTGTACAGTTGGAGGTAGGGATGGTAAAAATCCGTCCACAAAAATACTTGACGGTTTTTTTCGATGCGAGCCGAATTCCTGACGGCGTCAGAAATAAGTCACGTGATTAGTAAAGTGGGGCAAATGTAGCTAATTAGAGGCCGCCTTGGCGCCCAATCTAGGAACTAGCCAATTAAGTAATTCTGCCCTTCACCGCTCACAAAAAAAAAAAACGCTGCGCCTTTTAAATTTGCGGGGTTTTCTGCCGCCGGCCGCCCGCACCGCCTTCCTAGTTAGGCCTAGCTCGCCGTGAGTCAGGTGACTAAATTATTCATTCGTCAGGAATAATTCCTGACCGTCCAAAACAGTAAAAATCCGGATTTTCGTCATTTTGTCAAGTATTTTTACCACCCCTAGTTGGAGGGACTAAACGTTTATGAGATCAGGTCCAGCCTTGTATATACCCTATATAATGGGTTACTTAACATCCACAGCATCTAGCCACCGCTCATATCCCTGAATGACGTCCTCGGTGACTTGCCTTCGGACTTGCTGGAGAGCGTACTCGAAATGTTTCCAGCGAACATCTTGTTCCTGGCCACTCTCATCTTCCTCGTCCAACGCAGCATCTCCGGCAGTTTCACAAATGCTCACCATCTCTGCACCAGTATAACCCTCAGTTTTTAGGGCCAGCTCCTCCACTGCTACTTCGGGGTTAACCATGGATTTGCAGAACCAAATGTTAAGGATCTCCTTCCGCGCCTCAAAGTCAGGGGGCCCGATGTAAAGGATGTTATCCAAGCGCCCTGGACGCATCAATGCCGGGTCGAGTACTTCAGGCTTGTTCGTCGCAGCAACGACCAAGACGCTCTTAAGCTCCTCGATACCGTCCATCTCATTGAGGAGAGTTGTGAGCACATTGACGCCCCCCTGAGATGCACTTCCACGCTTGGAGGCAATGGCATCAATTTCATCGAAGAAGATGATGCTAGGTCTGGCGGAGCGAGCTTTTCTGAAAATTTCGCGCAAGGCCCGTTCAGACTCACCGACATACATGCTCAAGATTTCAGCACCCTTAACGGCCATGAAATTTAAGCCTGCTTCGGTCGCCAGAGCTTTGACGGTCAGAGTTTTAGAGCAGCCAGGAGGCCCGTAAAGAAGTATGCCCTTTTTGCTTTTTACATTCAGCCGTTTCATACGTTCGGGGAACTAAAGTATGTTAGTGCCTTGGACCTCGCATCTTGTTAATCTCAAAATCGTACCTTTAATGGCCGCTCGACAGCCTTTTGAAGTCGTCTTTTGATGTCATGTTGACCCCCAATATCCGACCACCTTACTTTCGGCGTCTCCAAAAACACTTCTCTCATAGCAGTTGGCCGAGTTTCCTGGAGAGCTGACACAATGTCACCTTCCTCGATCTTGAGCCCGACAGCTGGACCATTATCAATGCGCAACCCCTGAATTGCTTTCGAGATAGTCTCCGCAGAGTCTGAACTATTGTCTTCATCATTGCTGGTTTGTCTTTGTCGGGCTTTGCGGCATACAAGCTGTAGCAAAGCAAATATATCAGCGCCAACATAGCCGTGCGTTTTTTCTGCTATAAGCTCAATAAGCTCTTCGCTCAGGACAGGGGAGGGGCCTCCGCATATGGCGGTAATTATCTCAGATCGATCGCGCGCCGTAGGTATCTGCAGCTCAATTTCATTAGCCAATCGGTGAGGAGTCCGCAGAGCATCGTCAACGTCGTTCGGATGGCGAGTAGCACCGATTACTAGAACACGGGCCCCTTTTGCTGAATCCATACATTCGCATAATACTGGTGCTAAAGAATGCGAGTCCAGCGATTGCTTCTTGGGTGCAAGGAAGTCCAGTTGGTCCACAATCACCGCACTAGGCTGATAACGAATAGCTTCTTGAAATATATTGCGCAATCTGGCCTCTCCATCCCCGGCGTTCCTGCCGATTGACGAGGAGTCGAGGTCAAACGTTCTTCGCCATCCCGCCTGTCTGATCTGGCCCAGAAGTACGGTTTTTCCGGTTCCCTTGGGACCATACAAGAGTATACCTCTGCCATGCTCATAAAACGGTGGCATGGCGAGCGCGCCTAGTCCCGGGTGAAAGTCAGCGAGGTTTTCATTAAGCAACTGGATCTGGCGGCCCATTCCTCCAAGACCCAGTGGGAGGACTTGAAGGTGAGAGCTTAGATCCTCCTCGGTGCTGTCGTGAGAATCGTCGATCAAGACCTTGGAAGTTCCAGAGAGCCGGAACAAGGTATTATCGTGGTTTTGCGCCGCCCCCCGAATACCTGTAATTTTAAAGCTCCTCCTTTGACCTCTCAGTTCCAAGTCAAAAGTCAGGCCGACACCTAAGGCTTCACATTTTGATAGAGGAAATTCCAAAGCCCATGCCCAATGCTCCCTGTCTGTGATTGCAATCGGTCCGTATCGTTCAATTTTGTCGGGGTCCGAGCAGTCGACCAGGGAAATTGACGCGATGTCTACCAAGATCTCGTCCACCCTTACAATAGAGACCTGGTCGCTGAGCTTGATCCCGTAGCAATCCTGAAGGGTTCTCGATGCCTGTATGACTGACTTCCCAATGCTCTCCGGTGAATTCCATGCTATGGCTTGCTTCGATGATCCGGCGGGAGTCAGTATTCGACAGATGTCCCCGGCCTTGAGTTTGAGGGTCGCCAAAGAGGTTGATGAAAGGTATACTCGAAAGGCGTCCCGGTTGTCGTTTCTTATTTGCTTCGGCAGAGACCGTACGGAGAAATCGCGGTTTTCCGGCATGCTGTGGACACGCGCACAACTCTCGGAGGAGTAAGACAAGGTCAGAAAAGTGCAATGTTTAGCACGATTTATTGGGTATTCAGAGGCAGTGTACGTCCCTCCCTTGTTGACTTATTTTCATTTCTTTGGAAGATTGCTGCGCGGAGAGTCAGGAGAGTCACGGTAAACCCATGGGGATTCTCTCCGCTTTCAAAATTTTTCATCAAGACATCCATCCAAGTACAGAGTTACAGCGTGACAGGTCTAACTAGGTCTTTGACATGTAAGCTATTTATCGACCAGGGGATGACCGGTATGAGGCTTCTTATCTGATTCTTCCCTTTGTTCTTATCATCCATTATTGTGTACCCATTCAATTGTTCAGTGAAATTGAGAGTAGTTGAACTGAAGGAGATGTGCATAATGCCAAGGTGGGGGGAAATGCATGCATTATTTAGAGCATCGGAGTACTAATCCCGCCTTGGTTTAGTTGGCGCGCTGCCTACAGCATACTCTGTACAGTGTACACGGATAAGGTTACGGAGTACAGGATATACACGGAAGACATTGGCGTGTATGGAAACGGATGTTATGCGACGAGATGGCGCAAAACAGAATCCTTCACTCATTAGACCGCATTGTAGGGACTACGAGTACGGGTGTGCCGTTGACTGCCCTGCCGGATCTACTATAGGTATACGGAGTACATGTAGTTCATTGGAGTTATCCTCGGGCTATAATGTCCAACGGCCCTTCTTAATCGAACGTATGCGAGGCCAAGGACATTAGTCGGCGCTTTTCGCCTGCGATCTGAGCGCTTCTCCAATCCGACTCCAGGCACTACCGGCATAATCCCAGAGGTTCTGGACAGCTAGCTAGGCTATCTAGGTGAGACAACAGTGGTAAAAGATAGGTTGTCGCGTAGTTGCCACGCTTTGCTCGTAATTCATGATAGATAGTTAACGCCGCCACGAAGATTCTGAGTAAAACTAGCAGAACGAAATGGTTATCCTCGAACGATTATAGACATACACATATAATAGGTCCAACCGACAAAAAACCGGGTGTGAGGTGGCCCGACTAATCACGCAGCGTAAAAGGGGTCATGACTAGCATGACCATATTATATCTGGGAAAGAGCCAGTCCAGATAGGAGTCTGAAGAACGAGACGGGTATGGGTAAATATCGCACAGGAAGGTGATCAACAACATTTTCCTCCAGTGTTACCGCTCAGCCCCGAACCTTGATTGTCTATGCTGACTCCCTGAGAGCCTGTCTGCTCGGATTTCGAAGTATCCATTCCCTTCTTGATATCGGCAGCAAGGTTGTAGAAGGCTTTCTCGATGTTGATATTGTTCTTCGCCGAGACTTCGAGGAAGGGTATTCCAAGTTCGTCCGCTAGCTGCTGACCCTGCTCCGTTGATACGGCTCGCTTCTCTTCCCAATCACATTTGTTTCCTATAAGAATCTTGTGCACCCCCTCGCTAGCATGTTGCTCGACGTTCGAAAACCACGTTCGAATGTCTAGATAGCGATCAAAGTTAGCAACCAGTGCACGAGGAACATAGGATAGGGCGGTTATTACTCTGGAATGAACGCTCGTCGGTGACATCATAAACAAGAAGTATACCCATAGCACCCCTGTAATAAGCTGTTGTGATTGTTCTGAATCGCTCTTGCCCAGCAGTGTCCCATATCTGGAGCTTTACTCGCTTTCCATCCAGTTCGATGGTGCGGATTTTGAAGTCAATACCAATAGTAGTGATGAATGATGGTGTAAATGAATCTTCACTAAAGCGCAGAAGGCAGCACGACTTCCCTACGCCGGAATCCCCTATCAATAGCAACTTGATCTATGGCAAAATGGTCAGAGCTCAGGATGTGTACAAGTCGACCAACAACACTTACCAGAAAGTCGTAATTTCTAGTGCCGGCCATTATGAGAAAACGCCGATAGAGCGATGTGAATAGATGCGCAGAGGTGTATCTGATTGTAGAGAGTTCTATAATCTGCTGGCGGTTCGGCCCCTCCTTTCCACTTCGCTCGTGTACCTATCGATGTTCCCGGCTTCCCTCGCTTGGTGGAGATACGTCGCTTCTTAATCAGTCTGATAGATTAGAGACTCCCGCATGGGTGGAGAGATCGCAGCACTCGCTGGGATGGCAGGGTTGGCCGAGGGTCTCTGAGATGGCGAGGCACAGAGAGGGAAATGTGCTACCTCAGTCAGATAACAAGGGTCGGGGCGTACCAGTAGTGGCCAAAACCACGGAACTAAAATCAGGGAATAGAGCTCAGCGGTTGAAAGTAACAAAGCCGACTGCTAGCTTTTGTTTGAAAGCAAGAACAAGGAGTGTTCGTTGACGCCCAACTAAATGTATGGATGACGAGTGTGTTAGATTAAGACTTACTCCGTAAGTCAGGATGGCTTTCGGTACGTCCGTCAATCATTATTGGGGTCTACGACGCAACTCTAAATGGGGTATAGTATCCGCAGTATGGCTGCTGATATACAATTTGCTCCATACACTTCCCCCAAGAATCGAAATGATTCTCCACACCCAGATTTCAGATACAACGGGGCTATGGGCGTCTATGGGTTAAATTCAACTGCCGGTCCTGTTGGTCAACTAATCGGGGTATTATTGGAAATCGAACTCCATGCTGTAGCTCGCTAGATAAAGGCTCAAGGTTCCGCCCCCTGCCAAACCGACCGAGACTCGAGTTCACTCGACAATTATTCCCGTTAAGTTATCAAGTATATCATAACTTCTCGCCAATCAGCTCCTCGTCCTTTGCGCGCCTCTTATGAATACTCGGACTTGGTGTACCACTCACCCGCTTTATGCAAATTAGACTGCAATTCTTCAGAACTTGGATGCTCCATTATGTAGCAAAAAGGAGAGCGAACTGGTGGCCACCTAACTAGTTCACTCACCCGCTTTATGCAAATTAGACTGCAATTCTTCAGAACTTGGATGCTCCATTATGTAGCAAAAAGGAGAGCGAACTGGTGGCCACCTAACTAGTTCATGGTTCATGCAAATGCCACTCATGCAAATTTCATATTTCGGTAGTATGCTTGGCAGATAATATTCCAGCGATGGAAAATACATCACTTGGAGAAGACTTATTTGCCTTCAAGTCCATTTCGAGTACGTCCAAGCCATCCTCTGGATTACCCGAAGCTGTTTATCAGCTCGATTTTCGTTGACTAAATCATCGACATCCTCCTGGAATAAACGAAGGTCTTCTCCTTTAAGCATAGTCTGACCCTTACCAATGAGGATCCCAGCATTGCATATCAATAGGCCATGGTTCTTGTGGTCAAGGCGCCCTTCTTCTGTAGGACTAGAACTTGATAGAATACGATGAATATTCCTTGAGGCATGTTAGTCAAAGCTGATCCCTTCAAGTACCAAGAATTTCGTCTTACCGCAAAGCATATCGCATGTCATCCTGTCGCCTTCCCATTCTGAAACCCCTTCGATTACCGAGAAGTCCAAGAACCCAGCGTATTGAGGCGTAGGTTATGAGAAGCCCGGGGGTTAGACCAACAAAACTGCAGCGCATCAATCTCAGTTGCCGTACATAGAGTGAGGTACATACCCAAAGACCAGTTCCTGGCTCTTGAGTAAGGCATCAATGCCACTCATCGCTACCTCAACGTCGACTTTGGTCTTCTGGATTTGGATCAAGAGAGCGCGCACCAAGTCGCCTCGGAATGTGCCTATAAAAGGACTGCGCAGGTCCTTCTCGTAGGCCCTCAGCACTGGCGTTAGATCCCCCTCCCTAACTTTATCTGCAATTATATCGGCAGATGAAGTGTAATAGTTCTGCTCGTCACGATCGAGTACAAAGTCAACCACCATCCTCTCAAGGCTTGCCCGGTCGGTTTCTAGACTGTTTTTACTCATCAAAGCAATCTCGCTCTTGTCGTCATGGCGTATAGTCCGCACAAGTTTCCATATAGGGTCTAGAACCCAGTTCTTCCAGAAATCGAGCGCAGTTGCTCCAAAGTTTGAAACCGCTTCGGCTAGAACGGGACCAACATGTCTCGCGATTCTCAATGATGTGGTGGCCGAAATCATAGCCAACGAAAGGGGTAACCAATACCGGACTGCAACTGGAGGGCGGCCAAGTCCAACGATACTACCAGCTGTCGCGTGTTTATATAGTGGAAGAGTGTCTGCAATGATATGATTTAGTCCCTGAAGGATGGCCTGAGGCTCGAGGAGATCGAGTCCTCCCTCACCCTGGTTGGAGGCCAGAGTATTGCCCCCGAAATGCTCGAATGCCACAAACTCGTCGCTGGGGCATTGTAGGATCGATCCGAGTAGGTCGACAGTAGTCCGTACTCGTTGGCGCAGGCCACCATCGTTAATCCCACCATCGGCCACGTGGAGGCCGGTCTCAAACGATAGACATTCTTCACAAAGAAGGCCTACAGCGCTAGCATTGAAGTCTCGCATGGCTTTAAGCTTTCTCCTCCTCGCTTGTATCTCCAACTTCGGTCCGCTCAAAGTAAGAAACGGCCCAAGTTTGTAGGAGCTTGGCGTTGGGGAAACACATCGCTGAACCGAAGTATAGAATCGCAACCACGTACTCGGGCTGGATCCAATCCGGGCGTCGCGATCATCCGCGTCCCGTCCCAACGCGGTCCGTTTGCTGTCATCGCAACCAGATGCTATGCACCTTTGCCACATCCTATATGGCGATATCTGCAAGGCATAGAGACAGACACACCAATCAAACTGTAGCACGCCCTCCCAGTATTTCAGCTCTTCATTTATGCGAAAAACGTTATCGGAGAAAATCTTCAATACCTCCGCAAGAATCTGCAAAGATGCTTTCGCGCTTATCAGCCACGAGAGATCTGACAGACGATGTGCGAAGACGTCGGATTCCGGCCAGGACTCAGAAGCAGCGCGAAGAGTTTGACGAGACTTTGTGATCATGCTCAAGAGTTTACCATGGTGCCTAGTGTTGACGGACTTGGACTTGATCGAAAGCTGTCCGATTATCGTCTCGAGTTCTTTCAGGTGCACATTGAGAGTATTGATTCCTCCGCCGCGAATGTTCGCCTCAATCGTGTCATTGATCCGTTGATGAAGTTCTTCCAACTGCGTCTCAAGGCGATAAAATTTACTGAGTTCGTGTCAGTCTACGTTCTAGAAACGTAATCTTCAAGCTTGCCTGTGAACAGCCGACATTGTCCTCACCTGGAGAAGTCGAACTCGAGTAACTTGTTCGTTCAAGATTGGCCGTTCTTATCTTGAGAAACTCTTGATTTGCAATTTGGACAGCGATCTTCTCAGAACTTACAGAGCACTATCTCCGCTAGACATTATGACATCACAGGCTGCTGCGTACATCAAAGGATGAGCCGCGTACGGAATGGTGCACACCTAGCCTAGAGGTTCTGGAGGAACTTGGAACCGTCAGGGGCGAACGGAGCTGTAGGTATTATTATTCGCAACTGCGGCAGTAGGTAAAGGTAAGGTTATGAGGGCTGGCTACCTTCACTATCTGGCCAGTATGAAGATGGATGCCACCTACTACTAAATTGGCCATTACGTATGGTCTTTAACATGGCTATCAGGAGGGTTGGGCCTTGACTACGGAGCATGCGAGACAACAGTTGTGCAGTTCGCCTGTTTGGTTTGGTCTTGGATGGTAATACCAACCTTCGGGTTGGTCAATCCAGGAATCCCCAACTCTTCGTGCTCCCTAAGAAATACGGAGTATCAAGGTTATGTTTTAAGAAATCAAGAGCCCCAGGTCTGAAGGCTCCTGCGAAAACCTCGTACTGGTTCAGATAGAAGGCGATCCTTTCTGAACAGAGCTTAACCCACAAAACATGTTATTTATTGACTTGACCACCCCAGCAGTTCGCGTACAAGGGTCTGCATGGGACAAGAGAGCTTGAGAGTATGTATATTATATGTATATTAGTATTGATTTGATTCTCAAGTAACATGCTAAATAGATGTAAAACTGGCAGGCCCTTAACCTCACGAAATGTTTCTTGATAATCATGTTGTCCCCTACTAAACATTACTCTCCTCTGTATTTGTGTTCTTTCAGGTGATTACTAGCGGCAGTCTGAGTGGAGCGGAGTCCGTCAATCATCAGCCATTCGGTCCTGATCGGCTCAGCAGTGGTGTGGTGCCAGTTTAGCCAGGGGTTAAATGTTCAATGCCGGTGCCTGGTCGCGCCACTCGGAACCCAGGTCGCAAAAATCACGCGGTGCGCAGGGAAATTATTTGTTGAGTCCCTGAAATAACTACTCCGGCCACAGTTCCCAAACTCGATTCAATATTCCTTTTGTATACCCTCAATCTGTTGACTATTCTCTGGGAAAATAAACGCACTTTAACTCTCTGTTACTTGGTGACAACAGACAAGGTCTTCCGCCATGGACTTCATGTAAGTGTCGCTCTATATGGAAATTCTTCTGTATATCATGCCACGATACTAATAAGACCAGGAATTCGACATTCCCGTCCACTACCCCAGAAACCTACTGGGAGCATTACAATGATATCTCCGGCCATAGCGCACACTTCAATGTCGCCGAACGGCTCTGGGCAGCTTGGTATGCGTGGATGCAAAACGACGTATTAGCAACAGGGATCATGTCCTTCGTCATGCACGAATTGGTCTATTTTGGGCGGTCTTTACCGTGGATACTCATCGATACTCTTGGTTTCTTCAAGAACTACAAGATTCAGGCGGTAAGAGCCGATTCGTCCTGTTGATTTTGCTCATCACTCATCCGACTAGGCCAAAATTCCATCCTTACGAGAGCAGTGGGACTGTGCGAAGTTTGTCCTTCTCAGTCATTTCACAGTAGAATTGCCGCAAATTTGGTTGGTTACATGCAAATTCAGTCACACTGCAGTTTGATCTAATTCGGTGACGTTTTTGCAGGCTTTTCCATCCAATGGCTCAATTCTTCGGTCTTTCCACGTCTGTTCCGTTCCCTTCACTCTGGACTATGGCCTACCAGATTGCCATATTCTTTGTCATGGAAGATACCTGGCATTACTTCTCCCATCGTGCTCTGCATTGGGGTCCACTCTACAAGGCCATTCATAAGATTCATCATCAATACTCAGCTCCATTTGGTATGGCGGCCGAATACGCGTCACCTATTGAGGTCATGATTCTTGGTTTCGGTACTGTCGGATGTCCTATCGTCTGGTGCGCAGTGACTGGCGACTTGCACATATTCACGATGTATGTTTGGATTGTGCTTCGCTTGTTTCAGGCCATTGATGCACACAGTGGGTACGAATTTCCATGGAGCCTTCACCACTTCCTCCCCTTCTGGGCCGGGGCAGACCATCACGACCTTCACCACGAGAAATTCGTTGGCAACTACGCCAGCAGTTTCAGGTGGTGGGATTATGTTTTGGACACGGAATACAGCCCCGAGGCAATTAAGCGAAGGAGAGAACACAAGGCCGTTGGCGGTTCGAAGAAGGCGCAATGATCTGATATTGTTCCCTGCATGCTTGCGTAGAGTTGAATTGTAGTTGACCAAAATTTCTTGCAGTGGCACTTAATATGGACATGGCTGCTTCTTTGCCATGGGGTCCTATAGGCATGCTCATAGTACATTACTTTGTTTAATTTCTTTTAATAACAGACACTGAATCAGATGTCATAAGGCAATGATTTAAAGAAGGTTCATGCGTTAATTAATTATTAAGTTCTCTAAAGGTAGGCTAACTACATTGGAGTAAGAACAGGATTAAAGGCAGTAGTTAATAATAGTATAGGCTTGCCATGCTATTAACAGTCCCCTCTATAAAAAAGGACACACTTGTTTATAAATATATAAAGTATATATTAAATAAAAAAAAATTTGCGTTATAGCAGTAATAAAAGTAAAAAATAAAAAGTATTAAGTATATTTTAATTTTTTAAATATAAAATATGTAAGACCAACAAGTCTTGAAGATCTTTACTAATAATAAAGATAAAGATAAAAAAAAATTAATTAATAAAAATAAAGTATTTTAAACCCTGTTAAATAATACTAAAAAAGTTATTTAAAAATTTAAAAAAAAAGGCTAGCCTTAAGGCTACCTTTATAACCCTTTAAGTTATACTTAAGCTATTTTTAATTAAAAAATAAATATAAATTTAAAATACTTTACGCACGGGCCTATTTTTAAAATTTATCTTAATTTTACTTAATTAATAATTAAAATCTTATATAATAATAACCTAATTAAGTTATATAATTTAATATAATAATAAAGTATATTAAGCCTTAGCGGCCTAAGGCTAAAGCTTAAATTACTTAAAATATTTATTTTAAAATAATAATAAACTAGCTTTAATAATATTAAGTAAAATAATATTAACTTTAATAATTTTTTAAATTAAAGGGTTGTCCGCGACCCGCCACTAAATTAAAAAATAATAATAAAATACTATTATTATTGTTAATATTAATATTAAATATAACTTTATTATTACTATTTTTAACTTTATTAAAATATTATTTAATATATTAAAATTAATATCTTATTTTTATTATTTTTACGCTTTAAATAAAATATAATATTTATTTATAACTAAAAAAAAGGTGGTGCTTTAACTATGCTATAAGGTCCTTGGCCTTAGGGATTTGCAAATAGTGTGATAGGGTGTAATATACCTAAAAAAGGTTTATAAATAAGAATTTTAAAAAAAATATTAAAATTAATACTAAGGTTTAGATTTTTGGCCTCGCAGAGGCTAGATATTTTTAATATATATTAAATTAATATTTAAGGCTAACTTAATTATTTATAAGCAAAGCTATTTATAAATATTTTTAAGTTTTATAAAAAGGCTATATATAATATAATAAGCCTTATAATCACCCTTTTTTATAGCCTTGGTTTTTTAAGGCCTTATAAATAAATAAAAATATATAATCTATAAAATACCCTTAAAAAAAACCCTGCTAGTATATAAAAAACCTTTAATAAAAAAAATCTTATTATATATAATAAAAAAAATTATTTATACTTATACCTTACATGGCTATAAGCACTAAACTTTATTAATACCTTTTTTAAAAGTTTTAGGCCTTATTTCGCGGAGCCTTTTTTTAATAATATTAAAATTTTTTATAAAATATAAGCATACTTATAAATATTACTAATTTTTTATAAGTATAATTATTTAAAGTTTATAATTATTTAAATATCTTAAGCTTATATAAACGCGCTAGCTATATCTTATTTTTTTAACTAAATTTTACCTTATTTATTTTTTTATAATTTTCTTAAAAAAGTTAAGATTTATAGTGCTTTTACCTTTTATTAATTATAATTATTTTTAATATTCATAAAATATTATTATTTCACGCTTCCTTTTTAAGTATGCTTAATATTAAACTTTTATTTAATTTTTTATAACTTTTTTATATAATAACTTTAAGCTTTTTATAAGTATACCCTTTGATTAGTCTTTTTTTATTTTTTTTATTATATAAATATATTTTACAACCCTTTTTTTTACTAGCTTGCTGGTTAAAATAACTTATAAGATTTTTTTATACCTCAAGTAATATATATACTTATATACTTTAAATTTTTAAATCTCTGGCCTTTACTTACTTTTTACTTAGTACCTTATATATCTTGCATGTTTTTTATGCTAGTATTTACTTACTTAGCCTTTATACTTTATAAAAAAAAGTTTTATAAATTTCCAAGCTTTAAAAAATATATTTTATAAGCTTTAATTTTTATAAAGTTTTAACTTTACCTACTTATAAGCTTTTAATTTTACTTACCTATAAGCTTTTAATTTTACCTGCTTATAAGCTTTTATTTTTATTTTTACAAGTTTTTAATTTTATTTATTAGTTTTTAACTTTATTTACAAGCTCCTAATTTTATTTTTATAAACTTTATTTTATAAGTATAGCTAACTTATATATAATTAAGTTTATAAATAAAGTTTTGATTTTTTTTATAAATATATTAAAAAATAGCTATTATTAATTTTACCTTTTTACAATATCCTGCCCTGCCTTAGCTACTATAACCTTAACTTTTAGTTAGGCCTTAATAATACCTAGTAAGGATATTTAAATACTTAACCAATTTTATAAAATAGTTATTTTTTTAAATTATATAAATATAAAATATCACTATATAACTTTATAAAATCATTACATAGCTATAATAATAAGTAAGTATTTTATAAGTTTATACCCTTACTTTACTTTTATGCCTATAAGCCTTTTGTCTATTTATATATATAAAGTTTTTTTTATTTACAAGCATCTCTATTTATAAATTTATTACTAACTTATTTATAGCTATTAAGTTGTTATCTTACTATTAATATACTTTTTACCCCGGGCGGGCCACTTACTAAAATAGCTTAAAATACTTTACCTTTAGGCAAGGTGAGTATTATAAAGTAAGCATAAGTGTCATGGTTGCTAGGTCTTATGTTCGCTCCGTCTCTGGTTCTTCCTACTTAGTTATTAGCATGTATTTATATTGCCAAGATAGTTACTTAGGAAAATTAACTTACTATTTTATTATACTGCCCCCCTTTAGGTTTAATAAATAGTAATATATTTTAATATAATCTAAAAGCCTTTTAAAAAATATTTAATTAATTACTAAAATTTCTAAAAGTTAAAACAAGCAACCGTGGTAAATATTAATAGTTAGCCTTTTTTTATATAACTTTTTTTTACCTTGCTTTATAAAACGTGTTTTTTTTATTTACGCGTTTTTTTTATTCACACGTTCTTTTTATTCACGTGTACTAATAATCTTAATATTTACTAAGGAGCTTTTTTAAATTAATATTATTATACTTTTCCTAAATTATAAAGCTAAAATATTAAATAGCTTGCTTTTACTATATTTTAAAAACTAACTTTATTTATAATATTAATGCTAAGACTGCACGCCTAGCTATTATTGTGGTTGGATCCTGCGGATGTTGCTAACTCATGCCTAAGTTATTTACTATGTAGATAGATGGCCTTACAGCCATTTATAATAGATTATTAACATCTTCTTTAATTATATAATATTTTTTAGGTGTTGCCTGGCCACTACCACAACAATAGTAGCATGTTTTTAATTTTAATTAAAGGCTAAATTTTTAACTTTAGAAAGTTTTAAGCAAAGCTTTAAAGCATTTATAAGTTTTTACTATAGCAAAGTGCTTAAGCCCTTACTTTTATATTAGCTTTTTTTATAATATTAAACCTTTACTATTTTTTTTATCTAGCTCCTTAACTTTTTAAAACTTTTTATATAAAAATAATCCCTTAATTTATAATTCCCTGTAATTCCCTAAGTTTTTCTTTTTTTTATTTAACTAACCAAGTAACCAGGTGGCCTAGTAGCTAAATATTATAATATTATAAATTTTTAAAAGTTTCTTTCGCTTGCTAAATTTAAGTAAAAATAGCCTGGATTAAACTATTAAACTTTATTTTTAACTTTATATTATAATTATATAATTAAACTTGCTACTTATATAATTTTAAATTATTAAAACCTCCCTTGCTTATACTATTACTTTTTTTTTAATAACTTATATAAGACCGCTATAAATATATATAATTTTTATTATTACTTATAACACGGATATACTAGCAAAATCTTGCTAAAATATTTAATTTAAGTAAAATTTATTTTTTTATCTTATTTAAATAAGAAACTAACTACTATTAATAAGGATTAGTTAAAGTATATAACTATAAAAAAAATTTTAAATAACTAGATTTACTAATCTTAAGGTTTAATAGCTGCTTGTAAAAAATATAAATAATAATAAATATTAATTCTTATTTAAATTTTATTTTTTTTAAGAAAAAAAATAGTGTACCTTTAGTATTTAGTATTTAAATATAATAAGTTAAAACTTTTAATACCTTTACACCTTATATTTATAATATTTATATTTTTAATTTTAAAATAAACTATAGTACCAGCTGCAAGCATAAAACCTTTTTTATTATTTAATATATTTTAAATACTAGGTTTTAAAAACTATTAAAAAAACCTATTTTTACCCTTATTTTTACCTTTATTTAACTTTTTAGATCTTTCTTAGTCCTTTTAAGACTATAAAAAAATAAGAATGTATTTACTAAAAATAATAAAACATGTTTTTTAATTTTAGAACTAGCTTTAACACCAGAGGTTCTAAATATTTAAATTAATAATATAATAAAAAATAAAGCAGCTGGTGGTGGTGCTGCGGAAAAATCTGGATTTACTAGTTTTTTTTAATAATAGCTAATAATATTAGCCACTTTAATAGCGCAGGTAGTAATAAATACTAATTTTAATAAAAATACTATAAATAGTAAGCAGCAGGAAACTAATATAGAATCTTCTTACTAAAAGGTAGCTAATATTAAGTTTTTTTTACCTAAATATGCCACTTAATTAAGATTTTAAAATAAAAGTAAAGTAAGATAACAAGCCTTATTTTTATAATATTTATATA